CCTAAACCCTAAACCCTAAACCCTAAACCCTAAACCCTAAACCCTAAACCCTAAACCCTAAACCCTAAACCCTAAACCCTAAACCCTAAACCCTAAACCCTAAACCCTAAACCCTAAACCCTAAACCCTAAACCCTAAACCCTAAACCCTAAACCCTAAACCCTAAACCCTAAACCCTAAACCCTAAACCCTAAACCCTAAACCCTAAACCCTAAACCCTAAACCCTAAACCCTAAACCCTAAACCCTAAACCCTAAACCATAAACCCTAAACCCTAAACCCTAAACCTAAACCCTAAAACCCTAAACCCTAAAACCCTAAACCCTAAACCCTAAGCCCTAAACCCTAAACCCTGAACCCTGAACCCTGAACCCTGAACCCTAAACCTAAACCCTAAGACTAAACCCTAAACCCTGAACCCTGAACCCTACACCCTGAAGCCTGAACCCTAAACCCTAAACCCTAAACCCTAAAAAAAATAAAAAATAAATATATGGAAGGCGCCTTGCGACAATGAAAGGCGCGCCGCGACAATGAAAGGCGCCTTGCGACAATGGAAAGCGCCTTGCAACAATGGAAGGCGTTGCGACACGCGCCTTGCAACAATCAAAGGCGCCTCGCGACAATGAAAGGCGCGTCGCGACAATGAAAGGCGCCTTGCGACAATGAAAGGCGCCTTGCGACAATGAAAGGTGTTGCGACAATGGAAGGCGCGCCGCGACAATGGAAGGCGCCTTGCAACAATGGAAGGCGTTGCGACAATGAAAGGCGCGCCGCGACAATGGAAAGCGCCTTGCGACAATGAAAGGCGCGCCGCGACAATGGAAGGCGCCTTGCAACAATGGAAGGCGTTGCGACAATGAAAGGCGCGCCGCGACAATGAAAGGCGCCTTGCGACAATGAAAGGCGCGCCGCGACAATGAAAGGCACCTTGCGATAATGAAAGGCGCGCCGCGACAATCAAATGCACATTGCGATAATGAAATGCGCGTTGCGACAATGAAAGGCGCGTCGCGACAATCAAAGGCACGTTGCGACAATGAAAGGCGCGCCGCGACAATTAAAGGCGTGCCGCGACAATTCAAGGTCAAGTGCAGAGAAGCGGTCCTTAGCCTGAGCCATAGCATCAAGAAGAGCGGGAGAAGTAGGCACTGTGCCAGGTGAACCAACGACTTGGCAAAATGTAGGGGCGGAGGGTTCAGTTTTTATTTTAGATAGCGAGAAAGAATAGTTCAAAATGTACTCATATTGATTCGGCCCAAAAGAGTACTACGAGGGGAGTCAATTGAACACACAACTCTCCGGAACCAATGTAACGTCTAGAATTTCCCAATGGCTGATGGTGTACAAATAACACTGATTTAGGCGGTGCAGTGGGCTTATATGCCACAGTTGAACATGAGCCTAGATAGGCTTGCATCCCAGACCTGCATCAATGCAAGGTTGATGCAAAGAATACTTATCCGCAGTGCATAAGCAGTGCTGCATGTGCATGAAGTATTCACTACGGAAATCACTATGTTACAAGAGGCATGCCGGCACAAATGTACAAGTGGGGACAAGCCCATGCAGTTGCAAGCGCTCCTAGCGTGCACGAGATGGTACGCTGGCCCAAGTTGGCCCATGGGCTGCGCAACCAGTAAGTAGTGCACTGATTCAGTGCTACAGCTGCAGCCTGCATAGAATGGCAGAGCAGGCTGGTATATTAGATATGCCAACTCCAGCAATAGAAAATGCCAGAGCAAAGCAACCTCACCGCAGCATGCTAGCATGATTACAGAGTTGTTCTTATATAATATATTACACATGTTCTAGTCCCTGCAGGCAGGATATGTTCAGCAACGTGTATTTTAGAAGCTTCTTCATATATGTCCTATATAGTCCATGGTCTTTGCGTATTTGCCACCAATCATATGGTATTCCTGCAATGTCAAATATTTCAATATGATTAATCATCCCTCACACAATCATTCGAACTCCAATTCTTCAGAAGTCTCCACCTTAAGGGCTTGCTCTAGTTCCGGACGTTTCTTGAGCTGAATATATATGTACACTCATGTGCAATGTATTCTCTTTCAACCCGCCGGCATACTGGCGCCAATATGACCAAGCCAACGGAAGTCTCTTGGACCAGAAATAACATATGATAGATAGTGCGCAGTAATATTTTGAAATTATGAACAGTGGCCACTGCCAACATGCAAGATATCCCAGTACAAAGGAAATTGTGTCAAGAGGCTCATTTCACTATTATTGAATAGAGAACAGCGCATGCCACATACATTACCAAAAAATTATCAGGCACAACGGTACCGGTTCTGCACTGATTGTTGCAATATAGGCCAATTGGCGCTACCTTGTATTATCTCTCCGAGTCGAACTGTCACAGAACACAAGATGCAATCCTGTGACATCTTTTGAGTCCTCGTCATGGGTGTCCACAAGACAATTCAGCAACAGTAGCGAGCAACATAGCCATCACATGTGTACAACCACCGATACCTGTATACAGCCACCGACAGCACTGCATGGCGCCATGCAGTGCTGTCGGCAAGGTGCAACACCGGCGTCTGGAGCCATCATCTAAGTCATGCATGCGGAAAAAGCGCAGTGCATGCAGTCGCTGTGCACTGAACAGGTGGCATTCAAACAGTGGCATTCAAAGAGCGCAAGACCCCTTTCATGCGCCAAGAAATGCCAGACGTATGCTTGAATGCTACCCGGTGCACAGTGCTCGCAAATATTTATGGCAGATCTGCCAGAGGCACACACTTCTCACTGGGTGCCGTCAGCCACCCACACGCCAATGGCATCAATTGCTGCGGCTGACCTCCCAAAGAAGCCTGAGATGGTTCCGTTGTACGAGAAGAATTGGGGGTCCCCCCCAACGGTTCCCCCAACATCTCCGTAGGGGCCAAAGACAGTTCCCCCGCTCAGAATAAAGCCCAGGGTGCGCACGATGCGGGTGCTGCTTTTAGAGAGGTCAAAGCCGGTGCTGCCAAAGATACCGGAGAGGACCTGGCCGGGGGGAATGGTGAGGGAGTATGAGCTGCCAGTCGCGGGGTCTGTGTCTATGCCGCCGTGCAGCACGGAGCCAATGTCAGCGTATGTGATGCTGATGCCCAAGACGAGCTGCGACGGGCCCGGGCCGACTAAGCCAGGGGATGGATTCCCAGCGATTGTGTCGTAGAGAGTGATGCTGGTGATGGTGTGCCCATATCCGTCATCAAAGGGCGCTCCTCCACCGCCGCCGGCCGGGCCAGCTGCATAACACAACCCCATGCATTCAGCGCTCCCGCAAGATGACTATCTGTGCGCAATGTCCCAAGTAAACATGCTGGTGAATTATGGCATGGCATTAGTAGCTTCTTACAGCAAATACTTTTTAGCCTGGGCTTCGCCAAGATAAATTGAATTGCTGCCGAAATGGCTGCTTACACATGCATGTTGGGCAGTCCATGGCTGTCAAGCAACTGGCGTGCAAAAGCTAGATTTTTGCTGCCTGCAATGGGGCAGCTGGCCTTTTGTCAGCACCCATCAATGGCCTCTTAAGAGCTTCTAGCCACAGATGTTTTCCGGTAGGTGGACTGCACAAACCCTGGTGGTAGGTGGGGCCGGTGGCGCCAGTGGGTCCGGTGCCTCCTGTAGGGCCAGTGGGTCCGGTGCCTCCTGTAGGGCCAGTGGGTCCGGTGCCTCCTGAAGGGCCAGAAAAGCCGGTGGCTCCTGTGCCACCATTCTGACCAGAGGGTCCTGCAAGGGAACCAAGAGCAATGCTGTCAATCGCTGTTGAAAATTACAGATGTGCAGTGTTCTTGGAAACCATGCACTTGACATGGTGTCAAAAGCTTCTCAGTGCAGAGGATTATGTGCATAATCACTGATGGCATGCAAGCATGCTGTGCTCACAGACGTTAATTCAATGCTGCAATTCTATTGATGTTGTGGTGTAACAGGCAGAGGTTGTTTGCTTTCACAGCCAGCATTGTTCTCTTGGCTGCAAACATGTTTACCTGTGGGCCCTTCTACGCCAGTTGCGCCGTCTGTGCCATTAAAACCCTGCAGGTCACAAGCGCTCAATCGAGTGGTAAGTACTATGACAAGGTATCAGCAGCCTTCGTTGGAGGAAACATTCCATATACTGACAAAAGCAACGTACTAAAGCGAATTTGTTGAGCACACGTCGAAGAGCACACGCATGAATTACGATGAGGAGGTAAACCATGGAATCACCGGATTGAGGGAGCTAAACATCTTGATGAGGGTCTGCACAATCAAGTCCTGCTGTGCAGCGTGAGCAGCCAGCTGGTCTAATCTCCGATTGACAGCCAGGAGCTGTGCACGCAGTTCCGCCTTGGAAGCGGGCAAGAACCCTGAGAGACTTTCATCAGTGATATTGACTGCCTGGTTGAAACCTGCAATGGGTCAGTAAAGAAGTACCAATGAGACGCCTCCTCTAGCACAGGGCACCAGTCAGAATGCCAGGGCTCAACCAAAATAACCCGATGACCTCACCGAGAGCGTCTGCAGCATAGCACAAACTGACGGCAGAAGACAGTACGAACACTTGGTAGCATAAATTCGGTATCTTCCACGCCCTCGTTTGCGTCCTGTGCCTGCACGTCCCGCGCATGCTTAGTAAGACGCTCGTCAGAAGGAACTCAACTTCCCAAGTAATTTGCTAGACATCATAGGGCTCCTTTTGGAATGTTTCTGGCGTACCTGTGAAGGTGAGACGCCATATTGCTGCTTTTCTTAGGGCTGAGTGTTGTCTAAGTCCGCACTTCGCTACGGTGACGCAGAAGCAAATTGCCAAATTTTCTCCAACTTGCGACGACTTTCTTCCTGCTGTCTCTTATGCGTACAGTTTTCTCTAGCTGACGACCCCAATCTAGCTGTGTCTCTCTGATTTGGATTTGTCTGTCAGCTCGGCTGTTGAAGTTCAAACCCTTCCCGCCTGAAAGGGTGTGACGCCCTCAGATACCAGGGGTCACAAGGGGACTCAGTGGATACATAAACGAGTGAACTCTAACCTAGTAAACCCACCACAGTAATAAACCTATAATCGATATTTCATTCAGCACCACGCCCGTTGCCGTTACCGTAATACTCTCCACAAGGATGACCTCCCCACCCTCCCCCAACCTCCTGCCCAGCTTGAGGATACCCTCCTGCCATGCTCCTGGGGTTCCGATACTTCTATTACTTTGCAAATCAATTGACGGTGTAATGGAGTTTTTGGGACCGTCATGACGTCAGACCGTTGCCACCGTAAATTGTTTTAGCCCTTACACAGGGTCTGCCCGTCATGACACCGCAATTTACTTGCAATACACAGTAATGATGTCGACATCAGTAATGACGTCAGACCGTAATGGCCGTCAACCGTAAGGCCCACAGCCCTACGTGTGTCTAGATTTTCTTTTCCAAAACAAGTAGAATCCAACATTCCGGACAGAGAACAACTGCGTGCAAAAAACGAGCCGACAAGCTCAAAAAAATCAGCAACTATGCTACCGTAATAAGATAAAGGAAAACTATTTGACAAACCTCGCTGGACCGATTGCCATAACATTGTCTTGCATCCTCACAATGACCGCACAATGACTGCCGGTAACGCCACGTGGCTGTAGAACAGGAGATTCCAGTGCACAAGTCCTCCGACACTAGGCCCACCAAGCGCTGCTCGCCACCTGTGTTGCCTCAGGTACATTTAAGGCACAGCTGGCGCTGATTCCAAGGCCGCTGGTCGCTGCCCCGGGGGCAGGCGGGCGCAGCGGGGGCACAGAAAGTGATCAGGCGAGGGCAGCGCGTCGGCAAAGCCAGCGCAGCGCGTGTGGCTCCACTCGCAGCACCCATCGCACGCAATCATGCGCTCCCCATCGTCGTCACGAGTGCCGCAGCTGCACGCCACCTGCCACTCCTCCACCCCCCCTGCAAAGCACATTGCAGTGTTTGGCACAATTCACTAGACGTGGCACAGCACAGACAGGCTACATGCTTCTGTGTCGAGACCCTGCACCAGCAAACTATTCAGGAGAAGCATACCTGCATGGCGCCACAGAGGGTCGACATCGATGCCGCTGCCATGCACAGTGACCTGCGTGCCATCAGCAACCACCGCCAGTCGTCCTCGCTGTTGATCCCCAACCTCCAGCCCTTCCACACCCTCCACCTGCAATTAGTAATTGGCTTCATGAGTCCAATCAGCAACAATTGCATGAGCATCTGCAGAAGAGTATCTATGACTGCAATGGAGAAGCCCAGTCCAAATGCTAGTTTATCAATTTTACCTAAGGGCCATTGTGTACACCTCCTCAGCATCACGCACAACGCTGTTTATCACCAACAACAAAGCCATCATCTATGCCCCTATTCTGGTATCTGCAAGTCACCTCGATGTGGTTGAACATGCGGTATGTGTCGCGGAGAGCAGCAGCCACCGCCTTGCGCAGCTGTGGGATGGTGGCCTTCCGGGAGAGCAGGAGCAGCTCTGGGGGCGGCCCCGCCATTGCGCGCTTCCGCATTGGCCTCCGCCGCAGCCCTCCTCGACCTGCGCGCCCGGCCCCTCTGCCACCCTGATGTCAACAAGAAACAGCCTTAAAACAAAATTCATCCCCGGATGTGTTGATTATTCCAGGGAATACCCTTGCAAAGCCAGCAGCTGGCAAGGTAACGCCAGTGTAACATGGTTTTAGTGCCTCAATTAGCGAAAGGTCTGGGCACAAAAGCTGCCCAATTTTCAGGCCTGGCTGGAAGCTACTTTCGTAGAAGGGTCTTACTGTCAGTCTGCAGGCTGATAATTGCAAGGATTATTTTCTATGGTGCTAGCAGCGCGGTACCTGCTTTGAAGCAGAGCCTGGGGACATGCGCTCCTCTGCGGGCTTCCTAGCGGCTGAGATGGCAGCGGTGGCTGCATTCGCCTGGTCTGATATCTGCACCCTCACCATAAGCCGCACCTCGCCCTGTGGTGAGCCTGACTTGGTGCCTGCACCACATGCTGCATGGCTCAAAGATCAAAGACAAAGCTTGTGAAATCTGCTGGGTGCATCCCAAGATTGCAGGATTGCTAGAGTTCTCTGATTCAGGGCAATTAAAGAAGTAATGCTCGTCATGAAAAGGTACATCATATAGAGCAACATCATCCAGGCTTATCGTGGTGGGGCGCACTTGAGGCAGCCGAGGGATGCAGAACGTCGCCCTGGTAGTCCTTCACAAAGTGCTTGACATCCCTCAGCACCTGTTCCACACACACCTCACATAAGCACTGCATCAGCTGAAGATGAGAAGTTGAACAAAAACCGTGCACTTGTCAGAAACAGGACAGACGCATGCATCAGAATCCAACAACGTACAAGGGTTGGTACATGCAGCAACGGCAGCACTGAGTCTGAGGAACATCGGGTGAAACATGGGCTCTTGCCTGCACATCTGCAGGGAGTGTGACCAGGCGCAGCTGAGGTAGGCATGCCGTGGGATCTTCAGAGCGGCACTCACAGGGGCCGGCTGCGTTGCAGGCGCACGGAGAAGCAGTCTGCGGCTTTCCAGCAGCCGCCACTGCTGGTTTGTAGGTGCGCATGACTACGTCGAAGAGGTGCGCCAGATCGCACATCACCTGATCCCGTGCTGTCAGGCCCGCCTGAGGCAGTCGCAAGCAACGTGTGATCTCAGGGACTGCAGAAATCACGCAAACCTTTCAATGAATCCACAGCGTCAGCCACACAATGCAGTGCGCACGGCCTTCTGGACCGCAGTTCCACATGCACTGAGAGTATGCTCATATCAAACCCACAGTTGATTATTGCCAATCCCAACGTATGGGTGAGGGGTCACCTGAGGAGTGAAGCGTGCTCCAGGACTGAGGCGCCGCCAGGGGAACCACCTGACTGGGGGGGCACATCCGCCTGCAGCGGGCTGCGCTGCATAGCTGATGCGCTGGCGCTTGACGGCTGCCTCCAGCTTCAGGTTCTCTCGCCGTTTCTTCTCCGAATAGTTCACCTGGGGTGTGCCTTTTGACTCAGTGGCAGTCTAAATAAGTTGACAGCCATTGGCAGATAATTGTGATCTTGATTTCCTGGCTTACCCATATACTGTTGAAAAAGGGACCTCAAGTCTCACATGCATGCCTGGGATCAAGAACAGTCGCAAGCGGCAAATTCAAAGATTTTCAAGATTACCTGTGGTGTATGCCGGAGGCGGCTGGAAGAAGGGTTAGGCTGGGGTGCGCCAAGCAGTGAGGTGTCAACACCCGAGAGCGCCTTGTTGAGGTGCGCCGCCTTCTTTGCCCACCCCTGCATAAAAAGTCATCAGCCTAATGTTAAAAAAAATTGGAAAAATGCACAAAGTGCATAACAGACATGCCAAGTGCCCAAATGACCCATAGATCTATCAGAAGCCCACCAAAGCCAGCAAGCAGGCGCTTACATTCTTCAGTTTTAACATTATACATCAGGGCCGATAGACGTTGGAAGATAATTCTCTCACATGCACAGCATTGCCAGGCGTCTGCGCCCCATCATCCGCAGTGGCGCCAGCCAGCTTCCTGCCGTTCTTCGCCTTGCCCAGCCGGGAGCGCGGCCGCGTGCAGGCAGCAGGGATCGGCCGGGACAGGCCAGGGGATGCACCAGCCACGCCATTCTGGTCACTGGTGGGCTTAATCTTCAGCAGCACATCTGGCATTGCTCCTGCTCCTGCTGGCATGGCAGCAGCAAGAGGGCCAGGCAGCCCCTCCGCTGCTTTTAGAGCTCTTCTGAGCATGGAGCTTTGTGGGCTACGCACGCCGTTTGGGACCCTTTGCCTGTCCAGTACAACAGCAGTGCTGAGTCGTCAAGACAAATTCTTTACTGAACATATAAAACTTTCACGCTTGCTTCCACACATATTTTATTCATGCATTCTAAACTGCAAGAATGATCAGAGGATGTGGGTGACAATGTGCACCTGAGCAACGGTGTGCCGCTCGCTGCATGCATGTCGCCTTCGGGCAATGCTGCTCGAACAGGTGACTGAATGCTGCTCGGCTGAACTTTGACCAGAGGGGGCGCTGCAGGGCCAGCTTCTGAGGGGCAGGAACGTTCTTTTGCTGTCGGCTGCGGGGTCGCAGCATCTGCCAGTGCAAGGCTGAGTGAGTCTGCCGCAGGGTCAGCAGGTGTGCTGTCAGGCCGCTGTCTCTTCCGCGGCAGAAACCTGCCATTTGCAAGCCGCGGTTGCCTTTTGGCGGGAGCTTTCTGAGAGTCTCTTGCCTGCTCGGCAAGTTGCGCCTGCTGCTGCTGCTCACCGACAGCCCCCACGTGAACATCCTCACCAGGAACGATATCCACACGCTCTATTTCTGACTCTCCACACGGCCCTGCCGCTTGCAAGTCTGGCTGAGGCTCATGCGACCCCCTGGGAACAGCGGCAGCTTGCTGCAGCACATCAGGTACGGGTATGCTTCCTGCTGATGTGGTCTGCTCAGGCGCTGCACTCGTGCTGGGAGGATCTACTGCTGCATCTGATGGGTCTGCTGCAGCTGCAGAAGCTCCACTGTCAGAGCTGGGCATTGGCCCGTTGGTGCCAGCGGCACCATTAGCCTCAGCGTGCTCTGCCTCCACAGCAGCCTTAGCAGGCAAAGCAGTATGGAGCACCTTCGCTGCTTCCCCAGGCTGAGCGTCACTCCCTGCTTCTGCCTTCACCTGCCCTGTGCCCACCTCGATTTCATGTGGGTCTGGCTCTGCAACGCTGCCCTGGTTCTCTGCATCTGGGCTGCCAGCGCTGGCTACATTTTCCTCAGTCTGCCCATGGCTGTAGCTCTGCTGGAGAACAGCTAAATCCGCTGAGCCCGCGAGCTGCTCCAGGAGAAAGTACTGCTCGGGCGATGACGGGTGCATCCGCCTGCGGTGTGCACACAATTTAGTAGGGGCAATGAAACCATGTTATACTAGCAGTCTAAACTCAGCAAGCATGTTCACGCGGTGGCGCCAAACATACTCAATACAAGCAACAGCGGTGCAGGATGATGTTGGGAGTGGCTTAGGCAGAAAGGGAAGCAGGGCCGCACATGGTGATGTTGGCACCGAGCACGCTGCGATTGCCGATGGTGCCGATGACATACTCCAGCAGGCTGGCCTCTGCCACGCGCGGCTTCATTGCCTTGCGCAGCCAGCTGGCCGACATCCACTGCCCCCGCCGCTTCTGAGCATGCGCTCCAAAATACTCAGTAACAGATCCATTTCTGGCGCTTTCCCTTTCTTGGCACCTCAATCTGTATTATATTACTAGAAATAGGGGAGTTGGCCAATCAGGACGCCGTGGTGTTAACGCCCCTGACTGCATGCACATTGCCAATACCTCAATGACAGGATCATGACAGCAATATCTGCAGGACCGCAGGTGTGTTAAGACAGGTACCTGCAGGGCGGCCACGGCGGCGGCCAGTGCACTCTTGGCACGGTCACCGCTCCATCGCTTCTTCCACCACCGCCCATCCAATGGCTCCAGCACGCCCTCACTCGGCTGCAGATCTGCTGCAAGCACCGCCTGCACAACATGTTCTGCAGTGTAAAAATTTGCATTCAAAGGAGCAGAGCAAATAGCACAGTGCAGTGAACTCAAAACCGGAAAGCACGGATGCCTTACAGTAATCCCAATCAACAGACAATCCAAATTCTTGCTTGGCGGATGATGAAGGCCCCAGCGCACACCTGTGGCACTTCAGAAAGGGGAGGCGCATTGAGCGCAGCCCGCTTGGCCGGTGTACTGCTGGCGCCAGCTTCATTGCCTGCAGGGCGCTTCTTGCTGGTGCTCTTCCCCGAGGGCGGAGGCTTGTGCTGCTTGGAGGATGCTGGAGTCTTCACGGGGCTGGGAGGGTCGCGCAAAGGGGCCGGCGTTGATCCCCTGGACTCCAGAACAGGCGCTGCCTCGTCTGCATGCGACAGGAAATGCAGCAGCCGCTGCAGCACCTCTCCAAGCGTAGTCAGGGCCTTCTTGCTGCCCCCATGCGGCACCTGTAAGTCAACAAAAAAATCCCTAATAATAAAACACCAGCAACCATAGATCATCAATGTACGGTTGAAGAAATTCCTTGAGGAAGCAACTGCCTTGGCTATCACCACTTCCATGCCATTTGGTCTTGTCTGTGTTGAGTTCCTTACAAGCTTTACAAAATTCGCACCGAAGAGCGCTCGATGATGTGGGCCAGCGCAGGGTCGGAGCCTTGGAAGTCGGCCAGGACATCGGCCAGGAGAGTCTTGTGCACGGCGTCTGCCGCACGGCGCCATGCGGCGCGCGAAATGCCGAAGCCGCCGCGGCCAAAGGCGTAGCCCCAGCGCCCGTACCAGGTATTACGGAACGCCGACATGTGCAGCACGCGCAACTCCATTCCCGCCTGGACACGGGAGAGCTTTATTCCTAACAAGCAAAACTGCAGTATTCTGGCACACAACTCTCGACCATTACATGTGCTTCTTTGAGAATTGAGAAAGTTATTGCATACAGATGATCTGAGATTCAATTATTGATGGTGCTCGGCATGCAACATAGTGGGGTAAGTTGATGCAAGGTCGATTATACCGCGCTGAAAAAGCTCACCTTGTTTGAGACGTCCTCAACGCTGACCTCCCTGGCTCGCAGCAGCTCGCACAGCCGGTCCCACAGTGTCATGATCTGCCCGCCTGCAAGCATGGATATTCACGGTATTGATCAATAAATGGTTTCATCCCTACTGTTATGCACAACCCACCAACACAAGGGAGAGTGCCGCTGACTCACAATATATATTGCATAATTTCAATATGAAGAAATTAAGAGTATGCCTGTGAGTGCAGAGGAGCCGCCCTCCAAGCCGTTGATGCGCAGCAGGTGACCGAAGCCGTTGGCGTGCAGCAGGCCATGCAGCAGGTGCGTTTGTGAGTCAAAGACCGAGGTCGGCGCCGTGTAGGAGGCCGTGCAGTCATCTGCATGCGGACCAGCGGGCAGTGCCAGCAGCTTGCCACTTGTGGCAGCCAGGCCCAGGGCCACGAGCGCGGGCAGGTTGGCATGCTCCCGAGCAATTTTGGCGTCCGAGTGGGCAGGCAAGATGAAGTGGTAGCGGCGTGTGCACACTGCGTGGTGCTGCCAGCCTGGTGGATGCAAGACCGCCCTCCTTTCAGTAAGCTATTCACGCAGTTTGCCGTGGCACACCACACGAATGTGGAATGCATGAGAATTTTATTCAGGGCTGACCCAATTAGGCAGTGCACATCAAGCTGTCTTGGTAGGGTCGAAAGGCCACCTGCTCCGCGCTCTAGTCTATATTGCCATAAGGACAAGCAGAGGTGCAAATTCTGGATGAGATTGGGCACATCGGTTGAAGGAACTCCACAGTTCCAATTGCAGCAAGCCCTGGCAGGCATGTGCCAGCTGGGTGAACCTGTGCTTCACGCGGGGTGTGTGGTTTAGGAACTCACCAATGATCCTGCATGGGTCGCAGAATGAGGGCGATTGGTCATGCAATCGCTCCTCGTAGACTTGCAGCCTCACATCGCTCTGCTGGCTTCGCAGCTCCACGTTCCAGCAAGAGACGAGTGGCAGGCCCAGGTCTACAACAGGGGTCCCATACTCCTTCAAGAAGGCGCGGATGTTGTCCCGGAAAGCACCTGTGTACACTGGAGCTTGCCCTTGAATCCACGGAACCCCGGCGTCCACCCCAGGGTCCATCAAAACACACTCAAGTATGCCACTCACCAAACATTACGTCTGAACTGTTCGAGTCAAAATCTGGAATTTCCAACTCGTAACACCAATCTAAATTTATCTGAATAAATATGATTACTGGATCTCGGGATCTATCTGTGCACCAGGATTGTTGAGGACCCAAGTGTGCTCGCCCAACTTCCTTTGCTTAAGAAGCTGGGTGTTCCCTCCCTACAGAGCTGCATGCATGTTCATTCGGCACTTGGCAACGAAGGCTGCAATTTATATCGTGCTTACTGTAGATACATCTATCGATAATGAAGTAATAATATCCGAGTGTAAATTCCAGCGATGTAGCTTGCTTCCTTGTTCGAATTTTGCAGCATGATCCGACAGCGATGGCCAAAACCAAGAAGAAGAATCGGCGTAGGGACTCCGATCTAATAGATCCTGCAACGCCGGTGATTGAAAACGAAACTCACGACGAACCAGAGGCTCCAAGACACTTGATCGAGATCCTTGGTGAGCATGGAGATGTGGGTGTGCAGTGAATGTCTGCGGTGCTTTTGGGGAATAGATTACTCACGATGTCGATATTTCTCACAGGCACTCCTATCACAAGATTGACGCTCACATCAGTCCAGGACATCCAAGACAGCTGGGGAGACGCCCGTGTGGTGCTGCCTCCTGAGACGATCTATGCTGCGCATTTACAGACAAACCAACATGTCCTGGTGAGAACGAATACAAGCCCATCTACTGATGCGACGAACACAATATTACCAGCTTGGACACATTGAAACAGCAGGATGGGACCTTTGACATGGGAAGCACTGTCACAGGTTGGGACAGCGCTGCCTCCGGATGCAGAGATATCGACCAATGCAGCCCCCGCCAATGGCCTGCAGCAGAAGCAGCAGCCGCCGCTGTTACAGAGCATCTGGGGCGCGATGCCGGATACAATGGGCATTAGACCGCACCCGCGGCCGCCCCCGGGGCAGCCGGGCAGCTTCCTGGTGCCTGCGACGATCTGGCCGGGCCCACGGCTATCCAGGGACACAACTGCACTGTCCTGCAGCCTGCACAACTCCCTGGGAAGGCCGCAAGAGGGCGCCTGCGTTGTGATCTACTCCTGGCCGGATGCCACTCAGCCTCCATCAGCAGCAGCCTCTTCTCCTGCGGCAGACGGCAGCCCAGCAGGTCGTCCTGAAATTGGGCTGGCCTCCCCTGGTGCAGCAATTGGCAAAGAGGCAGAAAGGGGTCCTGAGAGAAGGCCGGTGTATCTGCGGCTCTGCAGAAACGCAGCCACTGGAGGGCCTGCTGTGGTGGACCCTGCATCACCCCTACCAGCCCCGCCCAAAGCCATGCAGGCACCGTCTCCGGCAAAGAGCACACCTGATGCCTCGCCCTGCAAGTCACCGGGAGCAGGCGGGCTGAGTGCGTTGACCCCAGGAAACGCACGCCAGCGTGGCGCAGCAGAGGAGCTTGCCCAGCGCCGCTTGGCAGGCCGCCAGCTTCTACCCGGCAACCCGGTGGTTCTGACACTGGAGGGTCAGCTGCTGCTGTTTGCTGTGGAGGGCAGCGGAGACGAAGCTTTGCATGGCAGCGAATGGGCGGGTGTCAGCATTGTCAAAGACACTGCTGTGAAGGTGTTGCTAGGAGATGAGATGCCCCCGCAACCCAAGGCGCCAGCCGCTCCTATTCCCGCTCCTCAGGTGCTTTCCTCATTGATTGCCTTTTCTTCCTCTGAACCCATATTGAAAGCTGGTTCTGGAAGGATGTGCTTGAAAACTTGAGAAAATATCTCCTCAGTAATATTATCAAAGCTTTGTGCTGCCCTTTGTGCAGGTTACTCCTGAGGCGGCAGCTGCGGCAGCTGCGAATAAAGCGCTCGGCGGAGGGCTGGAGGGCCCTGCAGCAATGGCAGCAGCGCGTGCAGCAGCTCTGGGGGCGAGGGCAGCTTGGGAGGGTTATGGCAAGCTGGGCGGTGTCTCTGAACACATAAAGGCGCTGCGAGAGCATGTCACACTGCCCCTGAAGGTACGATTGTGCTTGCCAACAATGCTGGCCCTGTATATTCTGAACAACACAAGTTGAATAATATAACATGACTATGACAAGTTTGCTGGATCACAATTTCCAAGAATGCCGTGTGCAAGCGGCGAGTTCGATAATCAGGAGACTTACAATTTTGCGGTGGGCAGGCACCCCAGCTGTTTGAGCGCCTGGGCCTGAGGCTGCCCCGGGGCGTGCTGCTGCATGGACCCCCCGGCACCGGCAAAACGGCACTGGCATGCGCTGCAGCCGCCGACGCGGGCGCCACGCTGTTTGTGCTGAACGGCCCCGACATCATAAGCGAGTATGTGGGCGAGAGTGAAATCGGGCTGCAGGTGAGAATCCCAACTTGCAACCTTGAAACAGGGCTTGTTAATGAACTTGGATATCTAAGAACATGTGTCTGGGCAGGCAGATGATTTTTGTCAAGTAAGGGGAACCTGAAAAGCTGCTCAGCTTGAAGTGGATGTTTTTCTGGTTTGCAGGGAGTGTTTGCAGCGGCCAGAGCGGCTGCGCCGGCTGTGATATTCATAGATGAGCTGGACTCGCTTGCACCGGCGCGGTCGCGCGGGGCACACAGTGCCGCTGCAGATGAGATGACTGGCCGGGTGGTCTCCACGCTCCTGGCTGCCATGGATGCAAGATCAGGTGCCAGATTTATCTTCCTGAGAGTTTATCTCTCCAGCACATGCTGATGAGCATTACTTGGAGCTTCTGTTTGCATGCGGCTATGCAAAGCTTGTAGCCCTTGGACTGCAACTAAAAGGCCATTTTTGGGTGCTCAGGTGCAGATGGGGTCATTATTGTGGCGGCATCGAATCGGGTCGACGCGGTTGACTCTGCGCTGCGGCGGCCGGGCCGCTTTGACCGCGAACTTGAAGTCAGCGTTCCCTCCCCAGCAGGCCGCCTAGAAATCCTCAGGCAAGATTTATATTTTCACCATGAATATTTAGAGTTACCATACATTCTTATATTGAAGCACTGCCCTCAGCCATCAGTTCTGCATGTCCCATGCACTTGTAATTGATGCCTTGCGTTGTAAGCTGCCTTTGTGCATACAAGGCATATGGCACATGCTCACTGTAATCTAGTAAGACAATCCTTTTGCACTGCGCAGAGTTAAGCTGGAGGATATAAACCACAACCTGTGCGAGGAAAACATCTGCGCGCTGGCCGCGTCCAGCCACGGCTACGTGGGCGCGGACCTTGCAGCGCTGTGCCAGGAGGCCGCCATGTGCGCGGTGCGGAGAGTGGTGCGGCATCGGCAGCAGGGCAGCGCTTCCGTTAGGGAGATTCCCCTCCCAGTGCAACCGGATCCTGATGCTCCTCCACCCGACCTCCTCAAGGTGTGCAACTAACTCTGTGGGATTGTTGCTTTGTATATCATGCTAGCATGAAAGTCGTGGCCACACTGGAGGCCAGAAGGAGTGGCAACGCCTATTGGCTCTTGATAGGGAGAGCTGCTTGCTCTGAAGGCCGGTGCTGCGGCGAGGTAAAACGAGTGAAAAAGGCACATGGCATCTAGGCGATTGAAGCTGTTTCTTGTGAATGAAGAGAAGCGTAAAGGAGGCTAAAAAATCTGCCTCCATCAGGTGACCCCGTTGGACTTCCGGGCGGCGCAGACGCGGGTGCGGCCGAGCGGCATGCGCGAGGTGGCACTGGAGCTGCCCAGCGTGACCTGGGCGGACGTGGGCGGCCACGCGGCCATAAAGCAGCGCCTGAAGGAGGCCGTCGAGTGGCCGCAGAAGCACCCCGAGATGCTCGCCCGCATGGGAGCCAAGGTTGGGCTTGCTTTTCTTTTACAATTTATTTTAGAATGATGAGTCCCTGATGCCCGACCGAAAGTTACAATGTTGCATGCATCCATTTGTATCCACACTTGCAATTACATGTCAGCAGAAAAGGACACTTTTGAAAATATCCACGATTAAGGTCATGATTTATTGAGTTGCAAGAAGCGATGTTGGCATGCCATGACAGGCACCCAGAGGAGTGTTGCTGTACGGGCCGCCCGGCTGCAGCAAGACTCTGCTGGCACGAGCGGTGGCCAGCGAGTCTGGCCTGAACTTCCTGGCGGTGAAGGGCTCCGAGCTGTTTTCCATGTATGTGGGAGAGAGCGAGAAGGCCGTGGTCACCCTCTTCTCCAGGTGGGAACTGCTCCTCCAGCAGCAGAATTACCACTGACGCAGGAGTAATGGTGGTTACTGTCTCTTGATCTCAACCACTGAGCACCATGGCCACGGTTGATTGGGTCTTGCTTGGATGTGGCGAGTCCATCAAGGGGTAGGATTTTGGCAGCCTGTGAGTGCAGCTTGTCTGCAGGACGTCCCCTGCCTCTGGCAGGAAAATCGTGTAATGATTGCTTTATAATATTCCTGCAAAAAAACAACCCCACATTTACTTTATTACACACTTTTCCTGCCATAATTACTTTTCCTGCCAATAAAACATTTAACGTTTTTTATGTGCCTGCAGAATGATGCATGCAAATGCAGAATTTACCTTTCATAATGTAATGTGTGGCAGGGCTCGTGCAGCGGCGCCTTCCATCATTTTCCTGGATGAGGTGGATGGCCTGGCAGCTGCGCGAAGTGAGCACAGGTCTGAGAGCGGCGGCCCAAGCGTCAGCGACCGAGTCCTCAGCCAGTTGCTGGTGGAGATGGATGGCATCCAGGCAAGCCTCACCACACATCCATTTCTTGGACCGCTCTTCTGCTGCGCAAGTTCCTACTGGCAAGAGTGCCAACGTTAGAAGAACATCATCAGTAACCAACCCCTAAAGCCAAACTTGAATTAATAGCAAGTTGTTCTGTACAGGATTTAGGGTTTGGCTAAACCCTAACCCCTGAAAGGTTCTAATATGCACAGAAAAGAGCTGCTGCTTGCTTGCTTGTGAGTAGCAGGCTGGCCCATGCTTGGCAGTACTATCAGGCACAGATTAATCAGCATGGGGCTAAATTTGCCCAGCTTTGCAGGCGCGCGGCGATGTGGTGGTGATAGCAGCCACGAATCGGCCAGACTTGGTGGACGCTGCCCTGCTGCGGCCGGGCCGCTTTGACTCGCGCCTCTATGTGCCGCCTCCAAAGGACTCTGCCGACCGCGCATCAGTCCTCGCCGTTTTGACGCGGGCCACACCGCTGGCGGCAGATGTTGAACTGGAGGCGCTTGCAGACTTTACTCCCGGGTAAGATGCTTCATGCAGCAGGCACCAGCTGTTTGCACGGAACAATTGCCAGAAGGCACCAGTGAGGTGTAAAGCATCTGTCTGTGAAATGATTAGGCTCAATTTTAGATTGTGCCCATTCCTCAGACATGCAACATGCTCCGGGCATCTAAAGGATCCGGGCATTTCAAGAAAATTGCGCATGTCACACAGGTACACAGGGGCGGACTTGAGCGCTCTTGTGCGTGAGGCATCCATGAAAGCTTTGCAGGAGGACATCGACACGACAGAGGTTGCAATGAGGCACTTCTCTGCAGCTTTGCTCGAAATCACACCCAGCCCATGCGTATCTGGGGTAGAGCTTGATATGTATGGGAGGTTCCAACAAGGAATTCAATGATGACTTTGCTCTGGTTCTTCTACTGATTTAGCAAGAGACTGAAATTTGATGTGGAAAGTTGAAAGCTGCAGCCTGCAAGATGGTGGCTAGATTTGTGACGGTGGCTAGATTTGTGACGTTGACTGACCAATGTTGGTAATAAATTTGTTGCATTGGTACAAATTGGCAGATTTGGACAAGTCTTACAATTTTGAATGCACTAAGGTCCTTTGCTTATCGCATTCTTGAACCCAATGTTGCTACCTGCAACTTAGGCCTAGAAGGCTGCATTTGTCATCTACCCTACCCCCCCTCTGACTTGGTCTACAAGGCTAGGGCCCAACTCCAAGCTCAACAAGTCCATCCGGATCCTATTCCCGGCGTTGACTCTCTAATGTATTTCAAAGAAATTGGCCTAACGGGCTGTCTTGGAACAGCTAGATATCAAGGCATTCCCACCACGCCATTCTTGTAGCTACTCAAAAATAGAAAAATGCTTGGCAAACCCCACGCTAAAAACCCGCAGAAAGACATGGGAACCACCGAATAAGGCTACATCTAAAAAGCAATAGGAAGTGTCACTGCCACACGAGCAGGAAAAAATAGAGGACAGGTACAAGCCATGATGGTAAAGGTGTCTTGGAGCAGGCGGTCTTCATTTCCACCAGCTGCTGTAACATACTACATGTCCAGCAGCCAGCAGGAAATACAATGTCTGCTTAGTTTCATTTCTGATGATTTGTCTAATTATGCCTCTGTGTGTTCACCAAATGCTTGGTTTGGAAGGTTCCACCTAATTTGAGCTGCACGAGAGACGCGTGCGAGCCCCTCAGGTTTGGCCCATCATCTTCTGACAAGCACATTTTGCAACACTGCTCAAACAGCGTGATCATTCTTGTGTAGCTTCGCCTAGAGCTCCGACTGATGCTGCGGGCGGAGGTGGGCCCGGAGCTCCATCGACTTGAAGGCCTCATAGGAGGACATGAGGATCGCGTATGCGCAGCCGGCGCGCACACTGCGCGGTCCTGCGCCAGTGAAAAGAGCGCGCATGCCGCCACGTGCCGTAATCTCCCGAAGAGACTGCGCCATGCCCTTGGGCATCGGCGCCGTCTGCACATGAGTCTTGGCCACGTCGAGGGGCGTCGTCACACCCGCTGCCACTGCCGCCGCGGCAAAGCCCGCTGTAGCATTCGCAAAGAACACCTGCAAAGCCCACTCAGGCTCAGAGGATGAATCGTGGACATTACGCAGCCCCTTGATGATGACCAACTTACCAAAAAAATATACGTTTAGCATCCTAAGCATAGATTAAAGGAAGCATGTCATATTGCAGTATCGTGTTACACGGCATGGAGGAATTCGCCAGCATATCCATTAACCACAACCACATGCCCAGCATCGCATGTGCAGCGTCATCGCTTACAAGGTGACAGCATGGGAGGCTTACCTGACTGCGAGGTGGCGCCTCCTGGCTTGTGTTCTGCAGCAGCAGCGCTCGCATTGGTTCCATGAGCGTCCAGTACCCGGCTGCAAAGGGCACGTCCTTGGCCAGAGTCACGCCCATGCCTCGCCACAGCCCCCGCAGCTTCAGCAGTCCCTTGCCCTGCAGCAGATTTGACTCAGCAATGGGCTCATCGAATTGCCCCATCACAATGTTACGACCACCTCATCTCGGCTTGCAGACCTCATCTCAAACGGGGAACACAAAGCAATGACTTAACATGCTGAATTGCCCCTTTGTATCGTTTAGAGCAGGAATGCAGAGTATCAGACTGTATAAAGTTGCAAGGTTGGCAGGGGCAAGTTTTCTGGGTTATTAGGAAGGGGGGAAGGATCAAGTGCGCACCTGGCCCTCGCTGTGTATCTGCCGCAAAACTTGCGCAAGCTGCTGGGGATAGGATGTGTTCGCGGCTGCGCCAGGGCCGCCTTGCACGCGCACTCGGAACAGCTCCAGGGGCTGAATCACAAATGCTGTTGCTGTCCGCGCCACTGCCCCTGCCACAAAGGGCGCAGCTTCCATGCCTGCAGAGCAACAAGTGAATCACTGTGAAATTTTGCGCCAGAGGTATGCTGTGCGCAATTTCCGGCAAGGCCTTGAATACTCACTGAAAGGCTGACATTACAGAATCCTCAGTGGTGGCCATTGCTCAACAGCCTCAGCATTTACCTCAATGCAAGGATACCCTTGTGCTTCTGGAGGAAATGCAGCACACGGACATGCAGCAACACACAAGCTTACTTTGCGGCAACAAGAGGGACACACCTGCGTTCTGGCAGCGCTGCAAGAGGGAGTCATAGAGCGGGAAGTACATGGCCACCATGGGAACGGCCACAAGTAGTGACAGATCTGTGCCTCGCCAGAGCACGCCAGGCCCCTCATTCCTGGCTATTCTCATGAGCCCATCCAATGCAGACCTGTGCAGACAGGAAAGATAGATATTAGGAGCAACAATCTTCAAATGCAGGTGCATGAAAGTGTATGGGGCACCTCTCGTGCCCCAGTAGGAGGGTTGTGTCAGTGACAGCAGCATGGCACAGGGAGCGTGGAGAATGTATTGACGTGCCTGTAAGCCGGAGATGGTTGTAGGCTTGTAGATGCTGCCGCACCAGAGTGCCCTCGCCAGGCATCCCTTGTTTGCCTGCACATGGGAAGAGGGCATCTGATAAGGGTCATGAAGACTGACAAAGGTAAGCAAAGCCTCGTTGGCCCTGCAAACGGAAGCATCTGTACTTCAGGAATGGCTCGTGCACCATCAGGGCGACAGCACGGCCGAAATGCACGCGATGTGTCGAAACGCACCCGGATGTCGTGGATAGCGTAAGGGCGGTGTATGCGAGAGATCGCGAAGCCGCAGAGGTCGGGTGCAGAGCTGCCTGCATCCTCGTCTGCGTGCACGCTCCATTTCAGTAAACATCCAAGCGGTCCGTGGAAAGCTATCAGCCCGGCCCTTGGTTTCCCGCTATTAGATACAACTAGCTTCCAAATAGCATCACGGCACTATACGTAAGGCCATCTGCTCGCGCCAGGATGCCGCATCGCACCTTGACAAGCTCCAATGGGTTGGCCACCAAGGTAGAGATGACTGCTGCAGAGCCGGCGGCCATCCCCTTCTCCCACATGTCCAATTGCCCAGGCATCTCGCACTGCTCTGCCATTATAATGCAGCAGGCTTTACGCAGCTGGTGACCTGTTTGAGGTCCGCCAAGCTGTCATACACAGAGCCCTGCAGATGAGGTGCTGATCTACGTTAATTTATCGCTCTACAGGTGAATTTGCATTTGTCTGAAATGTGGGGCGCTCCAACTGGGCCACATGGGCGGATCTCGGCACGTGCGCAAATTCAATAAATCTGACTTGTGGGGCTGTCAGGGAGTGGGCCAGTTGTGCCCTGTTCAAGGCATGCCTGCACTCAATTCTGGCGCTAGACATTTCAGGGAGATTGCAGAACACTCTCAGGGTGCACGTCAGTCTGGACACAGCATGCAGTACTTGCCCTTGCCCTGGGCTGCAGCTGCCCTTGCAAGGCCCCCGAACTCGGACTCCGGACTACTAATGTTGCAAGAAACATTTACAAAAGCGCCCAAGACCACGCTGAATCATGCAGACACACATTCACATGCCAGGACATTTCTTTGATAATTTCCAATCGTGGTACAGCACACCGTCTTGGAAAGCTTTTGCTCACTGACACTCTTGTCCACGATGTAAAATCTTAAAACGGCTTCCTGAGAACTCAAAAGAATGCCGATGCGCATTCCTTCAACGAAGAAGTCTCACCCCTAGCGCTCCTCGCACTCAACAACTGGTTGCCAAAGTAAAAGACAGACAGGTGCAGAGCCACAACACCACCAATGGCTGGCACAACATACAAACTTGTAAAAACACAAACATTTTCTCTCCTCTCGGAATGTTGGCATGCCATTAATGCTCCCTCAGTCCTTATGCAGAGTCATTCTTCTGGCACAAAACGATCTTTCCGGGCGCCTGTGAGCAGGCGTGCCAGGATCTGCCCGTAGGCTTTGCTCTTGGTCAGATATTTGATGTATGACCCCTGCCCAATAGCACCTCCCAGGGTGCGCGAGTCGAGGGGCACGCGCCGAATGCGCGGCACCAGATAGGCCGCCACTTCCTCTGGCGGATCTGCTAAGCAGTTGATGAAGAACTTTGCCGTCGCTGTGTCTGCACCTGCAATTGTCCCACCCAATCTTATAGGAACATCTTTCCAATGCTGAGCAGTATCTGAATAAGCAGGTTCAAGTGGTGATAGCTGTAGAGGCACAGGAGTCCAGTGACACATGTCTGAAGCATGAGACATCTAGACACAAGGCTGTACATCAGTTTAGCAGGGCACACCTGCCATCAGGAGATCAGTGGTGACCATGCCAGGGGATAGATTGTGGATGCCCACATTGTTGATATTCAGCATCTTCAACTCAGCCTGTGACACAGCAGAAGAACTCGGCATGCAAGAACCAAAGTCCTGTGGTCACATGATAAAACCAGCTCATCAAACTGCTAATTGAGGGCAGGGCAATGGTGCGCGGACATAAATGTATGACTTGAGCTCTATGCACAATTTCAGTTGCACCGCCCAAAACATGCAGGGTCTGTGACATGCCCTAAAATGCCATGCATTCTTTCTGCACAGGGCACAGCCTGGGCCTCCGCGCCGCACTGTAGGGTGCCAAACAAACTCAGGTGCAAGTTTCGGGGAGCACACCTGCAGGGATTTGCTGAGCTGCATGAGGCCGCGCTTAGTCGCGCCATAGGCAGCAAATCGCGGCGTCGCGCCGCCATCCGCGCCGGCACCGTCCATGTTGAAGATGTGGCCCCCGGCGCGCTGATCCCTCATCACCCTTATGGCCTTTGCATTCATGCAGAAAGAGCCCTCAGCAGCTATACCGAAGGGATGCCAGCTGTTTGAACCTGGGGCCTCAGCAATTTGAAACATGCTTTTAGAGTCCCAGCCACACCGTAGACATAGTGCATTACGGCCCTTGCATGCAGGGCATTTTCGATAAGATGACTGCTGCTTATCAAGCGCAGGACTTTTAAGGCTTGAGGGAAGGTTAAGGATTGAGAGGAAAATATAAGAACATGTGGCTGACCTCTTTGCAGCCCAGCATGGTCCCCAGCACATTGGTTTCCACGATGTTGATGAGATCCGCATCTGAGCTTTCTGCCAAGGTCTTGTACTTGTACCCGTTGCTGCCTGCGTTGTTGATCCTGTGCAACGCCACATTTCATGAGGCACCACAGCAAAAAGATTCCATCTTGCATATCCTTGCGTTGCACAAAAACTTTGTCAGCAGAGTCTCTGCTATCAAATTGTAACGGCACGGAGAGGACCTGAAGTGGATCGATGGAAGAGAAACTGATGTTGCACAATTAGTCACATGGTCTAAAGAGGCTCACCACAAATCTACAGTCCCAAGCGTGTCCCTCGCATAGTTGGCAAAGGAAGCCACATCTCCAGGCTTTGCCATATTGCAGACCTTCCCCTGCAGTGCGCACAGAATTTGTCACCAAAAGGTGCTGCCTATCTGTGATGGATGGCAGCCAGAGAAAGGGTGCGAAGCGGTGAATGAGTCACGCATCGACTCTGCACCACCTTTATCCTTCCAGCACCCTCCTCAGCCTTTGAAAATCCGTCCAGCTCCCTCACAGTTCCATTCACTCTGTCGCCTGCAGTTCAACACAGAGTGCCACATGAGCACGGCAGGTATGCTTATGACTAAAGACATCAGCGGTAGATTGTGGCCCCATGTCAAGGGGAATTTCCCATACGGTAGCTTGAATGGCGCATGTGAATTGATGATAACGGCAAAGGGCGGCCCCGCCAAGAACGCACTGTCTCTGGAGCATATGACAACGCTGTCCCCAGCCCTGAGAAACTCCTTTGCAAGGGCGCGCCCAACACCTGTGCAGGGATCAGTCCAGTCACGGGTGTGCAACGGTGCAAAGCGAGTGCAGACCTGTATCTTTTATGGCATTGAAGCGGTGGAGGTGCACACCTTTTGTGCCACCAGTGATGACCACGTTGTAGGGCGGCTGCAGGTCCTTCCCAGATCTGCTCACCCCTATTCCAGTGCTGGGCGCCTCGACCTGCCTCATATACACACCTGCAAGATTGCCTTTATAAGTAGTTGGGCTCCTTTTTTCGGTGTCTTGCCATTGATATTAGGCATTTCAAATGATGACATTCATGACTATTGATCTACGCAGCTCATGCCCTCAAGATCGATCGGAAGGAAGACTGTGAATGTACCTTGGTAGAGGCCCTTTCTTCTCCTCTTCGGAAGTGGGCACGCGCACAACTCCTTACATCGTGGGATGTTGCCAAATTGGAGTGCCCTATCCATGATACCACTTCTTTTGCCGGACGAGTACGGTGCTCACTGTTGATGCAAAAGAATGAAGAATCTTAACAGGGCTGACAGAAGTAATGATCGTGCACTTGTATCGACAACTAGATAACATTAATTTTCAAAGGTAACGTAGAGATTCTTGCACTTCATCAAGCCTTCGCAATAGAGAAAAAAAATTTGCATGATAAGATTGCAGAATTGTGTTCTGCCAGAGTCCAACGTTGACCCGCCAATCCCCAACCTGTTATCAAGCGTCACCATAACGTTCCTTATCGGCTGACGTCTTCATTCCATTTTGTCAGGAAGTGCATGTGTGGTTGGTGAGTTGATGAAGGTAAACCCAGTGCAATGTGCGGCGGTCCGGGGCGGTGCCCGTCCTCATCGCAGTAGCCAGCATCGTTTATTCTCTGTGGCATATTGAGCACTCTTTCTGAAATTCTGAGAATTAATATATGAAACCTCTCGATGCGCAAGCATCTGGATGAGTCCCAAGTGCCATGTAGCCTTTCCAGGCCGAACAGCAACAACCTATGCTCCTAGCTTTTCCCTCGATATCTCAGTAAGCGGACCGCCATAAGGCACGCATTGTCGCATAAGAAGCCTTAAGATGAATTTGAATCGCTGTTGGCACATAGCAGCAGCTTCGGTGCTTCTCATGCTGGGGACACCCAGCATAGAAGGGCGTCCAGCACTCTCCTTGGTGCGTCACAACTACTGGCTCCTTGCACGCTGAACGGTTTTTTGGGGTCTCAACAGAATCCCTCATTTTTATCACACACCTGGGCATCAAAGAAAGCAATGTAGTCTGTCATCCGGTGTCCAGCATATGGCGCTCAAATTTAGACATTTATGTCTGCATGCAACAGGCACAGCCCGTTCACAATATTCCGCAAAGCTTGAGAGCGGCAAAGAGGGATCTTCCGATGAGAAATGGGGCAGCTCTGGGGTTGGGCCAAGTCTGTAGCCCCGCGTCTGCTTGCGTGGCAAATGCAGCTTGCATCAATAGTTTTTGTGTCTGCCAGAGTCCCCTCATTGAACATGATGGCCAGGTGCGACCTTCCCCATCCCCTGTGTTGTCAAGTACAAAGTGCCATAATCTTTAATGTGGTAGTCCTGTTCATAGCAGGAAGCCAGTTGGTGCACCTTTGCTTGAGTGCCGCAATCTCGATCATTTTCTGACATGTCACAATGGTGCTGACATCTGTCAAGAACAGTGTTCATGCTGACATCAGTCAAAAAAATTGTGCGTGCCTCACAAAGAATGGTCATGCAGTGCATAACAAACTCTGGCGCCAGCCTGCCGCCCAGCAAGCAGCAGAGCCGAAGGCATCTCAATGATGACTCTCCTGTCCCGGAAGCCACTTCTGGCACAAGCCCGTCACCAACAGACTCCAATTCACCATCGAGCACAACATCAAGCGATGGCACCGGCCTAGTCACCTCTGTCACTGGTGGTACAGCCACAGCTGCTACTAGCACTTTGGCAGGCAGCTCTGCAGGCGGGTCAACACCGCTGGGAAATGTGGTCCTTGGGTCACAGCAGTCGGGGATTGTGAGCACCAATCTAGGGGGAAGTGGGGGGTCTTTGGGGGGACTGCTGGCCACCTCAAACATCTATGTGGGCTCCAAAGTGAGCCAGGCGGATCTGAATACCTTCCTATCAAAACTGTCGGGCGGCTCTGGCGTCACAGTGACCCCTACTAGTCAGGTGGTGACCCAAGGCCCGCCCTACGGGCAGGCAGGATCGTTCCCAGGCAGATGACAGCCTGATTAGAGATGCATTGCAGTGGCTGATTTAATGTCAGAACTGATGCATTCTACCGGTCTTAAAATGCATTGTCACAGCGCCCTTGGGATATCAACCTTTCGGGCGCATGCCGACTGTGCTTTTGTTTTGTTCTGCTCTTCAGTCAGGAATTCCCTGTTCAGAGATACTGTCAACAGAACCTTTACAACACATCCTACTGAAGCTTTTTCCCGCAGTTGTTTTTTGTCAGACATGTTTGCTTTGGATCAGTCAGGTAGTGCAGCTATTGGCGTTGTAGTGTGGAGTGATACAGCTGTATTACTCAGACACTTGATATTGATATGCCAATTGATGTCTGCCTGGTGTGATCTGTGTTGGTGTCTCTGCCTCTCTTCTTCCAATTCAAACAATATGACAGCGCTCTTAATCAAGCATGCTTGTGGCCTTTGCAACTTTGCTTCTATTTGTAATGCTGATGGATACCTTCTGGATGCTGCTTGACCCAATCTGGGCTTCTTGATCTTCACTTTGGAAGCAAGGGAGGTCTGCAATTTCCTTGGACATGGCTCAGAAATTAGAGTCTGACCAGAAGATGGCCAGCCATGCATTTCTCGGAAGTGCTCAGCAAAATTGCGGCCGAAATCAAATAATGCAACGAAAACATCTCTTATGACACCTTACTGCAATAGCTGGGCGCTTTCACGGTCTTGGGTGTTGAGACCTTCAGCCCAACATCGAGCCTCCTGCATCGTGAAAAGGTACCACCACCTTCAGTCATTGTTTACACATCTGCATTGGATGAGATGGATTGAAGATTAATATTTTTTTCGTGATGCAGGCATTACAGGAGGACTGCAAGTTCTGCAACAGACGGTCAATCCCAGGACGCGTTCCTTGCAGAAGATCTTCAGGCTGGCTCAAAGTATGTCTCTTTTGAGTTTTGATTTTTACATGTCTGTAAGGAATTAGATTGACCGTAATTTTCGTCCCTCAAGTGAGCAGCCACCAAGTTAGACACATCGATCTGTGGGTGATCTGAGGGCAACTGAGAAACATTTGGCTGGCTCCTGCAGGACCAGCTGGCTGCGAAAGGACCTCAGCGTTGTCCTGGTAAACCCGCAGATTCCTCAGAACACAGGTGCGGGGCAAAGGCCTCTGCCAATGCCTGGTGGCTCACACCTGGACCAAGACGTCTTCCAGTGACATTAGATTCCATGCGTGCACTGCACTCCGTAAGTAACGGGCTGCAGCTTTGGAGGTGATTCCTTGCGGTGTGGGGAGCAGGGACAATTGCCAGGACTTGTGCAGCGACTGGAGTGGGGCTTCATCTGGTGGGACCTTTGGGCTATGAGATAGACAACAGCCGCCTGAAACGTGCTGGGCTTGACTACTGGCCATATGTGACCGTCAAAGTACACACCTCCTGGCAGGCATGCTCCCTGTCACAATGAGCCGCAGCCCTACTTGTCAGCCTCACATGCATTATTCTGAATAATTTATTCACCTCAGGATTCTTCCAGTTTCTATTTGAGCACCAGTTTTGCGGGGTGCGATACAGTGGAACCCAGCAAGAGCAGTCACCCTGACAGTGAGAATTGTTCGGATGGCATTTGCAGGAGTTTCACTCCTTCTGGTCAGGGCAGCAGGGTCCAAAGAGGCTGCTGGCATTCAGCAAAGCCGGTTCATGTCATTATGCAACACCAGGTCAGTATGACACCTACAAGCCCGCATTTATACTGCCTTCCTGGCCAATCTGTCCCATTTTGTTAATGTCGACCATGAGCTTTGGTGTCTGTGCAGGCCTGTATCAGTCAGGTGACTGGCTGCTTTTTGGCGCAGAAACAACTGGCCTGCCTCAAGAGGTGGGGCCCTTTTGTGGCACACATATGTCTGGATTACAAGAAGCGTCAAAAAGCATGCCCAGGCATTTTCCTGTTTCTGAGTATGCGCCTACTCTGGAAATGAGGCGCTTGCGCTTTTCCCTCCAGGTGTATGACTCGCTGGAGCAGAGTGGTGGAGTTGTTGTGAGAGTCCCAATTGTGGAGACCCATGTCCGCTCCCTGAACCTGGCCGTCTCACAAGGCATCGGCCTGTATGAGGCAATGCGTCAGATTGATGGGCCTCCAGGGGTGCAGGATGGCTCTCACTAGCACCGCAAGCAGATCCCCTGATCGCTGCTATAAGGAGATGCGACTCTTTGCTGAATATCGACCGTTGAACTTTACAATCAAAAATCTACAAAGACCAGCAATTGATGGTCAGCTCTTGAGATTGTGCGCTGAAGCGGCGCATATCCAAGTGTAAAGTCTTGAGACATTAAATTTTATTTTTATTAACAGTACATAGCCAATGAATCCGAAGGTAAAGCACAACAAACACATGCAAGTCACAATGCTGTACACACTTGTGTGTGCACAGTGTGTTTGACCCCAGCAAAAAGCATTCAATTGAGCAAATGTGATACAACAGGCCAGCTGTATTGGATTTGGATCCTTCCTTATACTGATAAGAGCTCATCTGCAACGAGTAATGGTACACTACAGGTATGGTGTTTGGAAAGTTTGAGCTCAGTAGCAAGATACTCTCGAGTGTCAACATTTGCAGTCGAAGGGCGTTCAAATCAAAGACGCGCACTAAGGCTCATCAGGCCACTGAACCCCAACTTCACCAGACCTGCCACGCCCTCCTCTAATGTCAGATCCTTGGGCCGCTGCAGCTCTGCCAAACCAGGCACCTGCAAAATTGCACAGCGGAGTCCAGTCAAACAGATTGCAATGACAGCGCGCACAGATGGTTCTCCAAGGGGAACAGAGCCGCGCCAGAGAGCATCACAAGCGGAGACCTGCAGCTTCAGTACAAGGTGGGTCACAACTTTCAGATGAGATTGCATGCAGCTCCACGTGCTACTAACTGGACTGTGTGATTGTCTTTCTTGTCTGCAGCATCACGAAGCTTTTCGGGGCAAACTCCTAGATATTGCGACAGGCTAGCCGCAAGGAGTGCCATGCGCATGCACGCCCCGTAATCGGCATGTGGCATTCTGGAAATGGCAGCTCAACAAGGGCGCCTGCCTTGACAGAGCCGGCGCAGCGCGGCTGATCGCGCAGAGCGCGCAGCGCCTCTCGCAGCGGTGCTGCGGCTTCTGTGTCGGCCGCTCCGGATGCGCGCAGCTCGCGAAGCTGGTCATTGTACTGCTCATTCAGCGCATCCGCCACACCCCCTGCAGTAGTATGGAGCCAGGGTTCACACCAAGATCAGTATATCCGGAATACCGGAATACACCCAACAGACAACACAGCTGGCCCTGAAGCTGGTCTTTGCAGGAGGAGACACAGTTGCGGTGGTTTTGCAACATGTCCCTACATTGAGGGGTTGTGTAACGTGTGCTCAGGGGTTATATAGGAGAGGAAGGCCTCGCTGACAACTCCTTCCTCTCTTATAATGTTGTCTGTACGCACAGTTGCAAGTATTCTTGCCCCTTTCCTCACAATCTGTGATTCATGAATACGTGTAGGACGTCCATCTGATATTATAATGGTAAAATCAGTACCTTTGACGGCATCGCTGAGTCCCCGCGGCAGCACGGCACTGAACGCGCCCAGCGCTGCGCCGCTGGCACTGACTAACGGCGACATGAGCGAGGGGCGCGTGCGGTACTGCACCGCCATCTGCTTCAACTGCTCCAGCAGCTCCTTCTCTGTTTCCTGTAAGTTTCATAAGAACACTCCTGTCTGTCCAAAGAAATTTTTTCTGCAATGTGATCCCTGTGCATATCCTGAGACAGTCCTTTCAAAGAATTCCTTCCCGCTGTATCGTTGCAAGTGCAAGGTTCAGTCTTGGTTGGCATGGGCTACTCTGCAATCTATGAGCAGCTTTGATGAGCTACTTGCCTGGAAGTACTGGAGGTCTGGTCTTTGGCCCCCAGCTTTGCTTTGTACTGCAAACATGCGCACTGCCGCTGCCTCCGAGGCCAAGTCAGCTCTCAGGATTTTGCTGATCAGTCTGTTGCGCCTCGGATTTTTGTTCTGCCTTCTCAGGGGTTCCTCAGCGGCAATGCCTGCACTATTACTTTTGTTGATACTGTCCCCAGCAGCACTACCTAGGCTTGGGGTTGTTTTTGATGAGACTGCATTCCCCTGACTGTCCATAGTGAGTGCTGACCCTGCCCTCACAGAATGGAGCTGGACGGGCGAGCTGTTGACCGCTGCTTTCGAGGGCGGATGCAGCTGTGATGTCTCCGTAATGTACACAGGAATGGTCTGCTGAGACATGGCACCACTTCTGAGACCTCGCTGCACATCATCGTGGTAGTAAGGCTCCAAGATGTCCTGGCAGAACATCTGCACCCCATTCGAGAGACGCGGATAACCCTGCTTCAAGAAGTGACGCGACACATTGCAGAGTATCATTGCCATATGCCTGAAGGTGTCCAAAGCGGATGCTATAATAGAGCTCTCTTCTACTGTTCTACTTCAGCCATAACTTCCCCGTTTCACAGATTAATGACGAGCACATCCAGGTGCACCGTGTTGTTTCGATTCAATTGGCTTCGATTGCTTCAAAGGTTTGAATACTGATCCTGATGGGCCTTCTTGGCGGGTTTGCATCCTAGAGTACACCTCCACTCGCATAGCTTCCCCACACTCGAGAGCTGCTCCCACGAGCGGCCACGTCGATTTCCAGCTTCTCCTTGCGATATGAATATGAAACCGTCGCAATCCTTTAGGCCGCCCTCGTTTAGAGCTTGCTGCACCTGCTGGTTCTCACTAAAACCTCTATAAAATTCAGTTGACGAATCAGTACTATACGAACACCTTTTGACTCCATCACCGCTACTTCAAGGACAAGGCAATGACTGCAAATATGATTGCTCTTCCCACGGCGGGCGCTTTTGGACGCACGGACAGGCACGCTCAGTTCTCAGGTCGACAATTGTCGGGACTGAGGTCGCTTCCAGCGCCATACAGATCGCGCGGCAGGACGGTCTTGCCGGCTATCAGAGCGTCCGATGACAAGGTAGCTGCTGCGCAATCCTCGACGAAGTCCCCATCAGTTGCTGAGAAATGGCTATGAGAAATCTACCATTACCTATATGCGCAGAATGCAGAACCATACATGGTCATGTGTGGTATAAGAGCAGATGACCATTCCTCTCTGAGCCGATATCTGCAAATGACATTGCCTGTTTCCAATATATCAGGGCAACACAGCAACCAAGGACACTCCCGTGGAGTCGATCAATGAGATGAGCACTGCAAAGCTTAACGAGGTCATTCAGGACCTGCCTGCAGAGCAGCAGAAGGCGCTGTCACAGCTGTACCTTTTCCTCGTTCAGGTGTGCCATATGCTGCACTTTGTAGCCTTGCAATCCCTGTCTAAATTCTGTTTTTCTTGCTAGGACGGCTCCAATTATGTAAGGGGTCTTTTGACACCCCCGCTGAGGATGAGACGGGGGTGGATGCATGTGGTTTTGCAGCTCAATTGGATCTGTGGGGTCCTCTAGAAAAATGAACCCATGCAATAGCAGTGAGATGCATATTTTGCTGTGCAGAACCCAAGTCACAATATCCGCATCCGCGGCTGGGCCGATGTGCAGCGCGCAATCGCAGAGGACTACCAGGTGAGAGCCTCCAACTCCTGAACAAAGTAAAGAAGCTTGCGCCCTCAATCAAGGGCACAAAGTGCATTGTGCGATTGAGCAACTATCCGATGAAAAGTAGTGTTCTGGTAGTGGTGAAAACTAATTGCTTCTACTGTTTGTGCCGTCAAATGCCATGCGCATGGTTCGCTTGTACCCCCGGCATTTGGAGCAAGACCGCTTTACTGATCATTGTGCTTTGCATGCAGGTTCTGGTCTGGCGCCCTGCTGAGCTGCTGAATGGCCGCCTTGCCAGTGCGTCTCAGCTCACTTCTGTGCCCTTGTACCCCTTGGACCTTGTCATTCTTGCCTTGTCTATCAAGTTGAGGATATCCACTGCACTATTCTCAGCGCACGGACAACAATAATGCTGAGCCATATTTCTGTGGGGAGCAGTGATTGGCTTCACTCTGGGCGCCATCACCCAGGCACGCACAGGCATCAGTGTGTGGGGCCAGCTCAACGCGCTGCCTTTCGCCTACCTGCTCGCATACGGCCTCGTTGTCACTGGAGGACTCCTAAACCAGTGAGTATATCTTAATCACCACAGTCAGGCAGCCATAAACTGCGTATTGTCAAAAGTAGACTAACTTAGCACAACTGCACTGCGTGTCTGAAGGGTAATCAGCGTCCTGCATTCTGTCTTCATCCATGCTACTACTGCTACAACATCTCAACTCACATTTCTGTAAAAGGTATTAGTGATGTGATGATGTCTATGTGCAGTGCAAACGCAAAGATTATGCTGATTCCTGACCTTGATGACGTGCATGCCACAGGACGTTTGGCAGGCCGAAGGAGGGCATCAGCCTTGGTCCCATCAAGTTCAGCCAGCGCGCAGAGCTGCTGAACGCCCGCATGGCCATGGTTGGATATGCAATCCTGGCCTATGTCGGCTACAACCAGGTGAGCTGTGCACTTTCTCCTTGATGAGCAGTGTTTCATTTTTTTTGCTTTCAAATTTGCTTCAAAACAAACACATGCATACATCCTTCCAATTGCCTTTAGCAGCTGACACTTTAGCTGCTAAAGTGGAGTGTTTTACTAAAAGCCATGGAAAAGATACTGTTGCACATTGCTTCTCCTCTCTGTTTCATTCAGCATTGATGACTCTCATTGCAAGAGGATATAGGTGTAGGGGAACAAGGAGAGACTCTGCCTCATTCTCGACCTGCTCAAAACTGGATTTGGCCCTAAAAATGGATGTGGCCCTTTTTGCTGAGGTGTCTGCATTGTTGATTTTCAGGACTTGGCGCGTGGAGTGGCTCTTTTGCTGCGCAGTGCACAGGCTGGCATGCAGGGCATTGCCAGCTAATTCAATGATTGCAAAAGTATGTGATGAGAAGAAAAAATTGCAGAGTCAAGACATCCAATGCATCCTTGTACATTAGTCAAGATTCTGCTATTCTTTCGCCACGATTGTGTGCACCCTGTAGTCTTAGTAGGCAGGAGGGGAAACCTACAGTTGTCCATGCTGACTCTGTCTACAGATTATTGTTTTTTTTTGTTCTGCTGTACACAGGAAGAACGTGCTAAATGCTCCCTGATGCTATCGGCAGCTTTCCGTTAGGGACAGTCAAATATGCATGGGAATGTTACAGTGCCTATCAGATGAACGCTGTCTAGCGAGAGAGCATGTGAACTTTATTATGTCCATCTACAGTCATGTAAGACGCATTGTTACAAAATATGTTTCTGGCGCAGCCCAATCTGCAGAGTATCCAGGCAAGCAGCCTTGGCAGTACAAGCCTGGACCTCAATCCTATGTACTTCATAAATGCCCACTCACCTATAGTATATACATGCGGAACAATGTGTCACTTCCAAAAAATTCTGTGATGTATATCAAAACTCTCTTCCAGTTCAGAAATTCCTTCCAGCACATCACAGAAAGTGGTGTGCCAGGTTTGTCAGCATCTGCACTAGTGGCAGATCTGAGTTCCGTCAACTAAAAATGCAAAATTTTTCCAGTGCTGGAACAAGCAAGCTTCTCCAGTGCTGGAACAAGCAAGCTTCAAAGCTGAACTCAGCACCATATCTTGCTTCAGACGTCTTTAACAGTGAAAATTTGAAACTTTATTCACGTTCTACTTGATTACTTCAACACTTAAATGTATGAATATCACATCCGGGTGATCGCTCCCACATCAGCGCCCTCAAAGACACCTTCTGCAGCCAGGTACAGCTGCCTGGCGTCCTCTCATCAGGCCAGGGGGATGTGAAAAACTACCAAGCTTTCATTCACCCCATAGTTGCACCATTCGGTCAGAACACTTTTTGGGGACCGTATATACGGCCGAATATACGGTCACACGGTATTAAAATATACGGAATCCGGTCAAAAACGGCCTATTTTGGCCCAAAACACCGAATATACGACCAAATATTCACCGTATGCCGAATGGCCGAATCCGTATGGTGCAACTATGATTCACCCCTGTTCAGGGGGCACCGCTGTAGTCACAGCCCGCCTGCTGAACGTCCTGGAGCACTCCAAGATCAAGGCCCAACTCCTGCAACGGCAAATCACTCCATGCTAGTCACCATGCTAGTCACTCCACGCACAACATGCCAGGTTCTTCAGGTGCTGCCTTGACCGAAGGCATCCTTCAATGGCAGCAAGGTCCCAGAGCGCACTGTCTAATTGCATGCACCCTACAGAGCTGTGCAAGCCTCCTGTTCAACAGCCTTGATGATAGCGATGTCTCTTTCACTCCACCATCCATATCAACTGCCGAGAGAATGCTGCAGATGACATGAGCTGGATGAATAGCCTCATCTCATCACATCGCCATAAATCGAGTGTCGAGCTCTGCAAGTCAGTCAAAGCACAGTCAGCGCACCAGAGATTTGGCGCGCAGTGCTTCCAGGGTCTCGGCGGTTGCGACCTGCTTGCGCGTGAACCACCAGAATCCGCGCTGCGCCACATCAGCGATGCCGCCGTCCGCGCTGCCGGTGCGGCAGCCGTTGCCGCTCGGTATCGTGGGTGGTCCTGTGGTGATTATGGCCCACTCGTAGCCTGGAGGGCAGTCATGACAAATCTCATGACCAATAAGCCGAGAAATATCATGACAGATCAGCCGAGCGAAGACACACATTAGCTGGCCGGTCAGTACAAGTCTCATGATGAATCAGCTACGCAATGGAATTTGCAGCCGGTAAGGCGGTGATGGCAAATCTCATGATGCGAAGCATATCCAAGGCAGTCAGGCAGTGAAAGTAGTGCCTCTTCTAAGTCTTCTCATGCCTAAAGCATTTATTTGGGGTCACCACTGCACGTATATGGGGCCCAAACTGGCATCCAAATGCTGGATCTTGGACCCAAGCCCCAAGATGGACGCTGAGAAGTAAGGCTGGTGATGGCAGCTTTATGATCTGGTATAGAAGATTGGCAGAAAGTGAGAGATATTATCATGGTGGCATGACTGAGCAGTCTGTGCAGCACCTTCGAACTTTGGGTCGGCTGAGGATGAGTCAGTGGCAACCACCCAGTAGTTGGCCGCCTCGCCGCTCATCTTTGCAGAGGCGCTAGAAACTGCCGTGGTCACTCCATTGTCACCCAAGTACGGGCCAACCTGCAGCAGTGAGTAGAAGCTGAGCCCTGGATCAAGCTGTACAAATTGAACTTTCTTCCTAAGATATCTGAGCTTCATGTGTGAGCATGTCATGCACAATGCAAGGAAGCATTTGAGCAGATGGCAGAGAGCAGAACCAAAAAGTCTGCAATCACCTGCAGCTGTGAGGGAACTGCATCATCCGGCACCGTCGCATACAACTGAAAGCCGCCCCTGTGTCACGCACAGACAACTCGTTAGAATGGAATAAATCGGTAGAAGTTTCATCGATAAGCTTAATAAGGACACCGCTGATCTTTTGACTGACCAATTTCAGGCAGAGGCAATGGCGCAAGAACAAGCACAGCACATTTGAAAATATCTTTGCATGGCTTTCAGCAGGTTCAGCTATTAGTGAAGTGAAAGGGGGAAGGGGGTGCTCACTGTGCCTTGCTGGTGGTGGCAGCAAGCCCATTCACCCGGTCCTTGTTGGAGTAGTTGTTCACATACACGCCCTTCTGCACAGACACCAAACATGCCATTGTTTGCAACGTGTCTGAAGAAGACTTCACTGGCTTTATCAAATGTTTCGGACCACTATAAGAGGTGTCTGCAGGGACGCACCGAAAGATCTCCAGGCCCGGCAATCGGTATGTAGTTCGCCCGCACACAATAGAGGAAATTCTCAGGCGTGTAAGTGGTCGTCACCTGTCGATTAACAAGAGTCAGAACATATTCAGGGGAAACTGTAAGCGGTACACGTACCATCTTGGTAAATATTACTGCAGCGAATGCTCACCTAGGCACTGTCGAATGAGCGAATTGTCTTCAAAACCCATCGTAGGCCATCGGTAAACGATAGCAAGTCTTCTCGAGGTGTGCTTACCTGCTTCTGAACGTACCAGGGAGCGGAAATGTACGACGTCAAGTCGAAAGGTTTAGCGGAACTGAATCCAGGAGGCGGGCATGTAGGCTGCGCCAAAAGTTCCTGCAACACGTCAGGAATTATTCATTAAAGTGGTCGAAGAAGACGCTGCCAAGGTTGCTGTCTGTGACTAAGCAATAGTGGACAGCAATCCTCGGCACACCCCCACAGTCATTGCAGCGGTTTTGTGAAGAGACAGCTTGAAGTGAAGACGAATACTAACATGACAGTATCACTCACCCTCCCGAGAATGGTGCTAGCGCTGGCCAGTAGAATGACCAGGCAGACAAGGAGAGTTTTCCCCATCTAGAAGACCAGAAAATGCCTTGTCACAGCGCCCAAAGCAAGGGATGGGTGACCAAGTAGCCGTCGAAATACTTATTGAGTTTCTCAAGATTCTTCTCTGGAGAATTCCGCTGATTCTCGTCCTCATCTGGGACCATCGCCCTCACGTAACCATCACGTTTCTGATGTGTAACACATCTTACACATTGTATAACGCGCAAAAACTCGCGAAGAACATTGTCAACACAGCATCATGAGTGGCGGTAGTGAGGAGAAGAAGGGAGGTCGTGTCCAACGGGGCGGAGAGGAGGAGGTGGGCACCTTCCAGAAGGTGCGCCAGCATGTGAAGGAGTTCGTGGACGCTAGCCCAGAGCAGCACACGAAATGATTGAAGAACACGTTTGCCAAGGTAGTCTCTGCAATACTTGGCTGATTGCTGACATGCCTAATGACGATGCCTCAGACTGTCTGCTACAGTACTACCTAGGTGTATGTGGGCAATGCCCTTCAACACCTTCAGCTGTTAATCACAGAGATGTTATTTCTGGCACCTTGCAAGCAATCTCGCTGATGCAATTGTGCGTGCACCAGCTGTTCAATCGCCCGCCACCCAAGCCTCAAGTCCATAGCGTCTTCAGGCTTCAAGTAGCAACAGCACAGCCTGAGGATGGCAGGTAGCTGCGGTGAGGGGCACACGGTGTTTCAGCAGCTGGCAGACGTGCTCCACGTGCTCCATGAGTCAAGAGGCCTCACAGCGGCAGCGAAAGAGAAGTGTGGCACCCTAATCCAATTTTGGTAGTATCAGCAGCAGTGGCAGCAGTTACTACTAAACTTGGCCTTCTATTCTCCCAGCAATCAGTGCTGCCAGTAGAATAAAGTGCGGCAGCGTGAACTGCTTTCTGGAGCAAGCAGGCGGGCTGTGCAGGCCAATAATATGATGGGTTCAGCTCAACCTGGACCGCTGCATGCTTCCAGCGGTTGAACCTTGAAGGCCTTGCCTGCATTGAGCACGCTGAATTTTGCTCGTTCAACGAATGCCCCGTCCTTCATATGGTGTTCATGCCTTGATGGCTGCGCACTGCGCTGTTGTAGAGAAACCAGAGTCTGGCAAGGATGTACTGTTTGGAAAGTCCAACATTGAATGTTGACCAGCTTGCAATTGCATGTGCTAAGATGTTCAGATCGTTCTTGACTTGCTGTAGTAGCCAGACATGCACAGTGCTCATTGTGCTTGCTCGGCGCAAGAAGTGAATGCAGAGTTTGCACGAGATGTAAAGTTCATGTGGGAATACTGAGAAGTGCATATGCGCATGTCGGAAAACGATACAGGCCCAGAGGCAGCGTCCTGGCTGTAAGTAGTTGCAGTATTGGTGCAGTATTAGATGCAGTCTGTGGTGAAAACTTCAATTAGCTGTACAGGCAATTATGACAGTGTGGTATCAGATGCCACCACTGGTGTCATGGCACTACAGCTGCATGCATCACACCATCTGCAATTCCAAGGGAACTTTTCAAGCGCACTGGAAGTCATCTCGCCTCAAAGTTTAACATTTGGGTATCGGATAGATGGGCTACACGCCTGGTCAGGAAATCTCACACGCAAACACGTGCGCGTTAACTGCCATAATGTCTACACGTGCTGTACACGTGCGTGTATGCTTGGGTCACGTGCCCGATTACGTAATCACTCAGAAACCGTCAAAAATAGCACAAAACCCGCCAAATTCATTGTAGAAGGATCACCAACCCTTTCAACATGCTGTGGGAAGCCTTACAATGCTATAGGGCCATTTACAGTGTGCATGAATGCTTCTTTTAGATGAGGGGGAATTATAGAGGGTATCCTCCTCGGCTCCACCCTGTCTAGTCAAGAGCCATTGGTGGGGAAAATCTATAATTCTTAACACCCAAGCATGCTCAAATGAGCTCTCCAGGCTTGGGAACGCCTACCATGACATCTTACCCATGTTTGGTGCCCTAGAAGTGCTCCAAACCCCCATAAATAGGAGTTTGCGTGTGGAATGCGTGTATTCGGCCAGAAAATTCCTACGCTAGAGTACAGTGCGTGTACGTGTAGCGTGTACCTACACTAGAGTAGCGTGTAGCCCAACACAGTGCTTCTCAACATTGGACATCTAGATCTTGGTCATCTTGGTCATGCATGACTTGCAAAAGCTTGGCGCTTTGTATTCGTTTCTCGGACTCGTTTAATTTTGCCCATCATCAAGCGAGCAGTCCTACATTGCAGACGCCCTGCCAGTGAAAAACCTGCATTGCTGGTGGGTTCCCTGAAGAGTCCAGGTCAGGTTTTCGCCCCAGGCGAGCTCATTGGCTCCTGAGATGTATCTCCAGACAACTCTGCCTATCATGGCCTTTTCAAGGCTACCTGGAGTTCAAGGACCCCACACATCACCATTGCAGTGACATGTTTAAAGCCATTGCTTCATGACAATGCCCAAGACTGTGCCGGTAATTGCTGTGTCTCTCAGATTAAACCAATCACCAGCCCACTCCTTTGCATCTCTTCTTTCAAACAAATGTGCATCCTGATTAGCATGGTTTGTCGGTGGTCATTTCTGATGCAGCTGCACTGCTCTCAAACTCAGGCGAAACCTTTTGCAGTGCTCTTGGCCTGCGCGGAGGACCCATCCGCTCTGAGCTCCTCACGGCGCTTCAGAATGTAGTCCCGCAGCTCCAAGAACCTGCAGAAATGAATAACAAGACAAGTCATGATGTGCTGACCTGGTACGTGATTTTGCGGACAATTGGGCGCATATCTGAGACGCTGCAACATGTCAGTGTACTCGAGTGCATCCTGATCAAGGTTGCCGTGTTATCACTGCAAAGCAACGATTGCATTCAAGACCAGGCGGACCCAAAGAGAACTACAGTAGGTGACGCGCTTGACTATGTCACTCACTTGGGCAGAGATCTGAGCTCGATTTTGTCGCCGTTGCGCAGCGTGACCACCATGTCTCCCCAGAAGCCCAGCCCCCGCCCGACAGTCTTCACGTCCTTCACCTCCTGGTACGCCGCATCCAGCGACTCGGCTGCGCGCACGCACATGCATCAGTCACAGCTGGTCAGGAGGTGACTACGGCAATCTGCCTGTAGTGCCTCCCAAGAGGACATCTAATATTAGCGCTCAAGATAAATTTGAGATCTGCCCTCAGCATCCTGAGGATAGAGACTGGCACACGTGTCTACTGCATGCGGCAGAAACTTCTGCCAACAGCGACACCGGTCCAGTGCAACCAGCAAATCTACGCCCCTGGCGCGCTGACACACACAACAGAGTGCTGATGCTTCATATGGAATTGAGGAAATGTGCAAGGAGCATGGAGAATGAAGCGCACTTTTCCAGGGTGCGGACGTGCTGACTGTGATCCGCCTGTCGGTGAAGCGGTAGTTGACGAAGATGCCACGGCCGAGCGCCGCAAATGTGAGAGGCAGCCACAGCAGCGTGGTGCCCAGCGCGATGTTTATTGCCAGGTCCCCCCGGTGCGGGGGTCCCTCCCAGAACACCTTCTCATCCCTGAAGTCGTACGTCTTCGGTCCCCTCGGCTGCGCCTCTGCATGTGCGCCAGATCATCGCTCAGTCATGGCTGACTACAATATAGCTCCCTGAAGTCATATTGCAGCTCCTTAGCCGTACGCGCTGCATCCCCAATGCTACGTTAGCAATAATATGCGCTGCACGTGTTAGGTTGCCAGACCATCTCCAATTCTCATGCTGCTGTCCCCCTTATTCCCGTGTGCAAGCTTTATGGCACAAAAAACCAACATAGCGGGTGGGCGTGCACCCAGTGTATCTCTCACCAGTGAAAGACAAACACGTAATAGCTGCTCTTGCTTCACTTATTCAGTGGCACCAAGACAATGCTGACTAGTGGATGGTGCGCCTCACCTGCTGCACTCTCCTCTTCTCGTCTGCTCTTCCCATACGGTACCTGTTTCTTAGCAGATTTAAGGGCTGCCAGTCGCTTGTCAAAAGCGTCATCTCCTTGGCCACCCTCTGCAACAAACAGGACTGTTCTCATGTTGACAGTGGAGGTAAATAAATTGAACAACCCAAGTCAGACCATAATCTATGACTATAGCAACCCTGCAACATGACAGTTCACTTTCTTTTGTATTCACCGAATCAATTGTTGAAAATTAGAAGAAGATCGGCACAACAAATTCCCCTGCTTGTTGCCAGGTTCGACAACGACTGCATGAAAGAGTAGAGACAGACGCTTACCCTCTGCTCTGACTTGTAAATTACATCTTCTGCGCGGTGCTGGCACTTTCGAGATGGGTCTGAAAGCGCTGCAACGTGGCTGTGATCTGGAAAAGCAAGAGGAGCTGAGCGAACCAACAGAACTCGTCGACACAGCGTTTCCTTGCATTGTGATGATCTAAAGACGCTTATCTCTTCAGGTTGTTTTGGATGCACTTGAGTTCAATACTTTCCTGTTGCAAATCTCGAGTGGCCAGGAACCGTTTGCCAGCGTCAGCACGGGGCCAAATTTAGCTCACGTGCAGCTGCCATGCAAACGGAAGCTGTTCTGCCTCTGACGAGCTTCAGCTCAAGGAAAGCAAAGTAGCTTCACAGTTGCACTTTCCTTGGCCGGGTATTCACATCTCGCCAAGTTGGCTCTTTCTCGGGAAGAATCATTGCCAGAAGATGCTTCAGCTTCGCATAGCTTCCGTGATCCTCAATAGGCAACTGCTGAGCCTCGAATCTACCTCAAGACAGATCATCTGCTGCGATGGCGAGCCTGGTAGTTCTCAGAAGTACCATTATTTGATATGCAGAATAATACATCAACTTTATCTTTCTATATTCGTCGAAGCCGGATCATATGGCGTGGGTTTTGTCCGCCTTCCTCGACTGCGGCACAATCAGAAGTGTCTCTACGACTGAGTATGACACGCCCGCCGCCACCGAGAAGAAGGATCTGGCACCGTTGTTGTTTAATGACAGACCGACCACAAGCCTACGTTTCCCAGATTCATCAGGAGGTCAGATCCATCAGGTACACACCACACCCGTGCGTTCACTCTTCAGTTGTTTCGATGACACCAATCGCCAGTCTACAAAAAGAGTGCACTTTGGACAAGGGTGGTCATAACAGGCGGCACCTTGCATTGCAGGGTGAGGTCTCAGAGAATTTCGCCATAGATGGGGATACCAGTGGCAGCTCTTGCACCCAGTTGCCGGATCACTTTGACCCCGTAAGTCACCGTTCCAGCACCAAATTAAATTCGGTTTGTTATTTTCAACGTGTCAATGAATGGCCTTGTATTGCTCCCCAAAGAAAGGATCCGCCACAGTGCTTACCACTGTTGTCCTTCACCCTAGCCTAATACCCAGGGGTGCCAATGTAATAGAGAGGAGTTGTTCGTTCTGTGCTACAGGCAGAGCCCGAAGGCCCACACGGTGAGGAGAGCAGCTCTTCAAAGACAGAGCCGACGCTTTTCTCGAAGAATCATGAGCAGATGCGCCACCATAAGGGCTTGATTGGAATCGGCACCTACGGCCGTGTTGAACAGTGCGATGCTTCCCACCTTGCAAGACTGATGCCAGTGGCTTATTCTGGCTGAAGACTGGCTCATAAGCACCTGGCAAAACACGTGCGCTGTGTCCATTTCACCATGGAAACGGTCTCAAAAGGAGGGCATAGTGCACTCGAACTGTGGAAATCTTGATTTCCATCACCATTGCTAGACCAGATGTCAAGGGGAAAGGTGCTCTGTGCTGCAGCGTGCGCAGAAGTGGCGGTCAATTCGGACGTTGGTGCGCCAAATACATGAAGGTCAACACCGCAAGGGGCTTGGCTCAAGCGCAGCACGAGCTGCAGATGCTGCAGTGGCAGCGGGGCTTGCCTGGGGGCTTGCAGCTAGCCGAAGAGACTCTTTTATGCTTTACAGATGCCAAGCATTGTAAGTGGGCAGTGATTGTCATGAGGTGAGCTGCCTGCTGCTATGATCCCCAAGCCCCATGCAGATATGGCCCTACCTGTGATCCGTGTATTATTTTCATTAAATATATTTTTCGGCTCCTATTAAAATATATTTTTCGGCTCCTAGAAATCTAGGATCTAGGTATGTCCAGCAACACGTGTATGATTTTGAGAATCTGTAGCCTGGGTAAACCTCAAAGCCTCTGAGAGGATTGCGGCAAAGGTCTCACTTTGAAACTTCTTGTGCACAAGCATTGCCCAGGCTGCAGCAAAGACAGCGGCAGTTTGAAGGAAAGGATATATCTTTAGGTAACCTCGGCGGCTTCATCCCCCACTAGCAGGAAGGGTCTCAGCCTAGTTGCTGGGTCTTCCCCTTCCCTTTTGCTCTCCGTCCCCAAAGCAACTGGCATGCAGAAATCTCGGAGGAGTGTGAAACACTGAAGGGAAGCAATGTTTGGTGAAGTGAGTCTTCGCTGTGTCTGTGCAGCTTTGAGGAGGGGCACACTGTGGAAGACATGGTCGATGTCCTGCGCCAGAACAGGGGGGATGACCTGCTGGAGATTTTTGCCTGCGATGTGGCCTACCCCACCATGCAGGTTAACCCTCAACACTTGGTAAAAAAACACCCTTCTAATGGGGTGTAGGATATATAACAAAGAAAAACCTTAAAAAGCAACAGAAAACCAAAACGAACACAAAAAGGCAGGTTCACACAACTGCCTGTCATTGCAAGCTGGAACCACCCACAACTTGTGGAGCTTGAAGCTCCAGTGTGGTCACCTGCGGATCTGTGCATGGACTTACCTGGAATTTCCCCCAAGCAGGCCTGAAAATGAGGTTGTCATGGTAATATTAGGTTGATATCATGATGATGATTTCATATTTTTATATTCTATTGACCTGCTGGGAGCCACCTGAGGCTCCTTGGTCTTGTAGGCAGTCTGTCATTGCCCATCCTCATACCACAAAATTCTTATGGGTCTGCGTGTGACAAGACATTTCATTAGGGGGTGAAGCTGGGTTTGCAGGCGTTGGCGGATTTGCATGAGGCAGGCCTTGCGCACTGCGATTGGAAGCCGGCCAACCTTGTGCTGCACAGGCAACCGGGCGGCAACGTTCTCTGCAAGCCGATCGATTTTGGCTTTGCTCGCATCTGCAGAGGTCCGTCGCCTTTAGCCACTCAGAACTCCCAACCTCTGTTGATGCCGACCTTTGAACAAGCACTAAGCACTGACTGGATGGCTTCTTATGCACTCATTCCCTCTAAGCAGGAGGGGACTTCCTGTGCGGGGGCTTTGGCAAAATTATACTCTTCTGCCGCAGAAGTTCTGTACAACAGCTTTCTTGATTGACTTATATTTAAAATTCTGCAGGTGAGCCGCAGTATTACTACAGAGGCACAGAGACATTTCTGAGCCCAGAGCTGCTAGAAAACCGGTGGCAGCTGCTGTTGAAGCAGAAGATATCTACGGCTGTCAATCCACACAGTGCTGATGTGTACGCCAATGGTGTCATGCTCACCATTCTGCTGAGGTCAGCGCTGCGTCAGGTGCGATTACCTCACCGCATACATAATTATTCAATTTTCGCTTTGAGCAAATAGATTCTTCTCCCCCCACGTGATACGGCAAAGCAGCGCATGCATGTTCATTCTGCACAGCATCAGAGAAAAGAATATTGTTGGATAATCTTCCAAAGTACATTCAAACTTCAACACGCATGTTGGCATGTGAATCTGACTGAACTTCTGTGCATGGCAGGAGTTATTTGCGCAATTCTTGTTTGAGCCCCCGCCCTGGTATGAGGGTCTTTTGGAGCGTCAGAGGGTGGATGCACACCTGGTAAGCCTCAGCAGGATGTCACAATGTCAGGGAAAAACACAAAGATAACATGCCAAAGTTGTATTATCTTCTAAACCGCCATCAGGGTGATTGCATTGCAAAAGCATGCAAGTCTGCTGGCTAAGAATTAGATTGATGGGGCTGCTGCAAATTTGAAATGGACCCATATGAGCCGCGCATAACAAGCACTGCTGCCCGTGGAACGTCTAGTGGGACCTGAAATCAAATGGGGCCTGACAGCATAATCTTTTCTGCAGGCCGGCTATAGGCGGGCGCTGCAGTACCGGTATGAAAAGTGGTCGCCCCTGGCTTTTCTCAGCAACTTCCGCCTGCCGGCCGACTGCCAGGATTTTTTGATGCATCAGTTAGTGCCGCAGTCTGAGCGCGCAACTGCAGCAGAACTTATTTCTCACCCCTTCTTGAAGCGCATGGCCGCGCGGCGGAGGAGCATGCAGAAGAAGGTGAGTAAACTCCAGTAACCCCTCAAACACTGTAGGATGTAACAGTGACACTAAGAGTGCCTGTGCGCATTGGGTCTTTGCGTCTGTTGGCAGTGTTGCACTGGCTTAGTCAAAGTCCCAGTATGAATGGATCGTGTCATCAAAGAAGTTGGGCTGCTCAAGCCATCAGGATATCTTTTTGCATGGTGAGCAACATGTACATGATTCACAGCACCTTCAATTGCGACCTGGTCTTTAACATTTCATGTGCAGCTGCAGGCTGAGAACGGCGTTAGGGAGGTAGCATGCAATTGGTTGGACGCTAGCGGACCGGCTGCTGCGCCAGTTCAGGAAGCTATGTACTGTCGAGAGGGAGTCTCGGTGCAAGAGATGGGCCGTGTTGCGTTGCCTGCGTGAGTTGTCGCAGTACACGTGTCGATTGCACAGGTTGTATCATAAAATTGTATGGCAATAAGGGTGGTGGTAGAGCCTAGTGATCTTCGGCATGCAACGTGCAGGAACCAGTAGTATTCATGCCATGCCTATGCACACCAAAATGCGCTGCTTCCCATGCATGTAGAACATGGTCCTTAGATAGACTTCGCCGGTCCGCACTTGAGATTTGTCCCATCATGATCAATGCACCATCTCAGCTGAATGCCATGAAATGCTCAGCACACGCTTGCAGAGGTCACTGCATAATACTGTAACACAGGTTGCCAAGATCCTACTGTATGCAGTTACAGGATCCTCCGGAACTGCCCTCATACAACTGGGGCACAAGGCCCTGGAAGTCACATGTCATCAAGAGCGGAGCTGCAAGTCCTGCTATGTTTCACGTGAGTGCACTAGAGCGGTGATTCATTCACTGATAGGAAGCCTACTCAGGATTCTTTCAAAGTTTGAACTTCAAGCTCAGTTAGAAGATATTCAGTCTTCCATCGGGGCCGGGCCCTCGGCCGGGGGCGCGCCGTCTTCCGGTGCAGCTGCCTCTGCCGGCGCGGCGGCATCTGCCGCCTCTGCCATCTCGCCCTCACCTGCAACAGCAGCATCAGACATCAATGCAAAAACAAAGCATGGCCATTTTAGATAGGTGTAAACTATACCACTAGATTGGTGACACCAAGAATGCTCTGCCCACCACTTTCAACCTGTCAAGTACAGCCAACTGAGGGCTCTCTAAGACAGCTGTCGGTGGCTATGCTTTTGTTTGAGAAGCCCATAAAAAGCACTACATCCTTCACTTCTTCACGTTGCAACAGCAGGAGATCTCACACCCTGCAAACAGTATGAAGTGTAAAAGCAGGGAGGCAGCTGCGATGTACTTGGTGGCGGCGCGTCGTCATCGGCCTTCCCAGTGTCCCATTGCCCAATTACAGTTTTTGCGCCCCTGAATTTCCCTCCAACACCCTATACCCTGACACATGTAATACAATTGGCCCCGGCTGGCGGGGGCCGGTTTAAATAAAGAGCAACGTGCCCACAGTTGATTGGGTCTTGCTTGGAACCGGCGAGTCCAACAAGGGGAAGGATTGTGGCAGCCTTTCACTGCGGCTTGTCTGCAGTGACACCTTGCCTATTGGCAGGAAAAGCGTGCAACAATTTGCAATATAGGGAGGCAGCTGTGGGGCACCTGGCGGCGGCGCGTCGTCGTCGGCCTTGAGCGCGGCCAGGTATGGCTTGAGAGCGTCGCCCTCCAGGATGGTGAAGGCCGTCCCCTCGCCCACCAGCGCCACCGCCGTGTTGTCCGCGCTCAGCTCATCCTCCGTCACACTCGCGCTCAGCGCCTGACCCGCACACAAGACACTCAATATTCTTGCAAATTTAAATCTGCTGCCCTCCGTCACACTCGCGCTCAGCGCCTGACACGGCACACAAGGACTTCAAATTCAAGCTAGGATTAGGATGGAGACTTGCCAACATTTGAACAAAGCAAGCCTGTGTTGTCTGCGCTCAGTCCGTTCCCTGTCACGCTTGCGCTGAGCGCCTGACCAACATAAAAGAACCTTCAGACTCTCCAATTGAGCCTCAAGGAGAAATATTTGCGGGTTCTGAACAAGGACGACTGCCTTGTCACCGCTCAACTCAATCTGTCTGACCCGGACCCAAGAACTTAAGACTCCAAGCTTACACGAACTCTGAGCAAGGCAAGCTCTCGAGGCCAAAGCGGCATTGGCTGTCTCTCAAGGCATTATTTTTATCATTATTATTACACGTTTTTCCTACCAGAAGTAAGGCATATGGCTGCCAGATAATCTTAGGAGCCACAGCTGCAGGTAAGCTTCACATCTTAGTGCCTACGATAGACATGCAGCGCAAGAGGATAGCGACGAGGTCTGCACCTTGAGGCTGTGCTGTAGCAGGGCGTCCACGTCGGCGCCGGCAAATTCCTCAAAGTTGCGCTCCAAGTATGTCTTCGCCGCCTGTACAGACCCAACAGTGCTTTAGCATCTACTCCCTCAAAGCACCCAGGATGGTGGCCTGCCTCGGACTGCTGCCGCGTTCTCCCCCAATGCACCTCCACATGTGAGACTGCAGACATTCTGTTGAAATATTTCTCATCAGAGACATGCTGTTGCACTCATGGCCAGCAATTCGTAAAGTAGACCCCTTCAACGCGGTCAGAGGGGATCTTCCTTCGGCAGACTTCCAGGGCAACAGCATTCTATTCGGTCTCATCCGGCGGCCTCACACAACAATCGAGCGCACTTGCGACGGGGCACCGCATGCTCCTCACATCACTACGATGCACACCCATAGGCAGCCACAAAGCACACCCTTTCCCAGCGTCTCCATTTAGCGTCCGTGCATGAGGTTTTCATACTTGTTATGCGATGAGACGCAAACCTATACCAGGCTGCACAATTTTGTAAGCCCCGCAGACATGGCTGCAGACGCCCTGCGTGTATGCCCTATGACCATTGGTTTGAGTTCTGCCGACCTGCTGTAAAGATATCCAATGCATGCGGACACCACCGCACCTGCGAGCGCGCGCCGATGGCCATGGCCTTGTAGTCGTAGTAGGCGCCGGAGGGGCAGTTGTAGAACAGGTGCGCGCCAGTCTTGTCGTGGCCTGCCGCCAGCACGCCGACGCCGTAGGGCCGCTTCCAGCTGCGTTGAGTCGCCACCTGCGCGCGGTCCGCCAGGTCGCGCACCAGCCTCGCCACCTGGATCGGCTGCTCAAACACAAACCTGCGAGCACATAAATCTGCCTGCTTCACAAGGGTTCTCATGTACATGTCAGCGCTAGTGCTTGCTCGACGCATGCTACTCGATGCATGTAGTCAGTGATATGCACCAGTAACTCTTAAGAACAAGGTGCAAACTCAAAGCTGACAAAGCAGTCCTGGTCTGTGGTTTCATAGCCCTGCAGATGATCAAGAGTGGCTTGGTGTACCACTGGGGAAGGCTGCACCTGTGTGACAGGCATTCGTTTCGCAAGAATCTGCTGATGCTCCTGCCGTCTGATATGAGCCCCGAGACGCCGATGCCAAGGTGGTCGTCAATCTTGAAGATCTTCCTCTGGAAAGCTCCCAGCTCTGCTGATGTCCTCTTAATGGATGCCAGGACGACATGCGTGGTGCTCTGGAATGAAACACAGAATACATTGATACCAAATTGAAGATTTGCACACACCAGACAGGAAGACATAGCAGTTACTCCTTCCAGTTTGCTGATGCTGATGGTGCAACAAAAAGACAAGACAGGCGGACTCACCTTCAGTCCGACAACAGCTGAACCTTGCTTGACTGCTTCCATTGCATACTCAATCTGATGGATGCGGCCTTGCGGACTCCACGTGACAACATCTTGATCATACTGCAACGCAAGTCACACATCAATGAGGCAACGGGTGTTCGCAAGAACAAGACATCACGTGGATCGAATAAGGCTGGCGCTGTAGATTTACTTTGATCTCTTGATACGGAGTCTGTCTCGTGATAGTGCGGAAGGCAAGTGCAACTAAGAGACCAGATGAAGTGATTGAAGAGGAGACATACCTGATTTCTAAACATGCTTCCTGGTGGTGATGCTAATTACGATGAATAATTACTAGGTTTGGCGCTGTATTACTGATGGCTGGTCAAGTCTAGGCCACTCTGAACATCTCACCAGAGAGATTGCCCTGTGCCAGAATAACGATTTACCAACAATGGTTTTATAACGAGTCCAAGGCGATCCAAACGAATCTCCGGATCACTGAACAGGCTTTGCACGCATTGAGAATGCCCTTTTGCCCTGTTCTTGCTCTGTTGGCTTCTTGCTTTCGCCTGTTTTGGCTCATGCTACAAGGAAGAGAGATGCAGGCCCCAAAATGCAGCAACATTCTAGGTGACAATCTCGTGTGTACTTAGAAGATCTATGCCAGCAGTGGGTACACGCGCTTGGCTCCGAAATATATGCATTCCCACAACGTGTGACAGTAGTGGTTGACTCCGCGCAGGTCAGCGCATGCGCATGCAGGATTCTGAGATCCAGCATTGGTGTGCAACCTTCAAACACTTGGCAGTGCTTCCATGCCGATGCGGGTCCAGGATACTACAGTACAGCCTGGTAAGCTGTCGCGACAAGCTGCGATCGCAGCTTATGCAGATGTGCAACTGAGCCGCATGAGCCTTGCTGAGATCACTGGCAGTAAGCAGCCACATGCATGCCAGAGCACATCCCAGGAGGACCTGTCTAAGTCTGCTTTGCCCAGGTGCGCTGAAAGTCTAGAAGATCTTTTCTAGAGGCTCTGTTAGACGCTCCAATTTGAATAGACTTCTTGGTACCCGTGGATTCCAACTTAAAAGTGACCGAGTACCTGAGCTGACAACATTATCAGCACATGTGTGCACATATGTACATTCTAAGGGCAAAATTCACCTACTGCACTTTGCGCACTGCTATGAGACTGCCATTAAGGGGAGGGAAGCTGAATACAGCCAAGTCACTGTCAAGGTATTTCACAGGAAACACTGCAAATTGAGGGAAAAACGCCAATCGCCCAACACTGTTCACTACTGTGTCTACTGCTCCCTTCACTCCTGCTGAACCTGCAGATCAACGTCACGATGGATTGTTAATGATTAAAGAACAACCATACTCTGCAAGCTCTCCTTCGCAACTGCAAGCCCTCTTTACTGAAGGTGCGTGTACTGTCCTTGTCTGCCTATAGCTTTTAAGGCCACTTTCCAGCAGTACTTCCACAAGCCGTCTTCAGCATGAGAAACCTTGGCACAGGAAAGCAAGGGGAGCAGCAGTCTACCTTCCAGGAAGGTGGGTCTGAGAGATGTTGAGCCAACATCAATCCAAAATTTGTCAAATGCCACTTCCACAGTGTCTGCTCCTCTGGAGAACAAGCGCCCAGAGGAACTCAACCAGCCCTCCTGTGCCAGGCAGCTCAAGAATAATTACCCCATTAACTTCTGGCTCTCCAGACTGTGCATGATAGGGGCTCTGGGTGAATGATGTAACTGGTCCTTGTATCCGTTTAAAGAGGCGCGAGTAAGGCTTGCCTGCGCGAGAGATGAGCTGTAGAAGACATTGGAGACTATTCGGTCCCCCTCCAAAATATACCTGATGGGCTGGAACTGCGTGCCCAGGGTGGAGGACAGTGTAGCAATGTGAGGCGCATAAAACACCTATTATACACATATACATTGTCAGAGACACTTTGCAGAACCAATGCTCCACAATGTCGGTAGCAGTTAAGCTATCTGGCACATGTGTACAAAGCATTCCGCTCGGTCAGAATCTCTGACCACCATTGCATGGGCACAGCAACACATGCATACATTGCGGGTGACTAATAACAATTATTGATAACATGATTACCTCCCAGGTGCCCTGCCCCAGGCTGAGTGTGTCTGGCCCAGGCTCAGATGTGGGATTCTCTTCTATCAAGGCTTCGACCGCCGGTCCCAATTCTGAGCCTGCCCTGTATAGCGAGGCTCCAGAGTCCAGTAGTTCCTCCACCTAGATATTCCACCTAGCAATCAGGATGTGGAGGTGCCATGCAGATACACTTGTCATCTCCATTTTCATAGAGTCTATCCAGGAGTCATGATACAACGCTTTATCGCTGCATAGGTGTGCCACGGCGTCCCACCTTTCTTTTGGCTGCAGACTTCTGGCTGACCAAGGCGGTCGAGTTCGAGGTCCCAGGTGCGGCAAGTCCATCAGAAGATGAGTGGCAGACGATTGCATCTGCGGTAATTCTTGCAATCGGGTATTGAACACCTGAAAATAATTGAGGTGCTGGCGCCAAGCTGCCAGACATCACGGCATGCCTGTGCCTATGCTGGAGAAGCAAAGGAGGAGTTCGTGTCTGGGCCATCATTACATTCTCCAGTGAAGAGGGATGCACTGTCACGGGAATCATTTCTGCCTGAGACGATCTACAGCAGAAAGATGTTCCTGGATCACCTTGACTTTCTTCCCTCCACTATCCCTGCAACTGCCTTGTAGTGAAGCTAAGTACAGCAGCAACAATGTCAATTCTCCCAACCTTGTGACAGTCAGTCCGCTGCCTGCCACATTTCGCTCTTTTCGAAACGAAACTCCGGAACCGGTCTGCCACGGCGCCCCACGTTGCTCTACGTATGCAAGGAAATGGCCAAGTCAATTGCCCGATCAGATCTGACAGGAATTAAGGGAACACTTGGTTTGAAGTTCAGACGAAGTTCCGTGATGGGGACATAGATTTAGGAAGTTGTTGAGCAGTGCAGCCTTTGGGCAGGAAAGTTTGGCAGGCATGGGCAGCTTGAGAAATTCCCCAGTGGGTGTATCGGGAGTCGTTTTCTACATCAACCAGGAGAAGCACATTTTTAACGCGTCAGATGACTTGACGCAAAGCCTCAACGATTACCTGCGTCGCAAGACCCGCCTCAAGGTCTGGCATGCGTCCAAACCCTCGTTGCTCCATATTTCACTGATTAGCTCTGACTGTGTACAAATGAGCACCATTGCTGACTTAAAATCTACCCGTATGATTCTCCTGGATGATCTAGCCTATCAGTATCATCGGTACTTATCACGGCATCCCACGCAAGTCCAAGCCAAACTTCGCAGTGTCGCCCCCGTCCCTAATTTATTTTCATCCACAGGGAACGAAGTTAGCATGTGGAGAGGGAGGATGTGGCGCCTGCGCTGTGGAAATCACGCAACACGACCCTTCTATCGGTGCGTGAACTTCTAGCGATCTAGCGTGCACTTCCTTCTACAACTTCAATAAGATATAGTCAACAACATTTTCAATCGCTGGTAGAATACAAAAATGCATTTGAACAAAGTGATACTCTGAAGGAAGGAGTGAGAGGACAGGCGATTTTGCAGGCAAGGACAGGACGACCAGCATCAACTCCTGCCTGTGCCCTGTTGGGTGCCTGGACGGCGCCAGCATCACTACTGTTGAGGGCATCGGCAACTCGAAGGCTGGCTTCCACAAAGTGCAAGGTGATTTGAACGACTTTTACTCCATCCACATGCCATGCCCTGTCCAGTGCCCCTCATGCATGCACATGGACTGCAATGCATGCAGCAAGTGTTTTGGTCTTGTCCGGGCAAATATTTATGCCAGTATGACTCCCTGGCCTTCCCTGATGTGAACTTGTGGGGCTGCAGAGGCCTATGCAAGTCACCATGCATCGCAGTGCGGCTACTGCACACCGGGGTTTGTGGTTGCCACGCATGCGGCGATCAAGAGGTGTGTCAGCCAAGGGAAGACCCCCACCATTGAGGCGCTGCAGCAAGGCCTTGACGGCAACCTCTGCCGCTGCACCGGCTACCGGCCAAATCTGGATGCATGCCGGGTGCGCCCTCCACTGTGCATACCGGCCCTTCAAATTTTCATGAGTGTGGCCATGCATTGTTTTGACATTTGGCTGCATGGATCTGCCACATGTGGGGCGCATGGACCTAAGCCAGTTACGGTGCCCTCAAGGCCGGCACCCTGTTTCCCCTTCAGCATGAAAGTCTGTGTATTTTCATCTGCACAAGCGTTTGCATGTTATTGTGAAATGTACAAAATCACAGGCTTCAATGGGGAACGGGAATACAAGGCGTGAGCCCACGCAGTTTGTACCCCATGCACGTCACTGCCGCAGGATGTGGGGCATGAATGCGCCTAGAAATTCTAAGTTGGGCAGCTAATCTCTCTGGGCTCCTGATACTCAACTTGAGCTCTGACAGTTCCCCTGCCGGATGTGCAGAGTCTTGCGGACGGACATGACTTGGAGGACCTGTGCAGCATAGCCTGTGCTGGCAAGGACTGCTCTGGCGGGACCAATTGCGGCGGCTGCATCCAAGACAAGCTCAAGCTCTTGTCCAAGGTGACTTTCTTCTGCTGTTACATAGTGCTTGAAAGCGGCGAGTGTCTTGAGGCACAATCTCAGAGGATGTGACTCAATCGTCCGGGGGTGGAAACGGCATTCCTGCATGTCTAGCAAATGTGTAGATGATAAGGTGTCAAGTTGCTCCCTATACTGGAGCACCTGGTGTTTCTGTCAGACATTATTATTATTATTATTACACGTTTTCCAGTCCTCAAGGACTAGGTACGTCTGCCAGACATTATGGTGCCTCTAAATATGATGAGTAGCTATGCATAGCCTAGTAGGGCCCCACACTTGCCAAGATTGGCTGGTAGTGGACATTGCCTTATTGCTTGAAGTCTGCATGGCTCTGTACCTTGCACTGTCTATGGCGGGCTCCTTGCATCTCTAGGGTCTATGATGAGCATGTATTTGAATGTGTAGGGTCGCGAACCTGCGAGAGGTGGCAAGTGCTTTGAGGCAGAGGGAACGCCCTACAAGTACTGGGCATCCCCTGCCACCCTGGACGACCTGCTCAAAGACATGGCCGCCCACCAGGTCAGCCCTTTCTACTATTCTGTTTCCTAAATTTTTCTGAACTGTTGCATACCCCGGGGCAGAGCCCATCATGGTGCAGACTTTTCTCAATGGTGCCCACGGTCAGGTAACTCTGGCAAATTCATTCAGGGGTATGGCATGTGGCAGCCTTGCCATGCAGCTTGTCGACAGATGCACATTACCTCTGGCCAAACCCCGTGCAACAACACTACTATTAGAATAGGGGTAATATGCTCCTTTGCAACTATGACTGGCGGAGAAACTGTAAGGACAATGCATTATTTGGGAGAATTTTATAAGTGCTGCTCGAACGCACCCAGGCTGGTTGGCCTGGATGAGCGTGTACTAATGTGACTAATACTGTTACTTATTGATATACTGATGTGCAGGATGGGTCGATCCGGCTGGTGGCGGGCAACACAGGGCCGGGCATCTACAAGGACTGGCCGTCAGAGGACGCCCTCCTAGACGTGCGCCATGTCAAGGAGCTGATCACCATCACACAGGACAAGGAGGGCCTGAAGCTTGGGGCGTCCACCTCCATAGAGCAGCTCATCTGGGCTCTGCAGGGCAGCCACGGCCGTTTTCACGATGCCTGGCGCGCCGCCGCCGATCACCTGCTTCGCATTGCAGGTGCGTGCTGAGTCAGCACTGCTGACGTGTCTTATATGTGGGTCGTTGGAGCTGTTCTGGTGCTGCACGCAGGAGCCTCCAGGCTTGCTGTGCTGCTAGCAAATGGCCAAGACCCTCAACCTGGTGCCCATGGTGCCCAAGAGCAATGCTGCATGAGCCTTCAAACATACCTGTGCTGCTGGCATTTGGCCGGGGCCGTCCCAATCTGCTGTGTACTGCGGATGCGAGCTGAGTCAGCACTGCTTACGTGTCCATTCGTGCCCATGCTCCAATGGAGCAGCTGCACTGCTGCCTTGGAGCCTCCAAACTCGCCGTGCTAGCAGGTGGCAAAGACCGTTTGACCTGCTTTGCATAATAGGTGGGCTACATGGGTTGTTTCACGCAAGCCCATGAGCCGAAGGAGCTGTTCTGGTGCTGCGAGTATGAGCCCTCAGACTCGCTGCGCTGCTAACGTCAAGGCAGCTCAGGCTGCTTTGAGGTGTCTAGTCTGGCTGCTTTGAGCTTTGGGAATGCCGGATTTCCGCACCAGCATCAAGATTGCGAACAGATGTCAGCACAGCCCTGAGGCTTGTCATGACTCAGCTAGGAGAATACAAACGATTGATAACCTGCCCAGAACACGTGTCCCAGAAAACAGAAACGGGGATCAGTGGCAAATCCTACCGTTAGCGCCTGTGCAAGCTGGCAAGCAATCAGATAGACAAGGCTGCAAGTGACAAAACAAATGACCTGGCTCGGAATGGACTTTTCAGTGGTACAGTGTGTTTGTGTTGATGCTATTGGGCATCCGTATGACTGGTGGAGGAAGTGCAAGAACCAAGAAGACTGGAGAGTAATAATTCAGGCTTGCTTGACGTACCTAGTCCTTAAGGACTGGAAAACGTGTAGTAAGAATAATAATAAAGTGTGTTTGCTGCTTGTGAAGGATCCCATGTGCGCGCTGCTGCCACTCTGGGAGGACACCTGGCGTTGATGAAGGAGCGCGCCCTGCAAAGCAATCTGGTCCCGGCCCTGGTTGCGCTGGACGCCAAAGTTGGCATCACCACTCTGGACGGCACCAAGTGAGCCCCGCTGTCCCTCTGCATCGAGAGAGATCACACTGGTGATCAGTGTGCCAGCGCTGACTTGCCCAAAACCTTCTGGCCTCCTTACGTGCAGCAGCTGATTCGACTGTGCGCTGCACTCTTATTGCCATTCAGCAGAACTGGGTTTAGCTTTATTAGACGTCTCCATTGCAGATTTTTTTTTCTAATTTGTGTCATTGGAGCCAGTTGAGCTGCTGAAGCCACGCCCAGTGCACAGGACGCAGGGTGCCATCATTGGACTCCCGGTCGGCGTCCGGGGGAAATGGTGTATTTGCAAGATCTAGTCATGTGTGGTTGCTGTCTTGCGCAATATGTGATGGCAGGCAGGGCTTGTGTGACAGCATAGTTGCACGATACGGATTCGGTCATTTGGCATACGGTGAATGTTCGGTCGTATATTCGGTGTTTTGGGCCAAGTAGGCCGTTTTTGACCGTATTCCGTATATTTTAACACCGTATGACCGTATTTCCGGCCGTATATATGGTCCCCAAAAAGTGTTCTGACTGAATGGTGCAACTATGTGTGACAGGTGGCTGCCCCCTCTGGAGGTGCTGTATGGCGAAGCAGATCTGGGCCTCGGCCGGACCGCTGTGGTTTCAGCAATCCACATCCCTCCACCTTCTCCGGGCCTCTGGCTGAAGGGCCACAAGGTATGCCTCCTCCAATCCATGCGAAATACCTATCTTAAAATGTGCCAAACATGCGCTCTTCGCAAGGGCATGCCGGCTGTCGCTGGCTTGCCTGCCATTCTTTATTGCGTGCTTGATGTGTATCAGGGACAGATCAATGAAGTCATGCCTGCCCTTTACCTCCCACCTTAGGATGTGAGATGCCTACATACAGCATAACGAACACATCTTAAGGTTTAGAAAGGTGCAAAAGAGATGCTTTTTCAGTCAGGTGTACAGGGGACTCTATATCAATGTGGAGCCCCCTGAGGTGTAAGTATCTAGGGATATCAGGCTGTGTGATTTGCCATATATACCCTTACGCCCCTAAAAAAATCCCTTAAAAACCTTTAAAAATGATACAGGTGTCCAAGCGCTACTACAACGCGCATGCGCTGGTGGACGTGACCCTGTCGGTGGTGTTTGAGCCGCCGCTGATGGAGGGCAAATTCCCCGACGGCGTTCACCCGCTAGTGAAACACCCCAAGATCATCGTCAGTGTGCCCACCGTCATCCACAAGGGTAAGCACTGCCATGCAAATTATTTCCCCTAAAATCCTGAACTCCAGGGAGTACTGAAGATCTCCTGCAGTATTCAGTACCCCTTGATGACCTCCTGTAGGGCACCCAGATAGTTCCATTAAGGCTGAATCACATTTTCAATGACTTTAATGATACCTCATAAATCTGTGGGTCTCCATGTGATTACCCTGCCTCAAAGAACGCATGCACTGGCTTGAACTTGTCTCTTTTTCAGTATGCTCTGGGTCGTGCCATGAAGTACACATGCTCCGGCTGATATACATCTTTTCCAATGCTGTTCTTGTATTTCGCCCTGAAGATACATGTGTAGCCTTACACAATATCACAATTCAAGGGCGCTCTGGGTCCTACGTTGAACTAAACATGCCCTCGCTGAAATTTTCTCTGTTTCAAGGCTACGCTGCTAATCACGCAGCATGCTGCAGCTTAGCTAAATTGCGGCCCTGGGCGACCAGGTGCTTTCGCCCAAACTTGAAGGTGATAATGATGATGATGAGGGTGTTTTTGCAGGGGCTGGGGGCAACTGCGGTCCAGACAAGGTGGAGTGGCGAGCAAGGCGCGCCGAGTGCGCAGAGGCGGCCCTGGCCGATCGGCCGCTCGATGTTGATTCCCTGGTAGCTGCTCTCGAGCAGCTGCCGCATGACATCGAGCCCGGGGACACCCCAGGTGCGATCAAATCCAAACCTGCATCCAGCCTTAATTGTATCTTTGAAACGGGCTGTGCCCGCCCTTCCCCAAAGCTCATAGCACAGGCGGATGTGCGCCCACGGGGCAAGGCACATTCTGTTATCCTTTACCTTCCCTTATCTAAGAAGGGGTTCACCTTGGCTTTGGCCCTTCTTTCCGAGTCTTGCTTGGCATGCACATCGAGGATGGCAACACAGCAAAGGTGATTGACTTCAAGGGAAGGCCTGCACAGATTCCCAGAGCTCTCATCTGCATGCCACGTGCGATTGTGTCCCTGTCAATGGCATCCCCAATTCAGGGAGCACGTCAAGAATGTCATGGCGACATGTCAAACACATGATTTCAAGATCGCAGAATCTAAAGAGCAATTAGAATGAAGAGGACATGACAAGTACATGCGATGGTCTGCCTGGGCAGTCACCATCTGGAAATTAATTGGAGAAGTGTGGCTGTGCAGATGGCGGGACTGCGCCGTACTATCAGAACACGGCAGAGGGGCTGATCTTGCAGGCATTTGGGCCGCTGCTGGCCACCGCCAATGACTGCAGTCCGCAGCTGCAGCGCCTGCTGGAGACTGCTAGCAACCTCGGACCGCCAGGCGTAGCAGAGGTGCGTTTCGTCTCATCAAGAAGTTCTCACACCAAAATATGCAATGTGTTTGTCTCGAGACTATTGTTTCTTTTTTTGAAGGCAGGTGAACTTGGACATGCCAAAGGATGTGTTGCACGGGTATGGTTCAGTGATGTTTGTTGATTTGTGTGTAATTAGGAAAGAAAGGTCTGCGCCTGTGAAGAAGAGCTCATCTCTTGCTGCTCAGCATTGTTCCAACTTCAATGCAGTCTTCAGCATCCTGATCAGGGCAGTGGCCTTTCCTGAGTTGATGCCAGCATCGACAATGGTGACCATCGTTACTCCTGGTGAAGGTGTAGGTGATTTTCTTGCACGCACGCCAAAGGGTGCCCAAATTGCTGGCGCAGGGGAAGCAAACGTACCCGGACTACTCCGATCTGGCGCCGCCTCTGCACGCCCCCATCGAGAAGGACCGTGTCCGCCTGCAGGTGAGTAAATCACAGAGCTTGAACAAGGTCACAAACAGCTCGATGATCAAGGAGACTGCAAAGTCAGAAGTGCTGTAAACAGGCAATTAGCTTTTTACGGTATGTGCTCAGAGCACTCTCGACTTTGCTGCTTCCTTGTCATCAAGCTGTTTTTTGCGGTCCATACCCTCGTTCAGGACCCTTTGAAACCGGCTGGGCAGACATTAGGCCTTCAAAATCTCTAAACAGAGCCCAATCTCCGGTGTCTGTCAGCCCGCAGCGACTGTGGACCTGCATGCAACCAATTCATTAAGTCATCCTTCAAGCTCAGCTTGGCAAGACTTGCGCTCCATATCAACTCGCGCTCCTCAATAAATTCGTTAAGCTTTCTCCCAGGCCAGCCATCGCCTGACCAAATGTTTCACTCCCCGGGCCTCGAGATTCATCACCCCCAAACCCTATGTTTCCTACCCCCTTTTGGGGGGTGAAGAAACACCATATTTGCAGCAGTAGTTCTAGGATGTGATCTTGGTGTGTTCCCTCCAGGCGAGTGGGGAGGCGGTGTACACGAGCGATCATGCATTGGGCGGAGACGAGCTCTACTCCTACCCGGTGGAGTCCTCTCAGGCGCTGGCCATCCTGGAGAGCGTGGACGCTTCTGAAGCCCTCAAGGTATGATGATAAACAAGTCCAAGTCTTCAGAAGTCTAGCTTTCCGCTGCATGCTTTGTTCATGCTCAATGCTGCACAAAGAGGGGCAAAATAAGATACTCCACCTTGAGAGACCATCTGGCAGGATTCTGTTGCTCCCCCGTGGATCTCATTCCAGAGGTGGGGCATCTCTGCATGCGATACTCGCTCTGTGCTCGACAATTCCCTGCAGGACTTTTCTGGTCTCAGGACGAATAATGGATCCCTTGGAACAGTTTTATTTGGAAAGATAACGGACCATCCTCTGTAGAATAATTCCGGTCTCAGGACAAATAACAAACCCCTTTGAACAGGTTCGTTTTGAGAGGCAGCGGCTGATTGGGGCTTGTGGCTGATCAGGCGCCTGGAGTGGTGGCATTCATAAGCGCAAAGGACGTCCCAGGAGAAAACCGGGTCAAGGGCGGCGCAAGCGACGCGCCGCTCTTTGCAGAAGACCGCGTGGAGTATGTGGGTCAGCACATCGGCATCATCGTGGCAGAGACCCCTAAGCAGGCGCAGAGCGCTGCTGCCCTCGTCTCTGTTCGCTATGGCCACCCCAAGGTGAATTCCATACCCCAACTTTTTCAAGATCAAGCCATGCATGCGCATCCTTCGTATCGATGACTCGCATGCAGTGTAGGAAAACCCCATCTCAATGCTTCTTGCCTTGCTAAAAGCCAATTTCTTATTTTCCAGGTCTGCAGCAGCACTCTGTTTCTGTGCGCAAGCTCAGCAGCTCAATCTCTGAGCCGTGCTTCTGCTTCTTCTGTCTGACATGCTCGCTTCGTGCATGTGACCTGATGCAAATTTCCCATTCGAGCTTTTGCTATGCAGGAACTGGGAGATCCCATTCTGAGTATTCCGGATGCAATCAAGGCGGACTCCTACTACGATCCCCCCGGCAGCGGAAGCTTCACGTCCGGCCGCGTCTGCATAGGGGACCCTGACAAAGCCCTGAGCACCGCTCCCCACACCATCAAGGGCGGCAGGTGCGCAGCACTTAGTAATTGAAAGAGTAAGTGGAACAGGAGGAGAGACAGTTTCTGCAGGCTGAGGGTGGCAGCAAATTTTGGTGGATGTTGCGCCTTGTGAGTCCCTATCAAGAACGGCAGGCGCTGCCGCAGTTTCAGTCGTGAAATAGAGGAGAGAAGAAGTTTCTCTGCATGTTCCTGGCCCGACTTGGGTTGCAGTGGTGGCCATGGTGCTTGAGAGCTGGGGTGTATGTTGCCCTCTTTCAAGTCGTTGCGGGGCTGTGACATGCAGAAATTCTCGATGGCAGTCTTTAGTGCTGGGGCGCTCTTGCTCTTTGTCAGTACACCGCTGCACATATCATTTTCCACACTGATTTGCATGTGAGGCCGTCAGATGTGGCATGGTCTAGAACACCTGCCATGACCATCACCTGCCATACCTTTTTAGACCCATGTGTCCTGCAAGGACCTCAGATGTGGCACAATAAAGGGTGCCTGAATAATGGATTTGCAGGTGTTTCCTGACAATCATCATTTCAAACACATGTTTCCCTGCAGGGATTTTAGATGTAGCATGATGTACAATGCCGATCATGACGTTGCATTTAGCACATGCAACGTATCTCTTTCTGTCACTTTCATCCATCATGGGTCACGTGAGGACCTGAGATATGGCATCACGGGTGTGCAGGTATTCCCTGCCGAGCCAGCAGCACTTCTACATGGAGACGCAGAACGCCCTGGCAGAAGTGGGAGAGGGGGGGACTGTGACTGTGCATTCTTCCACTCAGACACTCGACGGAGTCCAGCAGGCAGTTGCCCGCGCTCTGGGCATCAAGGCACACGCTGTCACTGTCGGTGTGTACCGTACTCCTAATTCAAGTTGGATTGCATCTTAGTTGCATGATCTTTTGGAAGGCATTGCGCCAAATCCACAATGCATGACTGCCTTTTACCATGTCCAATGCAAGGCACTCGTTGTGAGCGCTCCATATCCGCCTGCAAAGTTTCCAGAGCCCCCATATTTTCAGAGATACATAAAAAAAGCTCAATCTTTTTTGCCAGGTAATAATTCGTATTTTTGCGACCAACAATTAAGTCGAGTACTGTATACATCATACCCTTTCTTGACTTGCAGTTCGGCTGTGATCCTTGATCAAAGCAAACTCCTTGCTTCTGTGGAAATTGTTTGTGGGCAGGGGTGCCAAGTTGTGCGGCCTTAGTCTGCAAGGGGTGCTCCAACCAGCCACTATAGATGAGGGACTCCCTGAATGCATGTGATGCATGCGCAACATGTCTATAAACAGAATTCAATAGCAAGCGCTAGACACTCGCATGACCATGATGCATTTGTTGCTTCTTTCGGATGGCCAAGAATTTGAAAGCCGCTGCCGAGCTACTCTGTATCGAGTAATGGTTGAGGAATCCGTAAGGGCTGTGACTATCTGACTTGCTCTATGATGCTGTAGATGGAGGTGCAGCAGTTTGTACGGGATTGTCTGTTAGATGATGATCTTAGGACATTTTGCTCCTGCTCCAACCCCAGCATGACAGCGCAATTATCCACACTCATCAACCTCCACAACTTGTCACTGGTTAGCAAATTGTGTAGCAGAGGAAACCTCTGGAAGTGATGCAACCAATGCACGGGCCACAAAGAATGGCTGCCAAAGGAAGAGAAGAAATTGGCTGCCAAAGGAAGAGAAGAAAGGTTGCCGTCCTGATCTTGTTATTCTGCGCAGTGTGCCGGCGCATCGGAGGCGCATTTGGCGGCAAGGTTTCCCGCTCGATGCCGGTGGCGGCTGCGGCCGCGGTGGCCGCGCATGTGACCGGCCGCTGCGTGCGCTACCAGCTGGACCGCAACGCCGACATGCGCACCAATGGAGGTGCCCAGAATTAACCCTTTTTCACCTCATTTTTTTTTACATTTATGTATTATTTTTTCTTTTTTGTTTCTTGCTCGTGCTGCAAAAGCGCAGCGCGAGCAAGGCATTTACTCGCCGTTGGAGCAACTCTCTGTTGTTAGCATCTTGCCCATCCGAGATGGTAATCTCTTCTTGTCATTAACCAACTCTTTTAAAAATATTTCACCTCAACCCTCTTTGACACTGCAATGTGCAACTTCCACCAGGAATTTCTTCTACGACTTGTCTTTCTGCCGTGCTCACAATGCTATGGATCATAGAGATATACTCAGCACAAAGGGCATGAGTGGAAAGATGTCACAGCAACATGAAAGGTCTCGCCTTCAAAATACTGCAGTTTTCTACTACTCATGCTTTCCAGTGATTTACATGACGCTGCGGCACTGGCAAGAAATAGGCTGAAAACACTGACGCAATGGTTTGCACTGAGTAGCGCTGTGAAGGAAATTTTGCCAGGGAAACTCCTGGATGATGCACGTGTGAAGCATGCTCAGACATGAGCTTTAAAACCTTCAGGTCATACTTGGTGATTCAGCATAAGCTGTGTCACTTCCAGGCCCCAGCAAGACGGTATTCAAGCAGCACATCAGCTGATTGCTGCGGCAAAATGCTTGCACTGGGTAGGTTCGTGAAGGCAACAAGATATTTTGAGTGAAGAATGTTGGGTTGGGGTCATTTCCAGGCCGCAGTGAGACGATGATCGAGTACGACATCGGCTTTGACGGGGATGGGAAGGTGCATGCGTTGAAGGTCCGCGGCTACTTCCTGTGCGGCGCGCACATGGACCTAGGCTTCAATGATATGCTCGTGCTGCAGTCCGGTGTCGACCAGGCACGCATGCCCACCTGTGCCAAATATGGTACTGTTTTTGGAGTTTTACATTTCAGCAACCAATTACTGTATGCGGATTTCTGATGGAGTTTAAGGGCAGCAGATGTTTGGTCATGTGCTAGCCGTCACCCCCTTGCTTTTGGAACTAAAGGGATCTCGGCTGATTTCTTTTCTCCTTCTTGCTTGGCTTGCTGCTGTTCCGCTTGTCGAGGGCAGGAGAGGAACTTGTGGCAGTTGTGGAAGTGTCTGCATGTCTTAAGCGGAGGAGGGGTTGGTCAAGTTGTCCTGGTTTGCAATGAGCTTCAGAATGAAGCTCATGACCCCTTGCTTTCTAGAAAAGCTTCAAGGGGACGGTCATATTCTCTGTCCAGACATTCAGCAGCCCTTTCACTTGTCTATTCTGGGGAGCGCATTGAAGTGTAGACTGTCTGGTGGCCGACATTTGCAGGTTCAACAATTATGTTCGCGTTGGCTGCCTGAATGGCTGCATCTCAATTCATTCTCTAGCGCCATTGGTCCAATGATTTAATGGATGGTGACCGATGTTCAAATTTCTGCCCAGGCGTACGCGTTTGAGAACCTGTCTCTGGACCTGAAGCTGGTGCGCACCAATTTCCCTCCCCGCACAATCGTTCGCGGCCCCGGCTTCATCAACTCCGTCATGATCATCGAGCAGGTCTGCTTGCTTCCATGCAAAATTCTTAACCACCCGGTGTTCTGGACCCTACTATGGAGCCTTTCTCGTTCTTTAGCGTGGCCTCTGCATGAGCTGCACAGCATTGCCTCGCCTGGAGCTCAATTGGGAGAGTCTGCGTGCCCATGACTTTGACTTGGGGCTTCTTACATGGCCCATCTGTCATATGCATCAAGCACCAGCAGAAACGTTCAAGCCACTTTGCTGTCTCTGTTCATGCATGCGCCCCTCCTTCGGAAATCACACGACTTTTTACCGTGCGGGTTTTAGAATGAGCCACAACCGTGTGTTGCGGGGCCTGCCCAATTTAAAGCATCAAGGAATGAGAGCAAGCATCCGAAGCTCCAACTTGGAGCCCAAAGCATGTAGCCAGATATTTTATTATTAGATCTTAAATTGCTGCGCAGCTGATGGAGCACATTGCCAGCCACCTGGGAGCAGACCCGGTGAAAGTGCGCGAGGTCAATTTCCTGAAGGCCTACCCCTTCGATGCGCCCACCCCTCTGCCCAACGGCGCGCGACCATCGGCAGCCATTGCGCCTCCAGTAGCCTCATCAGGTGCTTTCTATCAATAGATTACTTGTCATGAAGTTCCTTCCCAGAAGCTGAAGTTGTAGACATGTTTGGAGACGGCACGTATACCAAGCAGACCATGGTGTGGAGGCATCTCCTTCACCTTCATCTCCTTCTCTGGCAGAGTCCTCCTAGGACAACCGAAAGTAATATTGCCAGCTGCTGTACTGGCATACTGGTTTGATTGATCAACATCAGAGCAATTTTATATTATGTTATATTACATTGGCATAGGCAATAATACTCTTAGTTGTCCTAGGAGGACTCTGCCAGAGAATTCAGAGTTGGGCTAGCTTCCAGCTCTGTGTCTGCTGACGACCATGGCAATTTCTGCCAGGTGATGGATATGCAAACCTTGCCCTCAGCATTTGCGTATTGCAATCTCAGTGCGCAGCATTGAGAGGAAGACTTGCCTCATTTCTCAGCCGCATCTTTCCACTCAGAAAGGGTCAAATGGGGCACGATGCTGTCATTGCAGGAAGCACAGAATCGGGCCTCGCCTCAAGCAACGGAGCCAAGCATGACACAGGTACCAAGCAAAACGGGCACGTGCCGGGCGGCTGCGGCCGGATCAACGGCTGGGCATCAAAGCAGCAGAAGCGCCTTATGCGCACATCCCTCGGCAGGTGAGCAATATCTTCAAAACATCTTGCTCGGAATTCCTGAGCAGCGCAGCATTGCATTGTAAGCCTCATGCCGACCTCCCTTGGCAGCCATCTCATGGAATGTGCTCAAGAGCTGCCAGGCTGTCAGAGTGGTTAAGCACTGTTTGGATCAAGCACTGACCTTTTCAAATATGTTCAAAGCTGGAGGTCTTTCACAGCGGCTCAGCGCTGCAGTCTTTGGGTCAAGCACTGCCCTTATGGCATGTGTTGTGTGGACATGTCTGCTGCATGTTTGCCAATGAGCCCAGCGATGCATTGAGTAGCTTCATCCCGTTGTGCTGCACAATTAAGGCCACAGCGGAGATGAGTAATCCTGGCTTGCTGTGCAACATGGGGCTGACATGTCAACGTCGCATTTTGCATTAGAGTATTGATTGGGAGAAATTTAAATAAAACTGTTTTGCAACATACCTGTGTAATCCAATTGATTGCCTGAGAGGGAACACTGACCTATCGGTCTTATATATGACCGGTGCAGAAAATGCAACCAGGTTGCCGCCCTGAAAGAGGTCTGCTGCTGGAACGCACCTAGTCTTTGAAAGCTGGGAAAGCTTGCAGGAATGATAATGATTGTTTTTGAGCTTTCCCTGTGTTGCTGTGTGGCGCGCACTGGCCTTTATGGGCAGTCTTAATGACTGTGTGCATGGCGTGCCGCATAAAGTGTTTGAGGCTGATTTGCCCGCTTAACCACTCGCAAATGAGATCACGTCCAGCAAGCCTTTGACCCCTTACTGGAATGTTTATCTGTCCCTTTGATCTGCAGTTGGGCCCCGGCTGGCGGGGGGCGGTATAAATATTGAGCACCGTGCCCACGTTTGATTGAGTTTTGCTTGGATCTGGCGAGTCCAACAAGGGGCAGGATTTTGGCAGCCTTTACTGCAGCTTGTCTGCAGACGCACCTTGCTTCTGGCAGGAAAGGCGTGTAACGATAATTATAATAATCTGCAGTCCTACTATCTACTGTGCCAAAGTCTTGCCGTGCGGGGTGCAGGGTGTTTGAGGCAGATCTGTTCACGCTGCCGCGCATTTGGAAGGAGATCCAGGAGAGCACCGACTACCGCGCGCGCCAGAAAGACATCGCAGAGTTCAACAAGGCCTCCGCCTGGCGCAAGCGCGGAATGACCATCACCCCTTGCCGGTGCGGTGCAACAGCAATAATCCTCCTGCTTTAATCTTGTGATGCCGTCTCTTGTGGCTTCTGATTCACCTCCAATCAGCATGAAAGGGACCCGCACACTCCTCGTTCCTTTCAAATGGCTTCAGTGTCTGGCAATCATGTCAGAGGAGTTTGACCTAATGACAGGCATGTGCGACACTGAGAGCCCTTGAGCTGTGCTTTGCGGGCCTCTCAAACATTCATTCGCGGGTGTTCTCCGGCTGTGTGATTACTGGTCATCACCATGCCAGCTTGAAGCTTTTCGTATGGCATGAGCCATGCTGCGGATTGGCCCCTGCAGGTTCGACTGCGCGCCTCCACCCATAACGGCGGCGGTGTCGATATTCTTTGACGGCAGCGTGGTGCTCATCCCCGGCGGCCTGGAGATGGGCCAGGGGCTGCACACCAAGGTCAAGCAGGTGCGCGCCAGATTTTCAGCATTAATCTGGTGTTTGCACAAATTAGGAAATCTGGCTGAAGCAAGCGGGCGCGCGCCAGGCGTTGAACAGAACTCCGGGGTCTGCACATTCAAATGATGTTGGCGCCCGTTAAGCCAGATCTTCCATGACCGAGTTAGCAGAAGAAGGCGGTTTAATGGGAACATGCAACATTGCAAAACCACAACTGCTGCACTTTATCGGAGTGGACCTTATGTGCGTGCCCATGCTGAGAGGGCCCACCTTCTGCTGTTGGGAATCTGTGCAGACTCTCAGCCTGATGCCGCATTTATTATGGACTCCGAAACCAAGTGTAGTGGTTGTGGTGTTGCATTTACCTGGATTGTAGCATTGCAAATTGCATCTGAAATCCCGTGACATTTAAGACGCGGCCGATTACTATTCAAAGCGCGTATAAACATTGCCTGTGTTGCTCGTGGCTATTAGTAGGTCAGGTACATCAGATTGCACTGCAACAATCTAACGTCTCCGAAACCAATTGTTGTGCGCAATGTCATGAGATGACCTTCCGCACTACAATCGCTTCCGGAGTCAGCGATTAATGTTGTGCCAGACGCGCATTGTGACTTGTTTCACCACATATTTGCTGTCTCCTAAGCCTGCAGAAAGGTAAATGCATGTCATATGTAGGCTGGGGATTTTGTTGCTGACGCTGTGATGTTGGCCGCAGATTGCGTCGTACGAACTGGGCAAGCTTCTGCCGAAAGACCAGCGGCCGCTGCCAATGGAGCTTCTGCGCATCGGAGACAGCCGCTCAGACATCGTGCCGAACGGCGGTAAGATTCCTTTTCACTCTCAAAACCATAGTTGCACCATTTGGTCGGAACACTTTTTGGGGGCCGAATATACGGTCATACGGTGTTAAAATATACGGGATACCGTTAAAAACGGCCTATTTTGGCCCAAGACACCGAATATACGACCAAGGGGAGTATAAGAAGTTCTTCTTATACTCCCCTTGATACGACCGAATATTCACCGTATGCCGAATGGCCGAATTCGTATGGTGCAACTACGTTCAAATTGATTCCTTTTGCCTGCGCAAGAGCGTTCAAGGGCACGGGCAAGAGCAGCTGCCCAGCGTAAAGATGTAGCCCTCTTCAAGAGAGGCATCTTGAGACTTTCAGAAAGTCTTGGGATGACTTTGCTGGGCCGCGAATGTCAGGCATCGTGCCCAAAGGAGGTCTGCTCACTCCTTACATCCAGAAGCTTTTATCTCTTCCGAAGGCCAACACCTACCACAGCTGCTGGAAGTGTACATGCAGCATTTTCGAAAAATGCCATCTTGGAACTTTCAGGAAATCGATGATGTTGCTCTGGAAGCGCTGCCGGTGCATGCCAGACATTGTGCCCAACGGAGCTCAGCTCCAATTTTATTTGCGGATAAATTCTTTGCCTTCTTTCCAAGAGCGTTCAAGGGGATAGGCAAGGGTAGTCACAGCTGATGTGACATGCACATGCAGAGCTTTCCCAGAGGGTCATCTTCGGACTTCAAAGAAGTTTTGGTGATGACTTACCCTGGCAAAGTTCTGCCTGTGCATGTCTTTCTGCAGGCCACTGTATGTTTTATTTTTCTGACTTGCTTCTCGTCCAGTAATTTGGATCTTGAGAGGCCGCTGTGATAAAGAATCAGGCTACTGCTCACTGTCCTGCTTCCCGGCATATGCCTGTCACCTACTGAGCTCGCATATTGAGTCACCGCCCCAGTGGTAAGTATCAGACTTTCAACCAATTTCATGATACTGCTCGGGGCGGCAGCTGCATGTGTGTATTCCCCTTCCGGCATAGTTGCACCATTCGGTCGGAACATTTTTTGAGGACCGAATATACGGCCCTATATTCGGTCATACGGTCTGGAAACATACGGAATATATTCGGTCATACGGTCTGGAAACATACGGAATTCCGTCAAAAACGGCCTATTTTGGCCCAAAACACCGAATATACGACCGAATATACACCGTATGCCGAATGGCCGAATTCGTATGGTGCAACTATGCCTTCCGGCGAGTGTCGTCAGTGCAGCATTGCTTGCTCGCTCTTGCTCAGGATAAACTGCATCACGAAGGCATCATGTCGAGGCCTGAGAGGCCAGCCTGAGGAAGGATCAGGCATCCACTGTCCTTGTGCACCGGTGTTTGCAGGGCCCTGGAGCCTTGTTTCATTGTTTCATACATGTCCTTTGGGTCCTTCGCCGTACGGTAGCAGCATTGAAGCCTGAGAGGCTAGTCTGAGAAGGGAGAAACTGCCAAAAAAAGAGACTCTACTCAATGTTGTGGTGCGTTGTGTGTGCAGGCCCCAGCTGGTCAAGCACGACATCGGAGTCCACGGTGGCGGCGGTCACCGAGGCATGCAGGCAGCTCGTTGCCAACCTGGAGCCCTGGCGCCAGGTCAGCGCTGACCTGGCATCCCTGTTTTTTCCTGTGTTGAAATTTGCTTACACTTCTCAGCCATCAAATGGTCTCATCTGCAAGGCCGTTTTTCACAGTTGCAAGGGCCTTCTTGGATAAAATTCCTGCTGGACATGGCAGGCATTGTCACTGTCCGGAGTTGGGAATGCGATGCTCATATTTAGGGGCATCTAAGGCTCTAGCGGCTCCAAATGCGCAGCATAGCGATTTCAACTACGGGCTAGGATGAATCTGCCATGTCTTGTTGCGAGCTGTACTTCAAGCACAAAGCACTTGACCGCATGCTCAGCCGCAGCCAGGCGGGAGCCGCTGTCATTGTGCTTACATGAGTTGTCTGAGTGGCAATGCAGTAATCATGATGCCTGATGATTGCTCGTGAAATATCGCTTGTCAGGAGGGCGAGACGGCTGAGGAGACCTGGTGCAACACGGTGGGATCGGTACACACGGATGTCGGCTATGCACCCGCGTCTGCCATGCTGTCTGCCTACGGATTCTATGATGGCAAGACCCGCGGCGAGGGCGACAGCAACAAGGGCAGCGGTGAGTCACCCCTCATGGCGTCTTACGTGAAACCTTGAGTTTAATATAAACTAAAAAAATCCGTTGTAAAGCTAGAAAAGTATGAAGGAAAGCATTCCAGATTGTGCTCACCGTTCCTGCCACTGTGGAAGATAGTGAACTTGAAGTTTCCTCTCATGGTCGACATTTCCCTTTCAGCAGGGCCCCATGGCGTTCTGATTGTTCAAGAGAAACCTGGTGCAATGCAGTAGGCATATGGGAAGGCCATGGAAAGAGGTGCTGTTTTGTTGGCTGGCTGCATCAGCAAGTCATGCCGCACGTTATCTGATTGCTCCGTGGGGGCCACCCAGCATTTTTCTGAGCGTGACCCTGAAGAACATTCAGCACGATCGTGTAGCATGTCTTCCTGACACTTGATCCTTGTCGAGAGGTGGCCCAGCATCACTGCAGGACTTGTCCTCAATTATATTTGTATGATCATTGGTGACCCAGTGCTACAGTTGGTGTGGGTGCCTTGCCAAGAGTATTAAGTCCTGTCTTGCATCAAGACAGATTCTGACACCAGTAATTTTGGGTCTATCGATCAACAAGAAGTATACCGGGCAAAAAAATTAAGTGTGTGGAAAAAACGACTTAGGCTCTGAACTCACACTGCGGTCGGCCCGGCCCGCGCATGCTTGTTGCTACTGCTTCGCGGAGGGCCTCTGGCAGGTCATAGGTAGTGCCAGGAGTCCAACAGTGGCTGTAAGCCCTGCCCCTTCACTTGGGGACCTGAAGAAGAATTCCTTGAGGATCTGCAGGAGGCCTGGTGCACGCTAGCGAGTTTACTAGTCATCCCCAGCTTGTCAACCTCGTGTTCAGAAAAAAGTTCAGGCCCTGAAATGCAAATGCAGTAGGCCCGGCGCGCGCGAGCGTGGTCGCTGGCTCAGAGCCGCTGGCGTACTGCACGTTTGGGGCGGCATGTAGCGAGGTGGAGGTCGATGCTCTGACCGGCGAGTCGCGCGTTCTGCGCTGCGACATCCTCTTCGACTGCGGCCGCTCCCTCAACCCGGCAGCCGACATGGGCCAGGTATGGCTTGGGAAAATTCAGGGGTTTGTTGGTTTGTATTTAGGGTTTTAGAGGCTGCCCAAGAGCAGCGCGGTGTAAGCTGTGCTGGCAGGCCGCTTAGAAGAGAGAGAAGCTGTGCTGTAGCGAGTGGGGCGATTGTTTCTTAGGTGGATGGCAGCAATGTGAGGGCTGGAAATTTTGGGTTCAGATGTATTTCTGCGGGTATGGCAATTAGGAGGACGCTATGGCCTCAAGCATTTTCTGTCCGACCATCACTCTGTCATGCACAGAATCTCAAAACACTCGGGGCTGTCACTTGTGGCATCGTCAAATGTCAAAATTGCTGGCATCTACGCAGCTGCGCATCCTTTGCCACCTGTTCTGTTGGCTTCATACTATATCAGCCACAGCAGATCCGTTGGGTGCACATCTGGGCAACTGCTAACAAGTGGCTGTCGATATCTGTTACTTCCTAGGACTTCAGAATGGACGCATGCGCGCAGGTGGAGGGTGCGTTCATAATGGGCTTGGGATTCTTCACGAGCGAGGAAGTGATGGCTGACTCATCTACCGGCAAGCTGCTGAGCGACGGGACGTGGGAGTACAAGATCCCAGCCGCCACCTGCATCCCCCGCCAGTTCAACGCCACCTTCATCAAGGCGCGCTTTTTTGCCTTGATTTTTTCCATTTGACTCCGAATCAATATGCCTTTGTGATCACTTGGCTTGATGGTATATACATCTTAACGCCCCTGAGACATGGGGTGATGATTGGAACTGAGGGTTATTGGCAACAAACCCATTAGGGTGAACTGGCCCCGCGGCCCATGCGGGCGCTACTTGTTTATCTTCTGCACCCCTGCTCACGGCTCGAGTGCACTACATCCTGCCACAGACTTATGTGCTGCCCCTGCATACCTCAATTTTTTCTCTTTTGCACCTCTATTTATGGCTCGAGTGCACTGCAGCCTGTCACAGACTTATATTTACTGCCCCTGTGAGTTTTGTGTCCCATGCACATCCTGGATGAAGCAGCCAACAACCGCAAGAGACTTTCCAACAATAACAACCTTCGCCAAAGAATTACAACAGCATGCTGTTGCATCCTGTATATACTTGTCTCTGCATTGCATGCAGGGGTAGGCGCAAATCACACTGCCAGCTTGCATGTATCTGCCTTGCAAAAGCTAGACTTCTGTCAGTTTCGGGGCTCTGGACTCTCATCATAAAACACTTGTTCCTGACAGCGGCTGGGCTCTGGTCTCACCCCCTGAGATGTTGACTGTGTTTCTGACAGCGGCTGACAAAATGTCTTGCAGGACTCGCCGAATGAGCGCGGCATAATGGGCAGCAAGGCAAGCGGCGAGCCGGCTCTGCTGCTGTCCGTCTCCATCCTCCACGCAATGCGAATGGCCGTCGGAGCCGCGCGCGCTGAGCTGGCGGCCAAGCAAGCAAACACCCTTCCGCGCGTCATCACCCCTGCAGCCTGCACACCTGGTGAGGTCCCCATCTGTCGCAAATTTTTCACCTTGGTTTATTCTGAATTTTGGCCGCTAGCAGATTCATATACGCAACAGAGTCCACCAGTCACATTCACCCGTAGCACGCCGTGGCCGGGTTTTACTTGCCCTTCTGGACTTCTTAATGTGTTCTGGCCTTTCTGGATTTCCAAATGTGTTCTGATCACTCCGTGAAGTCACTGTGGGCATTGTGCATAGAGCAGGGAGAACTGCTGCGTATGTTGGTTGCCATTATGAAGTATGCCTAGCTCAGGATGCAGGCATGCCAAGTTTGCTGATGTGTGGAGGCTCTGCAGGAGAGGAAGACCAGCCACAACTGGCCGCTCACACAAGCTTCTCAGTCAAGCTGAAGCGCGAAGACAACGGCCAGGAGATCATGATACCCAAGGCAATCACCGGCGAGTGGACCGACCAACTGACGCTGGCAGCGCTCAACGTGGGCAGGAACAACTTTGTGATGCTGCCGGGGCCGGCGACCGTCGTGAAGCTGAAGGAAGCCTGCGGAAGCTTCAGCGCAGCTGCTGTGCTCAAGGAGGCCTTGCAGGCGGAGAGAGGTTCTGAGGCATCTAGCCCGGAGGGATGGGTGCTCCTGGAGCAGGACTGAGCGCTCACGCATGTGTTCTGAAGCCATCTGCATCCCTGCAGTCCTTCCAGCATCTGCTGTCGTGTCTCGAGGATATGGGCCGCCAACAGACGCTGCCGCAATAGGGCGGACAATGCAGAGAGAGGCAGTAAAATTGCCTGTTGTGTTGCTGAGATGTGCTGTGCCTGACAGCCGCAATTGGCTGTGCTCCATTTGTTTTGAAGTTTTCAAAGCCGTTTGCCATGCATGCATGCAGCTGCATTTGTTGCGAATGCTGTCTTTATTGGGTCTGGGATTGTGTAGCAGGGCTCATTGCTGTGGCTGCCATAACAGTGTCTGCTTCCAAGCTGGCATCTTTGACTCTTTCCTTGCAGCAGATTTTGCAGCAGCTGGTTGTCAATGTCAAATCCACTCATGCACTCAATGTAGCTGTTCTCAATGTAGCTGTTCTTAATGAAGTGACCAATGTACGAAACCTTCAACATCCCCTGCTGAGCATTTTGCAAATCGCCGCACAAAGATAATTGGGAAGGGATGCACCAATGTCTTTTGTGCGCAAAACTGCAGCCACTTTGTGTGCCAAATGCCAGAGAGCCAATTGCAGAGGGTTTCTTGTGATCATGCCCCAGATCAGTAGCAGAATAAAGAATTAAAGCACTTTGCAAGTTGTGCTGCTGTTTTCCCCAAGTGTGTGGAATGGGATTGCAGCATATGTGAGTTGATGGCTTTGCTAGGGGACAATATATATGACCGTGAGCCTGGTTGTGTGCACTATTGCTTTCCTGTCAAGGACTCATGCTGTGCATCATTGTAAACCTGTAAGCATGATTACATGGCTATAGCAACGGGCAAGTCAGAGGTTGAAGTGCAAACTACCCTGTATATGTACACCAGCACAACATGTTGCATGCACTCTTGAGCCTTGAGGAGGGGTGTGTATATGTGGGAAAAGTGTTCCAGATGCTTGCTGTACCCCTCGATATAGGATATGGTAATTCTAATGCATTGCTGGATTTAATCACGAATTATCTTTACATCTCTTGTATACTCAGGACTACCTTGGTCTGATTGTCTTGAAGGTGTGTATTTGATGCTACTCACAAGCTGCAGGCAAAACTGGCCACAGGAAGCTTCTAAAGAAGAGGACATGTCACCCTGCATGCTGATCTGCTCTAATTAGGAGGAAAATTGAGCGGCTACAACTACTGTCTTAAAACTCGCCTGGGATAGCACGTCCTTAACATTCACACAACCCAAAAAGCTGTCATCAGGATACACTATGTCATTGTGCTTGATTGTCGTGGATGCCACAGCAAAGCTGCCTCCTGAGATACACCACCCAACGAATCCACTCATTTCCTGGCAGCTGCTTGCGCCTTGCAGCCTGGCGCAAGCACCTGTGTCGAGATTGTCCTTTCAAGGACAGATTTTAGACTATGGTCTCTTCAATCTTCTTGGTAAAGTGTGCTCCTTAGGAGCTATTGGTTCTTCACTCTTCCTTCACAAAGCGCGCTCCGGTGAGTGGGTGCTCCTCGATGCGGCCGGCATGCGCCTTGACAATGCCAAACTCTGTCGGCGTCACCAGCATCTCGGGGCGAACCTCCACAGTCTTCTGCGCGCAACAAACAAACAGATTGTGAGTATGTAATCCCATGCATGACTCACTTGAGATGCACACCACAGGTATTGTCCATATGCACTCACACTGTGAAGGCTGCACATACAGACCATTGTAATTTGCTCCTACCTATCAAAGTGCAGGGGAATTTGCAGGGCACACCCCAAGACAGGCGCGTCCATCTGCAAGCACGTGTGCCAAAAATAACAGGTGCAACCCAGCTAAATGCTGGGGGTGACATCATACTGACATGTGGGAGGAAAAATCGCTCGGTATGAGTCCCCTTGCATCTTTTCTATCCATAGTCACACGAGGACAAGCAGGTAGTTATGATTTGCCTTAAACCTCGAATATACAGGTGTCCATAGAAGGACAGACTTTTCAGAAGAAGATCTCACCGGCTCAACAATGCGCGTGTGCATGAGCGGGGAGCTGCGGCCGCCGACGCTGCGGGAGCGGTCCCAGTCAGCAAACAGCACAGCAGCCAGAGCAAACAGGGCTGCCGCCAGGCCGTAGCGGAATGGCACGCCCAGTGCATAGCTGCGCAGGAAAGAAGAAGTGCTGAACAAACATGGCACAATGGTGCGAGACAATGTCCAAATTTCAGCACGGAGTGCAGGATGTGCAATATAGTTGGGGTCATGCTACAGCAATATACAATGCAAATTACACATCAAACCAATGATGTACCAACACACCTGCTGCATAAATGAGTAACTTCCTGAACCTATTTCCAGTGTCTTGTAAATAGTGTCCTTCTGCACTTACAGATAGCAGAACAAAGCACGATGCGTATCTCGCATGGAAATAGGTATAGGATCTCCCAACCAGGAGGGGTTTTAGAGGTTAATTGGGAGGAGTTGATCAAGCTCAGCTCACCTGGCCAGGGCGACGAGCACGATGCCTCCCGCAGTGCGACCCAGCCAGCTGCGGTTCACATCCTCAACTGAAGCCTCACGCACCTGCATGTTTGAATTTAATGCTTACATTAACGCAGGCTTTTCAGAGTAGGCTTTTTTGAACAGTAGCACAACGCATGCCACATTCAGCTGTGCATTGCTACAAGTATTGGTAAGGCTGCGAAGCATCTCACAAATCTCATTCACTTCTATGCAGATACCCTCGCCCAAGGCAAGGTGCGTCTGGCAGGCTGCAGGTGAGGGGGTCTACATTCCTGGACGCAAGATCTAGAAAAGCCTCATTTAACTGTGGACTTGGTGCTCAGGATATGTACCACCGCCACCCACCAGCCAGGTTTTCTCAAATTTGCGAGTCAAAATGGAGGTAATGCAGGACTTACGTTCTGCGCGAGCTCTGCAGCCTTCTGCTGCGCAGCACGGCCAGCCTCCTGCACATGCATTTTGCCCTGCTCCAGGGCCGCCTTGCCAGCCTCCTGCTGACGCTGCGCCTGCCGACGCAACTGCAACAAGTCTGACCAGTGATCGTCGCAACATGACAAGATTGGGACAGATCCTTACATTGCCTGATTTCATCCATTGTGCTGGCTTGCATTTGGGATGCGGACAACCTTCACAGCAGCGTTGCAATGCCTCTGCCTCTCAAGATTTCCAGGCAGTCCTGGATATCTTGAGAGACAGATGCATTGCAACGCTGCTGTGCAGTCGAGCAAAAGGAAGTTGCAACTGCAAGACGTCCTTGTTCCCAGTTTCTGTGGCAAAGAATGTAGCAACTGCACAGAAAGCTACATCCTTCCACCACACATGCCAGGGACAAAATCATGCTTTGCTCTGCTTTCTCAGCAATACGCAAACTGAGACAATAGAAACAAACCTCGGCGGAGAGGTCGCTGTACTTGGCGGCAGCAACTTCCTTTGCGGCCGCAGCATGCTCGGCAGCGCGGTCGCGCGCGGTGGCGGCCGTGCCGGCGGCCGTGTCGCGCGCCGTCGCAGCGTGCCCGGCCGCTGCCTGCGGCAGACCCGTTTCGTGCACCTTCTGTGCAACCACCCTGCAGATACACACATATGCAAGTCCATCAGGTCATCTGACCACCCAAGTTTCTGCTTTCTGTTGGCGGCTGTCAGTGTTGGAATTGTTTGCATGCCTACAAGGGGACGCAAATCCTCTGGACTTTGATCATGAGTGAACAACTCGGAAGTGCCCATGTGCTCTACAGCCCGAACAGCACACATGATCTAGCAGCCAAAGATTTTGTGGCCTGTCAAAATGATTACAGAGATGTATAAGGGATTGCTCACTGGTAAGCCTGGCTGGCCTTCTCAGCAGTGGCGGCGGCGGCCGTCTGGACGACAGCCTGCGCCTTCTGCAGGACGGTCATGTCGTTCCTGCCCGCAATGCCGGACTTCTCCTGGACCGCGTCCACAGCTACAGCAAACATTACCACTTCGTCAGTGCAGCACAGCAAAATCACACAAGCACACCACATGTTACTTATCCCTGTGCAGAGGTGGTGATGCGAGGTGCGCATGCACAGTCAGCTAAGGACATATCACTTCAGTCTTTCGAGTTCCCTGTAGGCGTCCTGAAATCTGATGACTCCATCGGTGTCATTCCCTTGCCAAGGCGGTTGCAACTTGCCCCTCCTCATCGGATTAAATGTAAGTGAACATTAAAATACGCACCGGCCTTGGCCTGGTCGGCAGCAGCGTCGGTGTAGGGCTTGACGGCGTCACCCACAGTCTTGGTGCCCTGCGCTGCGCTGTCCACCACTGACTGCCCAGCTGCCTTTGTCTTGTCGCTGGCACCCTATTCCCCCAGCAAAATGGTTTTAGTGCCCTCCTAGTTAGGTGTGATTTGAGCATTGCAGGATTTCCATGATGTTCTGTCCGTGGCTGGCAGAAACATAAGGGCCACAGCCCGCAACAATAAAGGCATCCTAGCCTGCAACATTTGCTGGCTTACATTTGTCCCACAACAGTAGACGGCAGGATGCACATGGAAGGTGGCCCCACCATGGGGCCTTGGGATACCTGCGTGGCTCTTACAAATATATATGCCAACCCCAAAATCGTCATAGCGGCCATCCACCATAGGCACCCCCATGCAAGTTGGTTGCAAAGGCATGTGAAGGATATTTTTCCCCAAATCTCTTACCTGCACATTGGCCTTGGCATCCTTGGTTGCAGTGCCTGAATCCACAGACTCACGAACCTGCAAAGACATCCCAATTTTGATCGATGACACAAGCAGCATCAGCTTGGTTTCGATGCAACAATTAGCGCGCATTACGTGCCAATCTGCGAGCTGTTTGCTTCAAATGCAATTGATACAGCAATGCATGACGTGTACCACAAATAGTAAAGCAAAGTGCTGTGTACTTCAAGTGACACAGCATTGCATGGCAAGTACCACAGGTCACAAGCTGCAGGATTGTCCCCAATATTGGAGAATGTGTTGCACAGCTCCGCACCTCCTTGGCCTTCTGAGCAACAGCCTGCGCGCCCGAGCTGATGTACTCGGCAGCGGTGGCCGTCACGCCCTTGCTCTCAGAAGTCGCCGTGCCACTGTCGGCTGTGCTGTCTGTGATCTTGTCCAGAGCGCTTGTGTAGTCTGCGCGCACATGTCACCTTGTCAAATTGAGACAAAGCATGCATGCCATAGGCCCTGATCCTATATGTACCTCGATTGCAATGCAAACTCCCAGCCAATCATGGCACTTTATGAAAGCCATATTCATACATGCTTATGACTGTACTCTGGAGAGAGCCACTGTCATTTCATGAGAACAACACCATGTTTATGTAGCGCTCGGGAAGTGTCATGCATGTGCAGATAACTCACCGCTCCTCTTGGATGAGCTGTCAGAGTGGTCCCTGGCTGAGTCCAGGATGCTGCCGCCAGTCTTCTTGTCCAACTTGTTGTCGAAGGAAAAGCTGCTGGCATCGTCCTTGCCTCCCTTGCTCAGCTGGACACAGCACAGAACAACGATAAATACAGCATGCATCCGCTTGGTTCTCCATGACTTGCATTGCAGGGAAAACGGCAGACTCTCTCCTGCACAAGCAGGCAGACTGACATTCGTCTACTCTTCATCAAGACTCAACCACCATGGCAGGGAGCATGCACATGTGAAAAGTGCCAACGGGCGGCCAATTGGCCCATATTGCATGAGACGTTCTGTCTGTAGTGACAGGTGAAAAGGGACATGAAACACACCGTGTCCTGGGCAGAGTTGGGCAGGCCCATGCCGGAGCCGTGCGCAGCCTTGTTCTCCTGAGCCTTGTGGTGCAGCGAGCCGGCAGCGTCAGACTGAGCGCCGGTGCTGAAGCCGGTGCTCGACGCGTCAAACTTGGCGGTGATCTTAGACACGTCCGGTGCTGAGCTTGTGTTCGTGGAGAACGGCTTGGTGCTGTTGAAACCCTGTAGAACATGGAACATGTCGTGTAAGTGTCTTCAAACAAATCGTATTTAAACCACAAGCAGCCATGCGCACGAGTCACGTTGCCGATGCAGTCCATACAGGCAGAAGCCATCCCAGCTTCACTTCCATCTATACGGAATCAAAGTGTCAAATGCATGCGGGAGAAGACAGGGTGCATGGCATCTGACTGAACATGCTTGCATGCAATGACGATTGCAATGTATGCTTGTGCTGGATTTGTGATATAGAAGGAGGAGCGCACAGTGTCCTGGGCAAAGTTGGGCAGGCCCATGCCGGTGCCGTGGGCAGCCTTGTTGTCATCCGCCTTATGCTTCAGCAGGGGCTCCGATTCCACATGGCCCTTGGTGGCGGAGCCAATCTTGGATGTGTCTGGCTTGGCATCGATCTTGGAGATGGCTGGTGTCAGCCCAATGTCGGTGGTGGCCGGCTTAGTGCTGGGGATGCCCTGCAGCCACATCAGGTTGCTTTGTTATTTAAAAGAAACTCAAAACATATCTGCAATAGTCAGAGCATGTCTGCATCGCAAAATATATTACAGAAATGCGCCACTGTTTGCTGCTGTGCTGCGGCTAAAGCAAAAGAATGCCACCTTGTCCTTGAAGATGCGGAATATGCTCCTGCCTTTTATATTGCGATATATAAAACAGGCCAAGTGCTTTGCGATCCTAGACAACAGCTGAGAGGAGTGGAATATCTGTTAATTGACACTACACCTCAGATGAAGGTATGAAGTGTTGGAAGCTCACCTTGCCCTGTGAAGCGTAGCTGCCCACGGAGCCAGTCACGCTGGTGGCTCCTGAGGCAATGCTCTCGTGCAGGGGTGCATAGCCAGCGTCCTTGGGGGTGTTTACCCCTCCCAGGTTCGTGGTGGCGTGTGGAGAGGGTGCAATCACATCCTGCTGCTTGTGCTCTGTCGCGCGAGGCTGCGCAATGGGATACTTGGATGCCTGCACGAAGAATCCTCAACTCAGAATTGGACCTCCATAAGAAATTGTTGAAAAATGGCTGGCTGCAGGGCAAGCTGAAGAGGAACGATGAATGAGTCAGCAGCTCCCTCATCGCTGGGATGCCAGTGAAAGGAAGACACTCTCAACACGGAATGAGGCAACGTGAGCGGGAAGACAGCGTACATCGTAAGTGCTGCTGTGCTTGATGGGATCCTCCGGCATGAGCTGCGTCCTCCCTGCCTCGCCAACACCGGCGTCCAGCTTCGATCCGGCTATTCCTGAGCGGGCATCGTTGTGAAGGGGGCTGCTCTTGCCCGTCCCGGCCTCGGTCTGATCTATCCCAGGCTGGAGTCCCTGCAATGAGTGCAGTAGCACTCATTACTTGCCTCAAAATATAGAGCAAGAACAGCCCTTCCAACTTCGCGTCCCGGAGGATAGCTTCCCCGTGTACGACACACCACGGCCAATGCTAGATCTTGATGAGGATGAGGATGCAGGTGAGATGCAATCCAATGCCAAATCCCATATTGTCTCATTGTACATGATCTGGGCACATAGCGTCAGCGGGTTTCCCCAGCTGCTCACTGGCCAGGCAGTGATAAAACCACAAACCTGCAAGCTCAAATCCAGCTTCTCGCATTACTAAATGTAAAAAAAAACAACCTTCAAGAGAGTGCTTAGCCGAACAACGCACCGTGCGGGGGAACTCTGAAGGCTGGTCACCCTTGTCATCCTTCATGTTTGCACGAGTCTCGTGTACCTTGTCCTTGATCTTGTGGACGAAAGATTTCATGCCAGTACGCAGAAAGAGTGTGAACTTACTTCCTTTGCTCGAGTGCTATGTGTTGCTCTTCTGAAGATGTATTAAAGATGTTGCCCAATATAGGGATCGGGCGGCTTCCAACAAGGTGCCATCGCCAGAAATGGCTCTAACACCAGCTTCCCCCAGCTTCCCAGATGCATTCCTTGAAGGTGTGCTGCTTTTTCTTACAGATGAGAGTTATTGTTGCATTGTGAAGACATTGGCAAAACTTAATACCCATCATAGTCACCACAAGCATTGTGCATTCATAGTGATTTCATGCATTCAGGTGTATACACAAGCCACACAATGCGTGCACGGGGCATCAATTCACAGACAACTCTGAATTCTCGATATTGAAATAAGATCTGCGCAAGCTTTTGAGGTCATTTCAGGTACTGCATGTAAGGTTCCACGTGGCCTGCTTGCTTCACAATCTGCGCAGCGCCCATTGATGCAACGCTGACTCAGCAGGAACACTTGATCTTGCTCTGCTGCCGCAGCATTTCATTGAGGTCCTTCTCGGGGTGCAGATCCGGCTCGTCCCAAATCTCCACGCCCGAGTCGCCAGGGGTGCACTTCTGTAGCACCCTGCACAGCACCCTCACCATGTTTGTGGGCCATTTCCTGCTGTGACGTGATCTTACATTCTTCTTCTTCTTCTTCTTCTTCTTCTTCTTCTTCTTCTTCTTCTTCTTCTTCTTCTTCTTCTCCTAAAGCAACAACCTCAGCTCTTGATTGGGCTTCTGCAAAGTCAAGGAGGTCCCAAGAGAGCCTCTGCGCTTTTCAGAACACTAGTAATTTGCCCAGGAAAGCAAATCCTGGGGGGACGAGAATCCAAACCCAGAGACCAGAAGTCCCTGGCCAGTTCCTGGTGGAGTCCTTCTGGGATGTCAAATCCGGAACGAGGTTCCACAGCATGAGAAAAAGTGCAATGTTGACCAGATCTGAAAAATGCAGGGAATGTTGCACCTGAAATAGCCGACCATGCCATGATGGGCAAAATCAGGGAACGCTTTGCAGACGAGCGGCCGGCAATCCTGCCAGATGCGCTTCTTGTGCAGCGCCACCGAGTGCTCGAACACATCATATCCCCTGCAAGCCCAGCACACATCTTGATAATCATGTCATGCGAAGCATTGTATGCTCATGTGTACTTGAAGGTCCTCTCTCGATACTCGGCTATCTCAATGACTGTGCACTGCAGTACTATCAGTGAGCCAGTAATTGAGAAGGTTGGTACTGACAGAGGAACCCGTAAGTATTCTGCACTTTCTGAGGGCGCATTACAGAGTCAATCGCAAGTTCAACTTCATTTACGGGCCCTCCAAGGACTGTACATTTGGCACTGTGAAGCATATCCTGATTCCAAGCCAGCCTTTCTTGCGGACCATGCGACTCCTGGATCGCTGTGACATTTGAAACTATCAGGGAGCACTGCAGTGAGTGGCAGCACATGCCCTACGGTAGAGCCAGACAGCGAACCCGCGCACCGAAACGCGCGCAGCAAACCAACAACTTCTACTGTGTCTTGCTTACTTGACATCCAATCTCATGACATAGCATCGCAACAGGAAACACCGAGTATAGGGGACAGACAGAAAGCTCACAGGGCGCGCGGGCTTTCCAAGCGCGCCAATCATGACTGCTGGATAACCTACCAACATCTTTTACTGAAACAAGCAAGAAGCGGCAGCAAGCACAGAAACAGATAGGAAGAGTGCGCACAGGGCGCGCGCAGGCAGCAATGAAATGGGGTCATGGCTGTGTCTGACGCGGATGGACTGCCCAACGACAAAGTTGACAATCAATGACAGCTGCAGCATTCAGCATTGACATGCACCGCTCAACACACTTGCATCTCAGCGGCAAGTGTAGAGGTCCAGACAGGAAGCTCACAGAGCGCGTGCTCTGAACCAACCTATACTCCAGCACACTCGACATCAACGTCGGCCCCGGCTGGCGGGGGGCGGTATAAATACTGAGCCCCGTGCCCACGGTTGATTGGGTCTTTGCTTGGATCTGGCGAGTCCATCAGGGGGTAGGAATTTGGCAGCCTTTAACTGCAGCTTGTCTGCAGGACGCACCTTGCCTTCGGCAGAAAAAGCGTGGAATAATAATAAGAATAACACTCGACATCAACGCTCACGACAGAGAAGTGCACCAGGCACAGATAGGGACACTCACAGGGCGCGAGCAGGCATCAAGGGGATTGGATCGTGGCCGTGCTCGACGCGGATGGACTGCCCGATGATGAAGTTGACGCAGCGGCACAGCGCTTTGTTGCCCACGCGTGGAGTGCCAAAGCCGATGCAGCGCACGTCCGCGTCCGGCCACTGGAACGCAGCCCACATGCCGGCTGCGCGCATCAGTGAAATACTTTATTCTTGAAGGTCAGTGAACCTGCAACCAGGGAACATATCGCACACCTGCGGGGGGCGCAAGCCATGAGCCCTCCAGCCAGGGCGATCGGGCCTCGCCTACCGGAAGCTAAAAAGAGTTGAGCGGCAAAAGGCTGGTCTAAAACCCAACGCCGCCCACATGTCAGCTGCGTGCAGGCCAGCAAGGTTATTCTGGGGCGGTGCATGTGTAATGTTTGAAGGGAATACCGACTGTCTTAAATATGCCTGGAGCAAACAGTCTCAAAATCTATGCTGTGCTGGACTTGTACTGTCCTGCGCTCCTATTGTGTCAAGAAGCATACCACTCGAGACTAAAATAAGAATGGAGCATGATCCCCATTGCTGACTGCAGCCTAACTTGGCATGGCCCTTGGCACCATGGTTCAACACATGGGAAGGTTGAATTCCAAAGCAAGTGATGCAGGAAGGCTGTTGGGCAACATTCCGATTCTGAAACGTCGCAACAGTGGGGCATGCTCCCCATTGCTGGAAGCACTGCAAGGACGGAATGTTCCCCAGCAAATGCACCCTTGCCTGCAGCTTATTTGTAGACGCAACTTGCATGCTGTATATCCCAGAGGCAAGGACGCACCTTGCCTCTGGGAGATACAGCGTGCAAATACTGCTACTGTAAGAACTGACTTATTCATGCAAAGAGTTAGAGGGTGATGAGTAAATCACCTAAGGCCGCCACGGCGCCGCCGAGGCTGTGGCCGCAGCAGATTATGCGATTGGGCTCCTGCCCTGCCGTCAGCACCTGCGCACACATGCACGCACATGTCAGCAGACCATCGTCATGCTGACGATGGTGCTCTAAGTTGACATGCAATTCCTGCTAGAGGCAAGGTGAGTCCGGCAGGCGAGCTGCAGGTAGAGGCTGCCACAGATCTACACCTTGTTGGCCTCGCCAGACCAACCAGGAACCAAGGGGATTATAATGTGGTTATAGCAACCTGAACCCTGATACATAGTGTCAGATTGAAGCCCCTGGTGATGCTGAAAGCACACAACGGGCTGGTCTGCCTACACATACAAGCACCGCGCTGGATAGCCTGCAAAGGGTGCTCATCGCTATCCCTTGCTTCTGTCGTGCTGCATGGCTCTATGGAAGCAAGGGAAGCCAAGCAAGCACTCCTTGCAGGCATTTCAGTCCAGGCCTGGACAAGACCAGATGTAGGATACACACTCAAACGGAGGAATGGGCCTTTGCAACAAAGTGCACCAGCTAACAGGATGCAATTTGGGCACGAGGGGGAAAGGGGCACAGGTCAAAGGATCAGGGAAATGTAACGCAGAAACAGGATACCTTGATGGTCTCTTCCAGATTGGAGTCGCATGACTCGGGGTTGGTGATGGAGCTCAGTTGCTGCAGCAGCCAAAGCATGTATCATGAGATCATTCCACGTTCAGCCAGAGCATAATTTGGGCAATAATTCTTTTGCAGATGCATGCGGCACTGAGTCCATCCCTTGTGCTATTGGTTGTTTTGCCAAAGTCTTAGTCTCAGCTGGCTTTATCATGTTGCGCGATATCAATTCATGTCCGTATCAATGCACTGAAGCTTATGAATAAAGACCTCGATGGCGAACCTGCAGAAAGCCGCTGTGGGCCTTGGCGCCAGGGAACGCCTTAGGCAGGAGCTCCACCTGGCATTTACATCGGTAATTAAATATTTGTTTAGTAAAAATACAATTTGAAGGGCCCAAGCTTGGCTTTCTGCAGTGAAACTAGGATGAGAACCCAAAATGCTGACCCCAAAATCCAACTTGTGGCTTTTCTCCTTGCCTGGGTGGCTTTCCTTGTCTCGTTTATATTGCATCAGCGTCCCACAAGCCTTGTGGAGAACAGTGCGCGACATGAACAGGGCTGGAGAGACTCCACCAACGCAAGGATATACCAACACAGCAATCACCCGCCCACATGGGTAAAGGATATGGCCGCTGTCGGAGGGCGGTCTGAATACCGAGCACCGTGCCCACAGTTTATTGTGTTGTGCTTGGATCTGGCGAGTCTATTGAGGGGCGGGCTTTGACAGCCTCTGCATGCGATTTTTATTTATATTTTTTGCTTGCATGCACACGCACCTCGCCTCTGGCAGGAACAACATGCGTTGGTAATATTCAAAAAGATGTTGCCTCGGTGTATATCTTTGTCTTGTTCAAACTGCTGAGCACCACAAGCTATATGGACAGGGATCCATACAGATATCAGTAGCACTCTGCAGCAAGAACAGGACAAGCATATACACAAAGAGAAGGCTCACGAAACCTACACCAGAAAGCAAGTCTTCTGTCCAGACAAACCATATCCTTGAGGTACTTGAGTTCTGACCCGCTTGGAGAAGAAGCTGATGTCTGCCTGGACGTTCTTGAGGCTGGCTGTGCCCCGAAAGGCAATCACCAGAGTTCCGCTCGGCATCCATCCAACGGCGCACTGCACACCAGACTCACACAATAGATCAGAGGCGGCAGATGCCGCCGCGTCGGCAGAGGCGGCTGCACCGGAAGACGGCGCGCCCCCGGCCGAGGCCCGGCCCCGACGGAAGACTGAGTATCTTATAACTGAGCTTGAAGTTCAGACCATGAAAGAATGCTGAACAGGCTTCCTATCAGTGAATGAAGCACCGCTCTAGTGCACTCATGTGAAACATGTCAGGACATGCTAGATTCTTCCACCATGCCCAGAAACGAGCGCCAGCCTCCCGTGTTCATGTTTGAAGGCACACAAAGCAATCGGACGGCCGCCGGCCCAGCGCGTCCGGAATGCAACTCCAAGCTCAAACCACACCTCGAAGCACTCGCTCTAACACAGAGGGCGTTCGTGCATGCATGATGCTGCTTGATTCTAGTGCTGCAAGGAGTATTTTCTTAGAGGATTCACGAGGTAGTGCAGGTGCGCACATAAGTCTCGGTCTTCTTGCAGACAAGCAGCTCGGACGTGCGCAGTCCGGTGACTCCCCTGAAGTATTCCAGGCTGTGGTACACTCCATGGGCCGCCAGAGCAGCGCCCCGCACGCGCGAAGCCAGGTGCATCTGCAAAAGCACCTCAGAGATGACAGTTCAATACTCAATACGTCAACAAGGACATCCCCCGCGTGTAAATTTCAACGTAGGTGGGACCTCCGCTCTTGACTGCTGCTGCATCTCTTTTTGCAGAAGCACGGGCGCATGTTCGGTTGCTTCCTGTGCAACTGCTGATACGGACAGATCAGAGCGACTAGAAACAGGGGCTGGGGGGTCCGAGGCATGCAGAAAGATGCATCAACAGGCAGGACATGGTCAGAAGCTCCACCTCATGCAGAGGCAGAGCTGGTGATCAGTCTCGCCTGTGGGTGTATCCTTCACCTTTTGCGCAATTGATGAGACACCTGAATTTGACTTACTCTTTCTATTCTGGCATTGCACGCCTTTCCTGCCAGACGCAAGGTGCGTCCGCAGACTCTGGTAAACAAGCTGCAGGTAAAGGCTGCCACAATCCTAGTGGTGGACTTGCCGGATTTAAGCAATACAATCAACCGTGGGCACGGTGCTCAGTTTTAAATGCTGCCCCCACCGGCCGGGGCCAATCAGTAGTACCCCGAACACTTGAACTACTTTGTTAGATGCACGCACATGAGCAAAATCTCCTTAAGACAGGTTTCACCTCATGCATGAGGTACAACTTGTCAAGGAGACCACTCATGTGGGTGTATCCAGAATGCTAGCTCGCACCCTGGTGGAAATGCAAATAAAGTTCATTCATTTATTCACACCCTGTCAACGCGCGCGGAAAGATACTCCCACACGCCGTGATTTGATCACAAGCTCATCGTGCATGATGTGAATCCTAGTGCCAAAACACCGTATGAGCACGCATCCTGTTATCACCTGAATAACACAATTGCCACCATACTATGACTGCACTGGATAGATCAGATCACTGTTTCAAACTCGGATTTGACGGGGTGTGAGTCCGTGGGCGCACCAGGCATGTCAAATGTCCTTGGGGTAGTCCAGAGACATCCAAAGTGCTGTCTGAGCCTCTCAGTGAATGCGCTCTTACACCCTGCTTCTGACTACATGCAACCCAAAAAAAAATCACCTTGCCGAACTCGGATTTGCCGGGGTGCGAGTCGGCGGGCGCACCAGGCATGCCAAATGTCCCTGGGGTAGCCCAGAGATATCCTAAGTGCTGTCTGGGCAGCCCTGGATTTCAGTGAAGGCACCGTCAAACCCTGCTTCTGACTGCATGCAACCAAAGAAGAGATCACCTTGCCGAACTCGGACTTGCCGGGGTGCGAGTCGGCGGGCGCATGTGGCCCCTCTTGGAACACTCTTGAGCAGGACGCCTCTGCGCGCTGAGCCTGCTGTGGCTGCGCCTGATTTGGCAGAGCCACACTCGCCTCCTGCTGCCAGCACACCAGTCATATACATACGTTTTGGTTCAGCTGGAAGGAACACAAAGAAGTCTGCGCATTGTGGATTCTTGTGCATGCACAGGAGAGGAAATTTAAAAAATCAACGTTCCGCTGGGGGCAGATAAACTTGCCTTGTGTGCGCCATATGCGGTCTCGGCAGCAGAGGTGTGTCGGCCAGCGGAGCTTGCGGCGCCTCTGGGGGATGATCTGGCGGCCGCTGCTCCCTGGAACCAGCCAACCACAGACTCCACCTGTCAGGACCAAATTTGAATTTCAGATTGAACAGGACTTCCTAGGTTAAATCACAAGCAAAATGGGCGCTCAAGGGCACATGTTTTCAGGGCTTCTTTTCCACTCACAAGCCCCAGAGAAACCCACACAGTCTCCTGACTGACAAGAGAGCCCCCTTCATAGTTGCGCCACTCCTGCACAAGTGACCTCAGGCCAACGCATGAAACGCCACCCTTGCATGTGAACAGACTCTCATTCTTCCTTTTCATTCTTTCTTTACACATCTGAACGGTACCCTTAGAATATTTCTTGGGACAGTTGCTGGAGGGGGTTTCACACTTGTGCATTCAGAGTGGCAGGCGGATCTGCAGAGGCACTCCCTCCGCCACCAGCGGCAGTCTCAAACTCGCGCTCCCGATCTTCACAGCCCCCGAAGTTATCGATGGAGCCCTCCTGGCCCTGGTTTGCTCTTCCCCCGGGCGGCTGCTTTGCGTGCGCGTCGTCTTTCCTCTTCTTGTTTGCATCCCACAGGTCTGCGCCATGCAAGCCCATCAGGCATTTTGTCAAGTATACTTTGGATCTAGAGGTATGCATATTGGAACTTTTTACAGGCGCAGCGCTGCCCACTGGGGTCTGCTTTGCAGGTGCACTGTCCTTCATTTTCTTGTTAACCACAATTCTGTACCATGCATGCTCCTTAGTCACATTCTGACTCTTGATCGAACACGGTATTTAGCTCTGGTAGAGCAGAGGGACCGCTCTTTCTTGAAGCCTCCCGGGAATTCCGGGAGGCAATGGACTCGTTGTTCTTGTTTGCTTGTACGCAGGCCTGCGCCATGAACCCTCATGAGATAATATTCTGAAGTCCCCTTCTAAAGCTGCTGGTCTGCCCGGTGCAGCCTCTCTGGAATTACCCTTGGGACAAATGGTAGAAAGTTATATACAAGACTCATGTCAAGGATCAAACACATGTCTGATCTGCTTGCTGCCTTTTATGCACAGCCCTGCGATGGATTTTACTGCAGAAGACATCAATCAGATCGAGCATGTGCTCTGCTGCACTTATTGAAAACGGGCGGTAGACTACGGTCTGTATGAAGTTTTATCATGCAAGGCTACCTGCGCCCACTACCTTCGTGCAGAAAGATGGATGCACCTAACTTAACTTCAACTCCTTGCTTACTCACAAATGATACAAAAGTTTGCTCGGATCATGTCGTACAACTGCAGTATGGCATAAGAACAGGCAGCAGCAGGGTTTCTTTTAGTGGCCTCCTGAAGCCATGTGGCTCTTGACAGCCAAACAGGGCATTCTCGTGGCGCATAAACTACCTGAGGGTGTTCCCTTTTGAAGCCACCAACCGGCTTCTACAAATTAATTAACATGTGCATGAAGAAAAATTCCAGCCATTTTCAGCAAAAATATGCCCAAAATCACTGATTTCAGGAAAAAAACTCCTGATATCTTCAGCCTTCAGCCACCTTTGTGGCATCAAAAGTGTTGGCCCAGCATATGTTTGTAGCCACATTTGCGTCCAGCCAAAATCGTTATAAATAACAATGGGCAGCAGCGCACCTGTGACGTGTTGGTGCATGGACTTCATGCTGATCCCCTGGAGGCCGCGGGTGTCAAAGGGGAGATGAGATATCGACCCCTGGTGCGGGTTAGTCAGCGCCTCCTCGTACGCCGCCAGCAGGTGGCAGGCGTTGTCTTTGTGCACCCTGCAAGCACCCTTGAGTTTTCATCATATTCCTTAGCATTTATAAAGTCGGTTGACTTGCTTTTACACCGGAAGCTTGGCGTGTGATTGCCTGCCGCATGATGCTCACAGCCGCACATATCACAAAATCCGCTTACCAGAGTTGGCTGTCATATGTGCAAAGTCGCTGGCATCATGTGCCAAACAATGCAGCTCAAATTCTGCACCAGATGGGTGGTATCACAGGAATACTTTTGATCTATATGTGAGCGAGAAGTGTGCCATATCATTGCCTGCCGCATGGCGCTCGGAAAACACCACACCACAAGAACTTATTTCTAGAGTGTGGAATGCCGTCTTTTCCCGATGCCATGCGGCCGGCAATGTAGCTCATGATCTGCAGGGAAATAGGCGGAAACACAGGGGCTTTCAGAGTGTGAACAAAGGCTAAAGCTTGCCATATCATTGCCTGTCGCATGGCGCTCGGAAACACACCATATTACAAGAACTTATTTCTAGAGTGTAATATGCCGATCTCCCAGACACCATGTGGCCAGCAATGTAGCTCATGATCAGCAGCAAACAGGTGGAAACACAGGGGCTTTGAGAGTATGAACCAGGGCTAAAAGCTTGCCATATCATTGCCTGCCGCATGGTGCTCAGAAACACCACATATTGCAATTCTTATTTCTACAGTGTAATATGCCGATCTCCCTGACACCATGTGGCCAGCAATGTAGCTCATAATCAGCAGCAAATGGGCGGAAACACAGGGGCTTTGAGAGTATGAACCAGGGCTAAAAGCGTACCATATCATTGCCTGCCGCATGGCGTTCGGAAAACACCACACCACAAGAACTTATTTCTAGAGTGTGATATGCCGTCTTTTCCCGACGCCATGCGGCCGGCAATTTCTCGCATAATCAGCAGCAAACAGGCGGAAACACAGGGGCTTTGAAAGTTAGAACCAGGGCTAAAAGCTTGCCATATCATTGCCTGCCGGAGGGTGCTCGGAAATCCACCATATCACAAGATCATTATTTCTAGAGTGTGATATGCCGTCTTTCCCTGACACCGTGCGGCCGGCAATATAGCTGGTATTCAGCGGCAAATAGGTGGAAACACAAAGGCTTTGAGAGTGTGAAGAAGGGCTGAAAGCTTGCCATAAAATTGCCTGCCGCATGGTGGGAGACACAGTCAGCACACATCCCGAACCTTGGTTTAAGTTGCAAGGCGCGCGATGTGCGCTGCTGCTTGTCCACCAGCATGTTGCAGGGAATGCAGCTGAATTACTGCATGACAAGGGGAGTTAAGTGGTAGAGCGGACGGCTGTTAACTGTTAGGTCGTTGGTTCAAATCTATCTTAGGGAGTGAGCCCTCCTCTCAGGAAAGAAAGGGATCTCTCAAAGCGCAGTGTGTATGAGCGGGAACAGGTGATATCGGTGGGTGTAATCCTAGCCATATGACTGCCGGCTGCAGGGCGATGATCAGAATCAGCGCACATCACAACACCTGGAAAGCTGCAAGGTGCTTGATAGCTGCGCGTGAGTGGCTACCAAGTGGAATGCACCAGTGCATGCAAACAGGTGGACCAAACACCACAACAGTGTTCTCTCATGCTTGAGAAACAGAGAGAGGCAGGCGTCAAAGCAGAGCGAGCGCCAGAGATGAGCGAATAGCGCGCACCCCTTGATGTCCGCCATGTCAGCGTGGCCAGGGGAGATATGGATGACGTGGCCCAGGGGGATTGAGCCGCCGGTTTCAGAGGCGCTGACTAACGGATCTCCCGCGTGGTATATTGCGTACTTGGCTGCCACCAGCCAAGAAAACACATGCGCAAATTCCTGATTCGCCACCCTGCATGCATCAAGACTCCACTTTAAATAGCAATGCTCCATATTAAGGGTTTAGGGTAATCCCTGGAAAAAAATGCCCTAAACCCTGAGGGTGGTTGAAAATCCTTGCCACCTATTTTGACCACAATGAGATAATCCTGTTATTGGTCAGTACAAGCACAAATTTGATTGCTTGCAAGAGCAGACAGGTATGCTCGGCTCGATCTGTGAGAACACGCGGATGTTGCTCAGATTTTCTTTTTCTGTGATTGTACGCAGGATGTGACACACATACCGTGCATGTCAAACTCCTGGAGGTGCAGCTCCATTGCACATACAGCTGTCAATGTAAGGGGGTGTTTAGAGGGCCCAGACTGATCAAATAGTCTTTCCCACCACACTGCTTGCAGCCATCTTGCGGGTGCCTCACTCTGCTGCTTAGAGCCAGCACTTAGCGAGACATCCAATGACTTGAAGACATTTTTTTTTTTTTTATTAGGGTGTAGGGACTTCATCTGAAAGCCACTCTGGGCACAGCAAAGCTGGGCACTTCCCAGCGCTTGCTGTTCCAAGGTTTATAATGTTGAGCAGGCTTGAAGGGGTATATTGTTATTATTGTTATTACTACTAAACGCTCCAACGCTTCCTGCCAAGAGGCAAGGTGCGTCCTGCAGACAAGCTGCAGTTGATGGCTGCCATAATCCTACCCCTTGTTGGACTCGCCAGATCCAAGCAAGACCCAATCAACCGTGGGCATGGTGCTCAGTATATATATCGCCCCCCGCCAGCCGGGGCAAAGGGGTACTTTTAATTATTATCATTATGATTACAGGGGTATGCAGTAGGAAAACTCACACAGCGGAGCCGAAAGTGATGCAGCGCACATCTGCTTCCGGCCATGTGATGGCTGCCCACGGTGCAGCAACCCCCGCCAAAGACCCCCCGACACAATACCCCGTGCACACAACCCTACGCGGTGCCTTGCCACCTGTACATTGCAAAGCATGAGTCACCAAATTGGCTAAAAATCCAGTAGCATGGTGCTCTAATCAGCAACATGAGCGGCGTGGCGAGTCCTACACTCAGGAGAATGCAGGGTAGTCCTTTAGCAGAAGCTTCGTTAGCTTCTGAACATGACAATGCAGGTTCTGGCATGACTTTGACCTGTGGTGTGGAATGGGAAGAGGAACTCCTTTCAGCAATCATCCCAAGATCACGCCAGGACCACCTCATCTTCCTCACGGCAGCTTCTCAATTACAAGCATGTTCTCTTCAAGGAGACAATCTTGTATCCTCGTGATTGCTGGGGATACCAGCATGCATGGGTGGGGCGTATCCCACTCGATGGATCAAACAATTAACCACAATCAATTATGTGAGAAGGCAGGGCAGCAGGGTGAAGCAGGCAGATGCTGGGAACGGATTTTTTAATCAAATGTTGCAGGTTTTGGCGTGACCATGCGCTATGCTGCTATCTCTATGGCAACTTCCAATCTACAAGCACGCAGCGTGAAAGATGTCTCATCATCGTACTCACAAGAGACTGCCCGGAGGAAGGGCACAAAATGAAGTGGCAGCGTTGCATATGGGCCAGCACTTTTATATTACGCCTCGAATGGAAGAGGGCGGGTAGAGGTACTGAGCACCAGGCCCATTCCTTATGGCTTGGATCTGGCCAGACCAACAAGGGGTAGGAATTTGGCAGCCTTCACTTGCAGCTTGTCTGGTTCAGATATCAGTGATTAGTAATCAGAATAGTACAAACATGGAGGAGCCAGCTCTAGATCACCTGAGAGATTGAGGACGGCGCCGCGGATACCGGCGATATTGCCGCTGTGCTCCTGCAGGGCCTCGAATCGCCAGAGAGCCGCCACTTCAATGCGTGCCGAAGAAGAGACTCCCTGAAGATACTGCGGCACCTGCGCTGAGCCGCGCATGCCCGTGTACTCCTTCAGCAGAGGGCCCTGTGCGCACACCCACACACAACTCGATGTCAGATTATCTGACATAACTAATATTATTCCACCTATTATCATCATAACTTATTATAATTATTATAATTCATATTGTTACTATAACGCGCTTGGTCCCGCCCTCAGGGCTATTGCGTTGCAGCAACCTTTCAATCATTACTCTCCAACCTTCCCTGTCAGACCAGACGCCGTGATTGTTATTCCTGTTCTGTTGGAAGATCGCCAGCTGAGAGGCTGGAGTGTAGGCACTAAGCACGAGACCCCGAGCAATTTTTCCAATGTGTATGGGTACGGCTAAGGGAGCGCATAGTCATGGCTGTTATGTCCGGAGCCAAGCTGCGCTAGGCAAGCTAATAGAATAATGGCCATGGGGGAAGGTGGGGTGTCTTAGTTTTGCAGAAGTGCATGAGGATGGCTGTGAGGTGGCAAGGCACGGTAGAGGGATGGACAGCATTCGGCATGGACAGCATCTGCAGACAGACCTTCTCCTGTATCGACAGGAAGTGGGTGTCATAGCAGGAGTAGGAGAAATGTTTGCACCCTGAAGGCGAGGTAGGCAACGCTGTTGACGTCCTGCCAGGCAACGTCCACCCAGGTGTCCGGCAGCCCCTGCAGCCGCATGCAGCCCGAGGCCGGCACCAGTGTCGCGGCGTTCCTGCTCCCGTAGGCCGCCTTTGCGAATTGCAGCGCCTGAAGCACCTGCGCAGCGCATGACTTTGTGAAAACTTGTGACTAACAACCAGAAGATCATGGCTGTCGTATGAGGGTGATTGCGCCAATTTATGGTCAGAGGATCTATGGCACGAGCTTTTTTGTGTGTCAAAAGGTTGTCTTTTATCTGCGCGTGGCTGAACACAAGAATCTGCTACCAGTTTCAAGGGAGAACATATGAAGTTCAGAAGAATTCCATGGAGCGTGTCTTAGGGTGCTGCAGCTGACCTTGTGAAGGACCACATTCCTCCTCTGGTTCTCCTGGGATCCATTGCTCTGTGATCCGCTGCCAGGTGCTCCTTCAGAAGCAGATCGTACAGATAATTCACCGTCGTCGTTTTCCTTCATCCTTCCCGGCAGGATCAGGTTTGATCTGCAAGAAACAGGAGGTCTGTGTCGGTGCACAGAAGATTAGGTGAAGCATAATCAGTGCTGCGTCACGTCGTCTTTCTACAATTCGGCCACTCAACAACGATGCCGTATCATCTACCAGAAACCCATTGACGTCGAGTATATTGCCTTGCACTCGTTTTCCTGCGGCGTAGGGCAAAGAGGGAAGGCACGTGGCTATTTTAACTGACCGACAGGAGGAAAGAGCCCTCAACCAGTACTTATCTCTATTTAATAACCATATCAAGTCCTTGGTATCCAGCGCCATCATCAGGATGGAGCAGGCCGACGACACGCACGCATTCGGCGTTTTAGGTCGGGGTTTCATCTGAAACCTTGGACCGTGTCACTGCCCAGATGCACAGTCTGAAACTTCTTGTCTTCGCGCACTTGCATGGGAAAACATCTCACCTACATACTTTGGAGACTTCTGGAAGACGAGATGCCTAGATGGTTCCGATCGGCCGTGCTCGCGCGAGGGCTGCAGGGAGATCGCCAATCAAGACAAGGGACCAGGCACACGGGAGCCTAGAAACCACGTGATAGCGTTTAAGCAACACCAAACGTACGAGATGTTCTAGTGCAGAGCATGTATGGTATGTTTGCCGAAAACAATCAGTTTTCGCTTGGCATCGTTTGGGATTTGACTTTATAGAGAGCACGTGCGAGGGATTCGATGCAGGGTTTGCTGTTGCCCTTAGAAGAAACTCTCATACAAGGCACTGTGCTACCCAGACAACAGATGTCTCTTGCATGGACCATCCGAATAAGTAGATCGTAATAGGGGTGGCAGGGCAGGTAGATGCGCATGAATCATGAAGCACAAGCATAAAATATCTGCATTGCCCGAAGCCCTCGAAAGCCTTGAAGAGGGCCTAGGAAGTGAGTCTCTGCCTCTCATAGCCTCTCCTCATCCTGGGGCTGCTCTAGGAATGCGCAAGGGCAGCGGCAATGGCAGGACTCCGTCCTTTGGCAGGTGAGGGGAATCCTAGTCCGAGTCATACTGACTGGGACGCATCTGGTTCGCACTTCGCGTCCAAGACTTGATCAGACTGTGTGGTTGTATACAGTCATGCGGGGTGTAATCTTGTGTGAGCGCTGGAACAGAAAACATCCAGACGTGTGTATTGATGGGGCTTTTGCGATTTGGGTGTGCAGGTTCCAAGATGAGTGTGGCTCGCCATCCAGCTCAGGTGATGCTCGTAACTGTTCTTCTCTGTATTTCGTGGCAATACTATTTGGGAAAAAGTTCTTGTGATCAGTTGGTTTTCATCTTACACCAAGGAGGTGTCCAAGGTTGGCAAATGGTGCTGTTGTACCCTGACGTTATGGCGTGCTTTGATGACCATAGTCTCCGATCGCTGCATCAATGAAAGGGCTTTCGTTCAATTCTAGTACGGGGGATCGGTGCTTGCCTGAAACCTTGCCATTTCTATCCCAGGGCGCAGCATCGAGCTGGCCAAAACCAGCTCAGAGGCTGTCTTCATGGTCAAGGGCCGCCGCGTACGGGCCTGGCTGACCTCTTTCGGCATCTCCATCATTCCAACATCAACCCTGTGGTGGCAGCCTTGGGCTAAGCTGCGCTATATTCCTGATGCCCTCCTGTTTGAGGAAGTGCTGTCTGCCTCCGCCCAGCAGCACATCCCCTGCCCGTGTCAATCCTCAAAGGTGCGACTGAGGATTCTTTGGGTTCTTTGTGCACCGCGCTTGCTGTTCTCTGCATGCAGCTGCCCACGCACATGTGCGATTCCCATCCAATTGGCAGCAGTGCCTTGGGGACTGACTGTTGCTAAACTGAGAGCTTCTGGGGCAAGTTGCGCAATTAGGTTGGCAATGTAGCTGGTGCACTTCGCACTCGTGCTTACTGACTGAACTTTTGATCTTATGTCACTGCAGCAGCGGCATTACCTCATCATCAGCACATTCAAGCGCGGGCGGCGGAAGCGCTGTGATTGGAAGCCCATCCGCCTTGTGCTGAAGTCCTCAGTGCGCCCCTCTATCTGCCTGCATTCATCACCGATCCTGCACGTCACATGTCATGGCGCTTATCTCCACAAAATTCATGCCTGACAGTGTATCGCACCACTCAGCCTAGTCTGCCAGAACGAGAGTTGCTTGTGGGCAATTTGTTTAGCTAGTTCCGCAAGCTTCAATCATGATATTCATCATAGTATAGCATGCCAATGGCATTTTTTTCTGCTGTGTGTTGTTTCTGTCTTGTTTTGCGGATGCGATCAGATCGCTGAAGTGTTACATATGGTTTGATAAAATCGTACTTGACAGAATGCGGAGCTGGTGCACGAGTGGGCGCTAAGGATAGGGGAAGCGATACGCATGCAGCCGCAGCGGCCTAGCACCCTGCTGGTTCTTATAAACCCCTTTGGCGGCGCCCGACGCGCGCACGCGGTGTGGACGCGCACAGCATCACCCATTCTCAGCAGCGCAGGTGAGATCTCAACGTCTCTTGCCTTCCCCAACCACTTAATTCCTTTTGGCGAGACACGGAGTCATGCATTTGGGGATGGGCACCTGGAGTAAGGGGCATCATGGACGTGTTGTGGGATGCATGCAACTGCTGAGATATTGGTGACGGGGGTCGGCTCGCAAAACACTTGCGGCCACCGTCAGCATCAACTTTTTTCAGCGACAGTGCACCATTCCACATCCTGTGTATACGTGTGGCCACTCAAAGCATGCAGCTGGCTGCTTTCTGTGTTCTCATGGTTTGGCCGTAGAAACAAAGTGGCTGTGCAGGCGTGAAGTGCACGACAGTTGAGACACAGAGGGAGGGCCACGCGCGCGAGGTGGTGCAGGCGCTCTCACTGGCAGAGCTGCAGAGCTACGATGGCATCCTTGCGGTGGAACTCTTCTCCTGCGCTTCTTGCATGTGTTTTGTTTCTGTCCATGTCTTCTGAAGTACAGTAACCTGGTCTGTTGTGGCATTGCAAATGCTCCTGTGCAAGAGGATGTGGTGCTTTGGCGGGCAGGAATGTGACTGATATATATAGCAGCCTGGTCGGCGCAACTTATAATCTCTGAAAGCTCCCTTTGGTGCATTCTGCAAGAGATTACGATGCTCATGTCGATGTACACTTTTGTACGTTGTCAGTCAGGCAGGACTGCGCGTCTGTATGAGCATACTGATGTGATCCTGCAACACGATTCTGTAACGGATCCGTGCATGCATGCGCGCAGGTGGGCGGAGATGGGCTATTCCAGGAAGTCCTGAACGGCCTTTTGAGTGTCAGGGGCGCGGGCGGAAAGGCAGGACAGGTGGCAGCGCACCTGCGCCTGGGCCACATTCCTGCCGGCTCCACAGACGCCGTTGCTTTCTCGCTAAACGGCACTCGGTCGCAGGCCACTGCCGCCCTGCACATCGCCCTCGGAGACAGGCGCGCACTCCACTGCTGGCTTGTGCAGCACGCCTTTGAGACGGGTGTCTGATTCGTATCAGGACATGGGAAAGAAGTAGGTACTGACCCAAAATTGAGAAGGTATTTGGACTCTTTGGTATGAGCACTCCTTGTGCGATGAGCAATCCCAGTAAGGTCCAACAGCAACATTCTTTCTAGGAAACCGCGTGGTTCTCTTCATAGGGTCAATTCACTGTTGTGCAGGAGCTGTAAGCAGTGCTCATCAGAGCTCTAGGCAGGCATGAACCTCTCCAGTATTCAGAAGGTCTCTCCAACAGCAAAAAGAGGGACCTTCAGCTAAGGCACCACACCACAACGCTGGGCTGTCAGCTCTTCAAGCAAACCAAGGACGCGGCTTGTTCCAATGACAAACAATTGCTGCCTTGCATGCAGGACGCAGCTGGACGTGATGCGGATAGATATGGGCAGCGGGGGACACAGGTACGCAGTCTGCGTGGCCTCCTACGGCTACATGGGCGATCTCATGCGCCTTTCCGAGCGGCTACGGTTTCTGGGTCCTGCCCGTTACGGCCTTGCCGGCGCCATCACCCTTCTGCGCGGCCGCGCCTACGATGCAGAGGTAGGTGTTTGTCTTTCTCCTGCCAAATGTCTCAGCTTTGAGGATATTAGCACGTAAAGACCATGCTTTGCATAATAACGGCTTTCGAAACGGTAGATCAATTACTTAGCAGTCTGTTGCTTGTAAACTGACTTGCAATGCTCACACCTCGATGCGTCTCCGTTTCTCTTTTTGTAAAGGATGTGGGCCATCTGGTCCCCAGGATGTTCACCAATGTATTCAACTCCGCATGATTTGCCGGTGCATGAATGTTTACTAATCATGCATCAGTCGCTAGTGCACTGAGACCTCATGGGTCTCATCTTTGTGAGGGACACTGATAAATGTGGCGTGGGCGCCTGACAGGTGGCGTTCCTGCCGAGCGACCCGGTGCCGGAGAGAACGCGGCAGGAGTGCAGGGCTGAGTGCGAGGTGTGCAGCCCGGGCTCCCCCACGCGCGCCGTCGGCCAGCAGGCGCCATTCATGACCAGCAGCCACCGCGCTCTCGATGAGGCCGGCTGGGTCAAACGCCAGGTGTGCACTTGCCTGATCTGTGTATGTCTATTTTGCATATTGGGGTATTAAATATCGACCCATTTTTCAGGAAGCATTCCTATTGTATGCGCAAAACAAGGTGCCGACTGCTATAATTTCAAGCTCAGCCCAAGTCTTGACAGTTTTAGGTTGATAGCAAGTCTGTGCAGCAGCGATTTTGGTAGCAGGAGGTCATTGCCTTGCAGGGAAGTTGTGGACTTTGAAGAGGAACGTCATTGCGAGCCCAGCTCCTTTGCACAGTGGCAGTGCACGAGTAGCTGGGCCCAATAACAATTCTATTTTTACTTCCACAAGTTTTCTGCAATGTAGTGACCTGGCGCTTGCGAGTGCCCCGTCATTCCAAAGCCCCAGACCTGGTCAATGCATGGCACTGACTGTCTTTGTCTCCTGAGCCTGCTCCTGCATGCGTTTCCCTCGTTAAAGAGCCAGGGGAATGACACAATTCATCTGGCATGCGCAAGGGCGCTACAAGAGCATCATGCCAGTGCTTCATGTTTGGAATGCTCTAGGCTGAGAGAGTAGACAGGATCCACTTCACGGCATGTTAGTCAGCTCCTGCATGTGGTACAAGTGTATTTGGTGCATTTAGAACTCCAGGGAGATGACGCATATTATCTGGCATGCGCAGGGGCGATACAAGAGCATCATGGCGGTGGTGACGGCGTGCCGAAGTGACATGAGCACAAAAGGCCTCGCCCCCGAAGCGCATCTGTCTGATGGCCGACTGCAGCTGGTTCTTGTTCGCGACACATCCCGGTTTCAGTACCTCCGCTTCTTGGCCTCGATCCCACGCTGCGGTGCGCTCATCTTCTCTGTCCCTTGCAGACCTACTCCTTCAGGTCCCTTCTGTTCGGTGCAGATCACTTGACTCTCAGTTCAGTTCGCTCAAGATGATCAATTCTACTCACTTAGCTCGGTGTTGAGCTGGCACACTGAGCAAGGCTTGATTGGCGTGGACGTGGCATGTCATAGTTTGCTGTTGTCAAGACAGGCATGCTCTGCTTCAAAATGCTGGAACACTTACCAGTTGACCTGTGCTGCACATGCCAATGGCTGCATCATTTTGAGGCTCCAAGTACTTTCTGGGGCCCAGATGTCAGCCTTAGAGTGGCTGCAGCTTGCCTGCACCCTGCCTCTGGCAAGAAGTATGCAAAAATATAAGAATGATATTAAGTCTCCAGATTCTTGTGGTGTACTATGACTGCATGTTTGGACGTGTGCAGGAGTCCGCCCAGAGAAATTCTCCTTTGTGGAAGTGCTGGACTGCACAGCGGTTGCTCTGACACCGAGCGGCGCCGAGTCCTGCTGGAACGTGGACGGAGAACTGCTGCCAGACAACCGAATTGCAGCTTGCGTGCATCGGGGTCTCGTGGATGTGTTTGCGCGCGGTATTGAGTGATTGTCCGGCTCAGAAGTACCTGTACGGATGGCCTGAGAAGTTTTCTTCCATTCCTGCCCGTTTGCCACCTACAGCTCTGCACTTTGTGTGCCCTTACCTAGCCACAGCCACTTGTATGCATGTATGCATGTATGCAAGCTGGTGATTCAGCGCTCCTGGGCCAGGAAATCTTTGCATTGTTGCTGCACATCGCGAGGCAGCCCTTTCCTGCATGTAGGCATCTTCCGGGGCTCGCTTGCCTTGATGCCTGCATACCTCTTCCTCTAAGGGGCCTGTGAAATGACTCTAAATGGCCTTTGAAGTGATCAGTTGTGGGCTGTCAGCAGGCAGCTGCTGCCCAGTCGGGATTGTGAAAACTGCTGAGATGCTGATAGGCCGGACCGTATGCACCCAGTGTACTGTGCAAAGTATGCACCGTGTGAACCTGATTTACTACGTAGTGCTTTTGATCCGACATAGAGTGGGTTGCAAACGCTACCTCTTGTGTATGATAAGCTACTGTGTGTCTGAGGTTTGTAATGTTTTGGTTTGGTGGTGAGTGTATGTTTGGGCTCGTGTAAGTAGCATGGTTTTTCATGCAAGTTCGTATGACTTCGAAGCTCATTTTCCAAGTTGTTGCATTGTCTGCTGCGCATCTGTTCACATTCTGCGTATTTTTGTGTTCCATGCAAGCAAGCCTGCGAATTTAAGTTTCAAATATCATGATCGACTTGGTGTAAACAGAGCAGTCTTGTCAGTCTTGCTGACATGACACGGGTCCCCCCACTGGCCGCCCAAACGGTCGCTGTTGAGCTCTGAAGTCTCCAATTCTGGCACGCCGGCAGAAGTTTTCCAGCGCTTTTGTTGAGAAGTAAGCTGTAAATGAGATGCCGATTGACCATAATGGCTGAAGAGCACTCGGTTCGGCTGGCATCCTGGATGTGTTGAAGGTGCATCGTTACTTCAGGAGCCCTCTTGCAGTGGTTTGAGGACTGGAGGCTAATGAAATAAGCTTGAAAAGGTAAGTGAGAATTGTTATGCAGTCCCTCAGGCTCGTCAGAAGCCTGTAGAACGTCCAGTACCTGTCCAAGGTTGTGTTATATGTGCCAATGCTAACAGCTGGTTTTTACTCTGTATTTACCGATGGCCTCTTAAATAGGGATACAATGTATATTCAATCCAATAAAGATGCATGTATGTCGTTTCAGGCATTGAGTGAAGCTTTGGTGCTGTTTTGCTGTCCACACCTGATGGAGGCCTAACGGCAATCACTTCTGTGCAGCTGTGCTGTGGGCCTGACGGTGCTCAACTTCTCCTTCGCAGGTACCCCATATTAATGACTGAATATTTAGTGGACGCTCAGCTGTTCCTCTTCAAAGCGCAAATGCAGTGGGCAAAGACATCGCCTGAGATGGCGGGCGCGATTGAGGACTTGGTGGTCCAGGTTGGCAAGCTGTCGACGCGCAAACCTGAAGAAAACCAGGAGGTACGTTGACATCAATGGCGTACGTGACAAGAGGATGAGAAGCGCGGTTCCTGAACTTGAGCCCGTCACTCCGAAGCCCTAAGGAGGAGACCTGAAATGGAGACTGGAATGGATACAACAGGCCGATCTGCTGATTTTTTACTTTGAAACTGACCGCCTGCTTGTGTGTCTCCTGTGCAGGAACCATCAGAAGAGGAAGCAGGTGCAAGCCCTTGTCCTTCCAAAAGCTTGGGACCAGATTATGCATTGCTTCCTGTGGCATTGGTACAGGCTTGCAGGAACTTGCAATTGCCAGCTGCTTGAGATCTCGAGGATGGATTGTGTCTTCATGCTTCCAAGGAGCAAAAGGAGCGCTGCACGCTGCTGCTGAGTGCTGGTTGTTCGTGCATATTCAGAGGCCGTGGCTCGCGCAAGGAAGCTGGAGTTTTATGAGACAATGGTGTCAGTCCACTACCACAGTGATGCGCTCCAGAGGGAGCAGGAGCTCTTTGAAGCAGCTGCCAAGCACCTGTAAGCATCCCCCCTGAAAGCTTCACAAATGCCCACATCTACATGCATGCTTGCTGAAAGGTAGCTGTGCAAATTTACCCTTCTGGGCTTGCCGCCGCTTTATGTCTGAACAATTCTCTCACAGATGTTGAATGGAAGGTGGGCTTCAACTTGTGTTGTTCTCGCATGACATGCACTTCAAGGGCAGCCCTTGCTCCGATCTTCTGACGCTTGCTTAGCCATGATGTCTGCATTTCTCTTTCTCTTTCTCTGAGTTGCTCTCCTGTCATGTCACCCATGCACCATATGGTGAAGTTGAGGAATGAGCTGTGGCAAGCGCAGGGCAGTAAGGAGGACAGAACTGGATGTGGTGCAAGCCAAGGGGGCTGCTTACATTGCAGAGAGCCTCACTCGCCTCTGTGACCCACTGCCATTCCCTGAGCCCATCAGGAGGGCCCTGGTGCGTGCACATGGCCTCTTTAATTTTCTTTCCTGCCCTCTTTACAGCACATGCATGTGGTTGCTCTTCTTGGTATGGCACTGGCAAGGGCAATTAGCACATTAGTGTGCTGTATGGGGAAGCATGCTGCATACATCCCTATTGTCTGCATGCAGAAGTGATTTTCCAAGTAAATGGTAAATGGGACCGGATTTTCATGTCCATGGTTTTCACGTGCATGATGCATGCCATCATGCTGAGGTCATCTTGCAGCCTGCATGCTCTCTGGCTGAAATGCGTCAACAAGTCATGTCAGACTTATAGAGGAAGGTCTCAAGTCCGCAGATTGACGGGCTGTCAAGACCATCATGCAGCCTGCATGCATCCTGTATGGTATCAACCAGTCATTCTGGTGATCTCACAGATATCACATGTGTGCGCAGATCAACAGGCTGTCGTCCTACACCGGCACGCTGAGCAGGGCATCCTTCATGGAAATGATGCTGGAGCTGCCTGGCACCATGACAGGGCTTATTGCTTGGCTGCAGCGCCGCCCACAGCATGCGCACCTGCTCAGGGACATGCAGGCGATCATGAACTGCCAGCTGGAGCCTGTCGTCAACAGCTGCAGCCAGGTGTGCAGGCCTGGTTGCATGTGCTGCCAAGGCTTCCAGTGTGTTATGTGGTGGGCATGCATGACTTGGTAAATGTGCAAATGCAGGTCATGCATGCCTTTGCTGATGGACAGATGCAGGTCATGCATGTCTATGCAGATGGGCAAACGGAGGCCATGCATGCTTTGCTGATGGGGACATGCAGACCTGAAACATGCAGCATGCATTGCATTGCAATAAGCATATGCAGCTGTGATAGCCCTTTTTTCCATGGTGACAGAGTCAACATTTTTTTGCACGCGTTGAATGCTTGCCTCCGGTTTGCAGGAAGCAATTCCCAGTGGCCATGGCGTGCATGCTGATGATCCCACTGCCGGCCATGCAGCAAGCACAGACGTCATCGAGGTATGAGGGACCTTTGCTTCACTCTACCTACCATGTTCAGCCGTTTGACTTGCTGAATGATATTCTTCTATCGAACATGCATGCCACGAGTCATTGCATGCATGAGGCATGCATGCCGGACATCCTGCTGGAAAATTTGAGAGCACCTCCAGCGTGCGTGCTCAAGCCCCCCTCACTGTCCTGCATTATGAAATCCTCTGTACTCCTGCAGCAGACCAGCCAATTACCTTCTTGTCAAGAAGCAGGTATCCGCTGAGGCCATGCATGCATGCACAGGCGCTCCCGCCGTCGCCAGGTGCCCTCCCCCAGAGCCTGCTGCCGCATACGCTGGCCGCGCAGCACTACATGTCCAACACAGGCCCAGCCAATGGCAGCCCGACAGCTGTCACAGACCCTGCCCACAGCAGCCCCACTACCGAGAGCAGCGATGTCTCCATCGGACCGTATCCAACCCCGGCATCCTCCCACGATGAAGAGCTCCCTGCAAGCCCGGCGGCCACCAACGGCTCGCAGCCCCCCACGCTGCAGCAGACCCTGGAGTATCTCCCCTACTGCGGCCTTCTCGTGCCGGGGCAGATTGCTCAGCCGCCGCCGCCTCCGGCGCTCGGCTGCGCCGGGACGCCGCGTAAGACGGCGTTCCCACCGCAGGCCGGGTCCCCCCTGCCAACCCCCGATGAGCGGGCGCGGGTGAGTCACGCGAAGACTCGGCGGCGAGTCAGCGCGTCAGTCACCCCAGTGGAGCTGCGCGTGCACGAGGCGGCGGCGGCTGCGGCCGCGGCCGAGGACGAATCAGATGGCGAAGATTCCGACGAGCCACTGCAGGCAGGGTTTCTTTTAGTGGCTTCTAAAGCCAATGTGGCTTCTAATAAATGAACATGGCACTTTTGTGGCACGTAAGCTGAGGGTGTTTCACTTTGACGCCGCCAACTGGCCTTTCGAAGTGAAGTTTAAATTGCAGGTAGCCACATTCCCACTTTTCAGCTTAAAAATGCCCGAAAAACACCGGATTGGGGAGAATTTTCTTAAAAGTCGTTTTTTCATCCACTTTGCTGCTTTGAAACAATAATCAAGCTTTTGCTTGCAGCCACACTGGCTTCCAACCAGAATCCTGATGCACTGGCTGCAGGGCACACCATGCGAGACGGCCCTCAGCAGCGAGCCAGATCAGGACCAGGCCATCCCCGCCCAGGCTCTGCGTGCGCAGCCGCCGGGCTTCGAGACTCCGGCAATCGGCAACGGCGGTGTGCCGGCAGTTGCTACTGCAGTGGCAGGCACGGTTCCTTTTAGTGGCGTCCTGAACCCAACGTGGCTATTAAGAAATCAACAGGTTTTGTGGCGCGTAAAGTACCTGAGGGTGTCCCACTTTAAAGGCACCTATTGGCTTCTAGAATCAATTCACCAGTGCATGAAGCCAAATCTTAACCTTTTTCAGCTAAAATACGCCCAAAACACAAATTTTTATAGGAGGAAACTCCTGATAATCCAGCTTTTGGCTACTTCTGCAGTTTTCAAAATACAGTTAATCAGGCATATATTTGTAGCCACATTGGCTTCGAGCTAATATCCTTATGAGAAAGAATGGTGGCAGGTGCAGGCCAGAATGTGGTGGAGGAGACAGACTCCGAGAGCGGCTCCCAGGCAGGCGCGGCCGAGGAGGATACACACCTGCCAAAGGCAGAGCCGAGCGAGAGTGACAAGCCGCCGGCTGCAGAGCAGTCGCTGCTGCCAGAGCAACTGCCTCTCGAGGGCGGAATCCACGCAGAGGAGAAGGCTGGGCAGGACAAGATGAGGTGGGCTGATGAAATGGACAAGGGGGAGGAAGGTGCGGCAGCTGCCGGGAAGCCGAACGTCACAGGGGGCGGCGATGAAAAAGCAAATCCTGCCAACCAGGACAACGCTGCTGCCAAGGATGCAGCTCGCCGGCAGCAGAAGAGTGCGTGTCGGTTCCCATGCACATTTTTATGCTCCTAAAGAAATAGATTTTGCACGTGTTGAAGGAATCCCGCATTGATATTTTTCAGGGAGCACTTCTAGGATGTACAAGAGCTGAACCTTTCATGCGTGTCAACTGATATCGACAGGATGCTGTATGCCTGGGCCAATATACTTTGGCACTCAAAATATAACCCCCATCATGAAGCCTGCGGGGTGCGGAAAGGTGCCTGCGGGTTCTTCAAAAAAGTAAGATTCAGTCTATGGGTATCTGTTTAATAAATGTAATTCCCCTGAATTGGGGGGTTTGAAGGCAGAGTTCTACATATTTTGAGCATATCTTTAGTGGGCTGGAGGTCTGAGCAAGCTTGCATTGCAGGGGAGAAGAAGGAGAAGAAGGACAAGAGGGGCAGGAAGGCCCGAGCGGGGGCGAACAAGAGGGCATCTGCCAGCAGCAGGATCCCTGTACCGGGAGCCGAGTTTGCTGAGGAGGCGCCGGTGCCACGCGGATCTTCTATAGAGCCGCAGCACGCCAAGCCGGCGGCCAAAACTCCTGCCGACGTGCCGGTGGTTGAGGCCCCGGCCCCTGCTGAGGACTCCGAAAAGGTGGGCAGGCATCTAAGGCCATGCATGCCCATGCTCTCCCTTCTCCAGAGCGTTCAAATATTTATAAAGGCTTCACCTTTTCAGCGTTACATTTGGTGTTTGTGCCATGGACAGTGCGTACTACAGTGCACAGCACAACCAAGTCATGTCGTGCTGAAGTGGATCTTTGCATCTGTAGTGCTGCAGGAGTACAGTTGACTACACAGCGTGCATGGAAGTGCTTGCACAAGCCTTGAAAAGCTTCCTAGACACAGATTTCTCCTCAATTTTGGAAATGACATGATAACTTCCTTACGGTACTCAGGAAGATCGCTTCCACAGAATGCTGTAGGAACACAGTAGGCTGCACATCTTGCATGGCAAATTGAGCTCAAGTGCCTTCGAGTGTTTTACTTTTATGTTCTGGCCTAAGAAGACTGGAGAGCAATAGTTCAGACGATGCTCGACTTACCTAGACCTTAACGTCCAGAAGTTGTGTATAGAAAAGCTTGCCAGGGATTTTACTTTGTTTTTCCAGGAGGAATGCTACTCTGAGGCGCAGGATTTCAGGGACGGCAGCGTCTACGACGGCGATTCTGACTACGGCCGGCCGCGCTCCGAGGCCTCTCAAGACTACTCTGCCTTCCACGAGGATCACACCCGCCCCGTCAAGGTACATTCCGCGCTTTATCACATAATTACAAGGATCTGGCATTGTTCTTCTTCCTCTTCTGACAGTCCACATTCTCCTGCATGAGAGGGAAGGAGCAATCTGCGCCTCTTGTAGTGCCTCCTACTGCCTTTTCTTTCTGCTGAGCTGGGCAGAGCGGCTGCAGAACAGTGCACAGTGCAACGCTGCAAGCCAGGTCATGTATCACAGTTTCACTGTATGCCACAGCAGGATTTCAAAAAGTAGCAGATTTAGGCTTGCATGCAGCCAATTTTGATTTGCAGCGTGGTCTGCTTCTTGTCATGTTTTCCATGCTGTGCAGGGCGTACCCAAGAATACTTATTGTGAAGCTATGATAGAGATACGAGTTTGTGCTTGCTGTCAGGCTCAAGGGCTGTGTCACTACTGCGCAGGCGCCTGGCTCTGAAGTACTGAGCGATGCCCAGGACCACGCAGAGGTGGAGGCTGAGAAGAAGAAGGACCTCGAGCGGCTGGATGCCCTTCGCGGTGCCTGGTGAGCATGCACCCTTTTCTGTGCTCCTGATGTGGAGTGTACATCGCACACACCGTAGTGACCGGTCTAAACGCCGTGTAAACCCCGCACTTTTGAGAAATCGAGATATTAAACAGGTTTCCGCTGAAAATTTCCCGCTCGTCAAAAGGATATTGTTTTTCGTTTCCACAAGCCTAGGAAATATTATTTTGTGCGGGGCAAGCAGATTCTTTCTAAGGCCCTGGGGATTGGCCTGTCACAGGAATCTCTCTGGCTCATGAAATCATAGTTGTGTCAGAATGTAGGCCATCAAGTCTTCGAGGGTCTTCTCAATGCAGGGTTTGATAACCCAGGGGAATTCCCCTAGGGATTGGGCTCAGGCTTCTGAGTTCTGGGACAATGTCTTTGGTCCGCCCAGAGTGTTTTGCTACCTTGACTGCCACCTCACCTAGGCAGACTACAGTTGCAAATGTTTTCTCTGGGCAGCCCTGGATCCCTGTTGAGGCACTGCCAAGCCACAATTCAAGGGTTTTTGAGTCCCAAACGATCAACAAATAAAACAAAACATGAAAATAAGTTATTATAAAAACTATTATGCTCTGTGCACAGGGGGGACTGTCGGCAGCTGTTTGCCGGCAATCTGGGCTCGCATGCGACAGAGACAGCTCTTATGATGATTTTCCGAGACTACAACATCGTCCACGTGAAGCTGTGCAAAGAGAGGGGCTTCTTTGGAGAACCGTACGGTGATTCCCATGCAGGAAATCCCATTCATTTTTCCTTTTCCATCACTTACTATCGCAATAACCGCTGCCCTGCCTTTTGACCCTTGTCCTGCCTGCGGCAACTTTGAATGTTTCTGTGTGCTCACTCTGCGCAAAGAGAGAGCTTCCTTTTCAGACAATTATGGTGACTCACATGCAGGAACTTCCATTTTTTTGATCTCTTCACATCGCCACTGCCATGCGTGATATTTCTGACTGTGTCATGCCTCACTCGCATGCTGGACTCCAAGTTATTCTTTTTGGTCACTTCACATTGCCGCTGCCATGCTTAATTTTTGTGACTGCGTCCTGCCGGCAGCAAGGTTGATATTTTTGCATTTGATCACTCCACATTGCAATTGCTGCAGCCATGCCCAAATGTACATTACCGGATCCTACTCGCAGCAATTTGACAAGTTGCCAGGATTTTATTTTTACTACAGGTCGGCGCACCCAGGGCCAGAGGCCATGGGTTGTTTGTGCCGCAGGTTGCTTCAGGGCTGTATGACACATTGCATTAAAATTAGTAATATCGCATGCTTGTTTCAGCCACAAAAAAGAGCAGTGCAGCAACCTCTCAAAAACTGCCTTCAGGCTTCCCCGTCTTGGCACTTTCTAAAGTAAGATCCGGCCATCTGATTCCCTGTGACTCACTCACATTGTCTGCATGCAGCAGCAAAGGTGAAGGGCTACGGCTTTCTCACTTTCAAGGCGCCAGAAGATGTGCGCATCCCGCCCCTCATGCTCTCCTAATTTGCCAAATGCCATTGTCCTATTTGCAGCAACCAAGGTTGACATTTTCAAGTGGAACACATTATACTCCCCTTGACCATTTTATTGCCTTTCAAAGCCAAGCTTATTAGGCTTTGTTTGATGGGCCCAGCAGAGACGGGTGCTGGGTATCTGTTGTCAAGTATCAGATCTTTGTCAGCCTCCTTGCATGTGCCTGCCAGGGCATTGCAATAATAAAACATATATTCTAATGTGCTCCGACAAATGTGATTGGGTCTTCCTTGGATCTGGCGAGTCCGTCAAGGGGTAGGATTGTGGCAGCCTTTAGCTGCAGCTTGCTTGCAGGACGCACCATGCCTCTTGGCAGGAAATGCGCGTGTGATAGTACATAAAGTAATTATATTATTTTCATATTTTATTAGTAACAAGTATAAATGAGCAAGGCCCTTGTCTGCGCAGGCGTTCTGGGCTCTGATGGATATGAATGGAAGCAGTCCGCTGGACCCCGCTCGCCAAATCTCCCTTGAGCGACCCCAGGTAAATGCAACGGAGTCCTGTATAAGGATGTTAGGGGTTGGTGCTGACTGCCTTACAGATGGCCTAGTCTTGGGCTCCTGGGCTCTGCCCTCAGCAGGTATGTAACATTCATTTATCCTGGGCATTCATTCATGAGCATTTATTTCAAGAGCACTGCCAGCACCAGCCTGTAGCATGCACCATTCCTGGATTCTGCCCTCAGCAAGGCTGAGCATTCATCGTTCCCTGAGCATCCATTTTTTCCTGGGCATTCATGAGCATTTATCCCTAAGCACTGCCAGCAGCAGTCTGTAGCATGCATTATTATTGGTCTGCCCTCAGCAAGGCTGAGCACTGTTCTTATCCTTGAGCGCCAGTCGGCGCAGCAGAGACGTCCACTCGGCTGATGCTATGTCCTTCCTGCAGAACCAGGATTCAAACACGGACTTCATCCAGCTGCGCGCCATGGCAGCCCCGAGATCTGACCTGAACGCACCAGGCGGCAGCTCCTCGGAAGGCCAGATCAGGTGATTTCGAAGACGCCCGATCTTGGCTCTCCTTCATTTTGAAATTTATCAAAATAACAATTTTGAAACAAAAGTCTCCTGCCAAGAGGCAAGGTGCGTCTGCAGCAGCCTTCAGGAGTACCCCTGGCATCTGGCAGGAAAACTTTGTAACAACAAAAAATGAATAATCTCTGCTCACCTCCTATGTTTACACTATTAAATACAAGCTTTTTTGCCAAGTGGCGAGGTGCGTCTGCAGCTGTGTTACCGGCAAGCTGCAGGTAATGGCTGCCACAAATGCTCAGGGCTTGTTAATATCCTGGGTGGTTATCGAAGTACTTGTTACGGGTTATCAGTACTTGTTTTGCCGCTTGCATGCTTATAGGGCAATTGCAGTGCTTCAGCATTGTGTTTTCAGAGCCGAAATGGAGCATTTACTAATGCATTTGGAATGTCTTGGGGTGCTGACTGAAGCAGCGCCTCTCCAGCGTCACAGTTGAAGTCCTCTGTTCTACATATTTTGTTGCTTTGTGACTGCTGCTCCGCTTGCTGAGTCTGGTCTTTTTATTTGAATTCAGCGTGCATGAAAGTCAATATCCTGATCTGAAGCCTTCTTTCTGCATGGGCAGGGCGAGCGCCAAGTACCTATTCGTAAATAATGTTGCAGATTGCGCGGATGAGATCCTCGTGCATGCGGCCTTTGAGAAATACAACCTGATGGATGTGTACCTGCCCAGATCCCACGAAACAGGTGCTTCTAGCCGATCTTTTTGTTATTATACATATTTATGATACTCCAACCCATGAGGATCAGGTGCGTCGCAGCAGCGTTTTTATGGCAGCCTTCCAACCTTCGCCGCTCTTTACTTTTGATTTATTACACGCTGTTCCTGCCAGAGGCAAGGTGCGTCGGCAGACGAGCCGCATGTAAAGGCTGCCACAAATTAATGATCATCGGTGGACTTGCAAGATCCAAGCAAGACCCAATAAAGTTTGGGGTATAGTGCTCAGTACTTGAACGGCCTCCTGCCAGCCGGTCTCTGCACTTGCAAAAGTAGAAGCTGCTGGCTGTAGTCACAGAACCACCTGTCTTTGGTGTGCAGCCTTACATACACCCACAGCGCTTGTTGATATTATTCTTGTTATAATAATAATTACATTTATTATTATCACATTCCAAGGATCTAGGTACCCAGGAACTGGAAAACGTGTAGCAAACGCGTGTTTTAAACTTCTCTATTCGGTCATGTGCACTTAATGCAGCACTTGCACTGGCAGTCAGTGATATCTAGTCAGCAAGTTACTTGTCAAAGCTGTGCTACATTAAGAGCATCCTGACGCTCTCGTCGTGTTCTGGCGTGCAGGCAAAATAAAGAAGTTTGGATTTCTTGCATTTGCCAGTGAAGAGGATGTGAGTGCTCTATTTCACGCCCCCAAATGGCCTGAAAACGATTGCTTCCTGTGAATGCTATTGAAAAGCTATTCTATCACAATCTCAGGATGTTCTTCACTTCCTTGCAAAGCTGTGGAGCGATTCTCACTGCTGAAGCCTTCTTTGTCCAGAGTTCAAATCCGCAGTCCCTTCTGACAACTTTATGATTTTCAAGTGCATGCAGATGTTCTCAAGCTCGATTGTGTTTCCGGTGTGACAGCAGGGCAGCTTGCCTGCAGACGCCCCTTTACTTCTGGCAGGAAAAGCGTGTGTAATGCATGAGGATGGTAATAAGAACAGCACTGCAAGTCTGAACTTTTTGCACGGCATGCACAGGGGCTGCAAGCATTGGAGGAGATGGATGGCTCAACGGCGCTGAACCCGAGCCACCCCATCAGACTCAGCATCAACACAAGCCCAAAGGTCGACGCCGACAAAATGATTGAGTGCGTTCCCTTTTCCCGATAGCTTGCATGCTTTGCAGCACCAGCGTTGGTCATGCTGTATGTATGGCCGCCATGCTCATTGAGGGGTACTCATCCGGGGCAGGGGGTGCATGCATGTATGTGCTGAGTGAGAGATAAGCTGCAGACTAATGAAGGCCCCGCAGATGTGGCTGCAGACGCCCTGCGTGTATGCCCTATGACCATTGGCATTGGGGTTGCCGACCTGTAATATTAATAATAATAATGGCCATGCCGCCTTCTGCGCTGCACTGACGCCTGAACACTCTCTGCTGCCACTGGCCTGCCAAAGTTTGCACCGCCAGAGATTACAGACAACTACGTTGCAGGCGCTTGACCAGATAGTATTGTGCTGCCAGAGATGCCCTGTCAAAAATGACTAATGCACCAAACGTTGGATGGGTCAAACACACAATGCTGGCTTGACAGGACACAAAGTGATATCCAAAAGACCTTCATTTTAGCTTCCAATCTGCTCTTTGTACCTGCTTGCAATGGTGCATACGTGCTGGCATTGACAGGCCAGTCCCTCTTTGTCCCGTCAAGTTTCATCATCAAGTCGTATGGTGCCATGTCAGCGAGTCCTGGATTAGTCATCATTACTGAAGTCGGGGAGCTTTCTGTCTGCACGTTGTGCCTGCTTGCAATGTCTGTGCTTCTTGGGATCAAAAATTCTTTGTCCCGTCAAGTCTCATGCGCTGGCATGTCAATGAGTCGTGTGTAAGTCATCATTACTTATCATCGATGTGTCATCATGCAGCCTGGACATCCGGCGGTTGTACATGGGCAACCTGCAGAGCGCCATAAGCGAGGACGCAATTTACAGCGCCTTCAAGAGATACAATCTGCAGAACATCAGGCTGGTGACCGACAGGGAGACGGGTACGTACCCCTCCTTGCAGGCAAATTGTCTTCTATTATTATTATTGTTATTATTATTTTTCTTACACGCAGTTCCTGCCGAAGGCAAGGTGCGTCTGCAGACAAGCGCTGCATGTAAAGGCTGCCAAAATCCTACCCCTTGTTGGACTCGCCAGATCCAAGCAAGACCCAATCAACCGTGGGCACGTTGCTCGGTGTTTATACCGGCCCCCGCCAGCCGGGGCCAATGTACAAATAACCTGGAGTATTATTTGAACCAGGGCTGAGGGTCTTTTTTTGCATGATGCGCAGGTTTACCGAGGGGCTTTGGATTCCTGACCTTCGGGACAGCACAAGAGGTGATGTCCCACGAAGTCCCATTTACCAACACACACGGTTAACTGTGGATCAGCTGCTGGAGGCATGTCTTGGGTAGCGAATTACAGAATCCAAATTCGGTAGATCAATGTGCCTTCAATTTGCCGCTCAAGGGCCCATGCAGGATGCTCTATATGTAGAACAGTCAGTCAGTCAGTGAGCCAGCTTCCAGCCAGCTTTCAGATGGACTTACAGGCAACCTTAGGGCCGATCCGATGCCTGACTATTATTTAAAAGTCAGCGCCGAGCATGACATCTAAATTCTCTAAACTTACCTGGCAACACTGCTTCTGTTTGAGAACAGGCAATGCAATGACTGCAGCCCTGTCAGCACTTTGTTCATTGGGTTCCTCCAGCTGAGAGAAACCCCAAGCACAATGCAGAGGCTGTGAATGGGGGTCCTTTGCTGGACACTCTCAATGAATGATGTGGACGTGTTTGATGATTGACAAAGGGGAGGGTTCAAGGGATCCAATTATCTATGGGATAAAAGAGTGACACAGCAACATACGCAAAGGAATGCCTTCAGTAATGCTCTAGCATTTGGTTGCTTGTGAAAGAACCTTAGAAAGAAGAAGGCATCGGGTTTGCCGATCAACCTGGAGCTAGGTAGAATTGGTAAAGGAGGCTCCTGCGAACTGAAAAATCTGAGCTTGCATGCGCGCAGGCAAAGAGGGCGCTGACTGAAATGAATCAGAGGCCATTTCCGGGCACCTCATGGAGCATCAAGCTGGGAGTTGACAAGGATCCGGTCCCCCCGCCGCCTCAGATGCCCATGCGCTCGGCCTCGTCAGCATCCAGTCACCACGCCGACCGCTCCGAGAGCCCCGGGTGTGCGCCTAGAGCCTGTGCTTGTATTATTATTATTGTTATTGTTATTGTTATCACTATTAGAATCATTATCATTATACGCTTTACCTGCCAAGAGGCAAGGTGCATCCTGCAGACAAGCTGCATGTGAAGGGTACCGAAATTGTACCCTTGACGGACTCGCCAGATCCAAGCAAGACCCAATCAACCGTGGGCACGGTGCTCAGTATTTATACCGCCCCCGGCCAGCCGGGGCCTCACTTTGGCCATTATAATTATTGTACATTTTTCAGTTCCTAGGCATCTAGGATCTAGGTACGTACAGCAATGTGTCTCAGGTTTTTCCAGTCTGTGCGGTAATGGCACTCGGCATAACTTGGCATACACTGGGCACTACTGAGGTGTTGGCTGCAGCTGAGTCCTGCCATGACTCAGGGATTTTGGATAGATTGTGTGTGGATATCCTTCCGAATTTGCCCACTCTGGGCGTGAGTCGAAGGCTCTGAGAATGGGGAAGAAATTCTGCGCTTCAGACCGTGAAGTCTAAAGATTCAAGCCAGCTTATTCTGATGCTCTGAGAGCCCTGGGTGCGCACTGAGCTATGCAGAGAATCTCTGTCACTATAAATTCATTCATCTAGCCCCTGCAATGTCAGATATCCCAAATCTGCAACTTTTTTCCAGGGTGGATAAAATGATGTGCTGCAGCCGAGATTTAATAAAAAAGAGAACTAAGCCAGCTTGTCTCTCAAAAGGCCTGCCCTGAAGATCAGGGAGTGAACAAGTTTTGGTCTATGGGTGTGTCTGTCTGGAGACCACCAGAAGAAACTCGTTGGCATTTGAACTACCATGTGATCTGGTGTGGGGCTGGAATGTGCTTCTGGGGCTAATTTGAGATCGTGCAATTTTGCTTGGCAGGATGCGCACGCAGCAGGTTGTGAGCAGGCTGCAGGACAGCTACACAATCGTCAGCGGAGCACCCGACAAAAACAAGTGCGCTCAACCTAATCTCACAGATCTGTGTCCTGATGCCAAACTCCTGGTATATTTTGTGTTTTTATCAAACTTTAGAAAAAAAGATGCCAAAACTGTGCTGTTACTTGCAACATGCAAGCTTTGCGCACAAGTGTGAACCTCGCCAAATGTGTGCTGAAGTGGGCGGTGTGTCGAAAGCAGGGGGGAAGTCAAGAAGGAGGTCAAGAAGGAGCCAGCCAGCCGCCAGCCCACTCCACTGGGAAGCTCCAAGAGCCAGGTTCGTTTAATGAAGCTTCCTCAGCTTTCTCGGGGGCTCCAATTGGCGGTACTCTTTTTCGGCAAGAGTGAGGTTTTTGGCGCTCTTTAATTATTCTGTTGCTTGGTCGGCGACCTATCCAGGGGATCGGTTGTGAAGAAGCCATTTTTTGATCCCAAAAGCTAAAACAGAAGCCCCCATCTTTTTATCTCTGCATCAGAATTGATGTAGGTCAAAGCAGAGTGGGTGCATGATCTCCTGCTCAGTCCTAACCTACCGAATTTGACTTAGCCCCACATGCTTGGATGCTGTGAGGAACCTGCGAATATTTTTGGGAGCATTGTTGTGGGCACTAATAGAGGGACACCTCAGTGGGCTTTTGGTGGCGCAGTCAGTTTATATCACATGCTTTCCAGCCAATTTAGGGCTGATCGGGTGCCAGACTCATTTTCAAGGTCAGCGCCAAGCATGCAAATCATGTGGATGTCTGCTGCCTGCCCGAAACAGGTATGTTGACCTATGAAGTTGCACAGCTGTGAGGTGCTTATTGTGTGTTCTTTTGTTCTGCCCAGGGGACAAAGGGGCCAGGAAAGGGCGCAGTAAAGGCGCCGGTAGGCAGAAAGGAGCTGAGCGCAGCAGACAGCAACCCATTTGCATGCCTGGCCCCTGACAGCGTTTAATGAGCAGCAGTGAAATTCAGTGAAGGGCACGTGTCTGGAAATATAAGTACAGCGAGGCGGCCTGGCAATACCAGCAAGTCATGGCAATCGGCTTTGCACAGTAGATGAGCTGCAATGAAACATGCCTGGAAATCAGGCCCATCGAGACGGCCTGGCAATAACAGCGGTTCAAGGCAATCTCTTTTGCACAGTAGATGAGCGGCAGTAAAAATGCCAGTGGAGTGTGATGATAGGGCAGTGTCCATTGCATGACACATGCTTAGATCTCAAGGCCAGCGAGGCGGCTTGGCAAGAATATCAATTCCTGGCAACCATTTTGGCACGCAGCAATGCATAGAAAAGATGCAGTAAAAATGCCAGCAGCAGGTCACATGTGTCATGTCAGGGCCAGCGAGGAGTAACAGCATTTCATGGCGATCAGTTTTGCATGCATGGCACACTTGCATGCATGGCACACGATGACTCATCAAATGCGTAGATCAGCTGCAGTGAAATTGGCCACTGCAGGTCACATGTCTGATGTTATGGTCAGAAGGGCGGTTTTGCAATATCAAAGTAAACGTCAATCATTTTTGCATGCGTGGCAGAGCACATTAGCAAGGAATAAAATGGTAGCATTTGTGTAGGATAGATAAAGCAACACCCTTCTTGGAGTTTCTGTGTGTGTGGGTAGTGCATGTGTATTTTACGAATATTATAGGTGGTTTTGCTGGAGTGCTTTAGGTCGTCTTGCATATGTACCATTGTATTGTGGTTTTGCTAAGTGCCAGTGTGTGTTACATGTGTGCGTGGCTGCATGTTTAATGCCAAGACCCCCCTTTCAGGCAGCATGACTTTCATTTTCGCAGCAGCAATAAACCTTGTGTTTAATGAAACAACCTTTCTGAGATGACTCTTGATCCCTTGCAATTTCCCTCTTGATTGGGGCATGCATGCTGGCAGGCCTGGCAGTCATTAAATCTTTCCCTTCTTGCACGCAGCCGTACAACAAACTGTGTGTTGGCATTGTTGTGAACCCGCTAAATCTATCCGGACGAAAGTTGTTGTCTTGCAGGACACTTCTCTATTCAATATGGTAGACATTGAAGTTCGGGTCAAAGCCGCACCCCTGAAGCTTGGCATACATGACTTGCGCGAGGCTATCCTGCAGTATCTTGCTCATGTCATGATCCATTCCCAGTTTTGCATGAGTTACGATGACGGCGTTTTGCAGCAGCTCCGTAGCTTCCTTCAGCTTCCCTTGCGTGCATTTGAGGCCGGCTATGGCATGATAAACATCTCCAAGCAGCACATTGTGCAACTCACTGTCTTCACCAGTTTCCTGCATTGCACACACAGAGAAGTGCACACACAATAAAATAACACAGCCATGCAGACGATATACCTCTATTAGCAGGGCATGCTGTTTCTGCCAGAGGGCAAGATGCGTCTGCAGATGAGCTTCGGCGGCTGCCACAGTTTCTACCCCTTGATGGACTAACTATGGGCACGGTCCTCAATAGTACCACCGCCCCGTATCAGCCAGGGCAAGGAATTACAATCAATTCACATTACCAATCGATTAATGATATGATATCAGCAAACTTCAAGGCATCACCGTATGCGCCCATTTGAGGGGCAGAAAATGCTGTAAAATATGAGGTACAAGCAGCAGGTCACATGTGATGATGATGGGAAAGTTTCCGTCATACCTGCAGGAATGCCAGTGATTTTGTTGCATCCCACAGGACCTTTTCCTCCTCTTTGTAATCCCCTGCTAGATGCAGCGCCTCCCCCAGCCTGTACTGCCAGACCTCTAAGCCGTTGGGCTGAGGGGACCTCTTCTGCTCTTGCACAACGTCCCTCAGCAGCTCAGCAGCCTGTGCAGAATGTAAGGTACGATTTTAGGAATTTATGTGATGCAGTGTAGTCACAGCTTGCATGCATAGCAAGGGGAGCCTCTTCATACTCCCGGGTGCTTAGCAATGTTCTTCTCACCAGATCAGGATGCTGATTTTAGATAAAATAAAACGGCTGCATCAGCACAGGCGCATAATCCAGCCGGCAGAAGAGGAGCACCCGCAATAATTGAGACGTAAATTAAAGGACAAATTTCGGATTTGAATCTTTGCTTATGAGACACGGATTTCTCATGCCGACAGGAAGGCAGCAGCAGCAACTGACAACACATGCTTGAAGAAAGGGTAGCTATTATTACATTAGTAGATATCATGGTGCGGTGCACACCTTCATGTAATTTCCCTGCTTGAAGAAGAGCTTCACGAGGCTGTCCCACCATCTATATTTAGCACTGGAATCCTTGGATGTGTACCCTTCGCTTATCAGGCGGAGTCCCTCGTACATCATCTGCTCTGCCTCCTCTTGCCTGCGAGCAACACCTAAAATAATGAAACGGTAAGACAGGCAGGAATGTTGGGGTCAACTTGAACACTCAACGGTCTTGCTTTCAGGCCCTCTGCCCAATAGCAAGCTGAGTATCCGATACGCGTAAGCACCACTGACACACTGTCCAATCTCTTCCATATACAACCATGGGGATGAAAATGTTGGATAAAATTCCACCATACACAACAAAGCACATCAGCGATTTACTTTGAAGTGCAAAATCGCACACCTTGCTTCGTCCACAGAAAGAATCGCCGAGCAGCCATTCAGGCAGAGCAGCATGGCATCCCAATCGGTGTCTCCAGCCAGAGGCAAGAATTCCATTCCTCGCCGCAAGGCCGCACATGCTTCTTCTTCCAGGTCCAAACCCAACTTGAGAGCAGCCAATCCCAGCTCTGCGTAGCACTCTCCAAGCTTGTGGTACGCCCATTGGTTCTGAGGGTCTTCAAACATGCGCGCAACGCGCGTGTCTTGAAGCACCACAACGCCGTTGCCTGCTGGTTTAACAGCTAGCTCAAAGTTCTCATTCCTCCAGTGCAACTGTGCGATGTGTATGTTGGCACCGGCAAGTTTGACAGAGTCCCACAGAAGAGTGTCTGGATCGTCTGTCTGCTCCAAAGAAGTCTGCATGCGCATTCCCCTTCATCAGCTCGAGCTTAATACAAATAAGAGTCCATCAGAGATATTGACACCGACCTAAAGGTAAAATAGTAATGCTAATTAATGGGAGGCATAGGGGGAAATCAGATCAGTGTCACTTTTCATGGACCCCTGTAAGGCATGTAGGAAGGGTTTTTATGGAGGGTGTTACCTGCAGATGCTGCATCACCATGTGGCACATCTCAAAAGACTCTGCTTTGAGTCCTACGCTGATTATCCGGTTAATGGCCGACCACCGAGCCTTCTCAGCATATGGCCTTCTGCTATCTGCCACCACATCTTCCTGTAGCTTCCTCAGCACCTGTTTGCCCTCGTCCTGCTTTCCCTGCGTTTGTTGAACATGTTTTACATATCTATAACTAATATCTTCTGCGTGTGGCCTGTTCTACACATCTGAGAAAAACCCAAAATTGACCGACGAGAATAGCAGCTATTTCTCATGCAGTGGTAATTGCAAGCGAGTTTTTCACAGCTATGCCTCACCTGGTGGAACAAGTTCTCCACCAAAAAGGCTCTGGTCTCAATGAAGCTAAAATGATCCATTTTGGAGGGTACATTTTTCCAGTTGTCCAGTGCACTTGTCATAAACTTCTCAGCCCGTACATCCCTGTGCGCGCGCTCAGTGTGAGAAAGCATCAATTCATATTTTGAGGTGCTTTTTTTGTGTGTAGCACCAACCATCAAAGGGCTGTCATTGGTGACGGTGTGATCAATCAAAGCTCAGCAATCGATTAGCGCAATTACCCTTCTCTCATACACTCCAAAAGAGTTCCAGCACGGCTCTGAGCTAGCGCAAGTCTGTCGACTGCGTTCTGCCATGCTGGCGAGTGATCGGCATGTTTCGTAGCCTCGAAAACAGCGTCTTCGGAAATGTTATTGAGCACCTGTGATCACATACTCACATTTTTGCCACCGTGTAAGCTGATTTGTACTTCATCACGATCTCAGCTTAGACGTCCACATTTTATAGGTTCTAACATTGATTGCATGTATTTTTGACATAATTGTGTGATCCATGGCACAAGGACATGAGACCTAAATACATGGGGGAAATACAGATTTGTGCACAACATGGCTAGATATTCTCGCGCTGAAAAACAAACCATGCGGGTGATGTAAAGGCTTGGAGGAAATGTGATCACCTTGAGTGCTTTTTGGATGGGGGGAGCATCTTCTGTTCTAGCCATACACATGAGGACAGTGGTCATCTCAAGGCGGCAATTCTGCAGCTCATCAAAAGCATCTGGGTTCTTCTCCAGCGCTGAGCAAGCTTCCTCCAGCACCTTTTGCACGCATGCTTGATTATCATCTCCGCATGCCTTGATTCCAATAGCTGTATTTGGTGTAGGAACTGTAGTATGGCCACCGGAATATTTCTTGGAGCAACAGGCTTGCTTTGCTGTGCCAAGCTCTGGGTGCATTTTTTCAGGGTACACATTCGATGCATTTCACAGGCTGTCAAGTGCAGGCTGAGAAGTGTGGGATAGCCCTTCTCACAGCGGGTCACAACAAATGGACGCAAGGCACACACATAGCATATAAGCACCGAGAAAATTTGAAATCTCACCAGAAGTGCCTCTTCAAATCTTATCTGCACGCGCAGCGAGACTGCCAGCACCGCCTGAAACAAGAAACTAGCACAGCTTTAGAACCAAATGTCCCAAAATGCATTGTTGCTCCTCTGGAACTCGAGTCAGAGGCCGGCGCAACATTTCTGCGATAAAAGAATGGCAGGGATTTCGTATAATGATACTAAGGATATTAATTTCTGGGAGCGGTGCCTATGGCCACGGTGGATTGGTCTTGCTTGGATCTGATGAGTTCAGAAAGGGTGGGAATCTGGCAACCTTCACCTGCAGCTTGTCTGCTGCAAAGGCACTTAGGCATCTGGCAAGAACAGCATGTGATAACAAATATACCGCGGTAAGCACCGTATTCCGCACAAATGAGACGTTTTCATTGGAAAAGGGTCAAAATTAACAGCCTACTTTGTACAAAGTACCCCCCAAAACAATATTGAGACCAGTTTTGGAAAGCTCTTGCCGAGCCCGACCCATTGGTGGTGATGAAACAGCATTCAAGGGAAAAGAACTTGTGCATTTCGGGGGTGCGGGATACATGATGCTGACTATGGTATATGGGAGCAGTGAGTCGCCTTACATGCAGGTCGGCAATGAGAGAGGGCTCCATGGGCGCCTGTTGGAATGTTGCCAGCGCCTCTCTCAGCAAATTTTCTGCCTCTGCTGCATCTTCCTGCCGCCGCCAGCGAGGCCTCTCGGCCATTATCGCCTCTGCTAGGCCCTGCTTACAGATTGCCACTGCTGTGCTGCTTGATGAAACATCGCCTTCCCCAAGCTCCTGTGAAGACACTCCTGTACTTGATAATATCGAATTATGAATGTGGCATTCTTATTCGATATCATTATATGACAAATTAACCAGAATATTACCATTTCAAGAGTGAATTCAACCACAGAAGGCGCCTTGAACGCACCCGCAGAGCTGCTCTGTGCAGCTGCTCAGCCTCATAGCCTCTCTGCAGGCTGCAAAGCACGGAGCCAAAAGCGCGCAGCGCTTGCATGCGCATGACATAATCCGGCGATTCGATTCTTTCCCAACCGGCCACAATTTCCCTGAGCAGCTCATGTGCCTGCCAGGGGTCACCGGCCTTGGCTATTTGGAGAGCAGCAAGACGTTGCTCCTCCAGATTTGCCTCAGCATCTCCAGGTGTAGACAGCTTGGTGTCTGAAGTCTGCATACAAATACCCACAGGATCGAATGGAGGATGTGGTGTAGCAGGACCACGAAAGCCTTGCGATGTTTGTAAGCTTGCAAGCTGCACCGATTTCAAGACGTCCAATTTGGAGATTTGAAGGAATGTGAAATGGGTACCTGCAAGAGAGTGATTGATCTGATATTGTCTGCTCTGTGGAGCCCACGTGGCCTTGGCGGTGTCCTCAAGGGTGGCACAGAGGCCGTCATAGGAGCTTGTCGACGTGACGGATGTGCGTGCAGAAGAACAGGTCTATTGCTTGCAGTTACCTGCACCATACCGTGAGTTCCGTCGTGAGAAGAGTACAGGAAGCATGAACGCACGAGAAAGGTATTAGGGCAGTTTCGTTGCTCTCACAAGTGTAAGAAAGCGCCGTGAATACCCCAGACACCATTTCTGCGTTATGAGCGTGATTAAAAATATGCTAGAGGACAAATACAACTTGAGATCCGTTTGCTGTGGGACACGTCGTCGCTGATCACCTTGCTCCGGTTTCCGCACTTGCGCTGGACGTGAAAATTCAAGCGTGCTGCCGCATTAAAACACAAACCTGCCATTATTATACCTAAATAAAATTCTTTTGAAGAGGAATCAGAAGTCCTCAAACTCTGCGTCTCAACAAGGTTGACGTTCCAAGGTTCCGAATTCGAGGCAATGATGCAGACCCGAAAGAAGGCACTATGCCGAAATGTCCTAGATCCCGGTGCTTAAATTTGTTTCATTATGATAATGCGATAGAGGCTTGTGAGTCAGGCGTAGCAGAGCTGAAGAACCGCGAAGTCCCTGCCTTCCTTCCGGAGCCTAGGGTTTTCTCGATTTGTCATCCTTTCATGCCCCCTCATGTCAAGGGTTTTGAATTTGCTTGCCGTCTGAGAGATGCATGACATCAAGACACAAAAAACGTGTTAAGGGCAGAAAGCTGTCGTTTGCACATGAATCGAGCATAAACTGTGAATGCAAGAGACTGCCGGCAGTGATGTCTGCCAGTACCGTTGTATGGTTGACCATTTAGTGCTGTTACAAAATGCAGAGAAACGTTTGTGGTTGCTCTACTTTGCTAGGAGCTCTAATCAGCTGGCACCATGGCAATTTTCTTGGGATTCTGAAGTGAATCCGTTGGTAATATAATTACATTCTTCTATTTTGCATATGCTTTCTGCATGCATCACCGCACTGAGCTGGCAGCTGAGCTAACAGCGCTCTGCCATAACTTTGAAAGGTCTATTTGCAACAAAAGGGCCACTGGTGGTGAGCTGATTTCCGTAAGCAGCATATATAAAAATTAGTCCTCAATAGTGTAGAGCCGGTAAACGTGGCAAAGCAACACAAGGTTGCCTTTTGTCACGTTTGGCAGACACGGTTGCTTCCATGCTCTCTTTAAGCGACAATTTGATGGCATCATCGGTTCCAGGTCTTGCATTTCCTGTTGATACTCTGAACTTGAAGTCTGACGTGCCAGCTCAGCTCAGGGCATGAAGCTTCCTGGCAGCCACATGAAGCCAAGCGCAGCTACACTCGACTGCCAATTCAGATTTATTCATTTCTTTATCTCCAAACTCTTCCAAGAGCTTCATCATGAGTTGCTTTGTGCGCCACATGAGCTCCCCTGAAAATGACGTTCAATTCCACAGAAAACCCATCTTGTTCTGCATTATGCTATCTCCGCCCTATTCTCACAATGGCCCCTGCTATTATATTTAGACCTTCCTTGAGTCCTCTCCTCACTCTGTTGGGTTTCTTCTCGGCAGGCTTGGCCTTGCCCTTCAAATAATCTTTCAGAACGGCTAAGTTGTCAGATTCGCATAGATGCTCCAATGCCTCAAAATGGATCTCTTGGATAAGATCGGTGGACGTCTGCATGCACAATTCTTCGCGTGAGCCAATTCTCCAATTTTCAATCAAAATTTCAAGATGTAGATTCAATGATGGCATGCGCCCGTCATCTGCAGAGGTTAATAACATGACAAGCTACACAGAGCATTCACTCCTGGCCCCAACGAACATCGGTCACCCCAGCACTCTGCCCGACAGGTGGCTCTACATATGACTAATATCTATAGTTCAATATAAATAATACAGGTCCTCCCGCACCCTATGCCCTTGATTCCAGTACTAGAGGCAGCGCAAGCACATGCAAAAAGCATTGTTTTTATAAATATGGTGGTTACATCAGATTTTCTCCTAGAATAATATGTTTGCAAGGATGCTGTACGAAGCAGACTTGGAGTTCAAACTTTAAAAAGAAGGAGGAAGAGACTGACCTTGAGAAATTGTGCAACCTCTGCATGAGTGAGTGGTACCTCGCCGTCAAGCCCATAAATCAAGCGTAGAATATCTACCGCGCTTTGGCCCAGTCTTTTGTCCCCCAGCAACTTGTCCAAATGTTGGGCCAGCTCTCGTTGTTGCGCTATCTCCTCAAGGGACAGCTTTGTGTAGTCAGGGGTGGTCTCCAGACTTTCACCACAGCACGAAGCCTCAGACTCGCTGAAAGTCATGACCTGTGGAAAGCAATTCTTTCAGTGGCTTTAAAAAGCCACTATGGCTTTAGAAAAATGAAGAAGGCCGATGCGGCGCCATTCAGAGACTTTTAGATATCCGCTCAGAAGCCATAAATCTTTGCAAAAATAGTTGACAGCTGCACGGAAGCCACAATCTGCCCTTTTCCGGCCAATATGCCCCCAAAACCATCAGATTGAGACAAATCCCCTTTGCTTATAAACCCTTCACCAAGTGTGTAAATTCAAAAAGAATTTTCAAAGACAATCTCAAAGCCACACTGGCCCTTCTGCCGAAAGCCTTACTGGCGGAAAGGCAGCAATCATTGAATGCCCGGCAGTGCTTGATCTTTTACCCAAAGGGGGCATTTTACCTTAGGTGGTTTTTCGCAATGTTTTGGACTTGGAACGATGTTGTTGACCTCTTGAAAAGTCGGCCCACTGCCATTTGCTGCCTTCGTGGCAATTATCACCCTGCATGGTCATATTGGATGGAAACTCCCGCCTGACGCATCTTTACTTTTGCCTTTGCCAGTGTGCAACTGACGTGCGACTGTGATACCTGCGCACATTCCGATTCTTGTCAGCTTTCCCTGCCAGTCGCACATGCACATCTGCAGACGTCTTGATAAGCACAACCTCCCAAGCTGCTGTTCTCATCCGCGTACGCTAGCTAGTGTGCAAACACCGGCAATCAAACCTGCATCTTAGGTGCATGCACTTCTGATGCAACAAAAAACACGCTTTGATCAAATGGCTGCTTACTCTTGAGGAAAGAAGTCCCTTTACATGCATGCTAACAAAGATTTAATCCCTGGAAGGTCCGGTTGCGCTCAACGTCCCCATTATACCTTATGGCCCTTGAACTTCACAGACCCCTGCAATATAAATGAGGAAAGGGTGTACCCGTTGCATCTTGGCGACCTGTGCCTGGGTGTGCCATCTGCCGTCTTTGAAACCATAGCGGCAAAGAACAATATCGGCCTCAAACCCAGTCAGCACGGACATCAGCTTCTTCTTGTTCGTAATGGCCGTGTGAGCCTGCAAGAGCAGTGGCGGACATTAGCAAGGGGGCATTGTACTAGAGCTCTTTGACTTTGCCCCACCTTGTTTGCACACGACTGGGGGGCAGAACAATATTAGGAATGGCATTCTTTAACAGCTGGCAGACACATGAGAAGTTTGTAATAATAATGATGTGCAGTGACAGAATGCCCACAAGACCATCAGCCACAGGTGGCTACCAAAAGGTCTCTGAAATGTAATAATAATGTCATATCTTTGCACTTGCAGTCTTGACAGCGCAGCTGCAGGTTTCACAAGGTGGCAGACGAATGCTTATGAAACGCGGGGTGGCCGGTGACTAGTACTATAGGCAGATCTTTTCATAAGTTAGACTTGTTGTTGTGGGGTTTGAGAAAAGCAGATGGAAAGGCTGCGGAGCTGGGGGCGGGTGAAATCTTGCCTGCAGGTTGCTCCTCGAATTCAGGTGCTTCGACCCGTTGGCGGGATGCTGGCCGCAGCATCGCGAACTCAAGGCCCGTGAACCCACCTGACGTCTGAGTCGCGTTGCCGGCTGTAATACGAGCGGATTCCACCTTGTGCTCCAGTCGCCCTGTGCCATATCAACGGGCACCTTTGGACTCCGGATCCGGCACAAGCAGCTTCTGCACTGGGCTCGATTTGTCCGTCTTATAGGATTGCTCCCATGATTGAATCAATGAAATTTCGTTGTTTTCTGATTGAAGAGAAAAATTTCCCTGATTTATGAGAAAAAGGGGCAAAGGACGATACCTCCAACCTCCCTCCATCCTGCCTCCGAGTGCTGTGAACGTTGCAAGTCCTTATTGCGAGCATAGTAAGAAACTACGTATCTAAAGTCTCCCAAATAATTTGACTTCCATGTCGAGCTAGCTAGGAAGGCGAATAGAGACGCTCATAAGATCGTCGTAAAATCCAAGGTAACAGATCTCCGTCGGTTCAGTGAAAATTAGAACAATGCAAAGACTCGCATCTGTCCGATGGTTTACGGTTAGCTTCTTATTCCTTAAAGTTCCCAGTGAAGAACTGCATGCCTAGCTTCTTCCTCTTTGATCGAGCGCTATTTCTCATGCTAAGTGTCGAAAGACCCCTGGGAACCCTCCTCAGAACCATGGACTGCCAACAGGGTTTCAACCCCAGCATGCATGAGGACTCTTTGGTTGAAGCTGTCAGTCTTGGAAGAATGTCATGATCTTTTGCTCCAGCACGACATCTGCACAATTGCGAGTTACACGTCAGTGCAACATGTTGACACACCAAAAGCTTTTTTGGTCACACAATCTTGAAGTAACCACTGGTCCCTTTGGCACTGGCATTAAGAGGCGTTTCTGAGCCCCGCAATTTTTGAACTTTTCTAGCCAGGAATCTTGCGGTTGTTTCCTTGGAAGACATTCCTTGCCAGATTTGATAGCCAGTTGCACATCACGTGAGAGGCTGAGCAGTCTCAGATAAGATCAACATGAACGCCGAACAGAGCCACTCAGCATTGCCACATGGATCTGAACAATGGACACAACTACAGCTAATTACAAGTGTTCAGCCAAAATAAGTTCCATGCCGGTGTGTGAACCAATGTGGCTAACCCCTGGTGCGCACTAGTGTGAGTACTCATCCCTCATTTCCCTCACTGGCAGTCATGTTTAAGAAACGTTCATTATGTATCTTTACCTTTCGGCAATAAACGCACACTGCATGCAACCATCACCTTAAAGCCCCAGGCTGTCCTTTTGAAATAATAAACCTCATCCCTGATCTGCCAGCTCAGCTCATGACAAGCAGCAAATTCATTCCTTGGAATCAAGCGCCTCCACAGACTGTTTTTTCTCAGTGAATTTATGTTTTGAGCTATAAGCCAGTAACTCACTTATTGAATACAGGCTTGCAAGTCGACACCCTGCATCTCAACTTCAAGGCCCGGGAATCTTGCAACCCTGATGGGCGTGCTTTGAGCGATAGCACTTCCTTCTTGCTCCGATCAATCTGTGGCACGAGGTGACACAAGCTCAGCGGTGCACCTTGAGCGAAGTCCTTATGCTGGCCATTTGAAACAATGATGGTTCTCCGCAGAGTTTTCTAATCGAACGAACATCAAATGACAAAGAAAGTCAATCCATAAATAGACAAAAGAAGATTACCTTGAGGCCTACAACATCTGTCCAGCCTCCGAGAGCAGCGAACGTTTCAGATACTGCTTCCTGGTAGACATGCCGACATTGATACGTGAGTACGCCAAAGTACTCTGTTTATTCATTATCGTCTCGGGTTAGTCTCAGATCGTGGGCTCAAGAAGTTGGACGTTATGTCCAAGGTTACCAAATATACTATTTTTGGTGCACGGCAACACAGAACAAGTTCTCAATTCCGTGCGATCCTGATTGTAATTTAACCGTAGCGTCAATGAGTTCTGGTGCTAGATCTTGAAAGTCGTGTTCCTGTTCTGCCTTGCGAAAGAAGCAGTGCTTTGGTTCCTCAGTAAAGACCCCCGCAACCCTCCCTAAAACCCAAACTTGCTCTAATGTCCACATGCAGAATGGGGTTTTTTGAAATAGCACTTGATTGGGCATTTTAGGGATTCCAGGCTAGTCGCTGATCCTTGATTTTCCTCAATGTCGCTCTATTTTCAACATCTCTTGTCCTCTCACTCGTCAGGGCTCCAGGACAGATTTTCCTCCCGACAGAACTTGCATGGGTGACGTCAAGGCTGCACCATCGTTCTCCGTAAGGCGCATGTCAACCTCCCTAGCAGCCTGCTAGCAGCAGGTTAGATGAAGCAATCGTCAAAATCAAAGAACAGTTGGAGTTGGGCAGTCGGAAGCTCTGTGAACACCGAGGAGATGGAGCGAGCTGCCAAACGAGCAAGGCAGGATGAGAACTCTACATTTCGACCCAGGTGCTGCTTGTCGTCCAAATAATCCTATGTAGTGTTGAAATATTGAGAGTGGTTTGTGGAACATGTTCTAAGTTTTCCACACGCGGGTCAACGCCATCTGTGCATCTGCAGTGGGCTCACCATCAACGGCCTACCCGTGACCTTACTGGCCGATCTCAAGCCTTCAATCATCACCCACGAGGAGTATACATCCAGCAGCAGTGTCTTGAGCAATGCTCTGAGGGAGCAGCGTGCCTGCATCGTGGACGTGGGTGCAGAGATGGCCTGCATCCTCAGCCAGGCACTGCCTGACGGCGACCCATTGTTCCAGAAAATGCCGGGAATGTCTGAATACAAATTCAGGAATGGAGACGTGTATATGAACAGACCGGAGAAGGAATTGTTGCGCGTCATCATATCTTCAGATTCAAAAGAGACCTCCTTGACAAAGGTGCATTCCTCTTGACCCGCTCCTGCACCTTCCCTTACTAATATACCCTTGATCGGCTAAATATTAGTTGGTTCCCATTTACATCTAAAAGTGCGATTCTGCGGCTCCTTCTACTCTGCACAGGCACTGATGACGCTGGACTCAGTTGGCCGCACATGCCTGAGTGCTCTGGCCCACGCCATAAAGCTGCGCCACGATACCTTCCTGACCATCCTGGACGACGTACCATCTGCAGAGCCCGCATCATCAATGCTGGACATTGTCAAGTACAAGGCAGTCAGGCGAGGGGGCTGCGCAGCTCATGAGGACCAGGGCCTCCTGACTCTCATCTACAGCCCTCAAGGCGGCGCCCTGCAGGTGCTGCTTCACTCCACTTAAAGTGCTTCGGAAGCCTTTCACACCCGGCCCCCGGCACCCGGTGCGAGGGATTGGTAGAGCCAGTTCAGGCCGATATCACAACATGCAGCCTGGTACCTCTCCCAAATAGTATTTGGACCACTTCTGAGAGCACGCTGTTTGCATGCGTGACTCACAGTGATGATGAGATGAAAGGGGCTCCTCAAAAATGGATACTGCACTTGCAGGTGCAAGCCTCAAATGGCGAATGGCAGAGTTGCGTGCTGCAAACGGAGCACGTCCTCATACTTGCAGGTAACGCACTCTCTCACCGCTGCTTGGCACAATCGTCGGTGGCAAGCCAGAGGTTCTATTCTCACACAAGCTGCTGCACAAGCGCTTTCTTCTTGTGTCCTGAGCCATTGCAGTCTTTGGCCAGCATGACTGAAGATCATCCAAGCAACACTTTGACCGTCCTGAGTCCTTCGTTGATGACTGCAATTGACGCTTTGCAGAGACACTATGGAGTATATATTATATGATGTCTTTGCACTGCAGGTCACACACTGGAGTATGCCAGCAGCGGGCACTACAAATCAGCGCACCACAGAGTGGATGGCGCTCGGGTGATGAAGGAGAGAGGCAGGGGCTCGCTCGCGTACAAACTGAGAGCCAACGCAAACGCTGTGATTGACAACAGGGCAGCTATCACTGCGGCTGGCCACCCCAACGCGTACAGGATCGACAGGTTTGCCTCTACTGTTATGTATGCGCCCGTGGTACGACATGCAGATCGTACATCCAGTGGAGAATACTGCTTGTGCTCGATAAAGTCTGCAATGCACTGTAGGCGCATGTCTGTGGCTGGTGTCTCATCCATGGTGTGAGTCTTGACAGAGTATCTCAGAATGGCAAGCATGTACGTTTGACAGAGACCCTGAGATCAGATGCAGAGAAGGTTTTGCAATGAGCCCTCAGAAGATTGCCAGGATCACATTCGCGAGGGCAGCGGGCCTTCATAGCATGTGTCATGCATGTATCAAGCATACACGGAATGGATTTCGAGGGGTTCAGAGCGTTGCATGATTGACGGCTTTGTGAGTTAAGGGCCTCGGTCCCATACTGGCACCATCATGTCCATCAGCTGACATAATGCTGGAGAGTGTATTATTTGAGTCATCTGAAGATTGCAGATTCATTGAAAGTCTGCAACAGGAGTCTATGCATTACCTTCATCCTGAGACTGTCAGCTACCCTGCAGGTACCTGCAGCCGGTGAGTGTGCGCCATCTGATAGAGCGCTTCAATGCAACCCACTCCTCCGTCAACGCAGCTCCACCACCAGAGAAGAAGAAGCGGCGAGAAACCCCTAAGGTGAGAGTGACAACGCCTATTTTATAATGGCGTTTTTTATATATAATCATCCCATGCATGCAAGGGTGACTAATATTGTTGGCTTCTTGCATGCGCATTGGCGCCATAGCATTCCTTGTCAAGAAGCACAGAGCAGAGGTATTGAATCTTGATTTCGGGCTGCAGATTAGCAGAGTAATATAGTGTCCGATTTGCTGGCTGCTGCATAGTGCTAATTTGTGCCGTTTTCTGCGCAGTATTTTAACCGCACAATGCCGCTTTGCAATGTAGAGTGCATGTTGCTGCAGCAACAGTCACTGACTTGCTGTCTTGAAGTGAAGAGCAGATGCAAAATCTATCTGAAAAATTGGTGTATTCAGACTTTTTTGTGCACTGCCTTGCAGCGGGCGCCTCTGGCAGAGGGCTGGCTATACGTGAAGACTTTGACAGGGAAGGAGATCAGTTTTAAGTTCGATCGGCCAACGGCAGAAGTCACTGTGAAGCAGCTGAGGGGCCTGATACAGGACAAAGAAGGGATTCCTCCAGATCAGCAACGATTGATTTATGATGGGAGGCAGCTGTTCGACTCGAGGCTTCTCAGGGCTTATGGCATCGTGGATTACTCAACGGTGCATCTGGTCCTGAGGCTCATAGGGGATTGAGGAGGCAGTGCATTGTATATTTATAGCCCCGGCCGGCAGGGGGCACGGTAAAAGTACCGAGCACCATGCCAGTGGTTGATTGGGTCTTGATTTTACCTGGCGAGTCCGACAAGGGGTGGGATTGTGGCAGCCTTCACCTGCACCTTACTTCCAGCATGGGCAGGTTGTATTATAATATAGACACATTTGTACAATATTGTCCACTCTTGTGTTCTTTGTTGGGCTGCTTTGAAAAAGGACTGCTTGGGACCATGAAATGGAGAAGAGTGGTGCAGGATGAATAAATCTGAATGTGCAGTCGAGTGTAGCTGCGCTTGGCTTCATGTGGCTGCCGGGAAGCGTCATGCCCTGAGCTGAGCTGGCACGTCAGACATAAAGTTCAGAGCTTCAAAAGGAAATGCAAGACCTGGATTCAGCTACTGAGAAAATGCTGCTTAGGGAACTCGGCTCACCACCAGTGGCCCTTTCATTGCAAATAGACCTTTTTTATGGCAGACTGCTCTTAGCTCAGCTGCCAGCTCAGTGCGACGATGCATGCAGAAAGCATCTGCAAAGAAGAAGAGTACTATTATAAATAGGTTATAAATCATCATCATGCACGATTGCATTTTGTAACAGCACTGAATGGGTCAACCATACAACGGTACGAGCAGGCATCATTGTTGGCAGTCTCTTGCATTCACAGTTTATGCTCGATTCGTGTGCAAACGACAGCTTTCTGCCCTTAATATGTTTCCGTTGTCTTGGTGTCATGCATCTCTCAGATGGCAAGCAAATTTAAAACCCTTGACATGAGGGGGCATGAAAGGGTGAGAAAATGAGAAAACCATTGCCTCGAACTCGGAACCTTGGAACGTCAACCTTGTTGAGGCGCAGAGTTTGAGAACTTCTGATTCCTCTTCAAAAGAACTCTGTCCAGGTGAAACAATGGCAGCTTTGTGTTTCAATGCGGCAGCACGCTTGGGTTTGCACGCCCAGCGCAAGTGCGGAAACCGGAGCAAGGTGATCAGCGACGACGTGTCCCACAGCAAACAGATCTCAAGTTGTATTTGTCCGCTAGCATATCTGTAATCACGCTACAAAAGCAGAGATAGTGTCTTGGGTATTCACGACGCTACGCTTAGAATTGTGAGAGCAACGAAACTGCCCTATACCACCATCGTTCCTGCTTCCTGTACATTTCTCACGACGGTAATCACGGCATGTTGCAGGTACCTGCAAGCAATAGACCTGCTCTTCTGCACGCACATCCGTCACGTCCACAAGCTCCTATGACGGCCTCTGTGCCACCCTTGAGGACACCGCCAAGACCACGTGGGCTCCACGGAGCAGACCGTATTAGATCAATCACTCTCTTGCAGGTGACCATTTCCAATTCCTTCAAATCTCCAGATTGGACGCCTTGAAAATCGGTGCAGCTTGCAAGGTTACGTTCATCACAAGGCTTTCGTGGTTCTGCTACACAGCAACCTCGTTCGATGCCTGTGGGTGTTTGCATGCAGACTTCAGACACCAAGTTGTCTACAATTGGAGATGCTGAGGCAAATCTGGAGGAGCAACGTCTTGCTGCTCTCCAAATAGCCAAGGCCGGTGACCCCTGGCAGGCACAAGAGCTGCTGAGAGATATTGTGGCCGGTTGGGAAAGAATCCAATCGCCGGATTATGCCATGCGCATGCAAGCGCTGCGCGCTCTAGGCTCTGTGCTTTGCAGCCTGCAGAGAGGCTATGAGGCTGAGCAGCTGCACAGAGCAGCTCTGCGGGTGCGTCAATCACACCTTCTGTGGTCAAATATACTCCTGGAATTGCGAAATCCTGAATGAAATGTCAAATAATGATATAACATAAGAATGCTACATACATGGTCTCATGGTGTGATGCTCTCCAATGGTATGTATGGTCATGCACGAGCAGAGCGCAGTGAGGCAGAAAACATTCAATGATTGTAGCCTAAGCTTAGAGCTTGAAATTTGTGCTTTGATCTGGGGAGTCCGATAAGGGAAAGGATTGTGGCTGCCTTTTACTGCAGCTTGTCTGCAGAACGCACCTTTGGCAGAAAAGGTGTGCAATAATTTGAAATATAATCGATAATATCAAGTACATGAGTGGTTTTACAGGAGCTTGAGGAAGGCGATGTTTCAACAAGCAGCACAGCAGTGGCAATTTGTAAGCAGGGCCTGGCAGAGGCGATAATGGCCGAGAGGCCTCGCTGGCGGCGGAAGGAAGATGCAGCAGAGGCAGAAAACTTGCTGAGAGAGGCGCTGGCAACTTTCCAACAGGCGCCCATGGAGCCCTCCCTAATTGCCGACCTGCATGTAAGACAACCCACTACTCCCATATACCATAGTCAACATCGTGTGTCCCGCACCCCTCAAAATGCGCAAAAAATGTTTTCCCTTGAAATGTTGTTTCATCGTCACCAATGGGTCGGGCTCGGCGATAGCTTTGCAAAATTGGTATCAAAATTGTTTTGGGGGGTATTTTTTACAATCTAGGTTGTTAAATTTTTCAAGAGAATTATCTTAAAATTTTGCGCGGAATATGGTCTTACTACGGTATAGTTTTTATCACGTGTTGTTTCTGCCAGAGGCAAAGTGCCTTTGCAGCAGACAAGCTGCAGGTGAACCTTGCCAGAAACCCACCCTTTCTGACCTCACCAGATCCAAGCAAGACCAATCAACCGTGGCCATAGGCACCGCTCCCAGAAAATAGTATCCTTAGTAACATTACACGAAATCCCTGCCATTCTTATATCGCAGAAATGTTGCGCCGGCCTCTGACTCGAGCTCCAAAGGAGCAACGATGCATCTGTGGACATGTGGTTCTGAAGCTGTGCTAGTTTCTTGTTTCAGGCGGTGCTGGCAATATCGCTGCGCGTGCAAATTAGATTTGAAGAGGCAGTTCTGGTGAGTTTCTGATTTTCTTGGTGCTTACAGCTGTGTACGTGTGCGTTGCGCCCATTTGTTGTGACCCGCTGTGAGAAGGGCTATCCCACCCTACTCAGCTTGCACTTGACAGCCTGTGCATCGAATGTGTACCCTGAGAAAATTGCACCTGGAGCTTGGCACAGCAAAGCAAGCCTGTTGCTTCAAGCAAATGCTGGTGGCCATACTACAGCTCCTCCACCAAATACAGCTAATGGAATCAAGGCATGCAGAGATGATAATCAAGCATGCGTGCAACAAAGGTGCTGGAGGAAGCTTGCTCAGCGCTGGAGAAGATCCCAGATGCTTTTGGTGAGCTGCAGAGGTGCCGCCTTGAGATGACCTTTGTCCTTATGTGTATGGCCGCAAAAGAAGATGCTCCCCCCATCCAAAAAGCACTCAAGGTGATCACATTTCCTTCAAGCCTCTAGCATCACCCACACATACTTGCACCATCCGGATTCGGCCATTCGGCATATGGTGATTATTCGGTTGTATATTGGGTGTTTTGGGCCAAAATAGGCCGTTTATTATCGTGTTTCGTATATTTTAATACCGTATGACCGTGTATTTGGCCATAAATACGGTCCCCATTAACTGTTCTGACGAATGGTGCAACTATGCACCCACATGATTTTTTTAAGCGCAAGAATATCTAGCCATGTTCTGCACAAATTCTGTGTCTCCACCATGTTTTTAGGGCTCATGTCCTTGTGCCATGGATCACATAATCATGTCAAAAGAACATGCAACCAATGAACAGAAGCTTGTAACATAAGGACGTCTGAGCTGAGCTCGTGATGAGCTGCGAATCAGCCTACACCGTGGCAAACATGTGACTATGTGATCACAGGTGTTCAATAACATTCATCAAGACGCGGTTTACGAGGCTGAGAAACATGTCGATCACTCACCAGCATGGCAGAACGCAGTCGACAAACTTGCGCTAGCTCAGAGCCGTGCAGGAACTCTTTTGGAGTGTATGAGAGAAGGGTAATTGCGCTGACCAATTGCTGAGCATTGATTGATCACACCGTCACCAGTGACAGCCCCTGAATGGCTGGTGCTGCACACCAAGAAAGCAACTCAAAATCTGTATTGATGATTTCTCACACTGAGCGTGCGCACAGGGATGTACGAGCTGAGCAGTTCATGGGAAGTGCACTGGAAAACTGGGAACATGTTGAACATGTACCCTCCAAAATGGATCCTTTTGGCTTTATTGACGCCAGAGCCTTTCTGGTGAAGAACCTGTTCCACCAGGTGAGGCCTAGCTGGGTAAAACTCACCTGCAATTACCACTGCATGAGAAATAGCTGCTATTCCCGTTAGTCGATTTTGGTTTTTCCCTCAGATGTCATGTAGAACAGGCCACATGCAGTAGATATTAGTAACAAGTATAAGGAACTGGAAAATATGATCAACAAACGCAGGGAAAGCAGGACGAGGGCAGACAGGTGCTGAGGAAGCTACAGGAAGATGTGGTGGCAGACAGCAGAAGGCCATATGCTGAGAAGGCTCGGTGGTCGGCCATTGACCGAATAATCAGCGTAGGACTCAAAGCAGAGTCTTTTGAGATGTGCCACATGGTGATGCAGCATCTGCAGGTAAAACCCTCCATACCCACCCTTCTCACATGCCTTCCAGGGGTTCATAAAAAGTGACACTAATCTTATTTCCCCCTCTGCCTCCCATAAACTAGCATCACGATTTTGCCTTTAGGTAGGTGTCAATATCTCGGATGGATTGTTATTTATATTAAGCTCGAGTTGATGAAGGGGAATGCGCATGCAGACTTCTTTGGAGCAGACAGACGATCCAGACACTCTTCTGTGGGACTCTGTCAAACTTGCCGGTGTCAGCATACACCTCGCACAGTTGCACTCTTGGAATGAGAATTTTGAGGAAGCTGTTAAATCAGCATGCAGCGGGCTTGCAGTGTTTCAAGACACGCGGGTTGCGCGCATGCTTGAGCACCCGCAGAACCAATGGGCGTACCACAAGCTTGGAGAGTGCTACGCAGAGCTGGGCATGGCTCTTTTCGAGTTGGATCACGAAGAAGAAGCATGTGCGGCCTTGCGGCGAGGAATGGAGTTCTTGCCTCTGGCTGGAGACACTGATTGGGATGTCATGCTGCTCTGCCTGAATGGCTGCTCGGCAGTTTTTTCTCTGGACGAAGCAAGGTGTGCTCTTATGTACTTCAAAGGAAAATGCTGATGTGCTCAGCTCAGAGATTTATCCAACATTTTCATCCCCCTGGTTGTATATGGAATAAATTGGACAGTATGTGTGACAGTGTGTCAGTGCACTGGAATGCTTGCATGTGTGTTAAGGAGCAGGCCATTTGACCAGAATTTTCTTCAATTGCTGCTTACAGAATATACAAACCTACGCGTATCAAATACCCAGCCTGCTTTTGGGCAGAGGGGCTTTAAGCAAAGCAATGTGGAGTGTTCAAATAAAACCCAATATCTGTGCCTGTATTACCGTTCATATTTTTAGGTGTTGCTCGCAGGCAAGAGGAGGCAGAGCAGATGATGTACGAGGGACTCCGCCTGATAAGCGAAGGGTACACATCCAAGAATTTCTATGCTAAAAACAGATGGCGGGACAGCCTCGTGAGGCTCTTCTTCAAGCAGGGAAATCATATGAAGGTGTGCAGCGCACCATAATATCTACTGAGCTCTTTCTTCAAGCATGTGTTGTCAGTTGCTGCTGCTGCCTTCCTGTCGGCATGAGAAATCCGTGTCTGATACGCAAAGATTCAAATCCAATATTTGTCCTTTACACTATGTATCATTTACTGCGGGTGCTCCTGTTCTGCTGGCTGGATTATGCGCCTGTGCTGATGCAGCCATTTCAAGTTTTCTAAAGTCAACATCCTGATCCGATAAGAAGAAAATTGCTAGGCACCCGGGGAGTATGAAGAGGCTCCCCTTGCTATGCATGCAAGCTGTGACTACACTGAATCACATGGGTTTTTAAATTTGTATCTTACATTTTGCACAGGCTGCTGAGCTGCTGAGGGACGTTGTGCAAGAGCAGAAGAGGTCCCCTCAGCCCAACGGCTCAGAGGTCTGGCAGTACAGGCTGGGGGAGGCGCTGCATCTAGCAGGGGATTACGAAGAGGAGGAAAAGGTCCTGTGGGATGCAGCAAAATCACTAGCATCCCTGCAGGTAGGATGGAAATTCGCACACCTCATAACAAGTGACCTGCTACCTTTGGCTCATATTTTTCAGCATTTTCTGCCCCTCAAATGGGCACATACGGCAGTGCCTGGAAGTTTGCTGATTGGTAATGTGAAGTAGTATCAAGATCCTTGCCCCCGGCTGATACGGGGCGGTGTAAATACTGAGCACCGTGCCCAAGGTTAGTCCATGAAGGGGTAGAAACTGTGGCCGCCGTCGAAGCTCATCTGCAGACGCATCTTGCCCTCTGGCAGAAACAGCATGCGCTGCTAATAGAGGAATAATATCTGCATTCAATGATTGCTGAGTGATTTTATTCGTGTGCGCACTTCTCTGTGTGTGCAATGCAGGAAGTTGGTGAAGACAGCGAGGCGCACATTGTGCTCCTTGGAGATGTGTATCATGCCATTGCCGGCCTCGTATGCGCGCGAGGGAAGCTGGAGGAAGCTACGGAGCTGCTGCGAAACGCTGTCATTGTCACTCATGCAAAACTGGGAATGGATCATGACATGAGCAAGATACTGCAGGATAGGCTCGCGGAAGTCATGTATGTCAAGCTTCAGGGGTGCGGCGGCTTTGACCCGGACTTCAATTTCTACAGGGAGCACCCTGTCAGATAGAGAAGGGTCCTGCAAGACAATAACCTTCGCCTGGATAAATCTAGCGGGTAACAAACAATTTGTTGGACGGCGCGTGCAAGAAGGGAAACTGTTTATGACTGCCAGGCATGCCAGCATGCATGCTCCAATCAAGAGGGAACTGGCAAGGGATCAAGAGTCATCTCATTAGAGTTGTTTGATTTAACACAGTATATATTGCTGCTGCAAAAATGAAAGTCATGCTGCCTTAGAGGATGGTCTTGGCATTAAACATGCAGCCACACACACTTGTAACACACACTTGCCCTTAGCAAAACCCCAAGTCGATTGTTAATATGCAAGACGGCCCAAACCACTCCAGCAAACCACCTAGAAAAGTCACTGTATACACAACGACCCATGCAGTACCCACACACACAGAAACTCCAAGAAGTACTCACTTGGAACACCCTTACTTCCCATGGGCACCAACAGCTTTGTACAGGTCATCCCACCACGTCATTCCTGCACTGGGGGGTCTCTTGCGGCAAACTTCTCACCCAGTTGAATTAGCCCCTGGCTCAAACCAAACCAATTCTTAATCAACCCATGAATATCTATGCTTGCAGGCGGGCAGATCATGACACTCTGGGACCGGCTGTGCGAGCTGCTGCTGCGAGCCAGGGAGGTCAGCGTTGAGGACTCTCAAACAAGGTGAGCTTATTCAGCGCGGTGCAATCGACCTTGCATCAACTTATCCACTATGTTGCATGTCGAGCTCCATCAGTAAAGGAATCTCAGATCAATCTCCTCTTCAGCCAAGAGGCAGGTGTGTCTGCAGACAAGATGCAGTGAAATGCTACCAAAACCCTACCCCTTGTCGGATATGCAAAATCCAAGCAAGACCCAATCAAACGTGGGCACGGTGCTAATGCAGCACAAATGTGAAGCTTTATTCACCATAGACAAAGGTGAGCAATGAATCCACACCTTCATGGCTTCCGGAAGCCGGCCCTGTACGCAAAGAGACTCTGCGAGTGCCACCTGTACTTGGCATGAGGACGTGTCTCGAGGGTTGCATGCACTCCCCTGGCTTAGGGATATACGAAATTTTATGAATGAACCCTACCCGCTTACGAATGCCATGCCAACATATGATGGCAATCTCCATTTCAGGGCCACCACGCCACGCTATAGGAACTGTCTCAAGGTAATACACGTCAATTGACAAAGTAAGGGAAGCACAGGCAGCGTGCGGAACATTCACTGGAGACCTATCGGGCATGTCTGATCAGGACAAGACAGTGAAGATTTCAGCGGAAACATGGTCAAAACTCCAGACATTATACCAGACTGAACTCAAAGACATCGACCTCGTTGTAGAAGAGGCCGTGCAGGCTTATCTGAAGAATCTAGAAACTGGATCGCTCTCTAATGGCCAACCCCAAAATGCTTTGCGGAGGCCCGAGGCCACATTCAAGCCGCAGACGCACTTAAGACAAATCCCAGTTGTTCCTGGCGAAGCTGCCGTGCTCTTCATAGACGTGCAGAATTACAACTGCCACAAGGATGGAGCAGAGATGCAGGGACTCCCACCGGTGACACTTCTCATTTCTGGTCTTTCTTTTGCGTTCTATTTGTCTCATTACGTCCCGAAAATCGAGCACTTAATTGCTTGCCATCCTGGGGCACCAGTGGATGGGCCTCCAGATGCAGAGCTTTCTAGGGGTGTCACACCACATCCCCTGCTGCATCACTTCGATCCAACACTAGCCTTGGACGCTTGTACTTGGCAGACGAAAGCACTCTCATCGATGTATCGTTTTAAGACCCATGAGCCTCAGGTGGCTCCCAAAAGGTCTCTAAAATAATAATGTTAATAATCAAAGAAAGAGGGATGCAGACATCAAGACAGAGCAAGCGCCAGGGGATAGGAGAAAGGGTTGCCTCGCAAGTGCACGTCATGTAAAAATCTGTATTTGTAGAAGTGTTATATAAAGTACTTCAACTACTCGATGCAGGACACACCGGTGGATTACTGGTGGAAGAGGATGGAGGAAACTGCTCCGAAGTGGGTGCAGCTGAGGGACACCTGCCGGGAAGCTGGCATCGAAGTCATGTACACAGTCATCCAGTCCCTGACTGCTGACGGCCGTGACCAGTCTCTCGACTACAAAATCTCTGGTTTCCATGTGCCCCCTGGATCCTTTGATGCTGAGGTGAGCTCCCGCTTGCCGTGGTAAGCTGAAAGACCCCTTTGCTGGTGCAACCCCAGGATACTTTTTAGACCCCAGGAACTAATTCTTTTCTGTGAGTTGCACAAGCTCCTCATCTACAGGCTGCATATTTTCCATGTGCACTGCCGTCTTTGTTTTGTGGTTGCTGAGGGGCCTCTATCTAGGGGGAAGTTGGAGATCTATTTTCATCAACTATCGTGCTGTTCCATATCTTGTGTGAGTGAGTATGCAAGCAGCAGCCGTCTTGATCTAGCAAGGTAGTAGTGCGCCTCAGATCTTGCCACGGAGAAAACTTAAGGACGACTCATCCTGCATTAAATAGAAGAGTCATGCATGCAGGTGCTGAATTGCATAGCACCTGGGCCGGATGAGATAGTGCTGCCCAAGACCTCATCCAATGTCTTTGCATCCACAAACATCGACTACATTCTGCGCAGCCTGGGAGTCAAGTGCGCACACAGCCAGCTTCTTCAAATTGAAATCCTCCAAATTCAAGTTCAATTTAGATTGGTAAAATTCCATCAAATGGTCGACAGAGCGAGCTGCAGGGAAGTATTGCAGGGCAGGAAGCAGTGCCATGGTTTGGCAAAGAACATACAAGTGCCAGAACATTGCAAAGTGGGATAATCCTCTGTTGATGCAACGACAAGTGGAAATCAAAATCTGAGAAAAACATCGAATATGAAGTGTGTGGTGTAGCAAGCTGTTGAGGGACACCGCAGGTCAGGACAACAGTGCCACGCTTTACCAAGGGCTTTGACACGATCTTTAGGCAGAATAGATGTGCAAAGATGGATGAGGAGATGAAGCTGTTGCTGCAGAGGAAATGCTGAAGTGTGCGCTGGCTGCAGGTTTCTTATTTTGGCGGGCTGCCTGACAGACCAGTGCGTGGAGAGCGCGGTGCGCGACGCATGCGACAAGCATTACTACGTCACCTTAGTCACAGGTGACTCAGCCCTTCCTTCTGCCGCTGGCACTGCAGTGAAAAATAATCACTGCTGGTTCTCCAGCTCTTTATTCAAAGCCAGCGACCCGTCAAGCTGCGGCAATATTTGAGTCCATCTCCTCTTAGACAATAACTTAGCCGTGCCCCAATCGCTCCTGCAATCGGCTGCTGCATTTTCAGCGCACTTGAGCCTTTTGCGGTTAGAGCTGCATGCACGATTCTCAGGAGGGGAAAGTTTGTAGAAACCGAAGTATCCCAACAAGTACAAAACGCTTTGTACCAAGGAAGCCAGTGGAATGAAAGACATCTGCCGTGGTCCTTGACTAGGGCTTACTATATTGTTGCCGTTCAGTTGGAGTGCGGAATGACAGTTTGCTGCTGTGCGCAGATGCATGCGCCACGTTCAGTCAGGAGAGGCATGACAATTCTCTGCGCACCATCAATGGTTTCTGCAGGCAGCGTACTGTGCAGCAGCTTGCAGACGAGATAGCACAGGCAAAGAAATGACGGCAGCAACGCCTGACGATGTGAGTAATGGTTTACATGCATGTGCGCCAGCCGGTCGTTGCCGCTGCCGTTGTCAGTACTTATGTGGGGGTGATTAGTGGTGTTGTACTGGGTATTAGTAAGCACAACTTCTCCGAAGCGAGGGTTCGAGGGAGAGACCTTGAGTGGGAGGAGAATCGTCAAAATGGAACATTGAAAAGGTCCAAGTGGCTATTTGCCAGGAGCTTCAAAGGATGGAAGGAGCCTTGGACTGCTCTTACTGGGCGAGCATCACATGCAACACAACAGTATAGGAGAGGCTATGACGGGCAAAATGTAAACTGTGAGTTCTTTGTAGGGGAGTCCATAGCGCCTTGTGCCATTGCACATGCAACATTATTTGCAAACAAGTTGAGAGCCTGCAAAATTGGAATTTGTTCAGAGATGTCTGTATGGCATTCAATGTTCTCAGTGCAAGTTTCTGCAATTGCAAGCTTGCAAGCTTGAATTTATGTTTCAGACCTGTTCGTTTTTCCAAAGGGGCAGGACGAGGCTGTCATGGCAATTTGTCCGGAGTGGCCTCACGTCACAAATATCAAGGCATAGCCTGCAGAGCGACTCTTTGATGTGACCCACTGTGGCACTGGGAACCCTTGAAACTGCAGTAGCAAGCTTAAGCGCAAATTTGACACTACACTACTAATTACTAATATAGTATAATACAATATAAGATCTTTAAAGGTCTGTCAGTAGCAAGCACAAAGGTTTGTCGGCCCCCCTAAAGGTGTAAGGATTCAAGAGATCTGCGCAACACAACCCCATTTTTGGCACAGCCATAAGGAGCATGGTTGATCATATCTGAAGGGTACACGAGTAGCTTCACGTGCAGCTGCCACGCACCTTCACCTACAGAGGGATAATCTCGCACTGTCGGAGAGGGTTTCTGTGGCCCAGACTCTTTCGATGTGTCCATCATGCACACTTTCGGTCTATACTCTGCAAGTGACTCTGTAAAAGTGCAACAATGGGCGACCTGCACACGCTCGGAAGTGTGGATCATATCGCTTCGTTCCATGCACTGCCCAGACGGCCGATCTTTGGCTCACGCAGACCAATTCTCACTCGGGCTCTATTCAGCAAAAAGCAGAAGAAGTCAGCTCCAAGCAAAGCCGAAGATACATTGTAAGCCTTTTATCTATTTGTTCTTCTTCTTACTCCCCATGTAGTACTCTTTGCTGCCAGATCCTTGTTCACTTGAACATATTTTGGTCGCACAAGGACTTTTCTTGCCAATGCTAAATCTTCAAGACTGATTCTTGATATCGGAGGTCTGATGCTGAGATGTGCGTTCCAGGCCAAAGCAGTCTTTCCTCTCTGGCGTTGTGGAGGCGTTGGACTTTGCTGAAGCTCGCAGCAACAGCGATGCAAGGCTGATCTACCAGGCAAAGCAGAAGAAAAAGGGGGAGAGACTAACGCCTGAGGAAGCCAGGTGAGGCAGCTAACACTGCTTGTCCAGAAATGTCAAGATTGGTGTTGTTGGGATTTGTCAAGCTGTCAAGGACAGTTTGACCGCCCCAATCAGCAACTGCCTGGAGGGCTTCGTACTTTTAGAACACTGCTGCAGGATTGACATTTGGGTGCATGACGCCAATTGCCGAGCGCGATACCCATGTTGCAGATCCTGTCACTATCGTGATGAGTACTGTGCAGAGTTTTCAGCAATCTTATTACTGTTCCAACAACTTGCAGTGCATTGCTGAGAGCAGGGCCTGAGGCAGTCTGATCATATGCAAACAGCACTTGTCAAAAACACGGATCCTCACATTGCACATACCTGAGAAAAAATATATTTTGCATGTGCAGCGCATTGAGGAGGAAAGTGGGGGGTACAGCGAACAACTACTTCAAGGAGTGGGTGGATGTCAAGGGGAAATACGCAGAGAAGGGCTATGTGAGTTCACAGACAAGCAGCCTGCCTCCGGGCTTTGCATTTCTTATTGTGGTTGTCCTGGGTATGGTTGGCGCCCTGGGCTTTGTGGTATCAAGAACATCGTGAGTGTGTCAGTGAGATTTATCAATTTTGGAACCACTCCCTGAATGTTCACTTCGAAAGGATGCAGCGCATGTTGCATGGCCATGGAGTGAATAGGACAGAAAAATTTAATAAGCTTGCAGCTTGCTTCCTGCGTTCCATCCGATTAGCAGTGATTCACCGAGACGTGGGCCGGCGGTATCAATGAAACAGTTCGTGATCCGGACCAGTATTTACTTGCCAACAGTGTACACTCTACAACATACACTTTGACCCTAAATTTGTGTGGTGGGCACTCCTTTTGATGAACTTGATCACGAACAGAACCAGCAAAAGTTGCTTATGTCTTACCCTGGTATCCTGGTCTGCATCTGCAGCTGATCAGTCATGACTGCTGAGCTGTCCAATGGCAATTTCCTCCCACCATTCCCGTTATTCAGATCATTGACTCCACAAGAACGCGATAAAGTATTGGCACAAATTATCTTTAAGCTAGCATACATCGTTTGAACGCAGAAGTCAAAAGGTATGGTGATGGCAGAAGGAGCGGATGTCAGCGAGATCTTGGAGGACTGCGAAGAGCTGGACTTGACAGGCTCTCATCTGCCAGATCTGTCGGGTATTGATCTTCCTGATGGCTTGAAGGTGGGGTACCTTCTCTTTATTCTGGGCTTCTCGCCTCTGTTGCCTGTTTGATGTTTGACATGGAGGATGCTGCTGCAGGCTCTCGACCTGACGACCAATCGCCTACGTGCCCTAGATCCGCGGCTCCTTGCACTTACTGGTATCGCTATCGCTTTCAGTGCCACTATGTCTCTTTGTAAATCCAAGCCCAATGGTGTGATAATACAATTGCAGCATGACGCCCTCCTTGGTAGCAATGCTGAGTAGCTCAAATTTCTCAGACGTCCATGTTTCATTTTTCCAGGTCTCCAGACCTTGTCACTGCGGCAGAATCTCCTGTCAGATGTGGGCCAACTGGGCAACTCTGCCTTCAGAGCAGGTGTGATCTACCCCACTTTTGCAACGTTCTCGTTCTATGCACCACTTTAGACCCATCTGTGACCTCATTCGTGCACAAATGCAGTGCTCAAGGAGCTTGTCCTCCATGACAATCATATCGAGGAGGTGAGTGACTGCCTCCTTTGGCTTCCCCAACTCTTTCACTGCGCTGCAGCAAATATTACATGTCTTCAGCATGACTATTTTCAATGAAGGGCCACCCCCTTCTGCACCTTTGATAGGGGCGCTAGCTCGGGCCATCGGTCTGGTTATTTTGCTTACTCTGATATTCTTGCGGCAACTCAACGGACTGCTCTGTGCATGCGCAGATTCCTGAAATGGAAGACTTCACATCCCTGCAGCGACTGGAGCTGTCCTACAACCAAATACAGTCCCTGCAGCCACTGCTCAGCCTGGGCAGCACTGTCTTGAGCGACCTTTACGTTGCCAACAATGCTGTCCAGAAGATTGAGGTGCGTGCCTTCAGCTGATACTGCAGGCAGCCCCTTTCTCCCTACTTTTTGGTGCTCGCTGTGCTTTTGATGACAGTAGTTCTCTTTGTCCAATTTAAGGCATGCCCTCATTTGATCTAGCTGCCATGCATCTACTAGCTTCTGTGTACGCAGTCAGCATGCTGCTGCCGTCGGTGGTATTTTCTGCATACAGTTTTCGTGCGCCTTCATTCTGTGCAGAAGTGTAGCCACCACTGGCTGCAGCATGCTGATACAAGCATAGGCGTATGCAGCACTTGCTTGAACTGTAATGTGCCCTTGAGAATTCTTGGAACTAGAGTGGCACTTGCTTGATATATTCCCTGGCTCTCCTCTTCATCTATCTATAAATTCGCTGTTGTTTGGACATCCACACCCTGTTATTTCAGCTTGGTTTGAAGTTTTTGCAGGCCATAACAGCGATAGTCCCAATTTCTCAGGTGCTCCTCTAGGTTGGGCGGACTCAACAGTTGCAAAATCTAAATGCCTGTCAGCAATGAGCTTCTCAAAAGTTTGGATGGGGTTCATGCAGGCGGTGCAGCAGTTCACCAACCTGCGAATGCTGGAGCTAGGGTCCAATAAAATTAGGGAGATGACAGGGCTTGAGGGGCTCACTAATCTGCAGGAGCTCTGGCTGGGGCGCAACCGCATCGCAGAGATCAGCGGCCTGAATAGGTGCAGCACCAAACCTCAATCGTTTGCCTCAACAACTGACAGCACATGCCTGATGGAACAAACCTTGAGAGAAGACCTTCCTCTTAAGCAAGCAATGAGCGCAACAACTTTGGTAGCTCTAGTTTGTATGGCCAAGGCAAGAAGGTGCCTCTTCAACTACAGATTAAGCAGGTCTCGTATGGGAACTAGAGTGGTCCTCATGTACGCAATTTCTTGAGCAATACCCTTGTCTCTAATCCTCATCTACCTGTTAATGTGCTGTTGTTTCGGGGTCCCCAGCCCCTAGGTTTTGCAGCTCGATATAAAGATTTGGGCAGGCCATAACATGATTGTCCCACCTTTCTCTGGTGCTCGTCTAGATTGGGCGGACTGAATCTAGAGCAGCTAGCATCATGTCTTCAACAATTATCTTCCATGCTGCTTGCCAGCTCGCCAGAGGCGCCAAAAGACCCCATGCCTGAGCACCAATGTTGACTGTCCAGAAAGCCAAATCGGCCTTGGCCAGAAAGAGATCGACATCTCCTGTGTGATGTGCTTGTTGTTTGTTCCTGTCCAGTGAACCGCACATGCCCCTTCTCCCAAAATCAGGCCTTTAATCAGAACAATAATTATAACCAGAACAATTATCAGTTCTGGTACATGGGAACCTCACGAAGCCAGCGTAAACAATCCAGCATTTACAATACGGATACAATAAATGTTGTGTGCCCTGTGCAGCCTGACTGCGCTGCGCAAGCTGTCGGTGCAGAGCAATCGGCTGATGTCCATGGCGGGGCTGCAGCACTGCTCTCAGCTGGAAGAGCTCTACCTCAGCCACAACGGCATTCAGCGCCTGGAGGTCAGCTGCTGACATCACTCCATGCCCTTTTTCCCCCTGAGCTTGACTTGTCAAGTCTGTTTGCAAGAATCGTTCTCCCCACTGCTGGCTGCTCCAGAGGGTGGTTGATGTAGCCGCATGCATGCACCCAGAATTGGGGTTCCCACAGACATGCACTTCTGCAATGAGACCAGCACATGAGCATGTCTTGTATTATATGTATGCTTTTGCTGACCTCGTGAAAGTCATAGCATTTCAAATCTTTTGGCTTTTAGCCCTGATCTTCAAAGTTGTACACGTGCAGGGGCTCGAGTCACTGCCAAACCTGCGGGTCCTGGACGTGTCGTCCAACCAGGTCAGCGATCTTACGGGCCTGGAGGCACTGACTCAGCTTACGGACCTCTGGCTGAATGACAACGCGATCACGTCACTCGGTGACCTGGTGGCCGCAGCGGGGGGCCCCATGGGGGGGTCCCTAACCTGCCTGTACCTATCAGGCAACCCGGCGGCTGAGACGGCCGGAGGGCACGCCGCTTACCGGGCCGCCGTTGTTCGCATGTTTCCCAAGCTGCAGCAGTTGGATGATCAGCTGGTGTAGCTAAGTTTGGAAGGAAAGCTTAGTAGCACGACACGTCAGCAGCGATGAGGGGGCAGAGATTTATCATGGCTGGGCAAACGGCCCGAGGGCAGGGCGCTTATTGGGCCGCCCTTGTTCGCACGTTTCCGGAAATCCGGGATTCCAAGCTGCAGCAAGTGGACATGGGCTGGTCAATGTAGTCACAAAATTTCCAAACAAGAGGAACAGTGCAGATGTCTGAATGAAGGAGTGAGCAGCAGAGCCCCTTGGGAGGTAGAAATCACAGAGGCAGAACAGAATCGCCCAAAGGGCTAGCAGCGCTGCTTGAGCCCTGGCCAGGGCTCCCATGGGCTCATGCAACTGGGTGGCGATTGTCTATCGCGTCAAAGAATGCCTCGTGCGTGCTCTGATGGACGAGTATCTGTAGCCTGTGAATGATTGCTTCCAGACCATTCCTATTGACTGAGCTGGCAATGAGAGCACTTAATAATATACGTGTAAGAGCACTCTGCACAACCTGATACAATAGTACACAATATGGTACATCGATGACTGACAGGAACACATCAGCAATTGCACATGGCAGCACATCTGCCTTCAATCTCCCCTCAATATGAGCGTCAGATGAAATGTTGAACCGTGCTGTATTCCACACTCAGACAAGAGCCTCGCCTCCTCCGATTGGCGCCCAGCAAAGAGAAAGTCGCCGCTGCTGCTCGGGAGGGGGTTCCCCTTTCTTCTGCAGAGCCTCCATCAAGTTGAGCACTGTGCTGCCAGCATGGACCTCCAAAGTCAAGGTCATTCCCTCAATACTTCTGACAAGCACCTGGAAGGGTTCTACTGGTACCTGCTGCAATGCCAACTACAGGAGCATGTTATTTGTTTCCCACCTTCAGTCTTCATCTAATTCTCTTCAAGCATGCAAAAAGCTTGTGTACCTCCAAATTGCGGGCAACGAGCCACCGTGACTACCAGGTTGTTAGAAAACCCTTCTGGCACAGCATCATTATTATCCTATTTATATTTACATTTTAAGACATTTGGGAGCCACACTTGAGACTCATCGGTCTTGTGGGCAGTCTGTCACTGCCCATCCTCATGTGTTGAAGCTGGGCTGCCCAAGTTTGGGCAGGAGGCTGACTGGACCCAGGCTGCCAAATTTGGACTTCAATATTCCATTCTTCCATGCAAGTCCAAGGAATCTTGGAAGACTAAGGTCTAGGGCGTGCTGCCGACCACATCTCACCCACACGATCATTTCGGACCACCCTCAAGCAAGGTCCAGGATGTATGATCAATACACCTGGGTATTTGCGCTCTCTGTGATCGTTGCATTCTTTGCAGCGTTCGGAATCGGGGCCAACGATGTGGTGAGTTTTCTGGTGCTCTGACTTGCTTGTCTGTGCACATAATTTTGATTCTATGGCCGAAAACACCAGACTCCTGATCTATCCTGTACGCAGGCCAACTCCTTCGCATCGTCCGTCGGGGCGAAAGCACTCACGGTGATTCTCGACAGATTTCCTCCACCTTAAAAGACGTCCCCGTGTCCGTTAATCTTCCATCTCTAACATGTTGTTTTAGGCGCCGCCAAGGACTTCTGGACTCAAGCTTTGTGTCTGTTGGTCGCACAGATGGTCCAGGCTCTGCTCGTGGCGGCAGTTTGCGAGTTTGCGGGAGCCTCTCTGCTAGGAGCAGGAGTAACAGGTGTGGGCTTCACCTGCGTCTGCATGCCTGCACCTATTTTCTTGGCGTCAAATCCCTTCGCATCAGCTGTTTCAATTTACCGTAGTTTTCTTCCGGTTAAGAGACTTTTTGGGAGCCAACTGAGGCCAATTCGACCCTGCCACTGCCTAATTTCACATCGCACATTCCTGATGTGCCTGCTATCCGCCTGAAATTTCACGATCGATCAGATGTGCCTGATGCGTTGCAGACACGATCAGGTCAAACATTGCTAAGGTCGGAGTGTTCACCTCAACACCGGACCTGCTCATGTGGGGCATGTTTTCTGTCATGATCGCTGCAGCCTTCTGGTGAGCTCCCTTCTTTTTTTTGGTTCCAAGAAATTATGAAAATGATGATCTTTTGGCTCAAATTGGTGGTTTTGGGAGAATTTCCGCTGGAAAGGGCAGAATGTGGCTTTTGCGCACGTGCAGATTACTTTTCCTATGCCAATCTTTGTGGCTTCCATGCAAACATCCAAATGCTTATTTAAGGCCTCGAAGCTGCCCCCTTTATCTGATAAAGGCCACAATGGCTTTTGAAAGCCACCCAAAAAAAACACTGATTACAAGTATTTTGGACACATGCAGGGACAATCTGTCTTGCCACTTGGAGCTGCCCGTCTCAACCACCCACACCACAGGTGCTTTCCAGGCCTCTTCATTATTGCAGATTGCAGCACATTGCGCCCTGATCTTTGATCAGGTACTTGATAAGACATTTTAAAGGAGCCTGTGACCTTGCCAAGAAAGCCTGCCAGTGACACGCAGCCTTCCAGCTGTATTTCTATGCTGCAAGCCCCTCTTGAGTGAAAACAGCCCTCCCCCAGCAAGCAATCATCTTGCAATTATGGTTTCCTCATAGCATGTGCCAGGCATGCCTTGCATGAGGCAAATTTGCGCACTTCAAGAGATCGGCCAGCCGAAGCACCGGCTCCCTTGGTCCGATTGCAGCTCTGTGGCAGTATTTTCATAATCATTACATACTTTTTCTGCCATACGCAAGGATCATCTGCAACAAGTTGCAGGTACAGGCTACCCAAAACTGCCCCCCCTATTTCACTCACGAGATCCAAGCAAGACCCAACTGACCTTTGGCACGTTGCTCGGTATTTATACCACCACACCGAGCAGCCGGGGCCAAAGATTGTGGCAAATGTGCAGCGGTCTAACGCGGTGTTCCTGCTGTGGCATGCAGTCGGGGGAGTTATTGGAATGGCTCTGGTGCTGAAGGGGGGTTCTGCGGTGGTCTGGTCTGCCCACAAACACGACTTCCCCTACTTCCAAGGTCTGCTGTCCAAGTCCAAGATTGATTTTGAATATATAATTGAATAAGGCCCGTCCTCTCAAGTTTGTCATCAGGCGTCCAAGCAAGCCTGTTGCCAGGGCAAGCGCCTGCTCAGGCTGTACCACTCATTTGTCAAGAATGGCACATGCATGCAAATTAGGTGGAAGCTTGTAAGGTCTTACATCGTTCGTATGTAACAAGAAACTCACAAGGGATGAGCAGAGCCCCCTCGGCCCTATTAAGGGACATGCCTGCTGCTTTGCAATGCCATTTTCTGCCCCTTCAGTGCCCTCGGACAAACCTAAAAAGGTTCTTTGGCCACTACAGCAGCTACTGTACAGCTGTCTCAGCACCTTTCGAATCCGTAGAAGAAGGGCAGCTTCTGGACTATTCTTGTTATTGTTACACGATTTTCCTGCCAAGAGGCAAGATGCGTCCTGCAGACAAGCTGCAGTTGAAGGCTGCCACAATCCTACTCCTTGCTGGACTCGCCAGATCCAAGCAAGACCCAATCAACCGTGGGCACGGTGCTCAGTATTTGTACCGCCCCCCGCCAGCTCTTGGACTATGGACACTTAATTCTGCGGCTGTGGCGCAGGCGTCTCGGCGATAGTGGCTTCGTGGGTGATCAGCCCAATCTGCTCGGCAATCATCGTGTTCATTCTCTTCGGCCTAATCCGCGCATTTGTGCTTCGCTCCGAGCACAGCTTCACCCGCGCATCCTACGTGCGCGTTCCCTCTCCCGACATCATGCATGCAGGCATGCGGGCAAATAATTACGTCCTCTTAAGGGAAACAGCCTTAGGCCCCATGCTCTTTGTGTGCTACACTTGGGTTAACATTTTGGCCTGTCTGCTGCTGAAGGCTGCGCAGTCCTTTCCGGGCATGCTGTTGAAGCGGTTCTGGAACATTGCATCTGCGCAACTGCCCCTTTTTAAAGCTCCTTCAAGGAATCAGGTCAAAGGTTCACCTGTGTGCATATAGCAAGAAGTGCACAGCTGGCCCTGGGTTCAGGTCGTCACTTTCAGACACCTACATATGTCATCGCCCCCCGGCTGGCGGGGGGGGGCGGGTGGTGTAAGTGCTGAGCACCGTACACACGGTTGATTGGGTTTCGCTTGGATCTGGCAAGTCCAACAAGGGGTAGGAATGTGGCAGCCTTTAACTGCAGCTTGTCTGCAGGACGTGCCTTGAATTTTGGCAGGAAAATCGGGGAATGAAAATTATGATTAGTCTTCAGGCCAAGAGCAGCCGGGCAATGGCTGATGATGACTCACATGCCGGCATGTGCGCGCAGGTGCTGCCGTTCCTGGTGGCGCTGACCTTCTTTGTCATTGTGGTCTTCATCATCCAGACCGGCAACAAGAACAAGACCTGGGAGCCGGCGGTCTCGGAGGGAAAGTTGGCCTGGATTGCAGCCGTCATTGGCGCCGGCATCGGGCTTCTGTGCCTGTTTGTCCTGATGCCCTATCTGCGCAAGAGGGTGCTCGCCTGGGAAGCCGAGCAGAGCAGGTGGGTGGACCTCCATTAGGCGGCTTTCAGGGCATCATATTTGTTTTAGAGAAACCGGGCAATTGCAGATTTTGTCAGTCAATTTGACTGAGTCAAAGCTTTTTCGTAGCCTGGTTTTGATGTGCTTAGCTGCGCTGGGTACACCAGAGGTTTGATAGCAAGGGTGGTTGAAGCATGCATGCTTCCTCAAATGTAAGCATGTCTGGGCCTTGCCATATTTTTGGGCCATATTTTTGATGTGCAAACCGTGCTGGCATTGCGTGCTGACCTTAATCTGTGCTTAAAGTACCTTGTCACAAGGCACGCTGGTTGCAAGAGTTGCAGTGCCTTCTTCACCATGCATAGCATGCGCAGCACCCAAGCAAGGGAGTCGAAACATTGTGGACAGGACTTTTAAGTGCCTCTGTGCCTCATGCACGGTGGTTTAATCGTTTGTGCTGTATCAAGGCTCAGCAAAGTGGAGGAGGGCAGAGCAGCTTCCAAGGAGGCCGCTGCAGCTGCCAAAGAGGCCGGCAGCACCGCCGATGGCGCTGCCGCCCTCCCCGGGTCTTCACAGGTGCATATTTTCATTTTCAAGCTCACAAAGATGACGTTGTATCTGTGAGACCCCTCGGCTTGGACGGACATGGCTTGCACAGGTCTCTCCTTTTACCATTGCAAAAGGAACCTTCGCAACTGCCCTTTTCTCTGTGATTGTCTGTTGACTTGAAAGCACCCTTCCTGCTCGTGCAGATGGGTCATGAAAGTTGTCACAAGATATGTCATTGCAGGTATCTTGTCTTGTTCAGCAATGCTGGTGGCTGGGTGCAGGCCAAGTGTGTTGTGGGCATACCTGATAAATAATACATTGTTATTGTTATTGTTATTGTTATTGTTATTGTTATTGTTATTGTTATTGTTATTGTTATTGTTATTGTTATTGTTATTGTTATTGTTATTGTTATTGTTATTGTTATTGTTATTGTTATTGTTATTGTTATTGTTATTGTTATTGTTATTGTTATTGTTATTGTTATTGTTATTGTTATTGTTATTGTTATTGTTATTGTTACACGCTTGAAATGCCGAAAGGCAAGGTACGTCCTGCAGACAAGCTGCAGTCAAAGTCTGCCACAGTCCTACCCCTTGATGGACTCCCCAGATCCAAGCAAGACCCAATCAACCGTGGGCACGGTGCTCAGTATTTGTAACGCCCCCCGCCAGCCGGTATATAATATAATAAAATAAATAATATAAGTGTATTTCAAGATAATTTGCTGTAATAGAAACTGAGTATTGCTGGGGTCTGGGTGCAGGCCAAGCATGTTGTGGGCTTAGAAGACGTGGATGCTGGCGTTGAGGAGCATCGGCAGAAGGGCCGCTTCTCCAAGTGGTGGGACGGAGTCAAGTCATCCAAGACATGCACCGCCATCGGCAAGAACTCAATCTTCAAGACTCTCACCTACGTGCGTGCCCCTCAGGCTTCGACTGGGCCTCTAGAAACTATCTAGGGTTTGGCAGGGGTAAAAAATTACTATCTGACCAGACCCTCAATGGGGCAGGGGTCGGGGATGGTACTGTGGGGCCTTCATGGGATCCAGCCAAAAGATCTTCAAGGGAGAAAAGCTAAGTTTTCCTAGGCTTGGTGCAACGCTCAGCTCGCAGCGTGCAGCGGCGCCTGAGACCGAGTTTTGAAAGCAACTGGCAGCTGTTTGGAGTGCAGTGATTGCAGCAGTGCCGGACAGGTGCCATAGCTCCTTGAAATTGACACACGAGTTGAGCCGGACAAAATCCTGTCGACAGTCTCAAACGGTGGTTGTGACGGGATACCGGAAGGAATTTTGAATGCAGCAGCGTGACTCACATCACAGTGCTGTCTGCTGTCAGAGCCGTGGGCAAAACTGCTCAGTTCAAGTTGTTATGTAGCCATGCGGAAACCTTGCAGAACAGCAGCTCGAAACTTGTTTGCCCAGGGCGAGCGATACTATCTGTTCAGGGCATCCAGCTGTAAGCATTGGGGATCAGCACTCAATGTGCACAAGCGTGGTACGACCAAAATGAAATACGGTTTTGAAGATTGAATTCGAATTTTATAATTTTGCAGGGCGCGCGTTACAACGTGCACACAGTGCTGGACACGCAGGCGAAAGAGTACGATGCCGGCGTGGCCGCCATCTGGGAAAATGCAGAAAAGTTCGACCCCAAGACCGAGCGGCTCTTTCGCTACCTGCAGGCACGGCCTCTCCTGTGTTATTTTGCTTTTTGGCTTTAGAGGTCAGGGTCTCTCTGCTCTGTGGCTATGCTCTGTGCTCAATGAGCACTGCTCATTGCATCTTGCCTGCATGTCTTTAGGGGGTGTTTGTCAAATTTCTTAAAGCTGACAGCGGCCATACTGCTGGCTGAGATGGCGTTTTATGCCACCATGTCACCATATTCCCATTGGCTTGAAGCAAGCTGAGAGAGTCCTTGGTGACTGACGTGTAGAGCTGACACCAAAATGAGCAATGGCCTTTGTGTGCAGCCACCTCACGGATACTGATGCAGTGCAGTGGCATGCTGATGTCACATGCTGACATGGCATGCTGACATAGCATGATGATGTGTCATGCTGACGTGGCACAGGTCTTCTCAGCGATGGTGATGTCATTCGCTCACGGCAGCAATGACGTGGCAAATGCCATGGGCCCGTTCTCGGCAGTCTACTACATCTGGGACCATCAGACCGTGCCAACCAAAGCACCGGTAAGGACACAAACTTGGTTCCTGGCATGGAACATGTTAGCATTGCTAGGAAGAATTTGCTGGAAGGCTACACCGGCAGAGGTATTCCTTTGGAACCCCGCTTGATCTCACAATCCAGAATTACCAAGACTTTCAGATTCTGGAGAATTTTGGCGGAGGCATGCAAAGTGACTGCGGAGCAGACATCGGCCTCTGTCTAACAACCTGCTGTGCCAGTTCCTGGGTTCTTTTCAACTGACACCAAACATATGGAGATCGATTTTTAGCCTGCAGAGGATTTGTGAGTGTTTCGAACAGCGCGAGGCTTGCCCTCTGCATGTCACAGCTGCAGCGGGCTGCCGGACGACTCACCCCTGACTAACAATGCTACTAGTAGTACTAGTCATGGCATGCACAGGTGCCGGTGTGGATCCTGCTGCTGGGAGGCGCAGGCATCATCCATGCCAGCTCAAGACCTGCTCCCAGATCGCGACTGACCCATTACTAGTATGTCCAGGGTTTTCCCCCTTATTTTAGAAGTTTTAGGGTTTAGGGGTAATATTGTTATTATCGTTTACAGTTTTTAAACCCTAAGCTCTAATCCGTCGACATGTGCGCGCAGGTGCCGGAGTGGATCCTGCTGCTGGGGGGAGCAGGCATCGTGGTGGGCCTCGCAACCTACGGCTACAAGATCATGCGGGTGCTGGGAGTCAAAGCGGTGAAGCTGACCAACTCGCGCGGATTCTGCCTCGAGCTGTCCACCTCCGTCACCGTTATTGTCGCCTCCCGCTACGGTGCGCGGCCCCTGCAGGGTTTCTGTGCCGTGGGGGAATGTAGGGTTTTGGCCTGTTCTGGCGTGTCAATGAAGGTTTGGGGAGAAGAAGCAGCTACGAGTACGTGTCTGTTAGCCCTTTTCCCGAGAACCGTGCCCACGGCTGATTGGGTCTTGCTTGGATCTGGCGAGTTCAAAAAGGGTTAGCACATGTGGGAGCCTCTTCCTGCAGCTTGTGTACAGACACACCTTGCCTTTGACAAGAACAGCGTGTACAAGTATCAATAGGTCTGGCTGTGCGTATTACTAAAGTCTCGGCACGCATGCTTGGAGAGGTGAGGCTTCATTTGCACAACCTGGGCTGCCGTATCCCAATGTCAACAAAGAGTTTGTGTTTGGCAACAGAGGCGCCAGGGAAAATGGATCATGAACTCATGGTGGCCTCAGATGGCATATACATGTCTGCAAATGTTATGATTTGTAAGCTTGTTGCAGCATTGCACAGAAAACCTTCTGCAGTCGCCAATCGTTTGAACAGATATGTGCAACGACTGTTGTGGCGCCTCGATTGATGTGACTCAGCTGAGGTTCAGTTAATAGGTTTTTACCCAATTAGTAATTGCAGTCACAAATGAAGAGTACTAATCTGTTACTAATGTGTTGCAGGCCTGCCGGTGTCCACCACTCAGGTGCTGTGTGGCGCCATTCTCGGCATCGGGCTGTTTGAGGGGTCCAAGGGAGTCAACTGGAGAATGAGCGCCAGGGTGACACTTCAAAGCAACATCCATTTCAGTCACACTCCGGGTATCAAGACATCTTGTCCTTTTTGTGTTCATGGCTTGCATCTGTGTGCAGCACACCATATGTGCAATCAGGAATCGAGTGTACATCCACAGAGATACGAGACTGCCCAGACAGCACTGCCCAAGGTCTCTGGGCAACTCCAGGATCTGTTGATTTCTAAACACTTGTTGTTGGACCAGAAAGCCACTCAGAAACCCGGAAAATGAGCCCAATCACTGCTGACGGGATTGTCAAATCCTGAGGGCAAACCATCAAGTTCCCTCAAGTTCACCTTAGGATCAGAGCAGAGGCAAATCTGTGCTGGTAGCCATTCCTGGCGCATTCATCATACAGCTTGAGTGTTTCAAGCTGGCATGTGCCTTCTGAAGTGAAACTTCTGAATTTCTGCAGGTGTTTGGCGGCTGGGTGATGACAATCTTCATTGCCGGCCTCGTGGCAGCGTTCTTCACAGCCATCGGAGTGTTTTCCCCAAACAAGGTGGCCTCCAACGATAACGTCACCATTACTAACCTGCTCAACTCCGACACACTCAAGATGATTCGCCAGATTAACGACTCGTCGGCAGCCGCCGGCAACGCCGCTCTCGGCGCGCAGCTGACGGTACGTGGCGTTCCTTCTGTGCTCCATTCAAAATTCGAAATCGAGTTCAAACTCTTGTGTCGTTACTTTGTCAGCATCCGCCAAGGAAGGTGCTGACCAGCTGGCTGAGTTGTTGCCTATCGACGTTTTCCTGCCTTCCAGAACCGGTAGAAGCACGGGGTTTTGTAAACATGAAAGAAAAAGTTTGGTGCAAGTAGGATGTTGAGCTGTGGGGTGCAGTTGCGCTGTCACTGACAATGACAATGAATTTTTATGACATTCAGCTGGCAATTTCTTTTAAAAGCTGGCCCCTTGCCGCTGACACTGCAGACACTTTGGTGGCTGTAGACATAGGTGATCTGTAAATATGCACGAAGCACCATGCTACAAGTGTCTTGTAGCTCTGTGGGTCCATTTGCAGTACTTCAAAGCTGCTGTCAGTCCCAATTTCTCGCAGACTCCTGCCAATGATATTCTGTTACTAGTGTCAACGTAAGAGTCAATGTATTTGTTCAATGGCTCTTCATGCTTTGCTCTAGAGCTTCTCTTTGAAAGTTTTGCCGCTGAAACTGATCTCAGTGTTGGTTGCTGCAGAACCTGAACAAGACGCTGACTGGGCTGAGCAAGCCGGGGGTGCACTATCCGCTGGAAGCTTCTCAGCTGACTAACCAGACACTCACCCTCTATAACAACACCCTCGTGCTGCCCGCTGTGCCCGGCGGCTGAGCCCACCTGCCCGCAAGACCCGCCCAGGGGCAGGGGATCATCGCTCATAATCGCTCTCAGCAAATAACACTCCTCGAATTTGGTCTGTCTCCCTTTTTATCAGAAAAGAAGAGAATTTTCAATCTGCGTGTGCAAGCGATAATCGCTCCCAGTAAACAAACTCCTCTGAGTTGGTTTATTTTTCTGTTCCTGGAGAAGACGGATCTTTCCGATCTGTTTATACGTGCAGGCAATAACCGCTCCCAGCAAGTACACACCTCTGAGTTTGGTTCAAGTAACCCAAAAGAATTGTTGTGCATCGTTTTGAGCGCCCGAGGTGGTCAGCTGAGTCGAGAAAACTTCTATTGACTCATTGAATGAAGTATGGGGGTCACTGGAATTCACAAGGGTTTTGCACTATTGCAGTAGGTAGCGGTCAGCTTCAGCTTTCATGCTGCGGGAAGTCTGTCATGCTGTGCCAAGTCTTGGGAAGTGTAAATCTTCGGTACTTTGAAGTCCCAGGGTGTTGTGAGGAGAAATGCCCAACTTTTGCTGCTCCACTGTGTTGCAAAGCAAGCATCGACCGCTCAGCAAAGTATACCGTGATGTGCAGAAATATTTCCTCAGAAGAATCAGATGTTAATGGCTTTTTTATATGTCGCTGAAGTCTGGTAGAAGCAACAGTGTGAGTCATGATAGAAGAGAGCTGCAGTGCTCCCAGAGAGCTGAATGTACAGGAAGTAAAACTTTTGCACTTGCACTTGAAGTCGGTTGCTCGTCCGCCTAAGAACTGCTATGCTTTTAGAAGTATGCAGATGTGACCCTCGAAGGAACCAAGCAGCACAGAATGTTTCTGTATGTAGCTAGAATATGCATGCATGCGTTAAATGGTTGTGAGGCTGTTCACCATGATGTTTAAACATTGTAGATAGAGCATGTGCGTGAGCATGTGTCGCATGAGTAATCTCAGGCAATGAGTACTATTGATCCTGCTTACCAGCGCGCATCCTCAGGAATATTCGTCTGATCAAGTTTGAGGATGCGTGCACAGGGCTTATGTGGGACTTACACATATTTTTGTAAGATATTGCTGATTTTGTCATCCTAATTTAAATAGTATAATGTTCGAATTCATTGAAGAAGTGTCGCATAGGGAACAAGGTGACCGTGACACCAGGTAGACAAATTAATTTTTCGCCCACAAGCACACTTTCCCTTCAGGATGTAGCACAGGCAACCGGTGGACGGTAGGGAAGAGTATTACGCTGCGTGGGCCCAGGACAGCGGTTAACAATTGCTAAGTGTTGTCTTTCCAGTGGGTGAAGCTTAGCTCATAATCGCGAGAACGGGAACGACATCTCTTATGACCATTCGACACTGCCGCCTTCGGGTTCAGATGACCTCTGTCAGCTCACAGGATTCGTTAAGATGAATGTGTTACAAGTGTTGAGGCGCAGGCCTCCTAAATACACAGTAATTGGTAGCTACAGGAAGTTTCATGTGCAGTCACTGGAGCATGCATGACAATTCACAAGAGGATACCTTGAAGCTTCTAAGAAACTCAGAGAAGCTTCCTATCAAAAGGATCCTGAACAGGCATTCGATCTGCCTTCATAATCAACCTAATCTCAATTTCAATCCTATAGGGCAGAGTTGATAGCATGGCAGATCTTAGGTCATGCCACAGTTTATCTCTCACCTGGCGGAGGAAAGCCCAAGATACAGAAGGCTGGAAGGCTGTCATAGGAACGCTGCTGCGACGCACCTGATCCTCATGAATTCGAAAGGCGTGTAAATATAATATTAACGATATTGTTCTGGGCAAACATCCCCAAAACTTTGCCATTCGTCCTTAGTAGTCTACAGTGATCTACAGTGCAGCATGCCCTATAAGTACATTTTGTGCCTGCTGGCAAGCTGTGGATACTCAACATGCCTGCATGGCTCTCCAACTTGACGGGGTCTACAAAACATATACATCACCAGAAAAAGCATGGCCTGCGTTTCTGGGCTGGCTCTGAAAGCATTGCGCTGTGGCAGAATTGGTCACCCAGTTAGCTCAGTCTCCGCGCAGCCTCAGCACGAGGTGGATCTTGTATTCATGCCTGATGTCATACTCTGAAAACAACCTGTCATCTTCCAATTCGATCCCTGCGTATAGGAGTCTCTGCTGGTCCACAGGAATTCCACTTTTGTCCTGCACTCGCTCCTTAAGGTCCAGGACAGTGGCTGCCTGAGCACCCGCATTCAGGTCTGCTCTGATGAGAGTTCCTGTCAAAGTTATGACATACAGCAAGAACCGAAGTCTGGGTCCCTGCGTTCACACAAATTTGCTCAACCAAGTGTCCTGAAACAGCCTGAGAGGCAGAAACTAATATTAATTATCACACACATTTCCTGCTGGAGGCAAGGTGCGCATGCGTCCGCAGACAAGCTGCAGGGACAGAAATGACAGGTGCCAAAAGCATCACAGCAGCAATCCAGGCAGTCATGAGTGCTTGGACTGCTCTGTTGATCAGTAGAACTGTAAGTGCCAAAACTGTACGTCACAACAGCCGATCACTTTTACTAGAGTGTGTTGTCAAGTGCAGGACCCTGGTAAGATTATACTGCAGCACTCAGGGGGGTACTCTTGCGGGTTGCTCCAAACCCGCAAGAAATATTTATAATTGGCCAAGAAAGGTGGATAAATGAGACCCCATCTGCCAAAATATGAACCCTATGATTATTTTGAGACCAGATTCAGGTAAGCTCTCGACAAGCCCAATCCAATGGAACATGACTGTGGACTCAGAAAGACCCCTCAGGAAGATCCCTCGCTTTAAAATTTTTCCCGCACCGCCAGGGGTGCGGGGTTTTGAATGAGCACTACAGGAGTTTCCCCGTGAACAAGAACATCCAAACAAAGAGGCAGAGCACATTACAACCGCTGCCTCTCTGAGTGACTTATCCAAGGGGAACCCAAATGCTCAGCTCTCCAATGCGGCTGAGGTGTTCGAAAATATGCCCTGTCATTTTCATGCACAAACCCCATAAAGAGTACGAGAAACATGGAAATTCACCCGGCGTTGTTGGTGTGGCGCTGCACGGTTGATCCTCTGCGGAGGAGCTGCATTGACGGAGGAGTGGGTTGTATTGTATCGCTCCAGCAAATGGCGCACACTCACCGGCTGCGGATACCTGCAGCCAAAAAAAAAATCGAAAATAATATTAATGTTATTTTATTACTAATATTATTACACGCCTATCCAAGCCAGGTTAGGCTTAGGTGCGTCGCAGCAGCGTTTCTATGACAGCCTTCCAACTTGGCCTATCTTGGCACCTTCTCCACCACCATTATAAAAAAACAATATTAATATTTTAACACGCCCTTCCTGCCAAGAGGCAAGGTGCAGCTGGAGCCAAGCTGCCATTGAGGCTGCCGAATTCCTACCCTTGGACTTGCCAGATCCAAGCAAAGACTTGATCGACCGTGGGCACGGTGCTCGGTATTTGCAAGCACATCGAGTGCGTATAGGAGATTGTCAATGCAGCTGTTGGACCCTCTCTTTCATCCACCGCTTCTCAAGTGAGTAAATACTGTGATATGCTGATCATGCATTGCTGACAACACCGTTTCACGCTCTACCACAATTGCGCTGTTTTTATGTCGGCATACTGTTTCTCTGATGTAAGCGTGTATCCTGCACTGTGATTGGCTGTGTGATGAGTTGTTTTTCGGCACCTGGCAGGTCTGTAGGGCAGGCCAGCAGCCAAGATTGCTGCCTTGGTGTCGATTTCAGCATCTGTGCGTGCTCGCAGCTTGTACACGATAGAGTCTCTGCCATGCGTCACCCGAGCGCCATCCACCCTATGCTGGGCTGCAATATAGTGACCGCTGCTGGCATGTTCCAGCGTGTGACCTGCATGCAGATTGCATGCTGTATTATTGTTATTATTACACGCTTTTCCTGCCAAGAGGCAAGGTGCGTCCTGCAGACAAGCTGCAGTTGAAGGCCGCCATACTCCTACCCCTTGTTGGACTCGCCAGGTCCAAGCAAGACCCAATCAACCGTGGGCGCGGTGCTCAGTATATATATTGCCCCCCGCCAGCCCGGGCCAGCATGCTATATGTCAATGTGATATTCAGATCTCTCATGATTGTACATGAACAGGTCCGCAGCCTTATGGCTCCGCAGAACAGACAAAACCAGACAAATCAGGGGAAAACACACCAGACCTGCTGTGTCAATGGTGCTTGTGCAAGCATCATTGCACATGCAACAGAGTCCAGAAATCAGTACCTGCAATTAAGAGCACGTGCCGCGACTGTAGGACACAGCTCTGCCAGTCCCCCCATGATGATTGCACCTGCAAACAGTCATCGATGGTAATGATATCAGAATCACTTTAGCAGGTTTGCTGACCTGGCCATTTCCACACACATGCAGGCATGCATGCAGCCGCATTTACTTCTCTTCATCAGGGCTTGGTGCATGAACACCAAACTGTATCATAAATATTATGGTAAGTTGCATCAGATGAATATAGTACCTCCAGGCCTCTGCTGAGAGGGCTGTAGATGACAGTCAGGAGGCCCCGGTCCTCATGAGCTTCACAGCCCCATTGGATGTCTGATGTGTCTGTGCCGCGCTGTGGATTGTAGTGGATCAATTCCAGCACTGAGGCTGCGCGGTCTGTAATAGGAAGGTCGTCCAGAAGGGGCACAAAGGCATTGCGCAGCCTTGCGGCATTTGCTAGAGCCCCCAAGCAGGTTCGCGCAATGGAGTCCATCGTCAGAAATGCCTGTGTGTCGATGGAAAGGTCATATTTTTAGTAGTATCGTGGTCTGTTGGGAGACTCCCTGAGTGCATGAAGAGGTCAAATGTGTAAGTGCATCAAGGCAAAGAGTGCGCCGTGAATAGACCTGCGTTTCTGGAGTCTCCGGAGAATCTCCTAGGAGAAATATTCTCAGCAACTCTTTTTCCAACTTGCTCATGTACTCATCGCCCTTATTCCTCATCTCAAATAGGTGCTGGTCTCTTGGCATCGCCTGGTGCAGCAGTACTGCCATCTCTGCTCCGACGTCTATTATGCAAGCGCGCTGCTGCTTCAAGGCGTTGTTTAAAGCCTTATTACTTGCAAAGTACTCTGCCGTGGGAGAGAGGCTGGGTCTCAGATTCTGCAAGAGGACAACCTGTAGCCCATCGATGGAACTGCGACAGCGAGCAGGAGGACACTGAGCTTGGATCTTATTATATAGAGTTGGCACCAAAAACAATCAGCCTTCGGTAATCTTCACCTGGGTAACTGGCTTGCTAGGCTTTCAGCAAACTCAGCATCTAGCCGTGCCCTTTTAGCTTCCCGGCTTCTAATCCATTCCCCCATTTTCATGGCCAGTCTGTGCTGTCACGATTAAGAAAGCAATGTATTGAAGTGATCAACTATGAAGGAAACGGAACCCTCCGAGACGAGGTTCCAAAGGTTGAGGGATGCGACCTCATCAATGACGTCAGTCTAAACAGCTTGAGGTCACTTGCAAATTTTCCTGACATCGAGTACCTCGCTTAGAACGTATCTGTCAGTTGTGCAACACTCAGGCCATTGGTGATGAACGGCATAATGTTTTTGAGTGTCCTGCACTTACTGACGCGATGTGCGCAAGGGGAGTATAAAGAAGTCCTTCTTTATACTCCCCTTGATCTGCGTGCGTCAGTAAGGCCGATATGACTAGACTAGATATGACAGCCTGTTTAGGCCCAGTATCACTACTATGCGTCAGTTCATGTGGCAAGATGATCTAGTACAGGTGGCTCGGTTCATCAGACTCTCATTAGGACGAGTATACACTGGTTTTGATACAGTGAACATCTAATCAGCCTTGTTGGCTGGCACGATGTAATGTCTCTCTCTCTCTCTCTCTCTCTCTCTCTCTCTCTCTCTCTCGGAAGTCTGGAGGTCTCAATGTGCACATTTGTGAACATCCCAAGGCCTTGGCCGTCTCAGTGCTTCTGCATGTATTTGCTGCCCTAAAGTAGATTGTGTGGCGGCTTATGCCGCAGCCGGCCGGAGCCGTGCATGCCATAGTGTGACACCGTGTAGTACCTACTTGCCTTGCTGACATGAGGTCCTTTCAGGTGAACGGGTCAATCCAAGACAACAGGGTCGGTGCCAATTTGCACATGCATGGTGACCATATGGTGACCACACAGCACCCATGGTCATGCATGCAAAAGGTCATGCATGCAAAAGTACTGTTGCCTTCTTATTTTACAAATCAGCTGTGATTGTAGCTTGTGTACAGGGGGCCCACATGCACCTGAGCATTATTCAAATTCGAATTTGAAGTTCACTATATAGCACGATATATCCTGTCAGTAAAAATCCGCATGATAGCTACATCCTGAGCACTTGTGCACCACTTCAACTCTAGAACGATTACCAGGAGCTTGAGCGCTGTTGCTACCTACCCATCGGCACTAATCCTTTTGAGCTAGCTGACCTGCTTCAGCGCTGAACTTGGGAAGCTAGCTGAACATGCAGGAACCAGTCAATCGCATCCGTCTTCCCCACAAGCACACACTAGTGTATTACAATGCATCGTCCAAGTTCTGTACGTGCACAGCAGAAGTGTTGTAGCTTGAAGCCGCAGTGAACATAAATAAAGAATAGCAACAGGTCTGTCCCTTAAGAGCCTGCGCCCCAACAGGGGAACGCCCTGCCAATGCCAATGCCAAGCCCAGTGCTTGATTGCTCAAATGCTTGCCTTAAAAGACACTTGTCCCCCTGATGTGTTGAAATGCTGCAACAAAGAATATAGCACAGCTCTCGAGAGTGATGACAACTGAGTCACCCACAACGCAACTCACTACATCTTCTCAACCCTCCGTGGGTCATCTCATAAAATTTCAATCTGCAGCTACTCCCAGCCGCACGTCTCCCAAAAACTCCATTGCATTGCTGTTCTCTGTGCCTCTTCTCCAATATTAGTGTCCTCTCATCAGGCGAAACTGCTGCCAAAGCTGCTGAAATCCTCCCATTCAAGAAGCTCCAGAAAGAAGAAGCTTCCCTGATCTTACTACACATGTACGGCACGTCTCAACAGTACTGCTAAGCGAGCAGAACTTGCCGAGGAAGAGTTAGCCAGCCAGCAGTAATGGTGATTCAGACTCTTGCCGCTCTGTACCAGCCATCCAGTGACAGCACAGCAACTGGGCTCCTCCACAACGGGCGCCCGAACCCCTGCACATTTTTAAAGCTCTGTTGACTGCTTCTTAGGCCTGTCCGCCTCACTGGTAGCACTGAGCTGGCTCACAGCTACCACGACTTTGCCTATCTCAGGCTGCGATCAGCTCTGGCTCGGGTTCTCTTTTCTCGCCATTCTGCAGGCCCGCATCGCTGAACCCTGCTCCCCTCTCGCTGCCAGCACTGAGCTGCTTGCAGACGCTGGCGTGACTACAAACAACATCAGGCTGCGGCAAGCTGCGGCTCAACGCCCAACTCCTGTTGGCAACCCATTCAAGCCGCCACAAGCTCTGGCTCGGGGTCTGTCTTCTTGCCATTCGTCAGCCCATTTCCATTCTCGGTGCTCAGCTGCTCGCAGACGCTGGCGTGCACCATCTTGATGCGGTAGCGCACTGCCTCGGTTTCGCGGCAGCCGAAGCAGAGCTCGTCACCGGGGCAGAGCTGCGCCGGCTGCCGCGGCTGCAGCCGCCGGCCGTTGAGCCAAGTGCCGGAGGGGGAGGCCAGATCCTCCACCGTGTACCCCCCGGCCTCGCTGTTGCGCAGCCGCGCGTGCGCCTCCGCCACCTGTGTCAGCGCATGTTCTTCGTCAGCAACAGTCTCACTGCAGCCACGTCAGGATTACCAATTTTCCGGTGACTCTCAATGCGAGAACCAGACAGAGACACGGGACGGCACAGCAATTGCTGGTTCAATCATGTCAATCCACCAATGTGTGTTGCCAGGCAGAGAAGCCCACACCTCTAGAAATAGAGCTAGCCGACTTCAAGGTGCAGGAAAACAGCATCAAGCGCTTTTTGCTTCAACATGGGATGCCTGCAGGCAGATGCTACCAGCATGCTAGGTGAGGCGGGAAAGGCCAACTTGAAGTTCTGCAACACGTGCTCAACTCAAGACTATGCCGTGGGAAAGGCAATTGCAACTCACCACAGGCGAGTCCAGCTTCACATCGGCATCGGCGCCGCTGCCAATCAGCACGCCAGCAGTGCAGATCTCCAGGGCGGCCTCGGGGTACGCGATGCGAAGGCCGAACTGATGCCGCTCGCCGTTCTCAGCCGCATCAATCGAGTCCGAGTGCGCCTGCGCGATGGACACAAAAACAAGTCAGACATTAATTCATCCGCAAATGAGACACAGCACGACGTCAGCCTATCTATTTCAAGGGTCTGGCATGTGTTCTGGGACAGGGCAGCAGCACATGGAGCAGGGATTCTCTGCTTGGATCAAGAGCACAAATATGAAGGAGCTGCCACTGCACCAGCTCAGACGCACTTGCATCACAATGTTTGAACTCCTGGTATCTGATCACCCGGGGCTTGCAGAAGCAGCACACTGGCAAGACAAACTGCGACCGCCAAGAAGGCTAAGTTGCTCACCTGGGCGGCGGTGGCAACGGAGGCGGCCGGCACGAGCGTCCATTTCGCGCGCGCGGCTCGCAGCAGCGCCATGTCGTCCGACAGGAACTTCCAGAAGTCCTGCCGCAATCAAACACAGTTATTGGTAATTTTAGGCTTGCAATGCATTGTCTGCCTGTACAAAGTGCCCCTGCATCTTTTCTCAGGCATCCAAGTCTTCCCCACATGAAAGATGTAAAAGAGATTGAAGACAGCGTAACTGAAGTGTTCATGCGTCCTCCACATGAAATAACATCCAGGCATGCCAGGTGTCGACAATAGTTTGGCGGCACCTGCTCGTGGAAAGCCTTGGGCTTGTCATTAACGCGGCAGTGGGGGGCTCGGTCGGCACCGCGCAGCGCGGAGGTGTTCCCTCCCAGCACCCACCCCAGCATCGACGGCATCATCATGTTCATCGCAAAGTAGCCACCCACCTGCACACCACAATATGCCATGTCTTGCACCAGAAAAGAGTGACCAATACCCTGTCAGCAGAGCTCTTATAAGGGCTACAGGAAGGAGTCTGAACATGCCCTGTTAAAAGTAGGCTGACATTCTCAACGAAGGCAGACCTAGAGTGCATATGTGAACACAGTTGACTACTTCAGTGCAGATGCTGCAAGGCGGCACAACGAATTCGGACTCACAAGGTGAAAGGAAGGGTGCAATATAAGCACAAAGGGTGCAACGAGAGCGCAAAAGGGTGCATCCATGGGGTGGGGTGCGCACCCGGCCGGGGTGGGGGATTTTGAGCTGCTTGATAAATTCCAGAGGCCCGAGGCCCTCTCCCAGGTACGCCTTGTAGGTGGACGCCATGATGGCCGCCATGCCTGCCAGGCCGTGGATTGTGCTTGCGCGGCCCAGCCGCTTGTTGAAATAGCCCTGCTTGGCACAGACATGCCGTCATTTGTATGTCATCTGCATTTCTGCTTGCATGTCTGCTTGACAGTTTCCAGAATTCGGTGAATGGGCAGCGGGCACAGGGTATGAAGCTCCTCTGTTGGGCGAACGAGGGACCTCTAAAGCAGCTCCTGAGCACTGTGGAACTGAGCATGACTGCTACCTGAAGCATGGTCCTCTTATCATGGGAACAGAAACTAGGGATCTAGTGGCACTGTATGGTACAAATGACACTGCAAGGGTGTATCTGCCTACCGTCAGTGGAATTGCGTTTTGTGTATACCCTGCCTCTAAGAACGCTAAAAAAGAAGCACGCTGAAAAAACCCTACAAAAAAAACAAGGGACACTCAAGCGCACCTTCAGAACGCCCTCCACATCAAGGGGACGGCCGGAGTTCTCAGCCTTCTCGCAGGCCTCGGACAGATCCACTGCAAGTTGGTATCCGTCCTCAATTGCCATGCAGCCGCCCTGGCCCAGATTGGGCTGCATCGCATGCGCGCTGTCCCCCAGCAACGCCACGCGGCCCTGCCCAAGCAGCGATAACTTGTCATTTCACCCTCTTGTCTAATTTGCCCACTCAAGTACAGGTCCCCATGAGAGCGTTCTGCAAGTTGAGAGTTCTGATCCTCAAAGGCAGGTGACTTCAAGTGTGGTATGGCCTCGGCGCACATGCAGGCTCACAGCAGCGCACAATGGCATCTACATCTCTTGCAGCCAGCAATGGGGTACCTAATTCTCTCTACTCAAGTTACTCAGTAGGTGTGAAGCAGCTGCCAGCGGTCCGTGCTGAGGCAGGTTGCCTTCATGTTCAGACGCATGGGGTGACCAAATTGCTTGTCATCTCAAAACAGGGTCTCAGATCACCAACCCACGTCAACACTGACGTCTACCTGGTGCACAACTGAGCCATCTTGCAACACAACTATTGCATCAATGATTGTGAACACCGCAACCATGCAAGAGAGTCCCCATGCGGCACGCACCTCGGTCCACTTGAAGATGGGCGGCCGGTCGTAGATGTCTCGCCGAATGACGTCATCCTCGGGCGTCGCGCGGATGAGGTCTGTGACCATGTCAGTCCAGTGGCCGAAGATATCTAGCAGGCGCGCTTTCTTGCCGCTCTCCGGGTCGCAGCCGCCCGCCTTCTCCTTGTGGAATCCATACCTGAAGGTGAGTCACAGGTTAGTAACGGTGACTGCGTACTCGCAGGTGACTCAGCGAGCTGCCAAAGGTTTTTAGCTGCACTTGCGAGTGAAATGCCCCTGGTGATGCAGATCTGATCAACTCAGAGCGTACGTCTTGCACAGCAAAGGGATGGCGCCTCATAGGCTTGAACGCAGGCTTCAGATTGTGCCTTTTGAATAAAAAATATGCATGCGTGATGTTCAGGCATTTAAGGCAAAAACTTACGGGCACTTATCAGGTCTTGACAGGGTGCTTGCTCATGCAAGTCAAACCAAAAGCACAGGAGCAAATGCCTGGTGATTTTGTCAAGGCAACCGAAAATATGGGCATCAGACAGGTTTTCACAGGGTGTTTCCCCATGCAAACAAGGCTAATCACAGCAAAGGAATGGCGCTGTCTTGAAGCTGATGCAGGCCTTAGATTGTGACATTGAGCACACAATATGCAAAATTGAAGCGGGCTGTTGCATGAGGAACATCATGCCACCGCCAGCTGATGCCTAGCAATTTGGTTTAGGCGCCAGGGAGAGGCACCTGCCGGGTCTTGATAGGGTGCTTGCTCATGCAAGCCAGCACAGAGCATCACAATCAAAGCACAGTATCACACAGCACAGCAGAGCAGCCGCACCACTGCATCTTGCCGCCGCCGACGTCGGAGGACACGAAGTATTTCCCATTGCCCAGGAACACGCGGTATCCCACGGTGTCGATGTCCGGCGGAGTGAAGTCTGCGATGCCCGTGTAGCACGTGTACTTGCTGTAGCTTGGCTCCGTCTTGCCCACCAGCTTGCGGCGAACCTGCATGCATGCACACAATGCAGGGTCGAAATTTTCCCACGTGGTGACGTGCTTCTTATTCAAGGACACTTGGGCAGTAGAAAGTTGGACTGCAGGAATGAACCTCATCCAAGTATTTGCTGCAAGCATGCTCTGCTGGGGGCACCAGTGGAAGGCCTCCCAGTCTGTCCAGGCTTCAGGCAATATGCCAAACATCTAACACACCCTTGTGATTTGTGGCAAGAACGAGGCAGGATTGCCTTGCTTGCCCACAAACTTTACATCTCTGCAAATATGCCCCCTGTGTCTTCACTGCTTTGCTCAATTTGCTGGCTCAAAACGTGGCCATTCTTGCTTTTGGAGTGGCATATTAAATGCTCAGAGACACGAGGATTGAATTTGCTCATGCTAGCGCATGCAGCGCATTTAGTAGCAGGAGCGCGGCAGAGAGAAAGCCCACCTTGGACCAGATGCCGTCTGCTCCTATGAGAATGTCCCCCTCAAACCTGCGCCCATCCTCCAGTATCGCCGTCACCTTCTTCTGACCGGATGAGTTCACCTGCACCACACAGCGCTGCCTCGTCAGACCAGGTACATCCCAGTGAGTCAAAGACAAATGAGACTATGCATGGCAGGAACACGAATTCCCAACTCACTGGCCGCATTAGAATTTGCCATGTGTGCTTGTATGAGCACAGCAGCACAATTCAGCAGTGCCTCCCCAGCACCGCCCTGTGCAACAAGCTGTGTAGACATGCATGACCAACAAGAACAGTATGTGGGAGTGCCCCTTAAATTACCAAATGTGCACTTGCATGGCAGACCCCTTTATCCTATGTCTGGCTTTGCCTATGCCTTGGGTGTCTGCAGTTCTCTCTCACGATATGTGCCTGCAGCCTATTTGCAGAAGCACATTGGTTCCTAGCAAGCAGGCAGGAAGAGTGCGCGCACATGCTCCTCGTAGTCCACGACGTGGCAGTCGTTCTGGATGATGTCAGCGCCAGCAATGCGTTCAGTCGCGCGCGCCAGAATCTGCTGCAGCTCCACTCGGCTGACCACGCGCGTCACCGGCAGGCCCTTGTTCACCGCAGGATGGAAGGTGTCAAACTTGACATACCTGCACAGGAGCAATACCAGGAATGTTCAATTATGAAGGCTTCAAAAAAGTCCTTCAAAACTACTGACTGTATGCAGCAACCACAAGAGTTGTGCTGGGTCACCGCTTTGCAAAGTTATCTTTTGAGTTTCTGCAGGACAAGCTGGGCAAGTGAGGGTGTCTGCCCAGAAAGCTAGCTGTCTTGTGGACAGCACTGTTCATGTGCAAACATTTTAGAGAGAGGACACTATCACGTACCATTTCCCAGTCTCACCATCACAGAGACCATTGATGCGGTCGCCAGTGATGCAGCCTGCTGCCAGGACTTCCTCTGCTACCTGAGGGTCCAAGGCTTCCAGCGCTGCCAGAGCGTTGCTTTGGATCTGCAAAGCACAACATGGCATTGGCTAGAAGGACCTGTGCCGATTTGCTTGTGACAAAGTGTGACAAGTGCAGGTGTTTCTGGGCACTGAAGCTGCAGCACTGAGAGCATTCAAGTGACATTCTGGTGAAGAACACTCTGTATATCTCTGGAAAAGAAAGATCTTTCCTCTTGACAAGGTCTCAACAGCTAGGAAAGTGAAGAAAGAGCGGGCTCACCTGGATCGGGCCACGATACTTGCCTTCGCCCCTGATAGCTGTCAGATCGCGCTCGAACATCTGCACCTCGAAGCCCTTGTTGAGCAGTCCTACAGCCAGGACGAGGCCACCAATTCCAGCACCTGCTACGAGCACGCGAGGCTTGCTGCTGGAAGATACACTGTCCGGGGACACAGCAGGTGCTGCTTCCTTCGACGGTGCTGTTGCTGTTGCGGAACAACTGACACGAGAATTCGCCTGCTGATCTCTTTGAAGGAGCCTGTCAGCTGACCTGGCTCCCTTGCATTTGCTGCCAAACAGTCCCAAGGGACTGGGCATTACGACACACCGGCCTGTCTGAGACCCGTGTCCTTGCGTATATCTTCGTGGGACATGTTTGTGCATCATCTTGTCTATTTTGTTATTATTAGCATGCACCAGGGCAGAATTTTGTTGGCACAAATGCTGATCCGCTACCAGTGGCTGGCATTCAGATATTTCCTCGTGCGAGCGCGCGCCTCCAACGGCGTTCCTGCCGTACAGGATCCTGCAGAGAATCTGTGGGATCGGGAGAGAAGATGCAAATTTGGGGTGGCTCAAACACTGCTGCAGGATCAATGTGCCTGAGGCTCAGATACGCCCCACGCCCAGTAATCCTCATGTGTGCATGCGGCCTGTCACTCGCCGGCGCCGCGGTGCGCACCGTGCACGTGACTGCGCACTGCAGGCCGGTGCCGCTTTGATGGTATGGTTGGTATCATGCATGCTAAGAAGCTGCACTGATCTATGTCTGCATGCACTTCCGCTGATCTCACATTGGAATCTTTGAGAGACAGGCCCAGCCTTACAAGGCACCGTCCTGTGAGCTCAGACTCTGAGTGCGTCATCATGGATGTCCGCCATATCCTGATCTAGACATCGAACAGAGACAACAAGTACTCTGGGCATGCGCCCGCTAAGAACGCTGCCTGCTGTGATCGAGGGCAGTTTGCTTTTCACATAAGCAAGAGCTCATCTCCGCCTCTTACGGCCCGCGCTTGAGGCTGCAGCGCTCTCCTCCGGCGTCCCCCATCTCAGGCAGGCCGGCCGCACGCACCGCATGTCACCACAGCTGTGCACACACCCTAAATCAGGCGCAGGGGGGTCCCCATGTGCCAGCCAGCACACCAGCCGATGCACCCCAATACGCATCAGCCCTCGTTCTCTGTGCACCAGTGGATATATTCTTCCAGTCTTTTGCCAAGACAGGAGTCTTTTCCTCTCTGCGCCTATTACTCTCCTGACAGTATCGTGTATGTAGGTGCCCATCACAATGAATGGGTACCCTTCAAAGTGTATCAACCTTCTTCCCGCCTCTACCTTTACAGGCAGTATCCTGGGCTGCAATCGTGTACCGCATTCTACTTCTTGCTTCAAGGCCAGATCTGGGCTATCCAGCTGCTGTTCCCAGCCATCCTCAACCAGCATCCCATTTACTGCTCGTGCCAGCAATTGCCCAACCACCTTGGCCATAGGAGGAGTGTCAGCAGCCTGGGTTGCAGGCTTCCAATCGCCAGTGTAAATAGCACCTGCCACCTTGCGCCCCAGCGTAAGATCCAAGATCACAGTATGGATATCCAGCTTGATACGGAAGACTAACTTGGCTAGGTCTTCCCTTGTAACCACGGAATCAGGGTCCAGCAAGTGCTGTAACCCAGTCCAAGGAACCGCCATATGGAGTACACCCGCACAACAGAGCAATCTTGACACTCAAGTCTTTGAGGTAGCTATCTGGCTGGTTTATCTTGTTCTTGGATATTCCATGCCTGAAAGATGTCTAATTGGATTGCGTCTATAGCTTTGTGACGAGCTCAGGAAAGGCAGTCCATTACTGCTTCGTGCTGATCAGGGCCACTGCCACGCCGTCAACAAGCACCGTCCCAGAATCGCTCAAACACTCTGTCTTGAATGCTACCCTCGAGTCTGACACGCTGTCCACTGTTATGCGCGCTATCACAGACTCCCCAGCCTATATCACAAACCCACACAAGCTTTAAGGAACCCTCCGCAAGATGACAACGTTTGCCACTACACATTGCCATGCGTGCCCAACTCTTCCGATCTCTTGTTGCCAAACGCCAGCTCAGTGGGACTGGACACACATGCACATTGCAAGGGAGGAACATGCAGGGGCGCAATGGGGGCATCGTACCAGAGCTGGCTTGCGGAATTTCAGGGTCTGGGAAAGGTAGATGGCTCCAGGGAAAGTGGATCCGATCAGGGCTGGGAACAATGAGGCGCAGAGCACACCAGGTAGCACAGGCCCCTGAAAGTCTGCACAGGACAGCACTGCACCTTAATACATGCAGTATGGTGTCTGATCCGCGGATTTGCAAGCAAGAACAATAATGCATCGTGATGGAAGTGGGCAAGAGGTCTACTTGATGCCTTGGCTGCTTTGCAGTCTGTGTGGATGGGATTAGAGTCGCCTGTAGTGGTCACAAACGATCGGATATCATCCTGTGAAAATGTCCGCCGACACTCGAGAACGTCCCTGTAGAACATACTCACCCATTAACGTGGCTTCAATAGAGTCATTGAAATACGAAGTTGTTAAGGATATGCCCTTACCCGACCTGAAGCCCTTTGCTGGATTTTTCAGAAGTGCAAACACAGCTGCGTACAGTAGTTGAAAGCTTTTGATTAGGTGATGCAGCCAACAGACGCAATGACTGTCCAAGGAAGGCTCCCGATGCTTTCTTCAGCATTGACGCAATGCCCCTTCCGCCCAGGAGCACCCAGAACACTTGATAGCATTGTCACTTATCATTGATTGAGGCAACAAAGCTCACCAGTGTACATGAAGACAAAAAATAACATTGATCCAAGTAAAATCCCTCCGTTTGTTCAGCCCCAGCAAGGTTATCTGATGTGGCAAGGGAGTTCGCAAATTGGCACCCTTACGATCTGCCCTGCGAATCCAGAGCGCCAAAGCTCCAGATCGCTTTGCAATACATCTGGCCATTGTACTGAAATATAGCTGCGATGTTCGCGTCGCTACGGCTGCTGTCCAGGCGGACCCTGGCTTCACAGGTGTCCCGCATTCAGAGCATCGCTCAGGCTCCGGTACGTCAGTTTTCTGCTGAGGCAGCTGCTACAAAGAGCGGAGGGTGGATAAGTGGAGGAGGAAAGTGGGTGAGTAGCGTTGAAATTTTTTGTTATTACGCCAAAAATAGCCAAGATGCCCTGCTGGCTAGTACCTATGGGGATTCGTGTTGGTTGTGCCTGTGCAGGCTTTGCTGTTCGGTGCAGCAGGCCTTGGAGGCTGGTATTACGCCAAGGAGAATGATTTTGTTGGTGGCGTGACTGGCAAGGCGCCGTCCTCAGCGGTGGGTTTGCCCAGAGGACCTCATCTTCCATCTTGGAAACCCTTCCTTCTCACCTGCCCTGCCTTGAATTCACTTTGCCAAAGATCTTCGTCTTCGAGACGCAAATCACGATTGTATATAATTGTGGTATCGTTTCTGGAACTGGTGCCAGCAATGGCTTGACGCTTGACCAAGGGACTGATCTTTGTGTCTGCTGCCTTCAACACAGCCAACTGTTCCCGATTATGACAAGGTCCGCAAGGCGATCTCGGATCTAATGGCGTCTGACAAGGCAGAGGAGTACGATGACGGCGAGTTACTTCTTGTATCTTCACCTCCATTTTCAGATGAACAAAGATTGCATTGGCTGCAAGGAATATCAAGCCCTGAGTGACACCTGATGTGCAATGTCAGGCTCTTTCGGGCCTATCCTGGTCCGCCTGGCATGGCACTGCTCTGGGAGCTATGACAAAGGTGTGCCTCTGCCTCTTTGTCTCCTGTGACTCGTGGTTGGTAACCTGATGCCCTCCTAAATATGCTTCTAACTATATCTGACCAACTTTCCCTGCACTGCAGCTTCCAACACTGGAGGCAGCAATGGGGCCACAATGCGGTAGGTCTGCATCACCTTTGCGCTTTTGCATGCATTAAAACTGCAGCAGCCCTCAACAAGCAGATGGGACATGCCGTTTTTCTGCTGCATATGTGCCTGAGATTTTGTTCTGCCATGTGCTAAGACTTCTGGTCCTACATGTCCATGCAGGTTCCCGCCCGAGAGCGGCATCGGTGCCAACAAAGGACTGGACGTTGCGCGCAAGCTGCTGGACCCTCTGAAGGAGCAGTTCCCCTGGATCTCCTACTCTGACCTGTGGACCCTGGCAGGCGCTGTCGCCATCGAGGAGATGGGAGGTGCGCACACACATGCATCCTTCTTCATAATGTTATCCCAGCATCTGGACTTGAAGTTGATTTTGTGAGAGGGATGCAGACAGCAAGGCAGTGCGGGCGCACATGCGTGTTCTTCCATCACCTGCTCTAGACTTCTAGCACCAGTGAGAAGCGCCCTCTCAAATGTTGGCCTCGAGAAGATATAAATCTGCAGTAATTTGAAGAGGAATGCGGACAGCGAGGCAGAGTGAGCGCCAGAGACAAGAGGAAGGGCTGCCTCAAAAGCGGATATGCTGCCGTAAATGATGCATGCAAGATGCATGCGTGCATGCTGATGGTATCACAGATTTGAAGAATGTGGGCTGTATCTCTGAAGGATGTATTGTGCTCCTCAGGCCCCGAAATCCCATGGAGGCCAGGCCGCACCGACCAGCCAGGTGCCTTGCCCCTACCCTCCCATGCTGAGACATCTTGCTCTGACCAAAAGAGTGACATGCATCTTTAAATCTGCATATCTGATGCTGCAGCATTCCCTTGTCATGAAGCTGTGTGGGTGCCAGTGAAGCCCTCTGCGCATGCTGCAGTGCAGATGCAGGCTGCACGCCAGCCAGGGATCTGAGAGATGGGTGCTGCAGACAGAATAACAGTCACACAGTCCTGTCAGTGACACTTACATCAACTGCATACAATGCCATCATCTGCAAGCAACACACGTGAGAGTTTCTGTGTGTATGCTTTTTGGCCATTCATCTTTGGGTTTGCCGACCTGTGATAACACTGGCTCCGGCTGGCGGGAGGCGGTCCAAATACTGAGCACCGTGCCCACGGTCAAAAGGGTCTTGCTTGGATCTGGCGAGTCCGTCAAGGGTAAAATTTTGTTACCCTTCACATGCAGCTTGTCTGCAGACTCACCTTGCCTCTGGCAGGGAAAGCGTGTAACATTAGTAATTTTGATAGCACTAGTGAGAGAGTGGGCTGGTGTGCAGACGGCAAGAACTGCCCCCCGGACGGTCGCCTGCCGGACGCATCTAAGGGCGCTCAGCACATACGAGACATCTTCTACCGGATGGGCTTCAACGACCAGGTATGCACTCTGCACCCCTCGCCCATTACACTATCTTGGTGCCAGGAAGGAGAGGCTCGGCTCCACCATTCCTGCATGCACTGTGCTATCATGCAGTGGTGCAATGAACATACCATGCAGCCATGGGAGGCTACTAGAGGAACACATGTAAGCATTCCAGGACCCTGCTGGCCCTGGCTAATAGGAGAGGAAATTTCATATGTGACCAAAGGGCACGTATGCATGAGCTTTATGCATGCCGAGGCCCCCCAGAGCCCTCCCTGGAAATGTGACATGATATTGTCACATGATAGACTGCTTGTCGTGGTTTTATTTCTGTGCCATGATGCAAAGCAGGCCCCTGCTGAACCTGCTTGAACACAGGACGATGTCGTGTGTGACCCAGTCGGCATGCATGCATGCATGCCAGGCCCCCTGCCATACCTCAAGTAGGCTGGGGCATTAAAATACCTAAATTGGCATTCTTGGTGCCTCCAAAACAGGAGATAGTTGCGCTGAGCGGCGCGCATGCGTTGGGGCGCTGCCACCGCGACCGCAGCGGCTTTGAGGGCCCCTGGACCAACTCGCCCATCACCTTCTCCAACGAGTACTTCAAGCTGCTGCTCGACGAGAAATGGTGCGCCGGCATGCTCCCTCCCTTTTCATTTTTCAATTATCTGGTCCCAGTATTCACATGACCTCTCGGTGGGGTTACCTGTTCCTGTTGCTATGCATGCTGTCTGTGCAAAGTGCGCATTGGGTGTTTTGGATAGACTAAAATGGCTATCAGCGGATCTGGCAATACCTGTGTTGGCTATTGCGGGGTTCCATTATGGCTCGCCAAGACTCCTTGACATGTGTCCGTGTGGAGATGTTTCCTGTCCAATCCTTGACTTCATGATTCAATTTCGCATATTTCCATGAACTTGCTGACAGTGCACTGCAATGCATGCATCAAGGCATGCTCGACGCAAATACGACCGATGGTGAGATTGCCGGTGATATACGTGCAGGAACAAGAAGAAGTGGAACGGGCCGCTGCAGTATGAGGACAAGACGAGCAAGGCGCTCATGATGCTGCCCACTGACATGGCACTTGTCTGGGACAAGAAGTTCAAGCCCTATGTCGAACTGTACGCCAAGGACGACGAAAAGTTCTTCCAGGTGTGCACTTTCCCTTTCCGTGCCTGCTATGAAGACACCTTCAGTGTCGCTGACTACATGACTTGATTGACTGAAAGCTTCTTCTGCCCTGAGCATCATATTACATGATGCCAGGGGATTATTGGCACGTGTTGCTGTGATCACCTGCAACTCTCATTCTCAATTTGATAGTGTGGGATCTTTACTCCGTTTGCTCTACTGTGCCTCACAGCCCTTTCATATCACTTGGCAGTCCCGCTTTTCAGTGTCTGCGCTGCTTCTCGCGCTCTTGTGCTTGCCTCCTGCTTGACACAACAAAGGTGTTCAAATGTTGTAATGACACACATTGCTGACTGGACGCAGGACTTTGCCAAGGCGTTCTCCACTCTGCTGGAGCTGGGAGTCCCTTTCAAGGAGGAGCTGCCCAACAAGGCCTAAACCTGTGGCGAGTTCAAATATACAGATTGGCGCTGAAACAGTTCCCATGAGCTGCTGATCACATCCCAATGCCCCAATGCCCCATTTCAACATGCGCACTGCGTGTCAGCATCCTTGAGATACGTGCCGCACTGGACAGCAGGATTTCTCCTGAGCTTTATCGGCTTCGTCTCTGGCAGGCTTGCAGGTTCTGGTGCATGCACTGCTGCAAGGGACTGCTGAGACTGCCTTCTGCCACAGCATCCCACCATCTTATCTGGTCGAAGTTTCGCGCATGTTCTGAGCTTGTTTGGAGCCGCATGCTTATGGATTACATGCGGTGGCTTTGCTGCAGAGACTGAGTTCTGTAGGGGAGCAATGGGTGAATTAGCCTGCTCCCAGGGGCCAGTTGGGGTCAGACAGAATTGCTACCGGTACCGTGAAGAGGTGCTTCTCTTTTGTTGAATGTCAGATCTTTCCTAAGAATAAGGGAGAAACAAAAGCACTCACTCAGGTTTTGCCAAAGTATCATATCGCACTGTACAGCATATATGTAGCTGTCTTGGGCCCATCGTGGCTTTCAGTTTTTGGCACAGTGTTGGTTGTACCAGGATCTGCAGCACGTGTGTATCAATACCTCCATTTGGGTACAGACCTTGACTTTTGGTGTAGTGCTCCTGGGCTCACTGAATTTTGCATGATGCTTGTAAAGAGGTTCGGCGTGATATGTGGCGCGTGCTAGCATTTGCCCCTGACAGGATATTCCTGCCGGGGGCAAGGTGCGTCTGCAGACAAGCTGCAGCTGCAGGTGAAATTGTCATGTACTCAAACTCTTCATGGATTTGCCGCTGGCAAATATAAGCAGAAACCATCGGCACGGTGAATTCTGCCGCACTCATGCACGTGTAGATTTTGCAAAAGTACTCATGTCAGTTTGTGATACGTATCCTGTTTACATGCAGTGGTACTCCCAAACCATTGCTCATCGTGGTGTGGACTACTGGAGTAGAGACTTCAGCAGGACATCAGCACCCATCCATAATATGTAGATGTCAGCAAAATTTCTCCAGAGCCCATTCGACTTGCACGGAGCTCTGCAATGGCTCCGTGCAGCGCGACTGTCGGATTCAGGAGTGCATGGAAATGCCACGAGATAGATTCTGAAAAAGAAAGAGAAGAAAAAGGAAATGGCCACTGCTGAAATCGAACCAGCGCTGTTCCAGTACAAGGGGATAGCAGTAAGCTAAGTGGCCCTCTTAGGTAACCCGGGGTCTTGCTACGAAGGGGAAATTTTGTCAATATATAACATATGCTCCGACTGCTGGGTTTAATAAAGCAATTGCTGCTGCGCCTGCTGCTGCTGCTGCTGAGTTCGCTCCACATAGATGGCCAGCAGTTTCTGCTGGGTGGTGCTCAGTTCTGCCAGCACAGGCGCCAGCTTGGACTCATCTACCGCCAGCCTCAGCTCCACCAAGCAGAACACCACCTGCACAAATTTACCCAACCCCTAAGCTTTCACTCATTCTTCTGTAGTATAGTCACTGAGACACCGGACAACATTTGCAAGCAGGGCTCTTTGCAGCAATTGACCATAGTGATAGGCCAGTGGGTGGAGGCTGGTTCAGCAGTGGAATACATTCCAAAAATAAATCAATGGTGACACTGCGTGTGCATGTAAGTTTCTTGTTTGCAGCAGTTGATGATATTGATTGCGCATATGATGGTCAGGAGACGAGGCAGAAGCTGGGGAATACACGCATCCGGAAGCAATCACAACAGGGGGATGACTCACCGCCTTGCGCACGTCTGCTGAGGCGTGCCCGAAGGCTCGCACGAGGCAGGGCAGCAGGGGCGTTCCTAACAGCGCATCGGCCTCCCCGGGGCCCAACCGCCTCACAAGCTGGCTCATGCCCCGGAACAAAGCCTGCGCTCACCACTATGGGAATAAACAAATAGTCTTCAACTTCGAAATCATATATCATGCATGTGATTGAGCTCTGCACCTCCCCTGACCCACAGACCCCGACTTAGAGACCTCAGGCAATAAACAGGTATATATCTCTCAGATATGGCTTATTTTACGAAACAATGCTACATAAATTTGTTTGGTTCAACTTGTGTTTAGAAGCCAAATGCAGGAGCAGTCGCTCTCAGCAACGAGCACAGCACAAGCAGACCTGCAGCGAGTTGCAGGCACCAAATCACTCTATGTTAACAAGAGGGCAAAAGTGCTGGCAGGGTCGTAAGGAATAGATGACGAGCGTCAGACCTGCAGCGCGGCCGCCTCGCCCTCGAGCGATTCGGCCTCCTGGCCGCAGCGCTGCAACAATGGTTCCAGGCAGCAGCCGCGCACCGGCAGTGAGGTCATGCATGCATCCATCGCCTGCTGAGCCAGCAACCGCACCTGTGCATACATTGTCTCACTGTCAGTGCCTTCATTTCATCAGATTTTCCAGGTACTGTAGTGCTCATTCTAAAACCCGCACACCCGGCGGCGCGGAACACTTTTCAGAGCAACTCTTAGGGGTCATGCTGAGTTCAAAGATACCAGGGTCAGGCTCTATTGGATTGGACCTGTCGAGAGCTTTCTGAATCTGGTCTCAGAACTATCATAAGGTTTATATTTTGGGAAATAGGGTCATTTATGGCCAAAATAATTATTTATTGCGGGTTTTAGAATAAGCAATACTGTACGTCCAGCAAAAAGAGTGCTAGAGAGAGTGTCTTAACACCATTCTGTGCGGTCATGGCCCTTCCTCCACCAATGCAATGCCAGTCCAAGGGAATCCAAATCCCCCTAACGTGAACAGCGCCTTCTTGGTTAATAAATGCTTTCTTTGTGTTGAATTGCATATTTTGCTGGATACAGCACTGGTCTGGCATTGAGTCTTATGAAAACAAGGTGTTTGACGTAGTGATGATACCTGGCGGAGGTGATCCATGAATACACTGGATAGCCTAACTTTGCAGAGAGCAGCAAATGCTGTGAAGTAGCACCTTCTTCAATGGGGGTTCCAGAATGATTGACTGTTCATCCCTGGGTCGCAATAAGTCCCATTTGATTAACAGCACAGATTTTCCACAGATGGGGAAAAAGGGCACGCCTCGCGAGACGTGTCACAGGCGCAGTCCAGCAGCAGGGGCGCCACGTCAGCGAAGTGCGCCGCCAGAACAGGCGCTGCCTCGCATGCAAACGCATGCACCGCTGTCAGCGCATGCTTCCTGGCCTCCAACTCTCCAAACCTTGCTGCCTCTCCCACAGCCTTCAGCACCTGCAGAGAGGATTTGTGTCAGTGATGTTGCACCCTAAATCTAGGATTTTGTTGCTAATAAATGTCAAGTGCAACAACAACAGAGAACCTCACAAGACATCACTGCCAGCAGAATGACAAATTTGACTCATTGCAATCGTGAAAAGCAACCCTAACGGCGGCCTCTCAAAGCAGCACATCTCTTGTCTTCCTTAGTGCCAGGCGCTGAGGTGTCCAGCAGTCAGAGCTCTGTGGTAACCTCCTGATTTTTTGTGAGGATTTCTGGCACATGTTCATGGGTGCAGTGTGCTCCCAGCTTTTGTCTTTGCATTGAAAGGAAGGAGGGACAGCAAGACATGCCTGTGGCATCTGCTGCTGCCAGACGAATGTGGGTATGGCGGCCACCAAGCCAGGGAGCGCTGCCAAGGAAACAGCCGGATCCGGGGATTGCAAACCTTCCACCAATTCCTGCAAGAGAGCCAGCCTGGATCATCACTGCCCCCCTGCCATTCACTGCACTATCAGAAGGCACTCACTGTACGACACTCCCAAGGCTAAATCAACCGCATGCCTACAACATCAATTAACAGGAGGACCCAAGCGGGGTGTCGAATCTTGCCCGTGCTCTTACTTTCATCAATTCGGTCAGTCACAGCATCGAGTCACGCATTCCCATCTGTCAAGAAACAAGAACAAGAAGCCAAATATCAGCCTGTTTCAAGCTTGAGGAACACAAGTGGCACGTGCAAAGGCTAATCACCTCAAGAAACACCCGAGCGTCGTCGGCGGTGGCGAAGTGCGGTCGCGGCTTGCGGAAGGCAGTGGGCGGTGTCAGCGCCGGTGAAGCCACAGGGAACAGCGTTGAATGCGCGAGGGCGGCCGGAGTCGCAAACTGCTGCAGTGGTGAGGCGGTGCCCTGCTGGGAAAGGAAAGCAAGCAAAGGTGAGAAGGAAAGCACTGCGCACTGCTCTTCATTAATACCGTTTCTGCCTCCCGATCTTCCTGCCAGAGAGAAGGTGTGTCTGCAGGCAAGCTGCAGGAGAAGTCTGCCACATATCCTACCTTGATAGACTCGTCAGATCCGAGCAAGATCCCATCAATTGAGGGCACCGTGCTCGATATGAACACTGCCCCCCATCAGCTGCTATATACTCTCTGATACGCAGCAATAAAAAAGCAGTGTGATATCTGAAAGTAAACCTGCTGGGAGCACGGCGATGGCAGCGTGGGGAGGTTGCTGACGTCCACCAGCGGCGAAGACATCGGCGCTGATGCGGCGCTGAGCTGTCGCTGAGGTGGTGACGGCGTCAGCGCCTTCGGGCTCGGCGCAACCGCGCCGCCTGCGTTCTCGCGCTGCGCTGATGTCGGCGCTGATGTCATGCTGACGTGGCGCTGAGCTGGCGCAGCCGCAGCGTGGTCGGCGGCGGCTGCCGGCCCCGGGACGGCGGCGTGGCCGGCCGCCGCTTCCACGGCGGCCGACCTGTCATCAGAGGGTGATCCCTCTGAGCTGCCGGCAGAGGCGAATCCGGGGGTAAATGGCCGGGGCGGGGAGGCACTGCCAGATGAGGCTGCTGCGGTGGGGTCAGGAGGGCGCTCGGCTAACCGGCGCACAAAGGGCTGCGCGCTCGGCTGCTGTGGCTGCCTATCTGAGACGGACATCGCCTGCGCGGATATCCCACACACTTCTCAGTGTTCTGTTCTCCACAGTGACCGCGAGATCAACAAATGTTGATAGAGCTGCCTCCTTGCAAGAGACTTTGTCCTGGACAACATGGCCCCTGCAGGACACATGTTTCTCTCAGGTCTCTAGCAAACAATGCACTTTTCCAACAGGGCGGTCATGGTTTTCCATACGGATCAAACAGCAGCCATTGCCAAGTGGCAAATCTTCCTAACATGGATAGTGCCTGTGTCAGTCAGAGACTTGCCCGCAGGTTGCGCAGGAGGCCGGCCTGTGCGTCGGCCGGCTCGGAGGAGAGCACGTCGGTGACGGTGCCAGCGTCCAGGTGGCGGTGGATAGCTGACAGGGCGACCTCTGCCGCGCGGCGTACCTCCTTGTGCTTGTCCTGCGCCGCCGCTGCCATGCATGACGCCCACGCCCTGAAGCAACACTTATTCTTACTCACATGGCAAGTTGTGTTTCTGAGTACTCATTCACAGTGCACGTTCACTAATTTTCTCTGCAGAATCTGTTGCAGGCTGTTTTTTTTTCTTGTCTATCACACTCAAAAGCTTCACCCGTCCCTCCACAATGTGTCCTCACCTGAAGTTTTTGCTAAAACAAAGGTCGGAGAAGTTCCCACAGTCTGCATGCAATGGCACCCATGCAGAGGGCTTGGCAGGAAAGTAGTACGGTCTAAAATCGTGCAGCAATTCTGTGCGATTAATGCCGCATTCAGCATAAATTACAGAAGCCCCACACCTCAGAGCATGAGGCCCGATGTCTTGCAGCAACGGAGCAACTGCCGTGAAAGTTTCGATGGCCGCGATCTGGGCTTTGGTGCTGCGCGCTCCGCCCACGGCCGCAGACAGCGTCGACAAAAACACATCCGCGCTCACCACGCCTGCGCGCAGCAAATCGCTTACCTGATCTTTAGCTCGTTATGAGAATCTGGGGGCTGAAGCCGGCCGACACTAGATAGTTTTTGGCAAGCAATAGAAGCTTCCAGTGACTGTGTTTTGCGCAGCAGCAAAGCTTTGCTGCTTTCTACCAGAATCCAAGTACGCAAGGTTCTGATGCACCCCTTTGTCTGCCAGGAGGTTGGAACAGATCACACCAACCACCATTGTGAGGACTGTAAACAGGCGCCCAGGAAACCCCCAAGTTATAGCTAGATCTCCGCGCGCTTTATGTGCCTATGTTGTTGCACTAGAGCCAGAAGGCCAGAATCCCAAGAGGCGACAAAATTGAAAGGAAAGGTTGAGGCTCCGACCTGGCCTGAGAGCGCGTCAGCGGCGGCCCCGCGCAATTTCTATTGTCTCTTCTAGTCATACTGATCAAGGGTCTTCCCCAGCTTCAATATCAGAACCATACAAGCCAAGAACATGATGGCCATACCTGGCAAAACGGAGAGCGCGTCGGCGGCGGCCCGCCGGATTGCTTCTTTGCCGTCCGCGGCGCGCACGAGGAGCGGGGGGACCAGGCGGTCCAGGTGGCGCTCCAGCAGCGCGCCACACGCGCCCAGCGCTGCGTGCAGACACCTCAAGCAAGACACCGCCACTCTCACGTGCGCCTCGCCTGCAGTAAGGATGACAAAACTATCAGATGCTCAAAATGCTGGTAGATGTCACGCTCTGGTGCAAATCGAAAATCTTTCCATCTCTCGTCTTTCACAAATCAAATAGGCCGAGCCAGGACTGCCTTCACGCAGCCCTGCCTTGACTGTCATGGAATAGATTGCCCCACCAAGAGGTCCTCAGGTTCCTAAAGGCCAGAGAACAACACAGATGTAACCCAAGGACCCTGTGACTTAAAGATGGGGCAGTGGCCCGTATGATGTGTTAACATTCAGGCATCTGCAGACTTAAACAGGCCCTGTCTGTGCCCGTGTAATGTGGGATGATCAGGCTGGCGAGTCAGTCAAGCGCACACGATGGCAGTGGACAGTGTAGAGCTGAACTTCATGCCTGTTTGATCTCAGTCTGTCATGATCCATGGCATGATGGGCCGCACGAGGGTGGAACCAAGGTACTGGGTTTTATGAGGGGCTTAGGCTTGCAGTTGGTGCGAGGATTTTAAACATGTGCGGGAGAATGCAGGTGCAGAGCTGAGGTGGAACGCACTGATGCTCTCCAGGAAGACGGTGACAAAGCGGTCCAGGTGATTCACTATGCTGTGCGCTATGTCCGCCCGCTGCATTGCCTCCTCCAGTGCAGCAAAGGCATCTGATTTTGCCTGCAGGCAGACAATATCATGGTCAGCTTGACACTATTCTTTGCTGGATGATAGTAGTTCACCGCAATTTTTCAAAGCAGGAAATGAAGGCTGAGACAAGAAAGCTGGCAGCAGTCGATGCATGCGTGCTTGTTCACTTCTGAAGCTCTCCAAGCTGCAGATGCCATTTGGAGAGGCAAGCGGGTCAATATTCACTAACTTTTTTACTTATGCATGCTGATCATCTGTTAAAGCAGGACAATTGGCCCTAAGTTGATTGGGTGCAGACGAGAGGGGAGAATGGGTAGGCGTGCCTAACTCCAATCCCATTTCGTTGAAGACTCCCCGGTTTAATTCCTTGGCTCGCCATTAACCTTTTTCGCATTTTCCCGTTTCTTTTTGCTTGCGTCTTGTAGCCTACCTTCCAGTCGCTTCCTGCTCCACTGAAGGCCTGCAGCAGCTGACTCAGCGGCACAGAATGCTGCTGCTCACCGCCCCAGGCCTCCGAGACGCTAGAGAGGCTCGAGAGGCCGTGAGAACTGCCGCCGTACTCAGACGCGCGGTCATAGGAATCCTGCGCGGAGGAGGCGGCCGGGATGCGCGAGGGGGCGTAGTCGTTTCGCGCTGTCATGTCCCCGTCATGTGCACGCACTGCGCAGTGCAAAGTGCCATTGTTAAGCGGTTTGATGCCTCGCTAGCAGAGATTGAGGAATAGGCTAGGAGGTCCTGGTGCAACATGTCATGCTTACAGACAATTTCCTTCGCAACTCTTTCCTTCAGATTCCCAGTCTTTCAGGATGTTTAGGCATTGTGCACTCCACAGGTGACGTGACATGGACGGTGCACTACTGACACAAAGAGGGGTTAAGGTGTCACCTGGCAGCGTGACACGGAGGGCAGCCCCGCCGACAGACTTGCGCGAGTTGGCCGGCGGCCGCCGGAGAAGTGGCGCAGCCGATCTCTCGGCCGCAGCGGCCTCGGCAGCCTCGGCCGCTGCAGCGGCCAGCGCCGGGCCAGCTATGCTGAAGCGCGCGCCCGCCGCGCTCGGTTTCACAGATGCGCGCCGCAATGCGCCAGACGGCGGCACCGGCAACGCCGAGTGCCGCCGCGCCGGAAGCTTCGCGGCAGGTGCCGCGGCGGCGCCGGGGCCGGCCGCAGCCGCAACCGTCCCGGGGGCTCCTGAGCTTCCTGTCCGTCATCATTTAACACTCACCACGGCAATCCACCTTTTGCAGTCACCAGCATGCTTAAAACCAATCACTCAACAATTAAGCAGGGCAATAATGATTTCTTGACATATAAAACAAACGAACGGAGGTGCACCCGGCACGTAGGCGACGAGGGCGTCGCGCAGCTTCTGCTGCAGGCCGGGGCCCTGCCGCGCCAGCAGCGGGTGCAGCCGCTCCGGCCGGGCGCGGCAGTAGGCGGCAAACGCGGCGCGGCCGGCCGTGCGCGTGTCTGCGACGGCGTCCTGCGCAGCCGCTAGCACCGCCTCCTCGATTGCGCCCGCCGCCTTGTCGAGCGCGGCACTATCCCACTCCTCAAGCACCTGTGATCAAAGACCCACCTCTTAGCTGGGAATGAACTTGAAGTAAATGCACTAAGCATGCCAAATGACAGCTGGATGAAGGTGCGCTGACCTGGATGAGGTACTCAGCCGCGCTCTGGAAGCTCACTAAGCAGTCCTACACAAGTTTGCAAATGTACATTTCTGGCTTGATGACAAAACTGGGACTACTTGTGCTCTCTGAAGCCCTGTCTCATCCCTTTATACCCTTCGATAATAGCATTGGGTTGCCAGGGTGCTGACCTGGATGAGGTACTCGGCCGCGCTCTGGCGCAGCTTGGCGCTGCGGTCCTTGCACAGCGTGGAGCACAGCCGCGGCAGCAGCCGGGGGGACTGGCAGTGCCGCAGCAGCGCCCGCACGCACGCGTCCGCTGACTCCGCCATTATCTGCGCGCGGTGAGTCACTCAGCTGACTCAGCAAGGTGACTTGCAAAGGATACCATACTAGCATCATGGACTCCTTTGCTATTGATATAAAAGAGGCTTGTCATGGCAAGGCCTGCCACAGCGTCTTTGTACAGGGCAAGAAAAGATCAGACTACCTTGTATTTTACACAAAAGATACAAGACACTGGCCCTCGCTGCCTTACTTTCTAGTAGAGGAATCATTGAACATGCCGCTAGGCGGATATCAATATCTGAATACTGTGATACAGATGAGCCTTATCTCCGCAACAGACTATCAGCAAAGGGTTGCCAAGACAAGGAATGCAAGTTGTGAAAATTACGGCATAATCCCATGCCGCATAAGAGCGCGTAGCTGACCTGGACAGTGATAACGACGACCTTGAACAGCGCAGGCAGAAAGGCCATCGCCAGAGGCTCCAGCCGGGTGCCCATGTTCTCAGCCAGCACAGACACAAGATGGCACGCCTGCCGAGACACCGCCGACCTCCTGTGACAGATCAGAGACTTCAAATTTGCCAGTGCCCTGAATGCACCCTTGTACATGCTGACATGAATAGAAAGCCACTGGTTCCATATGCATTGCAAAGATGCACATGTGACACTCCAGATGGAAACTCCATGCACCATGCATCATGCGCCATGCAATAAAAATGCATGCGTGCACAATGAGGTGCTGGTATGACATCCTGCCCCCTTGCGGATGCAGCTCAGAACAATGGTGCAATAGACTCTTGGAAAGGGCAGCAGTGCAGCTTCCCCTAAATATTTTGGCATGCATGCTAAACAGATGGTACCTACATTGTACCCAGCGCTGCAACTCACATTCTGGAAGCACAGCTTCTTAGTGTGTCTCAAGTTCCAATGGATTTCATATGAGGCATGTGAAGGCATGTGGTTGCACCTGTCCAGAAGCTGCACAACGATGGGGTCCTGCAAAGTTTTCAGCAGCTCCAGAAACCCCGGCACCGATGCAGCTCCGCCGCGCACAAGTCCCTCCAGCCGGAGCAGCGCCTCGATTCGCCGAGTCCATTCCACGTCAGCGTTCAGGTGCCTGATCAGGCCGTCCACCTCAGCCCGCAGCTGGCGCTCCCCTGCCACCTGGACCGGCGGCGCTTGGGGGACCTCCCCGGAGGCTGTGTAGCCCCCCGAATCCTGTTTTGGCACACAAGCAAGCAGTTGTACAGTAGAACTTATAATCCCCTTGATAAACAACTGGTCTGGTGCAGGTGATGTTCTTAATTTCAGTACTCAAATGCGTGTTGTGCCCCTTTGTGGCAGTGCTTTTTACATGCAGTGCTGTGTCCATGGGATTCAAGCCACAGCAGCATGCCAGAGTCACGCAGTCCCCTGACAGATGAGCTACGGCCATGCTCTGGAGCAAAGATGAGACACCCGGTTCACGTTTGGTGGGCATGCGCTCTGCACAAGGCCGCATCCTGTCAAACAAGTATGCCTAACAACTGCATAATACCATCTGTCCCTCTCAGTGAGATATTGGTGCTCAGATGGTGTGAGAGGGAGCTGCCTACCATATAGCCTCCTCTCCTTGCATTGAGATTTGCAGTGGAGTTTGTTCTTGAGACAAGAGCAGGAGCTGGAAGCTCATAGTCTGTGCTCTCCTCGCTGGACCTGGAGAGTGCAGCGGGGCTGTTTGGGCTCCTCATCCTTGCTCCCTGCCACACAAAATTGCTGCGCCCTTTCATGTTTGCCGAAGGTCCACGTGCGTGAATGAGACTACTTTGAAGACATTTCAGTGTAGGGACAATATAGCAAGATGGGCTTTTGGAGGGAGGTCATGCAGAGGAACATTGCGGACTGGAGTCACTTGTGGCATGCCTTAGAGACACTTTGTAACAATTTTAGTCTGCATGCACACAGTCTTGTTGCCTTATGGCAGATGCATCTCTTTCTCAACGTTTAAAAGATCGTTATGTTGCTCGCATCGTATGTCAGCAGAACGCATTAGATAATCACCGCACCAACACCGGCACTTAGAAATGGTGCTAGAAACACTCTTAGAGTGGTGTAGGGGCTCATTCAGAGGATGTTGGAAGACTTCCAACCGAAGTCAACCCACCTTTAAGGGAGTGCTGCACGGCTGAGAGTCTCTATCAATCGAGTCTGCCGTCCAACAACTTTCAACCGCTCTATTACGTCCCAGGCAGCGACGGTGTACAAGGTCGCTGGCGATATGTTGACTGAGGGAAAGGGGTGAATTCCTCTACAACGCCTCTTGTCAACAAGCTACCCAGGGTCTCCGATGTGCAAGAGCCTTTCTGAGTGCTGAAAGGATTTGAGATCGTCCAAATGCTGGGAAATTTTAGCTGTAATTGGTGAAAGAAGAGACAATTGCATAAGGACAGGAACGCCTCCGGCAAGCTGCCCCCCACATGCCATGATGGATGATCAGCTTCGCGACAGAAGCACCGTGACTGAAATTATAAGTTATCTTTCAAAACAATAAGCAAGAGTATCAAGAATAAATCGTTGAACTGATCAGAGGCTCCTTCCACCCGTAGCAGCGACGCAACGTTTCTTTAGATACTCAGAGATTTCTTGTGAAGTGTTAAGTCTCACTTGACAATTTGCTGGCTCAAATAGATGCTGCATGGCGCATTCGTGAATAGTATCTCAAAAGCACCAATTCTGGTATACCAGACACGAATGCAAAACGTTCCAGATAGTCCAAGACCAGGACATGCCAGGCAGGCTGCACCAACTCAAGCAGCTGTTCAAAACCCTGGTGTGCAAAATGTCGTGGAACAGATCGTCCCTTCTTTAATCGAACGACATCCAGTACACACCTTTGGCGGAACTGCGCCTGCACCAGACTCAGTTGTCATCGTTGATCCTGGTGAGATCTCTTCATCTGGAGGGTCGACTGCTGTCTTCGTGTATGCTAACATGGAGTAACTTGTGAGATGGGAGACACTGTCAGATCCGTGCATTGTGAATCTTATAGTCACCCCTCTGGCGCGCAGACAATGTGCAGCAGGAGTTTGAGGGCTGGGGGACATCCCTGTGCTGGTTTGCAAACATTGCTGGAGGCTACTCCGATCCCCTGCGAACTTACCTGGCGGATCTGCTCTTCGATGTCAGCAAGGGGCTGGGAATGCAGATTTGCCGGTACAACATCGGTGGGGCTGGCTGGGGCACACTTGATGTCCCAAACTTCCGCTATGGGGCTGATGTAGAAAGGTGTGTCTTGCCCCCAGAAATGTCATGTACTTTCTCTAGTGTGCATGAATGTCCACAATGCGCTTGCTACAGCTCCTGCATAGCCTACTGTGGTCGTGATAGCACTTGCATTGCTAGCCACTTGAGACAGAATGAGACAGCAGCTGCAGACCATTTGAGGCACCCTGTTTCTGGCAGGAAAAGTGTGTAATGATAATACTGAAAAAGTACTGAGTACATAACGTTGACACGAGTGTGCCCGGCGGGCAGTTTCTGGGGCCCGGAAGGGCAGTGGGACTTTGCCCGGGACGCAAACCAGCGCTGGATGCTGCTGGCAGCGCGCGACAGGGGGGCAAGCATATTTGAAGCCTTCAGTAACTCGCCTCCCTACTGGATGACAGTCTCGGGGCGTTCCAGCGGCAATGTCTTCCCCTGGCTGGACAACCTGCAGCCTCGTTACCAGGATCAGTTTGTGCACTACTTGTGTGAGGTGGTCAGGTGGTACCACGACACCCACGGCCTCACCTTCAGGTGAGCCTGCATCATCATCAGTAGTCATTCGTCATTAGTTATTGTTAATATGATAAGTATTCCCATTAATAGGATATATGCTTGGTCCACGCCAAATTGCTAGGGGCCTTGCAGCAACCTCTCATTGTGTCCCCTCCAGAGCACGCGTTCAGAGGCCCTGAATGCTACATAAATGGCTGTATGGGAGAAATGCAGAGGTGCAGCATGAATGTCAACCAGTGCATCTGCAGTGTGTTCCTGCAGAGTTTGGATCGATGTGAAGAGCTGACTGGCCCTTGCATGTTGCTAGCAGATGAACATGTGCAAAGGAGGGAGTGTGATCAGTTTCTTTTTTCCCGTGTGTCTTGTCACAGAAGTCTTGCAGCAGACCGAAAGAGCCCACATAAGAGCTATTTATATGTTGTGCAGGACGATAGCGCCATTCAATGAGCCCAACACGATCTACTGGTGGGCAGGCAACAATCAGGAAGGGTGCCACTTTGATGTGTCCAGTCAGAACACCATCATCACCAAACTGGCCCAGAAATTGGAGGTACTGTATCAGTCTTGTCACAATGCTCTCGGCCTAATATGTGCAAAGGTGCTGCAGCATTTCCTGTGTTGTGGAGAGATACTTGCTCACTTTTAAGAGCACCAGTGTGAAATTTTCATGCTAGCATCTGTCAACCTTGCTGCATGGCTGAATGAAACATGATATTCTACTCTAAGTACCCTCTGAGGAGTATTGTCTGACTTGCTATAGTCACAAATCATTATGTGATGCAGGTGACTGGACTGGCTAAGTTAGGCGTGGGCATCAGCGCATCAGATGAGACCAGCATAGACACAGCGGTATTGTCCTTCAAGGGGTACAGCCAGGAGTCCAAGGAAGCCATCGCCCAGTACAACACCCACTCGGTATGCCCAATCTGGTGTACGCTCAGGATAACAAAAGTTCCAGGCAATGGAGTCTTCATCGTAGAGTTTGGTGAGACCGGCTCTTGGTAGTGACACGACGTGCAGTGACTCTGTTCTTAAGTGCACAGATGCATGCACAGCCGCAAGCCGTAGCATGCATGCTGATACATGTTCAGGCCATGTAGATTTCACGTCCAGTGTAGAAATTTTCATGAGGTCCTGCCAGCACACACCCTTTAGACAGCCACATGGCAGGCAGCGATCTGTTCAACTGTCAGCGCACGCATGCAACATGTTAGGACATGCATGCTTGCTGTTGTTTGCTTGCACCATCAGACAACTTGTCCGACCCAACCTTGTGACGGGGTGTTGCCGGCACATGCGTACAGTACCTGGGGAGCATGCGCAAGGAGCTGCGGGATCTGGTGCGGCCGACCGGGCGGCGTCTGTGGATGTCCGAGTTTGGCTGCGGCTCCTCCCCGCCCTCCAGCATGCCCGCCGCCCTCGAGCTCTCCTCCATCATCCTCAAGGTGATAGAAACATTTAGGGCTGCTTCTCGTTCCATTGTCCAGCAGTGCTGCGGAAAGGCTTGCATACGGTTGATCAATCTCCACATCAACCGAGCAGCAGCACTATTTGCATGTCGGCAAAGTGTTTCTCCCAGGGCAATGTGACTTGTCGCGGTGCTCAATGGTTATTCTGCCATGATGCAGTGCTGCAAAGGAGCAGCAACAGTGTCAAGGAATCATGATTGGCCTGGTTGCATGCTGCTTGTGTATTATCCACCAGCACACAGCAGGTTGTTGCATTTTGGATTTCTGCATAACTGAATTAAGTAGGGCCTGTGTGCAGCTCTGCAGGAGGCAAAGCAGTGCAAATTTTATTTTCTCAGGTTTTGATGGGTGGCTGGTGCGTGCAGGATCTGAACGTGCTGCAGGCGAACGCCTGGGTCTACTGGCAGGCCATCGAGAATTCTGAGAGCGGCAACTGGTGGGGGCTTATGCAGGCACGCTCACTTCTTGTACCCCAAAATCTCAAATGCCGAACGAGTCTTGAGCCAAAATGTCATGGCAGCCTTGGTGCTAGTCTGCTGGTGGCTGCTGCTGTTACCCTATCTTGATGCAGTCAAGCACGCACTGGTGTGCCAGCTGTACACAAGGTTGACTGGAGGATCTGCAGGACTCTCTCAGTGACCTGTCACCTATTTTAGCATTCCAGCATTCCTTGTCTTGACTGCGCCTCCTTTAAACGCAGACATGCATGCAAGGTTGTGCAAGCTGTGTGCAACCTTGATGATGGTCAGTTCAGTCCTCCCTGTGCGACCCCAGGCAATATCAACATGTATTTTTTGTTTTATAAATAAGCAACTGGCATCATGTGCGTAGGTGCCGTTTCACACAGGGCGTTACATAATCCTGGGCAAGCAGTTCTACTGCCTCATGCAGTACAGCCGCTTCATCCGCTGTGGTGCCTCCATCCTCCACAGGTGCCTGTCAAAAACGAAATTCGGAATAAATTACTTTGGAATATTTTCAATAAATCTAGTCACAGTGTTGTGGTGGCCTCAACGGTACCTTGACTTTACTGCTGCAGACTCATCTTCATGAAAGATATTCCTTAGACTTGGGCTGTGACGCCAGCTGTCTTCTGGCTTAATCGAGACCTGATCATGTGAGAAAATTTAATCCTTGAAATGGCGCTAAAGCAGTGAACATTTTATTTCTTTGCATTGTGCAGTCCACAGCCAAAGAGTGTGCTGATAGCAAAGGCAGCTCCAGACGCAGCGCGGCCAAATCAGGCGCAGATAGTCATCGTGGCGACTAACGCGCTCTCAGACTATGACGTGGTCAATTTCGACCTGACCAAGTGCGGCAGCAGCGGGATTGGAGATGCTGAGGGGATTAAAATAGATACCAAGGGGAGGGAAACGTTTGGCGAAGGCACCGCGCACATTGACATCCATCGGACATCAGTCAATGAGAACTGCCAGAAGGTGTGCCTTGCACCTGACTCTTTGGTATCACCTTTCCTGTGCTTGTGTTTTAACACCTTCCGATGGCAGGCTGGAGTGTTTCACCTGTTCAGCAATTTGCGCCGTGGGCGTGTTTTGCACAAACATGCCTCCTCTTGTCTGCTGCGGCCCAATAGATAGCCCCAACCCCAAATATGCAGATTCAGGGGCACTTTCATATCGTCTCTATAAGTTTACTTGTCTATTTTAGCTGTCTCGAGCCCATCTGCGTGCAAGGTGGGATTGGCCTCTTGGCTCCTGGCGGTAGCAAAGGGCATCTGCAAATGAGCTGAGGAGGAAAATGGAAACATGTGTAGCGCCTGAGCCAGAGTTGCACCATTTGGTCAGAATACTTTCTGGGGACCGTATGTACGGCCGAATATACAATCATACGGTATTGAAATATATGGAATACGGTCAAAAATTGCCTATTTTTGCCCAAGATACTGAATATACGAACGAATATTCACCGCATGCCGAATGGCCGAATCCGTATAGTGCAACTATGGCGAGAGGTGACTGGGTGCATGTGGCGTTGCTGTGACAGGTGGCATCCATGGAAGTGCCAACGCCTCTGCGCTTTGGCTGCGCTTTGCGGCCGCTCAGCATCACTACCTTTGTTGTCACATTCCAAGCTCAACAATGAGGCCAATGAGACTTGGGGGGCCGGGTCAGCCGAAGTCGGAGCCAACGATTGTTTGCAGATTGAGCTGGGCGCTGTGGGAATGTTTTGCAGAATGCAGCATTGCACCAGGGATGGACACTATGGGGACTTTTTCTCAGAAAACATCGATGGAATATAAGAGCTAAAAATTTTCTGAGTATTTCCGAGAACTTCCTCAGTCTAATTCGTTCTGGAAAAATCCGGATGTGAATGAATGAGTGAATGGATGGAGCGCGCTTTCCAGTCCAGATTGAACAGGTTTGAATCAATATAACTTGCTGCATGGGATGTCCTGTTGCTGGTTTTACGAGAGCATGCCATGAATTGGTAGAACATTGATTGTTTGGAGAATCTTGCATGTCATCTTCAAAAGCATCAAGATGCACTGCGCTCCTATGCAATCTAGAGGTTCACTTTTGCACAAGCACAGTCTTCACCGCATCATGTTTGCTCTGCTCTGCTTGTCTTTTCACCTTCATCTCCAAAATCGCCAATTTTATGGCATCGTGCAGATACTGTAAACGATGTTTTGGCCATCAATGGACAAATGCTACTCTTAAAAGCTAAACCAGCTTCAGCCACACAACATCTCTGATAAATTTTGACTTCCACTGGCACAAACGTGGCAATTATGATACTAAGCTGGCTGACAATGCCCAACCAGCTATGGTCCAGTCAATCACCAACCCACCAGCTGACCAAAAGTGAGTCACCTCCTTCCAAATGTTCACCAGAGATAACACCCAGGCCACCACCCAGGCGAACGGCTCTCAAAAGTGTGCATGTCTCCAGATCTGCTCAGGCAATCGGCGCAAGCACCGCAGGAGCAGCCACAGGGCAAAGAGCGCGGACGGCTTCCCTTCCACATGCACTTCCTGCCATCATGCAACCACGCGCGCCCGCTGCTCTCAGAAAGAGCAGCCGAACCTCCTTCCAGTTTTTTGAACTCCAAGTAGAAGTCCGGGCACTGTAGCGGGCCTTTCTTGGGCCCAGAGAGCACCAAACGGCCCCAGGCAATGACAGACAGGTGGCGCCACCTGCCACCTGACAAATCAATGCTTCCACTTTCACATGAGATGAGGACACTGGTGAAGGGGGAGAAAGCACTGCGCAGGAAGGCTTGCTGCGGCGCAAACCCGTATGCATTGAGCACCACTCTAGTGAGTGTATTTGATGGCTGCAGCACCGGTGGCAGTCCATGTCTCATCCAATATGCACTCCACCGGAAGGTGCGCAGCGCTGGCAGCACTGTCTGCCAAACAGGGCAGCGCGCGTATTCTTCCAACCCACTGAGATGCAGCTCTGCGCTGGGCGGCAAGGAAAGCCCGCCGAGCGCTAGTCCGTGCAAGCTGACTCTGCGCAGATGCTTGAGGCAAGCGAGCTCCATTTTCAGCTGATCCGCCTCATCCTGGGGGAGATGTGGCTGGTCAGAGTACAAGTGCAGAGTCTGCAAGCTTGAGAGGTGTGGGAAGGTTGCCACAACATTAGCACGGAGTGCCACATCTTTTAGAACCAAGTGCTGCAGATTCGGCAGCGATGGCAGCGCTGGGAGACTGAATGTATACACATCAAGCACGCGCAGGCGCTTTGCAGCTGCAGCAAAGTAGCTCAGCAGCTGAGTGCCAGTGGCATGGCCCTCATCTTCTTGCAGCTGACCCAACTCCAACACCAGCTGGGACACATGGCTGGGTGTGTTCTGAGCGGCCATCAGTGTCCTTGCAACCACCCACCCTGCTGGTGTCCGCAGCTGCAGCAGCAGATTTTGGGTGTAGCGCCATCTTGCAGCTAGCCACAGTGCGCCTGGGAGCAGATTTATGAGCTTTTCAGGGCTGGTTAATAGAAGCGGCGTGTTCAGCATCATCAAAGAAGCGTTTTGATAATTGATCTGCACTGCAGCACAACGGCCTCAGATGATTCCGCACAGGATGTCGAACATTTCTGGGTCGTTTTGTGCAACCTGCTCCTCACCTGACACGCCCACATTGACGTGATCCGTGACGTGATCCGTGACGGCCACATTGACCAGTTGCAGGTTCCAGGTGGTTCTGCATGCTCCGGATGCCCTGGCCCAGTCTCGCAAGCTGAGACGGGAGGCCACGTTCTGCCAGATCTCCTCTGGGAACCTCACAGTAGGAGGAGACTCGTCCTGCACATTGAGACTACGTCATTCATCCTGCAGTTTTATTAATCTTAATTGTGTTGTGCGGGTACCAAGATATTTTAGTGCAACACGCCTGTTTCAATCTGGGTGCTGATGGTGCACAGATCCTTACCTCGTGGCTGTACATCAGATTTTTCTTGGAGCGGAAACAACAGAGAATGGTATCCATGTGATTCGAATTTCTCAGTGAAAAATGTTTTGGGTATACCTTTGCGTTCCTTAAAGCCAGCGTTGTGTGTTCGACCCATCCAATGTTTTGTGTGATTAGTCATTTTCGGGTCTCATCGCACCGATTAATGCCCCCCGTCAAACGAATTCAATCAAATCGACTTCAACACCTAACGTTCTCACGTTCAAAAATGTCCTAAGATTATTTCCTGTGGGAGCCGTTGCTGGTTGTGCGTTCCTGTTGAGAAACAACTCGGATGTCGCAGACTGGCCCATTGGAACTGCAGAGAATGCCACAGACTGAGCCGTTGGATAGGGTGATCTTCAATTGACTTCCGAATTAACATGATTTGATTTGCTTTATGCGATGCAGGAAAGTTTCTGCCGTTTTGATTGTCTGACGATGTAACAAATGCGCAGGTTGGGCCTCCTGTCACTGCAGAATGGACCTTCCCAGCGGAGATCTGGCAGAACATTGCATCCCACATCAGTGTACGAGACTGGGCAAGGGCATCGGGGTTGTGCAAGACGACTTGGAAATTGCAGCTCCTCACTGTGACAATCCCAGATCAGGTCTAGACATAACCGACCCATCGTTTGATTCACCAGGTGAGCACCCCTCTGACCTGATATGAGGGTTTCTTGAGCTCCAGATACTTACTCACAGCTATTGGAATGTCCAACACACTTGCACTTATGACAGGCAGCAGTTGCATACACTAAAAGCAATCTCGTTATGACCTCAGGCTTCAGATGGGTGGTGAAGCGATGGCGCTGCATGCAGACCATGCGTGCATCCTTCCAAACAGTTTGCTCGCGAAATCATGAAGACAAGGCAGTCTGCCCATGCACTGATGCAGCTGCAGCTGCACTGGGGCGAGCAACAAACACATAAGCGCCTGTCCATTGGCATGAACCTTCTGCACTGGTTGGCTGCAAATGCCGAGGGGTTGCGCGCTCTGGAGGTCACTATGGTGGAGATGCCACCGCTGCCACCGCTGGCACACCTGCGTCATCTGGTCCTGTGCAGTTTTCCCTGTGCCGGCCGCCTCCGTTCTTTGTCCGCAAGCTGCCACACCTGGCAAACTTGCAGACTCTTTTCATCAGTCATGAGACCACACACGATGAGGAACTCCAACTGGAGCTTGATTTCTCCAGCCTGCATCACTTGCATGATGTCAGCTTGCAGGACGTGGTGCCATTCAGGCTCTTGCTGCCGACCGATGCAGCGCTTCATGTGAATTTGTATGACACCCAAACTCGCCGGTAATATCGCGCGTACAACCCCGTGTGGCTCACGGTGCTGCGGCATCTGCGCACCTTCAAGTGGTTGCCTTTCAATCCGGGGACGATTTCAAGGTTGCCAGATGTTTTCAGGCTGCCGAGCTGCCTCACCAATGTGCAAATCAATCTGTTCAACGTAATTTTCCCTTCAGAGCCGCTCTGTTTGCGCGGTCTCTTTTCATCCTGCACCAATGTCCTCATAAGCTGCTACGATGCATGGGTGGATCTCTCGGGTGGAAACTGGAAGCACCTGTGCATCAATGCTCAGGAGCGCCTGGTTCTGGCTGGGTCAGACTGCGGCCCTTTGAGCTGCCCGGATTTCTGCCTTGAGTACGGAGTATTTGAGGGAGCAGTGTCAGCCGCTCTTGCTGTGAGCAGTGGGCGCGAGGCCTTGCCTGGTGGTAGGGAGAGCTTGTGGAAGGGCTGCAGGCAGAGCATTCCAGACTTTGACGATGTTGCATGCACCTGCGGGGCTTGTCATGACTGTCTGATCAAGTCGGGAGACCTGTCCCAGATGGGGGCATGACTTCAGTGACATGGCGCCTTGTCAGAGACAAAAGGGTTGAGACAATTGTGCTGGGCACCCTTTTAGGCACCTGTTCCCAAGCCAGTAATGTGAGATAGGTCAGGCGGCGCAAGGATTTCTAATTTGCAGGTATTGGTCCATCAATGAACCCTCTGGCAAGCGCTTAGTTCTCCAGCTGCATGAGGGACATGTACATAAAAGGTAATCCCAGGCACGGTGACATCAGGCATGACATTTGCGGATTTATCAAAGAATTAATGATGTGCATGTGAATTCCCCTGTGTAGATTGCTTGCACGTGGAGCCAGCTTGCATGCCATCTTTGACTATTAGTACAAAGTTTGCATTGCCTGTTCTTTACATATTTGGTACCGTAATTGTGTCTTCAAGGGCTGACTACGGTGACTAGTTAGTACGCCCAATACTGAAGGGGTGCAGACGGAGGAGGGCCCCAATGTGTTATGGCCTGCCCAAATTCCAAATCGATGAACATGGACAGAGAATGTGAGTTTAATATGAATTGAACTGCCATTGCCTTCCCAATCCCCATGTGCGTACCACACTAGTTTTGCTGCTTGATACTATTGGACATGCCATTATCAATTACAGGCTTCAAAAATTACCGGTATGGCATACAGGTTGGTGTTGTACCAAGCATGCAAACTCACAAAAGAACAGGAAAGTGCATTATCAAGATGAGCACCTCACCACTTTCTAATCTCAAGAGGCATGGATGCTATGTTGGGCGTTTGATATTCTCTAGGTAATCAGTGTGTACCCAAGTCAGTTCAGTTTCCACAGCTTCCAGCTTGGGGTGGCAGCTTCCTGTTCATATGAATTTCACATGAACCTGTACGTCTCCTGGGTCGAATTCAAACACATATGCATCTGTGAAGGTCAACAATGTCTACCATTGGATCTTCCCTGACACGACCAAACACAATTGGTAAGCCCCACAATTATACTTGCCGGCCAAGGGGCAACACGCGCGGCAATAACCCCGCGTCTTATCAATGGTACACAGTCCCATGCACTCTATGTGTATATCTGGGCAATGCAGCGGACTGCCGCTTGAGGGGGAAACCGCCAGAGAATTATCAGCAACGATGCTCAGCTTGCGACAATTACCTCCCGACAGATCAACCCATGCATCCAGGGAGCAAATATACAGATCAAATCCGGGCCGGAAGGCTTCGCGCAAACACAGGGGCCTTTCACTCCACCCAACACAGCGCATGTGCACATGTGCACGACTGAGGTTGCTTGGCAATGCCAGGATCTCTGGCAGCTTCGTACTCATAGTGCCATTAAAAAAGTTCAAGTCAGACAGTGCAGCTGTGGCAAGACCGTGTGCTATACCCGGTGGTGCATAGACCGGTCACTTGACAGCGAGACATGAAGCTTGGATCTTCCTGAACATGCAGTGGTCCAGAGACACTAATAAAATTGGTTGTATGATGACAATTGGAACGGTTGACGAAGTTGCTGTCTGACAGCTGCCTCAAAGGCCAGCCGTGTGGGCTGTGCACAGGACCCACTTGATGTTGGAGTTGGGTTGCAATGAGTGGATCGTGCAAGGGATATCAGCACTGTCCATTTCGAACATGGACTCAGCTTGAATGCAGATGTATATTTACCTGCTGGACACCTTTACTCTGTCTGGCTGCAAATGAAATGAATGAATGAAATCACCCCCACCGCAATTGTTTTGACATGGCGGCTGACATGGCCAGCAGTGTCAATGGTCTCAACTTGAGTGGACGATGTAATCACTGTACGATCATGAGTGGATTGCTGCAGATGCGCATAAAGCGTAAGGTTGGAAACGTTTGTGCCTGTAGAATTAGCTGTGTCTTTTGCCGCTCCTCCTAGCTGTGCTGATTTGTCCGGCTTTCGCCAAATATTATACCTGTTGTTAATATAGCAGGCTGCGTTTGCATCGGGCTCTGCTGTGTAAATTATATGTTGTAACGGGTGCGATTGAACCGTGCACGTGCAGAGGCCCTCTTTGTGCCTCAAGACGCATGCATGCGTGCATGTTCGCATGCATGCTCCTGTCAGCAGTGCTCAAACTCTCATCCAAATGCTTTTGTGTCATCTGACGTGAACACCGGCACACAGACACACATCACATCTGATTTCTGCACACATCATCAACTGCCTGTCAAGTACCTGGCAACTTCAAAGTCCCTTGGTCTTGATTGCAGACTGCATGCAGCTGTGCAGCTGCAGCGCAGCTACCAAGAAGCTTCCTGCTGGGCCCGAGCATTTCCGCTTTGTCTGCATCAGTCGGGATGCGTCAAGGTGAACGCACGGCCTAACCCGCTGTTGGCGCATGCGCAGCAGCCTTACTGTCAATCAATCTTGCTCAGCAATGCTTCAATGACTGAATCGATTGAGCAGACTACTGACAGGGCTAGTTACTCAAATCCATACGTGAGCCCAGAAGCTGCTCGAAAGGGGTTCCCCCACCTCCCTTTGACAGCATTCATTGAACGCTGTTCAACTCATCCGGGCTGACACATCCTACAAATCTGCTCGGGCTGCCTAGCACCAGCAGGAGTCCAAGGATTGACTCAGTCATGGGTGCAAGCAACCAGCGGCCTGACAGTGAGGCCCGTTTCGTTCTGCACAAAAGAGTGTTAGCCTGCCAATAACAGCTACAGCAAAATTGCACTTTGTCAGTCTGGCGGGGCAGAACGCAGCCGACAGCACTACTGTGTCTCCAGGATAGACATCAGAAGAATTGAATCCCTGCGCACCACTCAACAGCGTCAGCTCTGGCCTGCAGAAATGGCAGCTGTTGAGAAGGTGAGAAGCCCACACTCCACACGTTGCCATGTCACCAGCCCCGCCATAGTGTGGAGCATTGCTCTGTGGGCCATGCTAATTTTCACTTGAGGCCAGCTGCTTCACGGTTGAGAAATTGGCATTCAAGGTAACAACCCCTCTTTTAGGCTCACATAGTAAAATAGTACCCTGAAAGCACAAAGAAAGCCAGGAGAAGCTGACTACGCGGAAGTCAGTAACCCATGGTTCAAGTCACCCACGGGGAAATACAAAGGTTTCCCCATGATAACTCTGAAAACCTGAGTTTGTCTTTGCAACAATGCACTGAAAAGGGGGGAAATGGGAGGTGTTTAAAGAAAC